CAGATTTACCTCTACTGGCCGGGTGTAACAGTAGGGCTGGGTGGTGAGCTTTTGCTATTTTTGGTCTTGGATTTATTTTTTGTTTCTTTTTTTTTCTTTTCAGATCTTCAATTGTTCTTCTTTCTTGTCTTAGTCCCTCTTTCACTTGCTCTCAATGCTTTATTGCCCGCACCCGTTAGCTCGAGTATGATGTCTCACCCTGAACCAACCCGTCGGATAAGGGCACGGGAAAGTATAGGGGGAGGTTGGGGAATGTGGCGGCCGTGGCAGCAGCCGCAGCGGCTGATCGGAGGGAGTAAGTGCGATGGCGCAGAGAACCCACGAGGCCCTCTCTTCCGTCGGTACACACAAGGGGAGGGCGCCTCATCGATCGGCGGTCGGCATGTTGCCCCCCCGGAGCCCCGGTTCAGGGTTGTCTCACCGTCTCGTTTTGTCTCCCTGAGCCCTTGGGCCGAGAATAGGTTCGATCTGAATCGTCTTGTTTACACGCCACCGAGTTGTCTTGGATGATCACGGAACGGCAGGGTGCCTCCCCGGAAAGACATGCAGCGAAGAGCTGGGGGGAGCGGGGGAGAGAGAGACTTTCGAAGAAGGGGGAAGAAGTAGAAGAAAGTCGGGGTGTTGGGGAGAAGCAGGAAAAGAGGCATGTTTCACTTCTGGACGTCACAGTCCCGGTCCCAGTCCCAGTCCCAGTCCCAGTCCCGGTCCTCGATCTCGCCGGACGAGCCTAATCTCGATGCTGCAGCAACCCTCTGGTCCGACCGAGAATTAACTCGATATCGTGGATGGGACAACATGATGTCGGGGTGCGACACACCACCACCACCAATTAGACCGTGAGCAAGACTTGTCTCTCTGTCAGCCGGTGGATTTCTCACATGGGACTTCCATCCTTGTGCACAGGCGCCAGCTCCATGGCTTTTTTTCTTATGATTGTTTTTATCCCCTCCGGCGGCCGCGGATTTGCTGAAGCACGTTCCGTGCTGCGGCTACGTACTGGGATGGCCGACTATTCCGTCGAGGTCAACTCCAAGTCAGATGTATTCTACCCCGCCACAGTTTTGATGATGCCGGCGGGTGGTGGTTTATGGTCAAGCCAAGCTTTTTCCCCTTGAGAAAATGATTGAACATGGCCTGGCGCCAACATCGGATGATCCCCGCCGCTAGACCGAAAGTCGATTAGTGTCAAAACAGGGGTGTTCAAAGCCGTTTGATCGGCGGGGCAACAAACGTGGGAAATCGAGGCTAACGCTTCATCTTCAAGATCCACTACTCCTGGCTTCGGGTTTGGTTGCTTTGGAAGTGCTGTTGACATCTTATATCCACGGCCATTTCACCGCCATTGGATTTAACTGAGGCCACTGAGGCTTACTCGAAGAGAAAATCGAGGACTCGAAGCAAGCACAAGGCGAATCTCTGAGGCCGGGAACAAGCTGTCGCCGCCCGGGCACTGGAACCAACGGGAGCTGAGCTTTCGGGAATGCCCTGGTCCTGGAAAGGCGCAATCAACACGGCCCGTTATTTGTTCCAAAACCAACAAACATCCGCGGTTCATTAACGCTGCAGGTAGACTCTGGAACACACAGGAGGATGGGAGTCGAACCAACAAGCTCGGCGTGTTCTCGGCCTGGCCTAGCTTCCTGATTTGGCAACTCGAACCCCCTCCCCCCTCTTTCAAGATTCCGACGAGGCGGGAACGGCTCTGAGAGGTGGAAGGCAACTTCCGTCTCATGTGTTTTTCTTCTGTTTCTTTCTTTTCCCACGCGTCTGCCAAGCAACCCGCAGTAAAGTAGGAGTGGGGCGCCGGGAGCACGTCGTAACCGAAGCACCCCCCTCGCACCCTGCACCGGATACCAAACTGACCTGCTGCAGGCCGGGTCGATCTGCATCGGATGCCAGTGGGCTTCCGAGCCCCTCTTTCCATTGTGGGGGTTCCTTGGATCTGGGGAAAGAGCCTCCTGTGTGTCTGCTTCGCGAGCTTGAACATCATCCCACCTTTCGTCCCGAGTACCTGGGTATGGAACGTGGGCAAGTCAACAATGCCGAGTATAGACACCTAGTTGTCCCTTGTGCATTATGGTGTTTTTCTCAAGCATGGACATGCTTTGGGTACTTGAATGGACTCTTCATGGGAGCTCCGGGTGGGGTTATAGGAAGTCTGGGGGAAGGTGCGTATGTGCACACTGCGCAGTGTCACACAAGGAATGGCCTGATAGATGGGCCCACTGTGTGTATTCCTTTCCCCAGTCGCAGACTCTGATGTGCCTGTCTTCTAGTTTGTCGGAAAGCGCCGAGGACCTCGAACTCTGGGCATCAGCGGCGGCGCAGGTGGGAGAGGGCTGCCCATTGATCGACCTACCTGAGCCTGGGCTTAGCCCAGACAAGGCCTTCACCCGGACTGCTTAACCAACAGACACACGCAATGTGCTGTGGTCAAGATGAGACTACCTAGCATATCCTTGGTTACTCGGCCATAGGCAGTACTGCTAGTTGTTGGACCCGCCGAAGACAAAGGGCCTAGACACAAACTCGGCAAGATCACAAGGTGAGGATGCAGCAAACGCGATGGCGATGCGCTTCTGGACGCTTGGAGTGCCCTTTCTTGAGCCGGGCCGATATGGATTTGACTTGGCACCTATCCGGAACCATTAGGAAGACAACGCACTCATCCGACCTCAAGATCCCGCAACACGCCGATTCAAGCAGGGAGCGTGAGCCGACACACGCCTAGCATATCCGCACCCGGGCTGCATACAGGTCGCAACCCGGGCCCGGCTCGCCTCCAATCTATGTACCTATTTAAGTGCAAGGTGGGATCCCTGCTTCCGCTGCTCGAGTCCGTGGTTCGTTTCCGTCCTTGTTGTTTCTGAGCTCTTCCCCTTCTCTCCTTCATATTATGATCTCATTTTAATGGACCTAGTTTGAAGGACTGGAGGATGAGAGGAGCAGCATTCCTCAACCTATTGACTTTCTGTACTCGCTGGTGCAACCGTTCCTCGGGCGTCCTGTGCCGGGCTGTTAGTAGACGCCCTCATTCAATTTTGACAAATACGGAGGGACTCTGTCTGTTCAAACTGTCTGTTTCCTCCTCGCCACGCCCGACATCACACTCCCACGCTGTGGTGTCCGACTCAAACCTGGATTGACCTAGCCCCAAGGGCCATGGTCATGGATAATCGCGCGCCGGAGATGATTCCGAGCCACCCGTGGCCTCCTGCGACCTTCCAAATACCCCCACGACAGAGCCAGAGTGATTTCGACCATTCTCTTCCACCCCACGCTCCCACGATGGCACACCGAGCCCCCGGTATCCAAGGCCATACTGCGGCCGACCATGCGGCTGGGACACGGCGGCGGAGCCTTGCGGCAACCACAGTGTCGTCAACACCAACCGGCAGCTCGGCTGCAAGCCCCGAAGGCGAAGAACACTCCAATAGACTACACCCCGGCGGGAATGGGAGATCCTTCAGTCCGGGTCCCTCGACAAGAGCCACGCAAGCCTCTCTTTCGTCCCAAAAGCCGATCCGCCGCCGGATGCGCATGATAACATCGTGCCTCGAGTGCCGGCGGCGGAAGCTCAAGTGCGAGAAGAAGCATCCCTGCCACAACTGCAAGAGGTTCCAGAGGGAATGTGTGTATCTGGGGCCCAATCTCGACGAGGCGAGCCAGCAACGCCTGACCGAGATCAAGGAGAAGGTCGGGTCTCTGGAGAGACAGCTAGAGAGGGACGTGGCCAAAGGCGCTAGCACACGCCGGAGCGGTAGCCCGACGGACGGCGCCGACCCCTTCAACAGCCAGCGGTTTGTGGCCGACGACGTCGGAGATGGCCATGGCGAGCAGGGCGATTTGCAGATGACCCCGATGGTCCACTTGGATCTGACCTACGACGATTACTCGGATGGGAACGGCGCGGACGACCTCATTGACCTAGGGGTTCGCGTAGGGAAAATGAGGATCACGGAGCGTATTGGCGGGTTCAACCGGCCACGCATTTCAGAAGAGGTATGCCCCGATGTGGCACGTAATTCCACTTTTGTTTCTGTTCAGCATAGTCTCAGACCCAAGACCTTATGCTGGGCTTGGACAGCTAGTTTCGTAAACTAACTCCGTTCACCTGGTTAGATCCAAGCGGGCATCGCCGATACCCAGAATCAGCTGTACGCTTCGCATAACCCCTTTGGCGGACCCGACGAACCCCACGACGCGTTCGAACTCCCAGATTTCCTCAAGCCCGGAGATTCCTACCTTGCCCCGACCAGCGGGTTCTTCTTCGGCCAGTTTACCGAGTCCCCCTCTCTGATCACGCTGTTGCCTCCCGTCGAGTTGGGCCACCGGCTGATGCGGCATTACCTCGACGCTGTCCACCCCATCGTGCGTTGCGTCCACCGATTCTCGTTCGAGGCAACCTACGCTTTGTTCTGGGAGGAAGTGCGGCAAAACATTGAGCCCCGCCCCTCGGTACAAGCGATTGTGTTTGCGGCCTGGTTCAGCGCTGCGGTCAGCTTGGACGACGGGTTCTGCCAGACTCTTGATTGCAGCAAGCCCCGGCTGGTGCTGCAGATGAAGATTGGTACCGAAACTGCGCTCAGTAAAGCCCGGTTTCTGAGTACCACGCGGTTCGAAACGCTGCAGGCGTTTGTCATGTATTTGGTGAGTGAACATGGAAGCTAGCGGGGACCCGCGCCCTCTCAGAGGCTAACGAGAGAAAACACTACAAGCTTCCACTCTGTCGAGACGAAGTGTCTCGTGCCCATTCGGTCCTCGTGGGTGCCGCCGTACGTGTAGCTGAGTGCATGGGACTTCATCGTGATGGCTCGGCGTTCGGGCTCAGCACGCTGGAGACCCAAGTCCGGAGAATGGTCTGGCATCAACTGTGCTTCCTCGATGTCCGCACATGTGAAGCCCAAGGCCCAAAACCCGCCATACGCCGCGAGGACTACGATACCAAGATGCCGTTAAACTGTGAAGAGGACCGGTTGACACCCCAGTCGGCCGTCTGGCCGGCACCTGCTGAAAGTTGGACGTCCATGCTGTTGCCCATTATACGGTTTGAGATCAACGAGATGATGAGAAACATTTGGACGGACCGGCGCAAGTTGCTGATGCGAAAGACCACCCTCACCGCCATGATCACCCGGGTGGAAACGTTCCGGAAACGGATGCTGGAAAAGTACAATCGAATGCTGGACGATCAGGTGCCCATTCAGAAATACGCCAAGCTTGTTATGGAGCTCCTCATCTACCGGCTTCATGTCATGGTGCTGCACCCTTATCACTCCAACACAGCTGAGTCGTTACCGGAGAAGCTCAAGGGCTTGTTGGTCACCAGTGGCATCATGATTATAGAGATTGCCATCCGGCTGGAGTCCAACCCCATGTTCCGGTCCTGGGCTTGGTATCAGGGGGCCTATCAGCAGTATCACATTGCTCTGTTGCTGGCGACCGAGGTGTACTACCGGCCAAACGACCGCGCAGCCGAGCGGATATGGCCCTGTCTCGACTGGGTCTTCCAGCTGGATCCGAACACGCCTAGGGTGCAGAAGAGCCTCCAGATTCTGACCGAAATCATGAGCAAAACAAATGTCTACATGAATCTTCGGAGAGTCCGGGCCCCGACGACGCTCAGCATGGCGGTTCCCGGAAAACAAGCCGTCAAGGAGTCACCACCACCACCACCGCCCCCTACACCACCAGATAATATCCCACGTCCGGGCCCACAACAGCATATCCAACATGCACCACCGCCCTTTCAGCAGCCACCGGCACCGCTACCTCCAGGAGCGCCTTTCCATCCGGCATGCCCGGGCCCCATTCCCGGTCTCAAGACCGAGCACATGGCCTGCTCAACGCCTTTGGCCTCCACTGCTCCGTTAATCCCACACTCACAGTCCCTACCCGGGCCTGTACACAACACCTTTGCTCCTCCTATTCCACCCCTTCCCCCATCCTCTTTACCTCTAGGCATGATGGTATCTTCCCCCCAGGGCCAGCACCCCCATCAACAGCAACACCCCCAACACCAGCCACAGAACCTAGTATTCCCACCTCATCCCATGTTATTCACTCCCGGCGTGGCTCCAGGCGAAGGATTCTGGGGTCTTCCATCTCGCGGTAGTGGTCACGGCACACATGGACATACCAACAATCCACCCGGCAATCCCGGCCCCGGCCCCAACCCAGGTAGCCCCGAGAACAGCAGTGACGGAGGTAGTGTGGTTGGTCAGCCCCAACGGCACGGGAGTTTTGCTGGGCTGCCGTCGTCGTCGGCATCCTCCGGTGCTATTCCGGGAGCTGGGCCGGGAGTAGGGCCAGGGTTAGGGTCAGGGACAGGGCAGATGTTGGGTGTGGGTATGGGTGTGGGATTGGGGGGACAACAGGGGCAGGGACAGCAGGCAGGCATGATGAATGTGATGCAGGATTTGGACTGGGTACGTAGGATCTTTCTTTTTTTACCTCCTCTTTTTGTCTCAAATCTTCCCCCGTCATCATCATTATCATTCCCAAACGACATAGCATGGATGTGTGAGGCTAATTCTTTCTTGCGGTCTTTCTCTAGGACGCCTTGCATGAGCTGTTCCCTACGGATCCGCAGACAGGTCAATTCAGCTTTGACACATTTACTGAGGAAGGGATGGGGCCGGCTGGTGGGACGGCGTGGTGAGGGGGTTTGTAGGAGGCAGGACAGTCAGGGCTTTGCGTGTGTCTTGGGCAACTCGCTTTTACTCAGGGGTTGGTTCTTCTTTGGACGGGGAGGATAAGGGTGAAAGGCGGTCTGCGTGTATGTCTTGGATAGCCTTGTTTTTGTTTTTGTTTCAGCATCATCTTTATTCCATAATCTAGAGTGGAAGGAATGGAAGCGCTGGCCATGACTTCTAAAGACATGTTGAGATCGGAGGTAGACTCTGGCTCCATGCAGGGGCTAATAGTCTCACAGGGCTTGCTGGCTAGCCGACTGACTCCGATTAACTGAATGAATGGCTCAAGCATGAGACAAAGCTCAAGTTGAATCATAGCCTAGATTGGGTTGTGATTAACATTTCCATGTCATCTGTCCCTATGATGCAGCCTTGATGGACAAACTCACGGAACGGTCACTCAAGCTGCTGGGTCAAACAAGAATCTGCTTGGTGTTTTCCATTTTCTTTGCTTCTCTTACTCCCGCCTTTCTGTTTCTTCCGGTTACCTACCTGCCTGCTTGGATCAAATCACCCATTTATTTGCCATCCTTTATTTGATACCTCTACTCAGTATGTACTGTACCTAACTGAGTCTTGGTGGATTTCCAAGTAAGTCTCAATCTCAGTCCCCATACATCTCGCACACGTACATACAAAGGAGAGCACAATTTCGGCCGAGCCTAGCCCACTAGCCGCCGGTCGGATGTGGGATGGCTGATTACCTGTCTAAGTAGACAATGAGTGTGTGTGCAGTTCAATACAAGAGAGGTCTCCAAGGAGAAAAAACAGACCGTCAAGCCACGAAATCGATGAGTTGGGCTTTTTTTCTTTGTTTTCCTCCAGCCACGCACGCCACAACGTCAACGATAGGAGAGGTGTTAGGTGGAGAGAAAGAGAAAAACGGGTTTGCCTGTGCCTGTCTCTGCCTGTGCCTTTGTCCGCGCCCGCGCCCCTGCCCGTATATTCGATCACACTCATAATTCTGATCTTGGGTTCAGAATATCGGGCGCCTGGGGTCGGTTGTTCCGAGCGGCTGCTGTTGTTTGTGGAAGTTCTGGTCAACAGTTTCTTGTTGTTTCTTTGTCATTTTGAAAGGGGGGGGGGGCCTTAGTTGGTTTGGTTTGTTTAGTTCGGACTCCATACCTGCTTAGATCGGTTCGGATCGCTTGGTTGCTGGAACTGCAGTACTGCAGGCCTGCTTTCATTTCCAGTTTGTCTTCTTGAACTGTGTGGATCCCTGAACCCTTGATTTTGCGTGGACTGGCAGAGTGCGTGGCCTGTGGTCTTGTTCCTTTGTCCGTCTCCCGTTGAGTTCTGGGGAACTAATGGATGCTTGAGCTTGTTTGTTGAGAGTTGACGGATAGCGGCATGACTGACAGCTTCATGTGGCTTGCAAGCGAAAGCATCCTGATGGTGGGGGGAAGGGGAGGGGTCCGGAAGGTGTTGGTGTTTGACACCATCGCGTAATGCGTGGGAAAGCAGGAAGCTTGAACTGTAAGTGTATATATGGACGGTGGGATGCCATGTGTCAGGGGGTCACCACCTTCATCTTCACCCACCACACGCTCTCATCCCATCCACGATTTCATTTCGCACAATTTCATTTCGCTCAGTCGCGCAGATACGATGGCAAAAAATACCACACACTACAAGGTATACCTCGCAGAATACAGTGGCTTCCCGGCTAACCACCGGGCGCTGTATATTGACAGCAACGCCGATGAGGGGGGAGGTCAGCTATTCCACGTAGTTGGCAGTTTGCAGAGAGGAATGAAATTTGAAACGAAGGCAGCGGTTTTCCCATTTAACTCACCTGGGGCAGAAAGCATACAGCACATTGGCTGGGTCTTCAAGGGTGACAAGACCGCGGAGGACTGTTTCCGACGCGTCGAGGCAGTCTGCTTGACTATTCCCCCACCCAAAAAACAATTCAACCTAATGAAACGACTCTATCCGGACGAGCCGATAAGGCATTGCCATCATTGGATCCAAGAGGCCAAGGAAGCCTTGTTCAATGCTGGGGTCCTGGAGCCGCTCAATCCCGAAGACGATGGGGGGTTGATTTCGCGGGAGACCACGGAGTGCGGGGTGCCTGTTGCCTCGCGATGCCGGAGATTCTTGACCGAGGTTCGTCCGTCCATTTCTTTCTTTTCCTTTCCCCCTTTTTTTCTTCTCGGATCAACCACTATAGAGGTCATTATACATTATTATTGCTGACCACCAAGCCGGAATTGCACAGCGTTAGGCTGCCTTTCTCGCCAAGAGACACATGCTCTTACCAGGATCGGATCAGTAAAAATCAGCTGGCTGAGCAAGGATGGAATCGGGGGTTGGGGTTTGGGGGGGGGTGGATAGTCGTGATTCAGGGGCTGTTGGCTTGGCATTTTGGAGGATATGAATAAGGGTTGATAGATTTGGAAAACTTCAGTTGCTTTTCAGAATCTTTAGAGCTTGTGTAATTGTGTTGAGCGGGTGTTCCCATCTTAGTCCCCAGCCTCCGCCCCTATTTCTCCGACATCCACCAGAACTCAACCCCCACAATTTCCTCCTCTCTATTCTGTGTTCCATCTGTACATGTTTGTCGTGAAAGTTACAACGGGTCGGTCACCATTTTGACTGCAGGATCACACAAAAAAGTCACCCGAAAACAAGATCCTATTGTAAAAAGTTAATACTGACAGACCCCCAAGGACACAAACTCAGGACATGTCTTGGACGCACACCCGATAGGACATGATCCAGCCAGACTCGGGGATAAACTCGTCGAGAATCCGGGGCAGCCACACAAGCCAGTCGTCATCGTATCCATGTAGCATCATAGAGAGACCGAACTCCCAGCAGGAAGGGTACCAGCCAGCCTACTGCCAGTCGATGATGACGGCGCCCTTGCCATCCTCGCGCAGGATGATATTGCCTGGGGAGAAATCGCCGTGGTTAAAGACGGGAGGGTGGCCGGAAAAGACGCGACGGTAGTGTTGCCGTAGAATCGCCAGCCGGCGCTCGTTCCAGTTGTCGGGGAGGTTTTTGACACTGGCCCGGACACAACTGGCCATGGTATCGGCCCATTCCTGCTCAGTGGCCATGGGTTTGACGAGATTCGGCTCGGGATGTTGGATGACTGCTTCCGGCCAGACGATCTCATTGAACAAACTGTTGCATGTTTGGTTAGACCTCCTTCGGCTCAAATTGTCGCTGCACATTTATATCCGAAAAAAACAAAACAAAAGAAAACATAAAAGGAAAACGAAAAGAAAAGGAGAGAATGCGTGAGGATATTACACACGGGTCTCGGTTTTGCTGCCGCCAGATACCACCATAATAGCCCGGCGAAGGAAGGTTACGGACTTCATCCATATCACGCCGGAGCTGCGAGGCAATGGCCTGCTTCTCCTTGGAGGCAAGTTTCCCCCACGCCGAGTGTAGCAACCGGCCACGGATGTACTCCTAAATGGTGAAGTTGAAACCCGTATTTTCGTCGTGGAAGATGGCATAGACCGCGGGGATGGGCACGTTGGTGTAGCGCTCGATAAACAGCATGTTTTCGCCCTCCTGGAGCGTGACGTCCCGCCCGTACTTGACCGCATAGCACCCCTTGAGCACGGGTATTTTCCGCGTCTCGTACCTCATTTTCGGCCCCGCAAACTCGGTCGCGGCCAAGATCTCCTCTACCGTGGGGAGCGGCGCGGGGAGTGTATTGGCCGGAGCATAGTAGGGGAGCTCGGAGCGTTTGAACGTCGAGGCCATGGTGGCGAATTTGGCTGGTCGTAGTAATTCCGTTCAGGCTCTGAGTCGATTGGTGGCTTGGGTGCGAAAGGAAGGATGAATGGATGTTTGGAAGACTTGGGTGATGAGAGAGAAGGGTTGGCTCATGGTTGAGCTCTTATACCAACCAGCAAGCGGCAGACTAGCCCTGATTAGCAACCGGCACAGCCACTCCCTAGGAGCCTCTATCGCGGTGCTATGGTGAGTACCTATCCTGCGGGAAAGGCTGCTCCCAGAACATCTTGTCAACGCTAGCCTTATCCGGATCTGGAAATCGGGCTCTCCATCCGGACATGAGGCGTGAGCGAAGAATGTTGTTTTTTCTTGTCTTCCTTGAGCTAGGGTACAATTAGTACGACGCCAATTACGGAACGGAACGAATGGTAGGAGAAAGAGAAAATAAATTAGGGAGGTGAGAATGTGAGTCAAGGGAGCAAGGGAGCAAGGAAATCAATAGCAACATACATCAGAAACAAAGCCGCTAAAACTGGATCTTGACGAGACTGGTTGGTGACAAAGGAGCAGGGACGCCCGACACAGCTTCGAGGCAAGCATTAAGTTTGTGCCCGATGGCCTCCGAGTCCGGGTCCTGCTGCGCGAGTACAAGACTCGTAGTCCGTCGAGCAAACATAAGCAAACATAACATGATGTATACACACGCCGCTGCGCAGAAATCCAACTCCCTTCACAACGTCACGCCACTCTCCCACCAATACCGCCCACGATACCACCCAAGCCCATACGCCTCACTGCCCCAACGCCACCACTTCCCGTCGTCGCCAGTCCCGCCAAGTCCCATCATACGCAGCGGCGAGACGGGCACGGGCTCATACATCCAGACACCGGCGCGGCTCATGTCGTCGACTATACCTGCGCCCGTGAGGTGTAGCCACGCGAGAGTGAAGAGCAGATTTGCCGCGCGCCGTAGCATCGTTGTCGTTACGCTGGGGGGTAGTCGGCGAATGTGGCTGTCGGTGGTGTCGGTGGTGGTGATGCTGTTGAGGATACGTTGACTAGCTTGTTGTAGGCACTGCTGGAGAGCGATGCCGAGGGGCTGGGAGGCGAAAAAGGCGAATGGAGCCCAGGCTACTGTAGTTGAGGGGATGGATGTCTTTCCGCCGGTGGCGTGGAGGATGCCGCTGAGCGAGAAGGCGAAGACCATCTCTAGCACCCGGGCCGCAACGTCTTGATTTGTTTTTTCCCTTCTCCATTTCTCTTGCCCTACGTTCTTCCCCTCTACCCCAACGTTTTCTCCTCCGTTCTGCTCATCATTATATTCTTCTGCGTCTTCCGTTTCCCCTTTCTCTTTCTTCACCCCTAGACCCCACTGCAATACCAACGATAACGGCAAAGGCAACCACATTTGCAACTGCGACGGCTGTATGACAGTCAACAACCACCTAGCGGGCGCCACAAACCCCACGCGGAACGTCTGGTGCCAATAGCCACCCCAGAAGCCCGCCAGCCCGCGATCGAGCACGGTCGGCACAAACCCGCCGAACAGCGCCGGGTGCTGCCAGAGTTCGGCACACAGTGGAGGAGGTGGCGTGGAGGATGACGGTCGTCTGAAAACAATATTACCGTAATAATGACCGAGAGAGTACAATCGTCCGGTTCCAACCACTATCAACTGCAGTGCGGCCCCGTGCAACTGGATGCCGGCTAGAATTCCGGCCATCCCGCAGAGGTTGCGCACCAAGAGCACCGTGAGGTTGGGCAGCGGTAGCACCTTGGAGTAGAGCGCGGGCAGCTGTAGCGGGTAAGGGTATCGAGTGTGCTGAGAGTGAGAGCCCTGAGGAGGGTACGTGTAAGGATGCAGGTAGTTGGGCCCCAAGATGAAGTACGGGTCCCAGCGCATCGTGACGGCCAGCAAGTCGATGGTGAGGTAGGAGAGCACAAAAGCACACAGTCGGGTGCGGAAGAAGGCCGCATAAGTGAGCGATCGTGTGGTGCCGGTGCGGGAGACCATGTACGGAATGAGGTCCATGCGGACGAGTTCATCGTCGCTTCCGTCGTCCCGGCCTCGCAGCAGCGGGAGCGAAGGGGATGGTGGGTGTGGGATGGCTGAGATGGCAAAGTTCCAACCTGCACCGCGCCATGAGACGAGCAGGTCGGCCGTCCAAAGGAGACGGGCGGCAAAGGACGCGTGGGCTGGGAACGGCTGCCAAAAGTACTCGTAGTCAGGGAGCGCGAGGGCAACGCTCTCGTCTGGGGCCGTAGGCGTAAAGGCTGGCCGGCCCTTACACGAGTTGTCACTCTCGTCCTCGCCCGTGTCCTCACTCCCAAGCTCCCTCTGCTCCTTGCTCATGCCCGCTTTCCCCTGCACACCACCATCCCGAGTAGGCAAACCAGCCGAACCCTTCCTCCTCAACCGCCTCTGCACTCTCGCAGCATCCCACTGCGGCCTCGTAAACACCAGCAGACGCAACGCCCATAGCGTGCCCCACACCGCCAGCAGCCCAACCGTATACGCCACGGCCTCGTTCGCAGCCGACGTCGTGCGCACAAGACGGACGTTCAACCAGACCACGGCCGCGGCAACGGCCCAGCGCAGACGGTACAGCCATGGCCGGGTCGTGTGCGGGATGCTGAGGTAGAGCAGCGGCAGGAAGAAGCTGCCGACAACGGACCAGGGCAGGACGAGCGGTTGGACGTGGCCAGCCGCGAGGGCGGCTTGGTACGCCGCTTGGTACTGCTGTTGGTGGTAGGCGCCGAGATTGAAGCCTTCGTGGCTAGCAGCAGGTCCGGGGATGGCCATCCGGTGGCTTGGCGGATTGTCTTGAAATGAAAACTTTTCTTTAAAAAGATAAGTGAAAAATAAAATAAATAAATGAATTAATGACAGTTGGGTAGGTAATTAATCTGAAGACAAAACACCTAGCTCAGGGCTTGGCGGTGTGCGTTATTCCAGGTTATGTTGGCTTTCGCGTGCTCCAATGGACCGGCCGTGAACAATTGAGAGATTGGTGACTTTTTGGCGCTTAATTGAACATTTGATTAGTTCTCTGCGGTGAAGCAAAGAGATGAAAAAGGAAACAAAACAGTAAAAAGCATAAAAAGAAAAAAATAGGTATATACACAAATACAAAGCGGCTACCTAGCCCCAGGCAGCAAATAAACATCCGCTAACAGCGCCACTCACTTCTTGTTAGGTCTGACGTCTCACATCACTCAAGCCACAACTCAAGGAAAGCGCAGCGGGAGAATACAGAAGATAGTGCATAACTGTTGATTTTCAACATGTCCTCAACAAGACCAAAAGTTCCCCGTTTCTTTTCGTCCCAAGTTTCGACGACGGTCAAAAGTACAAAGTCCCAAAATGTGGGGTATTGCAAAAGAAAGACAGCGATAGATATCGCCACCAGCAGTTCACCTAATGCAATGAACACCAAAACGCAAAAGGGTCCAAATCGCTTGACTCGGGGAAGGGAACTTTCACTTTTCCATCGAGTGGATCATGCCTTCCCTTTTCTGCCGGACTGCATACTTAGTTAACTAAGGTGGCACTTACCCTACCGACTCTCCGGTACAACCGCATCCCCCACTCTTATAGTCGGGAACTGCGTTTCCCTCGTCATACTGGCCCCGTCCCCTCCCGGTGTTGAATTATAGCACATGTGCACGCCAAAGAATACCTTCCCATCAAACCGCCTCGTCTTGGACAGCGTCACAAAAGGCTCCTCGCTCTTGTGCGCCGTCTCTTGGTCGATGCATACCATGTGACATCGCCTACATGCGCCTAGAAGGTCGAAGACATGCTGCTGCTGCTGCTGCTGCTGCTGCTGCTGATGATGATATGGGCCGATTCGAAGGCGAAACCAAGAATCTTCTGAATACGGCGCTAGGTAAACGTCGGGTGTGGAAGGGGCAAGGGCAATGTTAGCCCGGAAGACGTCGGGCGAGACGTCCTTGACGTCTTTGTTACCCGGTCTGGATAGGCGTATTTGCTGGTTGAGGGCTTCCACACTGGGTAAAGTGATGGCGAGAATTGGGCTTTCGTTGGACAGAAGGATGCGGCGCGATCCCGCCTTTTCTGTGTCTGTGTCGGGCGGGGAAGGCGGGAAAGCGCCTGGCAACATGGGTGCGTCGGTTTTCGAGGGTGAGATCTGGTGTTTTTGGAGGTGTGCTTTCGCGTGCCGCATGCTTTTCCCCTGTCCACCTGCGGGGAACCGAGCGAGAAAACACGGCACCCCGATTATGTCGGAGAAAAAGCTTGTGATGTTGTCTGCCGAGTACGTCTGAGCTTGGATTTCCTCCCCGCACACCCGGGAGTGCCTCGCAGGGCCGGACGAGGGACGGAAGAACAAAGGATTCTTCGATAGCGGTATGCTGATTTCCCGAGTGAGCTGGGGCTCCGACTCCGACGCCCCAACATAGCTGACCCGCAGCTGGCCATGCTCAAAGTCAAGAGAAGGGCGCAGGAGAGCCATCCGAGGATAGCGTTTTTGGCTCAATGCTTGGCCGGTACCCTGGTGTACCAAACACCATTCCCTATCCCATGCTAAACCTTCGGGCCGCACCTCCCAGTCGACGCCCGCGGGGACGTTAAATCTGCCGCAGCTCTTGATAGGGTAGATAGAGATGCTGTGGACACGGAGCCGTGGCGCTGCGCCATGTGGTTGAGGCGGCGGCGTGAGCTCCTGGCTGTTCGTGGTCGAAGTGGGCAGCGAGCCATCACGGTAGAACTCGACAACAAAAGCTACAAAGTTGTCCACGTCAGAGATGGTGCTCATCGCACCGAGACTGGCTCGGATGACACCAGTAGGCTTCCCAGCCAGAATGTCGTTGTCCGTCCCACACCGGAAACCAGCGCTGAAGTTTTGCCTCATTTCCCACGGTTGAAGCCCAAGCGTCGAGGCAATGCCGCCTGGGTTACAAACACCACCGGTTCGGATATGAAACTTCTTTAGCAAAGCCAGCTTTTCCACTTCGGCAAGACTTATCCAAGCCCCCTGGCTGTTGCGTATGTTGAAGGCAACCACAGGGCCGCTACCGAGTTTGTGGGCCGCTAACCTCGCATCCGGGGAGTACACCACGCAAACCGGCTCATCGTTCCCATGCCTCAACGATTCAAGCCCACGACGGAGTCGTTTCGACAAAAAGGATGTGTGGGCTGCAACGTCTCGCATCGACCCAAACAACCGCTTGTGGACGTCCAGTGCGGCGTCTAAAGCAATGATGCTATGTATGGGTAACGTGCCGTCTTCCAGGCGCTCGTGTAAGGACTGGGCCTTGGGTGCGTGCCACTGCTCTTTTAAGCACACCACCATATCTACCGTACCGCCCCCAAAGTACCGTCTGTACTGGAACGCCTCTTCAGCTTCCCGCCTTACGATCAACGCACCAAGATCCGGAAACCCGAAAATCTTGTAGAAGCTGAGGACGGCGAAATCCGGAGCCGCATCGACATCGCCAAAGTCGAGAGGCGAGGAGCAAGCCAACGCGGCCGCGTCCAGCAGCGTGTACGTCTTCCCCGTTCGCCCTCTCCGTCCGCGAACGTCGTTGGCCCATGTCAACGGATATCGTTTTCCATCCATGTTCGACTGCGCTGGGTACGCAAACAAGAGCGGGCGGTCTCCCCCATCATCGTCGTTCCCGAGTGACGGGGCCTTCCCACCTTCCTGCGCCCATTCCTCAACCTGCTGGTCCTCGGCACAGAGGCTATTTCGAGCCTCTTCCCGAGCTCCAACCAGGGACGTGTGGCTGGCTTGGTGGTAGACGTAGTCGAATCCATCCGGTGCCGACCTCAGGGAGTCCACCACCAACTTAATCCCGGCCGTTGCGTTGGCCACAAACACGAGGTCGAAGTCGGCGGGATCGGCATTGAAGAACCGCAACACACGTAGTCGGATGTCCTCCATTCGCGCAGTGGACCGCTGTGATGACGCCGAGGCCGAGTGCGGATTCCCGAATAAGTTCGAAGTCATCTCCTGGGCGAAGCGGTCCATCAGAGATTTGGCGTAGAGCGTAGTACCGGCATGGTCGAGGTAGATTGAGCCTAGAGCAGGATTAGCAGAGAATCACAAAATAACGCAGCAAATAAGACCTAGATGTTAAGGTGTAAGTGGTGTTGGGATAGTGAGACGCGTACCATTTAGCATCGGGTACTCCTTGTCCCGGAAGCCTTCGACGCGGGCATTGTAGCCATCATAGCCATCATAGCCATCACAGTTATTGGCCAAGTCGCCATCATCGCCCTCCCTAGCTGACATTACGGTTGATGTTGATTGTGGATACCGCCGCCGTCGTTGTCACCGTCGTCGTCACCGCCGCTTACTTGCTGACTTATCGTCGTGCACATGCCTCGATGGACAGAACAATCTCAGCCCATGACATTAACAATCGTAACGCGGCGAGCTGCATGTCCCTGGGAATGAGAGTCCCCGAAAACTGTGTGAAATGTGTGTTATTATAGCTACACAATGGAGAGACGATCTCATCGCCTCCTGTGGTCGGGCAGCGCCGTAGCTTGTCGTTGACCCACACCGAACACAACTTCGGGTCTTGGGGCAAACGGAGTTCGCCTCTTTCCACCGCGGGGTTGGTGGGGTTGTGGACTCGGGGTCAGGGTGGTTCCCATCACGTGCTTCCCGAAGAGATGCGTGAAGCGCGTCGCGTCTGCACTAGCCACAAGCGCCACGGGTATCAGCCACAGTTATTAAAGTGCAACGCGCTCAATCGCGTCTAGGACCCACTTCGACGCGGTCGCGTTTCGCAAATGTGAGTGCGCGCTAACTCGCATATGTACATCTACCGGAGCTTTCCTTCCTCATCAACCACCACACACTCTACTTTCCTCAACCTGAAGTTCAGTCCTGCACCTCAGCATCACCACTCGCACCTGCCATACCACAGTAATTCCCTAATAATAGCCATGACGACCCTCGGGAAGAGAACCAGGAGCTCCGTGCAGGACGGTAAGCCCCCTACACTCTCGCTTCCCTCCATTTTGCGTGACACAATGAAAGGAACCGACGACTGACTCCAGCTGCAGAGCCCACGTTGAGTCTCGACTTCTCCTCTAAGCGTCCCAGGCGTGCCACTAGGACGGTCAGCAAACAAGAGCCTATCACCATCCATGACGACGAAAACCAGGAGAACGAAGTGCCAGAACGCGCTTCTCGCGAGGATACCGAACAGACCCCTACAAAGTGTAATTCTCGACGCACTTCGATTGCGAGCACCGTCAGGAGTTGTATGCACCTCTTTTCTTTCTAATATTGCTAGCCACTACGAGTTCTAACCCCTAGCTAGCCAAAGTCGCGCCGGTAACACCCTCGACACCACGCCATTACGATGTCTTCGCCCGCGGCACAACCACTCCCCGCCACCGGGTCATGTCGGTCGGCAAACTCTCGAAGCGCATGACCCCTCAGACACCATCCACCCCAACTGCCGTTCAGACCGTCTACCATCAAGCGAGGCAATTGTTTTCCCGCAGCGCAGATCCTGGGCAGCTGATCGGACGCGACGACGAGCGCGCCCAAATCCACAAGTTCCTCGAGCGCTGCACCACATCCCGCCCCAGCGGATGCCTCTACGTTAGCGGGCCCCCCGGGACGGGGAAGAGCGCCATGGTCAACAGGATTACGGAGGAAGCCACATCGAAGTCGAAAACCGTCCGGAGGGCCTACATCAATTGCATGAGCATCAAGACGTCTAAGGATCTTTACATCACGTTGTTGGGGCAATTGAACGGGGATGATGAGGTGTTCGAGGAGGACGCTGCTGAAAAGGCGCTTGAAAACCTCTTCTCACGGAAAACAGCGACCGATGTATTCGTTGTGGTGCTAGACGAGATTGACCACATTCTGACCTTGGACCCGGAGAGCCTCTACCGCGTCTTTGAATGGTCACTGCAACCAACGTCACGTCTGGCCATGGTGGGCATCGCCAATGCGCTGGACCTCACCGACCGCTTCCTTCCTCGTCTCAAGTCGCGGAATCTCAAACCGGAACTCCTCCCCTTCTTACCTTACACCGCGCCTCAGGTGAAGCGTATCATTACGGAGCGACTTAAGACCCTGGCCCCCGAGGGTTCGGCGCCTGATTTCATTCCCTTCTTCCACCCGGCCGCCATTGAGCTCTGCTCGCGCAAGGTTTCAAGCCAAACCGGGGATCTGCGTCGCGCCTTTGAGGTCTGCCGGCGGGCCCTCGATCTCGTCGAGTCTGAGACCCGCATGAAGCACGAGAACGAAATTAAAGACAACGTCCTCTTGCAAACCCCCTCGCGCAGGATCCTTGGCGAGAACCGCAACCTGGCCTCTCCTGCTCGGCCCTCGAGCCCACAGCAGCTTCAACATTCCCTACAGAAACTGACCGCGGCCACCGCCCCGCGTGTCAGTATCGCCCACCTTAACAAAGTCACCGCCGCTGCCTTCAGCAACGGCACTACGCAGAGACTCAAGACCCTCAACTTGCAGCAAAAAGCCGCTCTGTGCTCGCTCATGGCCATCGAGAAGCGCAATCGTGCCGCCCAAGCTGCCCAGTCTGCCGCGGCGTCCATGCCGAGCACCCCATCCTCCTCTAGGTCGCGCACTGGGGCAGCACCCACCATCAAAACACTCTACGAATCATACTGCGCCCTCTGCACTCAGGACTCCCTCCTCCACCCCCTCTCGTCGTCCGAGTTCCGCGAGGTTATTGGCAGCTTGGAGACTTTGTCGCTGATCGCCCCCGTCGACGGCAAGACCGGTTCATTTGTCGCGCTGCCCGGCACGCCTACCCCGAGCAAGCGGGGGAGGAAGAAGAAGGATGTGTTTGCGTTTGGCGGCAGCGGAGGCAGCGCCCTAGTCGCGGACGAGAAGAGAGTTGCAAGCTGTGTTGGAGAGAAGGAGATGGAAGGGGCCGTGGACGGTCTAGGAGCGGGTATCCTGAGGGGCATTTTGAGTGGAGAGGCGCTGGATTAGCCTGTTTTTGCCCCTTTTCTTTTGAGCTTTCTGTATGCGTGGCGTTCAGTGGCCTGAGCTTGCTGTTTTTGCGAGGAGGATATTATTTGATATGGCTTTGATACGGCGTTGCATGGTATGGCGTTGCATTGTAGGAACATGGATAGCACAGCCCGGCGTGGCATTGGTACGGAGTTTGGCGTTGTTGCTATACAGAATTATACATGACAGAGTCCGGAAAACAAAATGGGAACCCATCTTTAATACACTGTTGTCACAACTGCTCGTTTGATGTTCTTTGTGCAGAGTGAACCATTAATACCTGTCCGATTATCAATACCATCGTTGTAAAGACAAATGAACCAGCTTGTAGCAGAGTTGGTAGGTTCGGCAAGTCACGCCGGGTTCACTCATCTTGTTTGGATCCTTTGAACAGCTTCATCAATTTTCATCCATCATATTTACCATTTCGATATAAAAATGATATAAAATGTGGGTTGGTGCTAGTAGACAGGTAGTAACTCAGATGCCTAGGACATCGCAGCGCTCAGGTGGGGTTAAGCAAGCGCTAAACTCGTTATCATAATCATCTTTTATCACCCGCCACAGCCATTCTCATCGGTAGCCCACATCCTTCTCTGCCTCCAGTCCATCTATCTAGCTATGTGTCGGCATCGCCACATCCGCCTTCTTAGAGATCGCGTCCTCCCCACTCCACATAGCCGTGACCGTCTTCAGCTGGGTATAAAAGTTCACACCCGGCTTGCCATAAAAGGTACTCGCGCCGCCACCAGCAATGCTCTTCTTGTTACCCGTGAAACTGAACATAGGCAGGGGCACAGGGATAGGCACGTTGATGCCCACCTGGCCGGCCTCGATACGACGACGGAAAGTCTCGGCCGTGGGGCCTGAGCGGGTGAAGATGGCGACGCCGTTGCCGTACTCGTTGGCGTTGATCAAGTCGATGGCTTCGTCGAGGGTGTCGGCGTTGAGGCAGACGAGGACGGGGCCGAAGATCTCTTCGCGGTAGCATTTCATTTGGGGGGTGACGTTGGAGATGATGGTGGGCGCGATCCAGTTGCCGTTCGGATACTTGGGCGGGATGTAGCCGCGGCCGTCGAGGAGGATGGTGGCGCCTTCGGATTCGGCGGAGGCGATGAGGGATTCGATGCGGGCTTTGCTTTGCGGGGTGATGACGGGGCCTAGGTCGGCGCCGTCTTCGAAGCCGCCGTTGACGGAGAGGCCCTTGGCGCGCTCGGCGAGTTCGGGGAGCCAGTCTTTGGTTTCGCCGACCATGACGAGGGTGGAGAGGGCCATGCAGCGTTGGCCGGCTGCGCCGAAGGCGGCGCCTACGACGGCGTTGAGGAACTGGTTCTTATTGCAGTCTGGGAGGACGGCCGCGTGGTTCTTGGCCCCCAGATTGGCCTGCACCCGCTTGCCGTTGGCTGAGCCGCGCGAGAAGATGTACTCGCCGGCCTTGTTACCGCCGACAAAGCTGACTGCCTTGATGGCCGGGTCGTCGAGGATGAAGTTGACGGTGCGGTGCGCACCATGCACGACGTTGACGACGCCGTCGGGGAAACCGGCCTTTTGGCAGAGTTCCGCTAGGATCATGGCCGCACCTGGGTCACGCTCTGACGGCTTCAGGATGAGGGTGTTCCCGGTCACTGTGGCGATGGGGATACACCAGAGCGGAATCATGGCGGGGAAGTCTTGTTAAAAAGAAGTTGTTAGCATGGTTGCGTTGTAATCGAGGTCGTGATAAGGGCGATCCTGTCCACTCCGGTTCCCAGAATAAAGAGAAACTCAAGAAAAAAAGGATAAAAAAGAAACCTACTAAAGGGGCAAATCGCAGCTACAACTCCCAACGGCTCCCTATACGTCCGCGTTTCCATATCCTTCGCAACCTCCAACAACTCGCCCTTCAACAACTCCGGCGCACCACACGCGGCCTCAGCAACCTGCAACCCCCGCAACACATCCCCCTTCGCATCCGCAAACGTCTTCCCCTGCTCCAGCGTGATGCTCGCCGCCAGCCGGTCCCAGTTCTCACGGATCAGCGCAACAAACTTGAACATGATTTGCTGGCGATGCAGGACGCTGGTGGCGCGCCATGACTCAAAGGCTTTCTGCGCCGAGGCCACGGCCGCCTGGAGCTCGGCGTCGGTGTTCTGCGGTACCCGCGTCACTAGGTTGTTGGTGGCCGGGTCGTGCAGGTCGATGAACTCGGTCGTGGATGACGAGACGAACTTGTTGTCGAGGAAGTAGGGGGTGTTTTGCACGTTGGCGATCTTGTCGTGGGTCGTGGGGAAGTTGGTCGTCGTGCTGGGCAGTTCGGCGGCCGCTGCTGCTGCTGCTGGACGCAGATGCTGGGCCGTGGCGTGTAACCTTCTCACCGCCGAGGCCGGGGCCGGCTTTGGTGACGATGATGATGAGGGGGCCATCCTGGAGGAAGCAACAAGAAGGGCGGATCGGGGTGTGCTATAGGAGCAGTGGTGGGCAAGACGACCTCCAGCTCTTGTTGCGAGACGACGCATGGCTGTGGGTTTTGGATGAGGATGAGGGGTGAGTAAGGTTGTGGTTCCTTTTCAAAGTGGTCGCCGAGGTTACGAGGGAGGTCGGAGAATGGGTAACTAGGGGATTGATTGGGTCGTTGCGGACAAGGTTGTCTTGAATCGAACACGGCCTGGCCCTTCTTGGGGGTTTGACGGACGGCCCGGGTCTTTTAGTGACTACCGAATTGGCTTGAAATTCAAGGGGGTTGTGGTCGGAGTGACAATGTAAAAAACAAGGGCGAGTCTCTGAGCCGCTGCGGTATCCTCCCCCCTTTAACTATCGGACCTGCGGACGTCACTGTTGTCGGCAAAGCGTCGGGTACATACCCGGATCCAGTCCACAAGTTCCACATGCCCACTCCAGAAACCGGGGACCGTGGGGAAGAAAAGAGGGCGGCGAAGTCGGGCAAAGCGGAGAGCCGGCGTGCGGCCCAACGGGCGAGCTTGTTCGCAGTGGATGCTTCTCACCTCCAGCTTTCTCCGCAGTCTCAAATGCGAGTTCCCCCAAAGCCGTGTCCTGCCGACCACCAATTGAAGGGGCTCAATTCGGTAACTGGAACTGGGGTTGGAAAGCTTGGTGGAGCCAAAAGGGCCAGAGCGTGCGGGGACAAGGCCAGATCCGCCGGGAGACTGCGGCTTCGGCGTTGCACTAAGGCCGGGAGGTATCACGGGGCCACGCCGAACGTGGCCTCGGCTTGAGGCGGTCTTGTAAGAGAATGAGCCGTCAGTCAGAATTCAGTCAAAATTCAGTCGAAATTCAGTCAAAATCAGGCCAAGGTCGTTGGTCAAAAACAAGTCAACAAAATCAGGGTTCACGAGGTAACCGGTAGGCAACCCGACTATCTCTCTCCGTCCAATACGATACATGCCTGTGCATTTTGGTACCTAGAATTACAGATGCGCCGTTGGACTCCGCAGACCAAAGAAAGAAGTAGAAGAATAAAGCAAAGCTATCCCTATCCGTCTCGCAACCGGCATCAACCAGCAACCAGTCACCAGTGACCCCACGTACCAGTGGATGGCCCTAGGGTCGTGGCACGCGCCCAGCTACTTGACACACCCATCATAGATCCTCCCACCCGTACGTCCCCAACCCAATGGCTTGCTTACGACTGGCTCCGGGTGGTGCGCTTGGTAGCCTCCTTGGCGGTATCCGCGCCTGTAGTAGCAGCCGAAGCAGCCTTGTCCTTGGCGTCCTTCGCCTTCTCCTTGACATCGCCGGCAACCTTCTTAGCCGCCGGGGCGGCAGAGGAGCCAAGACCGAGGAGACCAAAGAGGAGGGCAACGAAGGTAACGAAGACAGCGGCAAGGCCACCAGCAACCTCAGGCACAAACTTGATCGCCTCAAGAGGGTCCTGCTTGGCGATGGTCAGGAAGAGGTCGAGCTTCTCCTGGATGTACGTCTTGGGGTCGTCGAGGAAGTTGAGGTCGCTGGGCGACTTGGGCTTCTCGGCTTCCTTGGGCTTGTCCGCCTCCTCGAGGGCCTTCTCAACGGGGTGCTTCTTGAAGAAGGTCTCGTCTGCGAGCGCCTTGGCGTCCTCAGCCGAGTGACCGATGTAGATGTTGTCGAAAAGAATGTCGTTCTGCATGGTCCAGATCTCAAAGCCAAGCTACCAAAATTGTTAGTAAAAACGTTATTTTTTTCAGCCGGGGTGGGTACGAGAGAAGGGAGAACATACAGCGCCGATAGGCTCAAAGTTGGCCGGGGTCTTGTCCTCGAAGTAGTCGGGGTTCTTGATCTGGCGTGGCGCCCACACACCCTTGTAGGCCGGGTTGTCAATGTACGGCGCCGACCACTTGCCCTTGTAATCAGGGTTCTTCTTCAACGGCTGAGTCCACTCGCCGCAGCCAGACACCTCAGCACACTTGGGGTTGGCGACAGTGGGAGGCACCCAGTCGCCATCCTCCTCATCATCCCAATCCTCGGGCTTCGCGGCCTCCGGGTCGGGGATAATCTTGGGCTCGTCAACCAGCCAGTCCTCGGGCTGGGTGGCCTCCTCGTCAACGATCTCGTACGGGGCATCCTCGTCCCAGTCCTCCGGCTTGGTAGCCTCCGGGTCAGGGATCCGGGCCTCGTCAACCCAGTCCTCTGGCTTCGTGTCCTTGGGGTCGTCAATCTCCTGGGGAGGGTTGACGGAGGGGCTGAAGTCCTCGAGGAGGCTGCCCTCCTTGACTTGCTCGCCGTTCTGCTGGATGACGAAGGTGTTGTCAGGGTTGACGATGAGCGTGTACAGCTCGGTCGTCTTCACAATCTTGGCGGTCGGGGGAGAGGTCAAGTGCTTCTCCTCGTACTCGCCCGTCTTGGGGTTCTTGTGGTTGAAGATGAAGTGGACCTTGTTGGTGTGGCCGCACTTGTCGGGGCCGAACATGATGACGTAGGGGGTCGTGTTCGAGAACTCGTCCTGGTGCAGGGCCTTGGTGTCCCGCAGCAGCTTCATGTAGGCACCACCGCACTCGAGACCATCTGCAGGCGGTCGCGTTAGTCCCCGTGCGTCAAATGCAGGGTCTGCCGCAAAGTGCACGGCCAGGAATTAAGGGTCAAAGGGAACAACATACTCTGAAGCTTGACCTCATACTGAACGACCAGGGGCTTGCCCTTGGCGTCAATCTTCTTGGGGAACGTGGCCGAGATGGCGTGGTGAGCGGCGGCGTTCTTGATGACAAGGCCCTTGTCGCCCTCAATGCCCTTGTAGACAGCAGGCTCCTCGACGGACCACTCGCCAACGTACGCCCACTCCTCATCGCCTTGTGTGTCCTTCTTGGCATGCGAGGGCTTCCACCGCTTCTCCCAGTCGTCGGTGAATTGCTCGAGGAACGGCGCCTTAAGCTTGGTGGGCTGCATTCATTGCGTATCAGCAAACATGCCCGTTTCTTAAGGTTGGACAGGGTGTTCGGTCGTCGTGTGCTGCCGATTGACCCCGCAAAGCCCCATGCCGCTCAGCGCAGCTCAAGCAGGACGGGACAATTGCAACAACAAGCACGGGAAGGGATGAGGCCACACTTACGGTAAAGGTCGGCAGCTCCGGGGCAGCCGCCTCGGCAACCGAGCTGGGCTCGTCCTTGAGGACCTTCTGTTCGTCGGCGCTCACGCCACCGGCCATCAAGGCCGCGCTGGCAGCAGCGGCAGCAACGTTGAACTTCATTTTGTCTGTCTTGGGAGTACCGAATTGTTGACTTCGACCAAACGAAGATGAGGGTAAACAGGACAGTGAGGGGACGGAGAAAAAACGAAGAGGCTGTCTTTGTGAATGGCAGACAGATGTGCAGACGACGACAACAATGGATTAGGGTCGGGCAATGGATATCGCTCCCAGAGCTCAAAGAAGGAGAGGAAAAAATCGCCGGGTGGATGGGTTGGCGGCTGAGGGTGGTGAATTTGAAGCGCGGCAGGCGATTTCTGACAACGTGTCTTTAACGGCCCGCTGAGCTATGAGCTTCTGCCGGCGACGGCCAGTGGGACTGCGGGGGCATTGGAGGATTTGGGGAACCGATTGGGGGCGCTGGGGTGGTCAAACAGCCGGCTCAGAGGTGTGCCATGGAATGATTTCCGTTCACCTGATTGGACGGCCCGAGGCTGAGCTTCTGCGCGGCCCGTGCGGCCCTCTGTCAGCGGACAGCGCCATTGAATGAACAATAGATAGAATTCCACCTCACCGGACCTGAGATTTCACGCAAATGGTTGGATGTTCTTAAGAACAGCGTTCTTTGCACCTCTGTATTTGTTGTCTGTTGTCAGGTCTGATCATTGTTAAGCACTCTTTCTTTGCTTCCCCGCGCAACTTAACTCTCTTGCTCGCTCCGTACAGAGACTCCAAGACCCTTAACTACGGCTTTTAGTTTTTGGCAGATTTGAAACCGTGTCTTAATACGAATCACGCCAACTTCCCAATTTAGACAACCCTCGGCTTGGTATGGAAATGGGACATTGCATTGTGTCCCCTACGCAAGTTAATAAGAGGCACTTTGACAGAGTTGATCATTTAGGCGGTTGTTAAGCTTCTTTAGGCTCGTCATCACAAGCCTCGGAATGTTAGGTATTTCTCGTTTTTGTATCTTTCCGTGACTCCCGGGTCTTGCGAAAGACTACCTATGAAGGGATAATCAAGCGGAAGGGGCAGCCAATTCTACTTTCAAGCCAGTTCTACTGTCCTCATCATCCTTTCATACAGCAAGGTCAATACCATCGTCTCCAACGCCCCATCTAGAGCAGCCATGTACCTTACATTGTTCCTTCAGTTAACCTGGGAAACAACATAAACACCAAGCACTGAAGATCTCCCTCCCTCTTCATCTACATCACCACGCGCTAAACTCCCATGTCAGCGTATTGACGAATGTCATGCCTTCACGGCAGCGTATTAACACGAAGCTTCAGAGTCTCCCAGCACACGACCAAGTAAGAAAATAACTACAACTCCAAGTCACACTATCATCCGCCCCACAACTCTGCAGCCCCATCATGCAGCCGCTTCATGCAGCCGCCGGGTATACTACTTCAACGCATCTTCCACCCATACGTCCGGCCCACCTTAGTAGCCGCTACCGAATGCCGAGAGACGTACATAGTAGTATATATATCCAAGTTGACACCCTGTCCCGAGGCAGGCATATATATGGGCACGATTGCTACACTTTCGGTGCTGGGGTGGTTTTCATGACTACGTGGCGACTTTGATATCACCGACCGAATCAATGCCAAGGTCCACTATGTGAGACTAGATACTTCTTGATCCGTTTCCTCACCTCCCTGAAAGCCATATTCCACTGTGTTGGGTCACCCCAGCGCCGGTCACCCTAACGAGGACAACAACCATACGGTGGCTGGAATTTCAAGTCTGCTTAGAAACAGTCGGTCTTAGTGGGTGGACCCTAACCGCAGAGGTGCTGCACAGTACAGTACAAACACAAAAACTCAGAGACACAAATCAAAGACGCAGAGACGCAAATGCGAACTTATTTTTCCCTATTTTTCGTGGGGACCGGAAAGAAATCCGTTTGTCTTGCTGAGCAAGACTGTTGCTCCATCCTGTGCCGCTACTAGAAAAAGACCGGCCGTTTCCATGGTATACCGTAACACCCATAACTTCGATCTGGACTGGTGATGCTTCAAAAGCATCAATCCACACAGCCTGAAAATACCTCATCCCACAACCGCGCCCTTGAGGTTTTCGTCGACGGTCCGGTGGGTGAGATCCCGCGGTATATAGACCCTTTTACACAAACGTAGAGTGTGCGTGTTAAGAAAGATAAAAAAAGAAGCAAACGCTGTCCCTCCAGTACCAACAAAGGATGCCGCTACCCCTTCGCGTAGAACCCATGGGGAAAGGGGAAATCCAAGTCCTAGCCAGCCGTGCAGAGACTGGTTGTTGTATCTTCGGCGTCGACCGGCCCTGGCCCCCAGAGCCCGAAGAAAATAAGGGGCTAGAATCGACGTGTGGTAAAAAGGTAGCTGAGAGATGCGCCAAAAGGAGAATGAGAGTGTCGTCCCCAACGCCGTGCCATGCATGAATCGCTCGCTCCCGGAAAAAAATCGCTCTAAGCAGGATGGATAGGAAAATGAACCGCCAGATGCGGTCTTTGGGTCCGGATCGATGTCAGAGGATGCCTGAGTCCTTGAGCGCATTATTCAAGATGGTCTCCTTGACCGCTGCGAAAACGAGGCGAATATTGGAGGTATCGGTTGCTTGCGTCAAACTAGGAGAAATGTGAGCAAAGCTATGGTCGGAAAGTTGGGCTTAGAAAAACACTTACTGCGGGTAAAGGTTCAAGTGGGCGCGGTTCACCTGGTTAAACCTCCACAAAAGATACTTGGCCGCCTTGTTGACGTCGTTACCTCCTGAGTAGTCTGGGAAGTAGTTGCCAAGCGGTGACCGCCCGAGCTTCTGCTTGAAAATGTCGACCTTGTTGAGAAATAGAATAATGCTGGTCCGCATAAACCACCGCGAATTCACCACCGAGTCGAATAACAATAAGCTCTCCATCATGCGGTTCTGTGAGGAGTCGTTAGACAAGCGGATCGAGTAGGGTGCATCATAAACCCAAGTCACCTACCTGACTGTTCTCTTCTAGCAGAACCTGGTCATATTCACTCAAAGCGACGCAGAAGATGATAGAGGTCACATTCTCAAAACAGTGAATCCACTTCTTACGCTCGCTCCGCTGTCCACCGACGTCAAACATGCTGTGGGGAGAAGGTTGAGTTAGTGCTGAACAGTCGGCATGAAAACAAGAGAGTAGCTTACTGGATGCTCAGCTGGCCCATCTTGAACCTGGTTTCGTAGATTCCGGTCGTCTTGGTTCTCGCGCGTAGTACGTCCATCTCCACGGGCAGGTAGTTTGGTGATACAATCCTGCTGGCTTCCTGGAAGAAACTGTTGACGAGTTAGCTCATTGTGTACACAATTCCTAGCTATTCCTTGATCAGCGGTCGTGGGGGTTCGACTAACTATTCCGCTGAATCCATCAAGTAGAATTCGGTTTGCCTCTCCATCAACTGTTCCCTGGCTGGATCGTTCCATATCGATTGGATTGCAGCGCCTACCCTCGCATCAAGTCGAGCTTGGGGGTTCGTATCTAGCGAGTATTCCAGAAGAAACTCGCAGTGTTCCTTGTTCTCCTCTAACATCGGCTCGATCCCGAACTGGCGCATGGCGCTGCACAAGGCTTTTGCACATTCTAGAAGGTTTTTATACACTGTCGCACGGTAACTGGCGAGTTCATCCTGTGAGTAGCCTTTCAGATGAATGATTTTCATCTGCTTCACAATTGTCGACTTTCCACTTTCGCCCGACCCTGCACGTAGAGTTAGCACCCAAACACTGCATGAAGTGCACATAAATCATTGCCCGGTTTTTCCGCGCCAAGTCAGGGGGTCACGCACCAAGCAGTAGAATCTTGCATTCCTTCCTCAATTTTTTCGAGTCCTCCTCAAGGTCCTTGTCGATCTTGTTGCTCCTTTTCCTTTGATCCGACTCCTCCCCACTAGTACTCATGCACGAACCCATGACGACCATGAGGTTAGGGGCTAGCCAACGTGAGGGTTGAGAACGGTCTGGGCGGTAAACAGTTCGCGGGTGACGGTCACAATAGCTTCAATCAGACGGGGCCAGTCGTCGCGAGTCGGTCATCCAAATCCCCCTTACAACACCAGGCGTGAATCTCCAAGGCAGATCGATGCAGTCTAAGTCGGGTAGGTTGGTGTAGAATGGTTGGCGAATAGGTGCTGACGAGTAGCTGCCGATGAGGAGGGTGTCGGTGGCGGATGGGGGATAATTGCCGCGAAGCTGGGGTTCGTTTCGGGAGTCGGGATGATTCGATTCCAGTGCAAGGCAGATATGCGCGTCACCTCTGCGATATCAAAAGTGTCAATCTCTTTGAGTCGTCCTTCATGCAGGGAAAAAAAGGCTCGCCGCTAAGCGTGCTCTGAGTTGATCAAAGTGCGGCTGGAGGCCGCCGAGTATTGATGCGGCGTCACTTAGGCCGGGCTTTCAATTTCCACAGGCAAGCAGCAACAGCATAACTAGGCAAATCAAATTCGACAAAATCCGCGAGCGCCGGACGCTTGTTCCTCGTAAAGTCGCGAAACCGCCAAGGAGCGCCAGTAGCAACTCAACGGTGTTGGCGGAGCTGGGTGCACGGAGCCAGCGTATTGTGTCCCGTATGAAAACCAGGACAAAGGGAGACGGGTGGGCGGGTTGACGACAGAGGGAGAAACAAGATCTCAACAAACCTTGAAATTGAGGAACCTCTGTAGCGTGGAAAGTCGGAGCGTTAATTGGTGGCGGGAATGTTCAAGCAACAGACTCGGGATTTGGGAGGAGAGGGAATTCCGGGGTTGCTCATCGAGGTGGCGGTATGGTCGAGACGATTCGAGCGTGAAGCTCGTCCGTTGCGATGAGAAAGACGTCGCCCGATGCGGGCGGGGGTGAGGAAAGGTGTTGTTCTAGGGTGGGAGGAGGAGGCGGCTTGGACTCGGCGGGAGGAGAAAGGAAGAAGGCTTCCCGTTTCCTTTGTGAATCAACCAAGGACTTCGCACGACAGGACGCTGGAATGAGGTAAGCCCTGGGACCGAAAAGCTGGGGGGCGGCCCAGAAGGTTTCCAGGCAGGCTCGGCAGGGCAAGGGCCAGGATCCCTTCGACTCCGCGATTTGCAGTGCCGCACCGGGAGGGCACACCCGACTCCTCTTCCTGAGACGGGGCGAAAGACGGACTTGTATGGATGACAATGGCACTCGCAGAGCTGACTGGGTCGTAAGCGTGGTACTTTACAGAATGCAGTCGAATCTGTGTTCCGTGGTACGCTCCTGGCTGAAGATTCCGCTGACAACCTGGAATGAAAGCACCGCATCCATGGACGGGAAGAGCGACCTGAGAGATGCGATCTCTCCAAGGTTGCTCGACGGGACACTTGACCGGGGGCGACTTCCATGAGCGGGCGCTGTGCACTGACCGCGCATCTTTTTTCCTCACATATCTGCCGTATTGGAGGGTTTCCCCCGCCAGGCGGCGGTCCCAGCGGCCCCCTCGACACACAATATCCATTTCCCCCGCGGTGTCGGCTTTTTTTGACCCTGCCAATGCTGCCCTCTGTCATCAGCGGTCGATCTTTCGCTCCACTGTGGGTGCTGTCTTCAATTCATCAAACCTGACAAGTCTGGCAGTTGTCCCTTGTCGCCTTGAGACACCATGATTGGGAAGACTGAACGCCCTTGCATCCTCGCGTTTTCTCGTCCGCAATCTGGATCTCTCACTCAGCTCCCGCTATTCTCAACTTGTCGCGTCTGTAATTGCTCGCTAACCAGCGAATTAAGAGCTCTATCGTTAGTTGCTCTGTCGCTAGCGCCTGGTTTCGCGCTTGTCCGGTGTCTCTGGGAGTACACTACAATGTATTGATGCACCAGCGGGCAAGCTTCTGCCCGTTCCGTCGCCCCGGTCAGGGCATTAATTACGAGACACGACTACTATGTACACTAACTACAGGATGAGCGGTGGCCGCGCGGATCCGTCAGGACAACACACGTGGAGCAAGACTTTTGTCCGATGAGCAGCTTGTGTCTCAAATCCTGCCCCATTGCTTCATCGGCGCACACGCTCTCAACCAGGAATTCTGAAGAGACAGTGAGCTGTGACCAGAAACGTCCTATGTAACGGGATAATATCGAGGTAACATACACAGGAAGGAACACGGCAGCACGGCAGCAGCCTGCGGCGCGGACGCGAGAGTCCACCAGGGACTCCGTTGGGCCGCTTCCCCAGAAGTTCAATCCCGACAACCACGTGTCATCAGCCCGCCGAGAAAGTGTTGACGGGTTTTAACCCCTGCGTGGGCTTCCCAAGACGGCTGTCAGGGGGGGCGCGGGGGCGCTCTTTCGGGCACAGCCAAGAGATGCAAATTCGAGATTCCTTTAAATTCAGCGACCCAGAACGACGCATGACCGAACGGATAGACAGCGTTGGTCGGCACATCACATCACCTTCCCTTTCACTGCGAGAAACACTGCGAGAAACACCGCGAGGAACGCGGGACGCGGGGGTGGGGGGTGCCCAGACGACCTGGTTCAGCATTACATTAGGTGGGTGAGCCTCCGCAATGGATGCCCACCAAATCCCCTCACTGAGACCCCGACCCCGACCACGGGCAGGTCGGCCGGCGGCTTTGCGACGGGAACCGACGAACAAATCCACACACCGACAACGAGCCTGGCAATGCCAACCACCGTCACACATACCAACAACAAAACGCTCAACTTATATTCGGTGAGGTTGTGAACGTGCTGAGCCGCCGGTAGTTGGCCCCGACAAAGCACGGGGCTGTCTCGGTGCTGCAGACCGGTTGGACGCCACGGTGAGCGCCAAATGATCCAGATTGGCAGGGTCCGGCAGGCACGATCTCGATCGGCCGCCAACCACACTGTGCACACGTTCTCGTCGGTGTGTTCCGGGAGTCGGCGGCTTGGCTTGGCGGTAAATGGTACGGACACGACGGAGTACGGAGTAGCAGGAGTCTTCATTTCCCGAAATGACGGGGGCGCGTCCATTTCCCGTTCCGGCTTGCTGAAATGGTGAATGGACTCCTCAGGCGTACCAATACTTTGTGGTTACAAAGAGACGAGACTGTGGTACGGAATACTGAGTCCTGACTCGCAAAGTTGTCGCCAGTATTAAGCAACAGGCAGACGACTTCGACCACGTTGTGACACCATCCAACAAAAGACACCGAAAGCTGCTGAATTCATCCGGGCTTGGCTCCAGCCGCCCGCTTCGGGCCAAACTCCCCGCGGACCCAGGAACCGTGCCCCTGCGCCTCATGCACCGCTAACCCGAATTTGACAACGGCGCGAGAGCCTTACCCCCAAAACGCCAGCCCGCATGGGATGTGGCAGACTCGGCGGCCAATCGAGGAACTCCTTTTCGAACCTCTCTTTTCCCATTCCCTCCCTCTCCCTGCTGGCACCTGGCATCCTCGGACCGAAACCCCAAGGAGCCGGCCGGCTCGAAGACGACGGGAAGCCAGCCGCTCAGGTCGCCATCAGCGATTCGTAGCTGGGCTGAATCGGATGGGAATTTGCGAATTGCAGCCTTTCAACCTTCGCAGCGAATAGTATTAACTCAAATCTCAACCACCACAGCCTCTTGCCTCACTTCATTCCCCACACTCCCCACCACGGACGCATTCACGAACATCGTGATCTTTTCTTCCCTCTGAAACACCAGCCTTCCCAAAGCCAACGAAAGAGACGCTTCTCACCCACTCCCAAGTAACCAGAGCACCCCCCATCCCACCAACCGACCCCCACCGGCCCATCCAACCTGCACGTCATCGTGCATCTGCCGGACCGCATCCAGCACCACGTACTCCGTACTGCGCTCCCGTATGCCGCGTGGATAGGTGTGCCCAAGGACGTGCAGTCGCGGCCACAGCCGCGCCACCTCGGCGAGCAGATATGGACAGTCTGCGCCGCAGGGTATGGGACCGCCGCGGTCTATGTACTATGTAGAGACACGGTGGGGCCGTAGGCCACGGGAATGGTGAAGTCGGCGTCATCGCCCCCGGTGAGGTGTCCGTGCCGGCTAGTCGAGCATACCGCCGGAGGGCGTGTATTAGAAGCCTGAGGTGCCGTAGCGCGGCGCCTAGGGCGAGCCGTGGATGGTTACTCTCTTCGTAGTCGACCTAGTATCCGATTCGGTTGCTGTAGCCGCAGCAGTAACTAGGAGTAGTAGTACATGTGACTAGATGGATCTAGGTTTGTATTCGATCGCCCTGGTATACGGGTGGGTATCCCGTTGAGTGCCTCAATGATGTTGGTGCTCAAATCGGACAAGTTGGCCGTTGATACTGTATGTACCTCTAACACAGCAGGGGCATGTGCGAGGTACGGACAAGGCGGCGGGTGATTAAATTACTTGATGGCTCGACAAGAGATATCAAAACCCCCTGAGAGGTGAGCTGGAGTGTATACCGTGGAGTGGTGACCAATATAGTTTGTGTTATCTTACTACAGCATCAACCCGACTCCCTACCCAACAAAGATACTTCGTCCGCAAAACACCAAGTCATAATTCGTAATTAACATTTAGTAAAGGAGCCGACCAACTCTTAATGCCCCCACACTCTGGACCTTCCGCTCCTGTCACCACAAAAGGAATAAGAGGACAAGGACAAAAGGGGAAAACACTAACAAGGAGAATTTGAGTTCTGTGGGCTGTAGCTGCATTTGCTGTGTCCCTGTATCTCGTACTGTTTCACCTGCCTCGTCGTTTGTTGGTTTGTACTCATACATAAAAGTTTCGTGATGATTGTGCGACCCAGACCATCAACCCAAGTCTACCAACCAACCAGCCAAGGCCCCCCATCCTCTGCGAACCTGCTCTCCTCCCATACAAGGTTGCCGCCCTGTTATTCCGTTGGGATAGCGGACGCACTAGACGACCAACCGGCCAACCAGTCAGCCAATCCAGACTGAAAATCATACGCTAGCCGAAAGTCCCCAAATCCCATTTCTTATCCCTTTGGCCGTCCAATTCTGCCGGTCCAGATCGTATGAGGATGTGCCCCCAAATGGTGAGGGTAAAACTGGCATGGGAGCAGAAAACCGCCCCCAAGTCCAGGATTTTGTTGGTGCTTTAAGCGAGGTAGCCGATGTCATCATCCTCTAGACGCTCGAGGTATTCTTTGTCAAGCAGAATCTCGATGCACTTCTTGATGTCGCTAACCTTGGGCACGAAGCGAGCGCGAATCTGGTTGATGGTCTCGCTGACCAACTGTTGGTGCTTCATGCGCTTGCGCGCCTTCATGATGCGGACGATGGCGGACTGGAAGACGTTAATACCGCTACTAAAGTTATGGTGTTGAAGGGAGGGCGAGATTACTTACCTGCAACAGAAGCTTGCGGTCCTCCTCGATCGTCTTGTTGGTCTCAGCCTCCTCCTGTTTCGTTTCTGCCTTCATGCCCACGTTGAGGTTGACGCGGTACTTCTTGCTCTTGAAGTCGTAGTTGAGAGCAAAGACCGCGCCTGGGCCGACCTTGGAGGCGCTGCCTCCGCTGGTATCGAGATTGAGCACTTTGGCCTTGAGCAAGATACCGAGCGAAGGGTCGAGCGCTTCATTGTTCAGCTGTGTGGTCGACGAAAGTTCTTCGTACGTGTTCTTGTCCTTCTCGTTGAACAGAAGGAGAATGGCCATCTGGTAAATCGAGACCTGGAACGTGTAGGGCATCTTGGCGTTCTTGACATAATTCGCCTTGACCTCGCCCTTGCACAATTGCCACAGCCAGGTGAGCTTGCGCCCATCATGCTTATTCTTGTAGAAGCGGCTGAACCGCTCGCAGTCTGCCGCCACTTCGCCGGGTGGGTTAAAGTTGGTCCCTGGCGGGGTAAGGGGCCAGAAGCCAGTACCCAGAATGGAGTATGTTGAGTCAAGGCCCTTGCTGCCGACCGCCTGAACATGTTCCCTGAAACCGCTGTTCAGGTCCTTGGAGATCTGCATGTCCTGGAACATGCGCTGGAGCTTGTTGGTGTACTCAAACCCGCAGGCCTCCTTGAGCTTGCTGATCATGCTCGTCTCGGCGTCATCTGAGGAAGAATTGCTATGTACTAAACGGCGGGCGAGCATGCGAGAGTAGAACTTCTGGAAGACGTCCTTATCTTCGATGTACTTGAACACCGTCATGATCTGGACCAGGGTGTTCTCCAACTCGGTGTCCTCCACACCAGTGCTGCTCTTGCGGAGGAGCACATCGGTGTACTTGGCCAGGAGCTCGGGGGACTTATTAGACCCTGACTTGCAAACGTCGTTGCGGTTGACGAACTCTCTGCAAGCGTTGTCGAGTGACCGTGTGAACTCGGGCTCATCCCTGAACGCGCGCTTGACCAACCCTTGGTATTGAGTGTGAATTTCGAGCAGAGCATCGACGTAGACCTTGGGCTCTAGCTTGTCAGCGTCTGACGCCACCTTTGCGACAGCCGCTAAACCAGCATTCCTGACGTGCGTTTCGAACTTGGTCCTAAGAGGGTCGAGGCCTTCAGGGATGCGGGACAGAAGGCTGTACATGCGAGCCATATCCTCTTCCCTGTCGTTGTCGAGGAGAACCTGGAACTCGTCGCGAAGGACGGTGGAATGATCGGCGATCAATGCCGTATTGCATGTCTTCTTTAGAGAAAAGGCAATATCGGGGTGGAGGTAGAGCTTCACGCGTTCCTCTTCCTCGCTGAGGCGCGTCTCGGCCTTCTTCATGTACTCGACGACGCTATTCTCGGCAACAAACTGTTTGCTTTCGTTCTGGTAAAAAAGCTTTGTGGCATCAAGGAACGGGCGCTCAAAGTGATACCGATAGACGTCAAGCGTTGTCTTGGAGGCGTCGCCATCGTCCAGACCCAGGGAGACGAACGAGTCGACCACCTGCTTGATTTGGTTGTGCTCAATGGTTTCACCGTTGCGCTGCTTCTCAACGAGCTTGAGAACGGCCGCCATGACCTTCTCCCAGACCTTGGTGAACAGGACATCGCGCCATTGGACCAGGTGTAGGGTGTAGACGTCGTATATGTGTTTTTTCCCTTCCTCGATCTCACGCCTAACCCAATGCCTATTGAGGTACTGGAACAAATGGTGAATGTATTTGGCGGCATCGGTGTACCGCTGCCACTCTCGGATATAGAAGGAGAGAAGCGCCTCGTCGGTGTGGCCTGCGGACTCGATGACCAAACCCTGAAGGTGATTGGAGAGATAGTCGGTCAACTTCCTGTAAAGATCTTCGCCGAGCAGATGAGCTATGAAATAAATGTTAGTGATTTATTTGGAGTAGGAAGCAGAGAGAGAAATGGAAGGAACAAATCTAAAATGAAGTGCTTACCCCCGCGTTGACCGGTACCCATACCCTGCGTCTGCAACGTAAAGGTCGAAGCTTTTTGCGAGATGCAAAAGTTGTGGACGGCACTACAAGGCGAAGGTGTCAGTTACCGAGCGCAAGGTGTCGCACCCATAAGGAAGAGAAGTCGTAACACACGTGTAGATCCCCATGTACTGTCAGGACGCTAATGTTAGCACTACTTTTAGGTAGCCACCCGGGAGGAAGGAGCCTTGAAAGGGGGACCGTCGGCTAGGGACATACCGCCTTCAGGTCGATACCCTGTTGAAGGTTCGTCATGATCATCGTAATGCCATCGTGAAGGTAGGTCCAGCTACTATATGTCAGCTATCTTGGTCGTCTCGCGTGCACAAAATAGTGTTTACGCACGTTGTGTCTATGTCATCCTTCATGGGCATGCCCATAAACCCCGCGGCCGGCATCTTGTGCGGGTCGCGCTTCGCAAGAAATCGAAGAGGATCGATGGTGGTGTAGAAAGGAAGACGGGGATCGTTTTCGAAGATCGAAGTTGGGAAGAAGCCGACCGGTCGCTCGGTTGTGACCGTGTGTTGGTCGGTCAAGGCTGAGAATGGAGGCCTGACTTGTTGGTCCATCAGCTCGGGTATTCGAATCGCTAGCGCTATGATACGGGGAAAGTAAATCAGAGAAAACAAAAGAAGGCTCACCTGACACCGGCAAAAGTCACCAGTCCCGAGTGTTGCTGCTTTGCTTCAGTGTTGCTGCTTGGACCTGCGTTGAATGTGGGGAAAACGAGAGTGGCGGGGGGAGTGAGGCAGGGCTCGAGGTTCGGCCCTGTAAATATGAGGGCTTGGGGACGATGATAAAGCTTGGCCAAGATCACTGTTCGGGGTAGGGCGCTCGACGGAAAATACTTTCGGGCTGACCTCGAAAAGTGTTGTAAAGATGATTTGGCGTAAAGGTTTGACGGCAGCTTGTGCAAGGCAACTTCCTGTCAACTCCTGCCTGTTTGCTTGGGAGTGTTCAACGCAAGGTCCCCAGCGCGCCCAGGCAGGAGGATCCACCTTGGTTGGGCCCCCATTACGAAACGCAGCTGCCAGTCTCGGCCAAAAGCTAGACGCGAATAAGCGCCCCAAGCGCCATATGCCGCCATCGCACCTGCAGGCGCGTGATCCCTGCCAGTTTCCCTGTGTATCTGCGGGAACAGCAAACAAAGAATGAATCCCATCTTCCAAACCAATCATTGGTTTCAATGCGAGGTATCGTTCATTTTACATTGTGGTTGCAGCGCACACAAAAAAAGACCTGTGTGTTGACCACTGTGCATTGACTGTGGAATCTCATTGTTATCATACAATCTGTGCGTATATCATACAAAATGAAGAATTGAGCCAACCCATGGCCGCTGTGGGTATACCAGTCCAGAATACAGGGAATCAAAGTCAGGTTGAAACCAAAAAGGGGGAAAAGACGAGGAAGCCAATGAGGAAAGAAACTACCAGAGCGTAAAAACGAAAAAAAAAAGAGAGAAAAAACCAACAACGCCAGGGGTCTTTTATCCATGAACCGCCCACCCAATCCATGTCCACCCTCGCTGGAAATTCCTGAGCCACATATTACATTATTCATCACTTTCAGTCTTCCCCACCACCCAGCTTCTGCACGAGCCTAAACACGCTCACGGATAGCGTGAAGCTCCACGCCATCAGACCAATGATCTGAAAAGACGCCAAGGCCTGGCTGTATTGCCGAGTCTCACGGTCGCGTGAACTGCGGTACACCAACGCCTCGAACGCGAGCGCCGTGCTGGCCGACTTGAAAATGATGAAGAACAAATCTAGCAGAACGAGGGCAATCTTTTGGTTGGCCGCCCGCAAGCCCAATGGTTCGCCCGTGTACTCGTCCCAGGTCATATAGCCAATATACGGGATGGCGACCGAGTCGACAGCGATCGCGACGATCGCCTGGGCCAGCTCGGATGAATGGTCGTCCTTGTGTTGCTCGATCTCAGAGAGGCGCGCCGACAGAGCCAACGCGATAATCGAGGTCAGCAGCACGGTCAGCCGGAACGCGAGCGGGACCAAAGGATGACGCAGGATAATACGCCATATCCGCTTGTACAGCACACTCCGCCGATTCGACTTCTTGCCCCGCCCCGTCGATCCATTGCCGTCACCAGGCTCGAGCGGCGTGTTGAGGTTCGGCTGCATCTTATTCAGCACCTCCGGGTCGACGATCTGCGCCTCCTCATTCGGCAGCCGACCGTACCGCGATGACTGTACGTAGCTTCGCCAGGGCGTGTCCGAGGTGCCTCGGCTGAACCGTGGTACGATCACGGGCTCTGCCGTCCGTAGGTGATCCCATTTTCGCCCCCGTTCAGATCCATCACCGCGTCTGAGGAGTCGGCGCAGGCGAGCTCGGGAGGTTCGCGGCCCTTGGAGGTTGAGGACGGCCGGATTCTCGTAGACAAACCCGTCCTGGGATACGCGCGGTTGGGGTTGGCTCGGAGTGTGGTTGTGGTGTGCGGGTAATGCGCGGGGAGGAGGGGAGCTAAGGGCGAGGAGTTGCTGGTCGGTCGGCGTGCCGTAGCGTGTTTCGTACGAATCAATCCACGCTGGAAAGAGGATGTTAGTCCCTTGAGGTCAAAAACTGCCAGAAACAGCGGTGCTCGTACGTGGTAATGTCCGTACAGGACGGCGCTGGACTGGGGTGGTGGACGATTGCCCAGCCAAGCTGTGGGATGCGAAGGATGGACGATGCCCAGACTGATGTGAACTCGATCCTGGTCGTCCCGAGGCCGCCATCTCGATACTAAATTGTGTTCGGACGAGCTGCTGGATCTCGGCGCATAAAGTATGGCGGCAAGTAGCACGTTCCTTCTCAGTGGGCCGGGCTAGATAGACGGTCGAGTCTGGGGAGACTGAGCAGCGTTACGATCGCGTTGAGAGCAGAAAAAGTTAAGATCTGCTGCTGCATGGTGTAACGGTCGGGATTACCAGTGTTGGGTTTGTCGAGTAATGCGGTTCCCAACCGTAAGACCCGGGGCGTCCGCAATTGGGCGCCCTGATCTGGGCATGCGTGGTGAAGCGCAGGTGGCAGCAGATCGTGTGGGTGGGTGGTTGGGGTGAGGTTGGCCGTGGTGGTCGCTTTTTTGAGCCGCTGCGTCCGTCAGCGCAGCCGGAAAACCGGCCTTGGCATGCGACAGTGGGCAACGGCCAGACAGAAGCAAGTTGCAGCAACGGTGACCGGGACGTCTTGGCTGCGCCAGCCAATTGCAGAAAAAACAATGACGACAACTCAGGTACCTGTCCTTTTAGTTTATTTACACGATAACTGGACGCGGCGGGGTTGTTGGGGACTCGGAAAGGCATCTATGTGCGGTTTTCATTTTTCGGGCACTTTTGTCGGGCTTTTCCATGGTTGTCGCTTTGTGTTGACCTTGATTTTCCACCTTCTCCACAACTCATGCTGGGAGTTGCGATGATGGAAGTCGATGACTCGCATCGTGGCGCCCTTGTCGGACCTCGCTGGCATCCATTCGTGTCTTTCCTCAACAAAAACAATGTCGTGTTCCCCCAGGGACCTTGAGAAAAGAGAAAACCGAGCTTACGAACCCCTCAGCCACGAGTGCTGCCCCATTGGGAACAAACCCACGGTGCTGCTCCAGGGGTTGAGGGACGGAACGACAGGGTTGATCGAGAAAGCCAGGTCGATGCATGTGGATGGATGGGAGGCCGAGCGGTTTCGAGCAGGGGTTGTAGCACCCCACTTTCAGTTAAACTCAACCACTCAGAGTCCGACGCCGGTGGACATCTGCGTCACTTGGCTTGGAAACCCACCAAGCCTAGGATCCCAGCAGCCCAGCAATGGAGGCCTTTTTTCCTCGCGGGAGCTGGAGGACACCGCGCGGTTGTTCGCCACCAGGCTATCGCATCCAGATACCACTGCTCAGGTACAAGATGCGTGATTGTCGCCCCTGATTTTAGATCTCAACGTCGCGGGATTCCTCTCTCTTTCTTTCTCGTTTTTATTTTCTTCATTCTTTCGCCCTAATCTTTCAGGGTTCCCCGCTGCGAAGCCATTGATTCCCACCTTTGGAAGGCTCGAGCTTCACCTACAACGAGACATTGTCTCAGGCCGTCGACACATTTTCACAAAACCCCACGGGGGATCAGAGGCCTCCCGCGCCCGCAGCGCGACAGCCATGCGCCTCTACCTCCTCCCTATCTCGACGAGGCGCACGCTGCTATACTGCCAGCGCCTTAATGCCCCCGCCTCAGAAAAACAAACGTGGGCCGATTGGGTCCAGTCGAAAGCCGCGCGCACATGGTCCGGCTGGGAGCAAAAGGAAAAGGGCTGGCAGAAATCAGTCGTGAACTACGGCAACCAGGTACTGCGCCGCATTCCCTACGAGGAATGGGGGCTCAAGTCCGTCCCTCCGCTGTCGCAGCGCCGGAAGCAGGTCGAGTTAGGGGGGTCTGAGAGGGTCGAAGTCGTCTACCCGAAGACGCTGCTCGCTATGGACAGGATACCGGAGATACTACGCGTCCTGGCAACTGAGAGGCAGGCATTACACAAGCGGCGGCTCATTTGGTGTTTTGTGGGCATGCCTATATCCGCGCCTATTGCCCTCCTCCCGGTGTAAGTTGACCTTAACATGCCTATCTTTTTTGGGGGGGGACTAGGGTCTTGGCTCGCTAACGCCACATCTCAATTTTAGTATCCCTAACCTCCCCTTCTTTTACCTGGTCTACCGCGCTTGGTCACACTGGCGTGCTCTCAATGGCGGGAAGCACGTCCAATTTCTCGTCAAGAATAATCTTTTGACCCTGACACCATCTCCCCTTCTTGACGAGGTGTACGCGACGCAAAAGGAGCCTCTCCCATCCACCCCCCAGCCGACAACCAATCCCAGCGTGAAGGCTGTCAGCAACCCAGGACATGCCGCGCCAAACGCAGAGGAACATCCAGATGGCGAGACTATGCTCCTTTCCCAAGCTAAGGGCAAGAAAATGACGCAAGCGTTGGATCTGGCGCAACTTGAAGTTGAATTGGAACGAGCAATATGGCAGGTCGGGACGGCCATCAATAAACGAAACGCGGAAGCTACTGCACAAAAACAACAAACCGCGCCAATCGAGGACGAGAAGAAATCACAATGACAGTCAATATGACCACACGGAACGATGTATGATAACGTGCATTATGCTGCCACGGTTTACGGAGGCGTCAGCATGGGGTTCATATGATAGAATGGCGGGTCACGTTTGATATGAAGGTTTATTACAACTGGGGCTATAGACGGACGGACGGCTGCATTCTCAGCTACGGGGTGATCCAACCCCCCAAAACTTGATCCAAATCACATCTCCTCAGAGTCCTTACCTCACGACCGCCCGGCCGTGACCGTCCTACGATGCGCCCGCCCGTTCCTAAGAACCCCACCTAGCCAGACAACGAATGACCAATTCAACAAACGATTTCGCCCCTCACTCGGCGGCCTCCTTCTCTTAGCTCCGCTAAACACCACCCCGGCCACTGAACGCGCTCACCAACGCATGGACCAGTGCCAATGCCAAAAACAACGCCGCCACGACCAACAGACGCCTCACCACCACGCCTCTTGCGTTGTCAAGTTTGCCCCGCCCTCCGAGAAGGTGTCGCCTCCCTGCGCGCTGCTTGACCATATGCAGTGGGAGCAACAACACCGGCCGCGAAACGCCTGCTGCTAGCCCAGCGCCTCCTTCATACCCCAGCAGAGGCGACACCGACGCAAGGGGGGGATTTGTTGTATCTGGGCGCGTGGCGACCTCCGTATCGATGTCGCGATACGCTGGGACAAACCCGCCCTCAATGCCTTCGGCCCGCCTCTGTCCCTGGTTGTTCGAGATTACACCGGCATTGTGGACGCGGAAATAAGTCTCGTCATGTCCTGGTTTCGCGGTTGCGGCTGTTATGGTTGGGGCTGCCGATCTTGCTAGTCCTGTAGCCCCTTCCATCCGCCGTGACCGCGAACCGGCCATGAACAAACCGAGATCATCGTCGTCCTCATTGTCGTCACTACCTCTCTGACCCCCCGGAAGCAGGGGTATCTCCAACGTCAAATCCGCCGCCCAGCTCACCCCCATGGGTTTATCGCCATTATCGTCACCAGCACGGCTACCTCGGTTCCAATTCCTGCTTTTGCTTGACGGGGAGGGCGTACGGTTGCGGCTGCGGGGAACAGGACTGGGACTAGGCGGCGGAGGAGCGGGAAACTCGAACTCGCCGAGTCCAAACTCGTCATATTCTCTCTCCTGGCCTTGGCCTTGGCTCTGCTGCTGCTGAGCTTGACCCTTCAACGGCCGCAACGGCAACGGCAGCGGCGCCGTCATTACCCGGGCACCAAGGTGCTGATACTGATACTGGCCATGATGGCCCTGGGAATGGTGACGTGGCGGAGCGTGGAGCTGGGTTTGCGCGTGCTGGAGATGGTGGTGGTAGTGGTTGCGGAGTGTCTCTGAGCGCCAGGCGGCAGCGGCCTTTTGGCGGAGAAGCCGCTGCGTTGGACTCTCGCTGGCTAGTGCCGCGTAGCGTTGTGCGAGAGTCTGTGGATTGCTCTTGGCGTTGCGATTGCTGGATGGGTTGGCGCCAGGGTGAGATTTAGTTCGTCTTGAGCTTATATTGCTCTCTCGCCGTGAGTGGTGTTGGCGTTGTGGCTGCTCGTTTTGTTCTTGGGCATCATCGATGTCCAGCTCGATGTCGAGAAATGTGTTGGGGTTCAATGGGGAGGGTGTCAAGGGGATATACCGGCGCCGGTCGAGTGGGTGGATATAAGACGCCATGGTGAAAACAAGGTTTCCACCTCCCTTCTTTAACGGTTCCTCTCTACAAGCGTCAAAGACGGGGTAGGTGTTGTCGAGTGGTTTTTGCTTTTTCTCTCACTCCTGTTTTGCTCATGCGAACAGCGGGCAATCAATGACATGCGGGGCTAAGACAGTTTAGAAGTACCAAACGGGTTCACTTGTTACGGGTACAGCGCGGCACAGGAAGGTGGAGGGGGCGGTCAAGTTGGTTCACTCCGGCAGCAGGGTGAAACAGGCGCGGCGAACAGTGCCACGCCGCTTTGGAGGATTGCACACGAAGTCGCAGGTAACTCGGGATTAAACGACCATACCGATGATGAGAGGAAGGGAAAAAAAGAACAAAAAGGGGGCTTAGACTAGAGGGTTTATTTTTTGCACTTTGACCCCAATCATACCTTTTGATCTGGGAGATGAGAGATCCATTCTGGTGGGTGGGCCGGGCGCAGCGATACGAAGACTCTCCGAGAAACTGGAAACTAACAGCAACCCAAGTCGGGGTTGGCCCGCAGAACTGTTAACCCAAAGTCTCTTGGTATTCAGCACTTCCCTTTGCACACCCGAAAAGCTTAATGTTATCCCCTTCAGGTCACAAAACACGGCCAACTCGGAACCCGCCAGGTCTTACGTGTACCCCCGTCCTCGGGCAATACCGTAACTCGTCCAACATCCCTAAAGTTCCCGTTCGTATCCTTTATCACTTGTTAATTAGATCCTGTTTTCCGTAGTGCACCCAGACACAAACTAAAAGGTAACTAAGTAATTTGGATGCACAAGAGTTCGGAGTTGTGGTGGCTCCTCGGGCGTATAGCTAAATCCAGCAGATCGCGGTATCATCCGTCAAAACATCCTTCGCCCATTTCGTTGCTGCAGTTGCGTTGCTTACCTACCTGGGCTCGTTCTGCAAGCTCTTTGGAATTAAATCAATGTTTCAAAATCAAGCAACACTTCTTAGCATCTTTCCTGAGAGGCTGAGTCTCACAGATTGCCATCATATCATGTATCTAAGCAAGAATCGAAGAGTTGACTGCTCATCATCCACTGTGTCACAACCAACCAACAGCCACCCCAGCTGCCCAGCAAACAAATCCTTCCCAGATCCCCGGGACGAAGCGCCGTGCCGCGGCCGGCTTGCTGCAGCGTTGCAACAGCAGAGGCCCGCTAACGCCGATCCGGCCCCACACTCGGTCGCTTGCACGATTCCCGTGCGATCAAGTCACTGAACGAGTTGGAAGACATTCTGCACTGTGCTGTCCTTGTCCGTGAATCTGTGTCCAACTAAAAAGGGTTTCGCCGTCTCGAAACATTGGGCCGTGACTAGATTAGCTGTGTATGACGGGAGTCATTCTATGGGGAGAAACGACACGGCTGAAGCCGCAACATCCGGATCACGAACAAAATAAACTTGAGCCCTGAACATTGAGGCCGGGAAACACCAGCGCAGGCAGACACGTCAGATAACACCCACTGGAAAACAAGTCCATTGTTGAACCCTTTGCCCCTGGCGACAAACCGCCAGATCCCGCCAGATTCCACACCCCCCCAATCAACTGGATAACAATATAGCAGCCAGCCAGCACCAACGACAACCGATCCACCCCAGCATTAATACTAAAACAACATACATGCCAGAACTCAGCCATCCCACTTTTTGTTTTTCCCATGTATCCTTTAACAATCAATTCCCACAGTGACCAAAGTCTCAACTCAACAAAACAAAAAGGCCCCGTGTAATCACACCGGTTTATGCCCCTGCCCCCCAATTACTCCAGCAACTCCACCCAATCAATCAATCAATCAATCCATCAGTCCGGCTTTTACGACCGACCGCCCGCCCATCTGAGCCCATCAAAAAGGAAAGGGAGAGGGAATAAATAGATATGCGCAAAAAGAATTCGCCGGCTGACCCACCAACAACGCTGGCGGAAATTTGTTTATATGCCCTGGATCTTCACCAGTCAACCACTGCCAGCTGGAGTGTGCCGGACCAAAAGCAGAAAGCAAGAAGGTTCCAAAAAAGGAGTCGGAAAAAGGAGAACAAGAAAACGGCCAGTGTCGCTTCTCGGGGTGTTGCCTTTGGAGGGGTCACGGGAGACCGGCGAGGCGTACTCAGCTAGCCCAGGCAGAGAAGTTGCCTCTCACCGAAGCTGGCCCTGTAGAAGGATTCTACGATGCCGACTGCGGGGTGGCAACGGTCTCATCCGCCGTCGGGGTAGGATCATCCAGCCGAGGCTTCTTGGCACGTCCGTTCTCGTGGACCTCGAGAGACTCCTTAACATCCTTGAGCTCCACCTCAAGCTCGTCTAGACGGCGTTTCAACATATTCTCCCTCCTGTGGCTCTCGTCCAACTCGTTTTGCAGCTGCGTGTGCGATTCGTTCAAGGCGTTCAGCTGGACGTGCAGTTGCTCGTTGGCCTCAGTCTTGCTCTTCTCTTGTGCCTGCCTGTTGACCTCCTCTTGCTCCAGCTGTTGGATCCGGCCCCGATATAGCTCCTGAATAACCTCAAGCTCGCTGACCCGAGTCTTTAAGCTGGCATTGGTGGCGAGAAGGGTCTCGTGTGTTTGTGGCATGTTCTCGAGGCGTTCGCCGTTCAAAGGTGATGGCGCGCGTCCATCGGGTCCACCGAAATTGGATAAATTCTGAGCCTGGAACTGATCCTCGAGGTTTTGGTACATGGGTGCCATGTGCGAAGCGTATAGGTTCGGCGTGCCGGTTCGGGAGATGGGGGAGTTCGTGTCATCCATGACGCCATTCGCAGATTTTTGCGACTGCCGGCGGACACCGTTCAGGTCGGCGCCATTCATGTCGCCCCCTTGAGCGAGGTGTTGTTGCTGGGCCTGAGACACTCCACGGTTAGACTCAAAGTCTGTGGTGAACCATGGGGTTCGGATATCATGGATGTTGAACAAACCTTCTTTTGTTTTGCCAAGTCCGGTCGCATAGTCTTTACGCGGTTCCGGCTCTTGATCACATCCGTCTTGAGTGAGATAGGCCGAGGACGGCCATGGAGCTTGAGAAACAGGCCGCAGGCGTTGCAGAGGACGGCGCCGGTCTCGTCTCGCCGCCATAGTGGGGTGGTATGAGTCTCGCAGTTTTGGCAGGTTGGCTGCGTGGTTGCACGGTCTTGATTAGCCATCGTCGCCATGGTGTCGCTTCAGGGCTCTATTACAGAGCCTAGAGTAATTCAAGATTATAACGCCGACAGGAGTATGGTGGTGTAAAAGGCCGGAAGATCGGTACATCTAGTGGATGTGACGATAAGAAACGACAAATGGGGAAATGGGGAAACAGATAGTGAGAGTCCGTCCTGGGCGATTGATAACGGAAGGTGATAAGGAAATTTTTGAGTGGGTCTCGAAGTGGGGCTGAACTGCGAAAGGCCCCCACCAAATGCCGAGTGCATGTCCGTCATTCAATGACCAATGGGAACCCAGAAACCACGAGTCGAGGTCGTCAACCCGCGCCGGGCTCTCACGACGGAAGGATCACGTTGACCAGAGAACGGACGGCGAAACAAGGTAAATAGAAACGAAAACTCATGTGAACAAGTAGACCCAAAACTTACCAAATTACCACCTGGGGTAGGGTGAGTACTCGCTGGCGAGGTACCGGCTTGATACATGGCTGGCGCGATTGCAACAGCTCTACCAAGTGTTAGCAACAATTGTGGAGCAACGCAATTGAGAAGAAGCCGCTGCTTGAATCGGCCGCCAAACCCAATATACTGTGGACAAGGCGGATGCTTCAAACAGCGCGTCGCTACGTGTTAACGTTGCGGTGTTTGCTTGTGACTGACCTAGGTTGTAGGGGCTCCGTTGCAGGATTGCTAGCGGCGAGCGGTGGTGCATTGTCGGTAAAGGACTGAGCTAGGTCTGGGGACGTCGAGTCCTGTATTGAAATTGGGTCGGGTCTGGGGATCACATCGTCCACTGGCAGTGTCGTCGGATCGTCTATCGTTTGCGGCTCAACGGGCTCGGCGGGCTCGGCGGGCTCAACCGCCGGCTTCCCTTGCACTTCCTCCTCCACCGTAAAGTCGGTTGGGAGTACCGGCGGCGCGTCCGCCATTGAGGACTCGGGGGGTTGTATCGTAGCCAGCTTCGAATCGGTATGAGGTAGGAACGGGTACACGGGACTGAATTGAGTTGCACGATAGGTATCGGAGAATGGATATCGGAAGGACGCGGCGTGGAGCGCTCAATCGTGTTGCGGTCAGAATGCTCAGAAAGGACGTCTAGTCACTGTGTGCAGGCGACGGACGACGGTTAAGGGGCAAGGAAGGTCGAATTCTTCAAGGTGAGTTATCGAATTATAGACTCCAACGTATTTTAGAAAATACAGCCTTGCGAGCAGTTGATAAAGAATGTCGCGATGGTTGGGCGGGAAACAAAGGGAAACGGCCTTCGTCACGGACTAGCTCCCCAAGTTGGAAAAGGAAAAAGAGGTCGCGATTGCAAAAGATGGAAGGCTGCCGGGACGTCACTCCAGCCGCTCTAGCGGGCCGGACCCACCGACTCAAACGTGAGAAGGACGTCCTCGTCTTGTGTTCTTTGTTTCTAGTGTTTACCTCAGCTTTTTAATCAACTTGTAGAGATGGTCTGTAGCTAGTTATTGGTGGCTCGAGTCGTTTTTCTCATTTTTAAAGAAAAATAGATCAAAAGGAAACGAAACAAAAGGAAAGAAAAGAAAACGGTTGATAAGATCTGAAGGCAGGCGACAAGGTGCATGGATGCCCCCCGGGCCCCACTTACAAAGGGCCTGCGAGGTGCAGCACCCAAAAATTTCCAGAAGTTGCTGCAGTTGCAGTTTGCGACAAGAAAAGGAGAAACAACCCCCCAATCACTCAAAGACCAGACATACAACACGAGAACATCGCAGTTTCCGGAAATTTCCAACAAGCCCAATTAGGAAACCACATCTTCGCGCCGACGAAGCCAAAGAAAACGAAATGCCATCCACACATAAGAAGGAAAAGCCCTGGGACACCGACGACATTGACAAATGGAAGGTTGACCCCTTCACCAAGGACGAGTCCTCGGGACCGTTTCTCGAGGAGTCATCGTTCATGACTCTCTTTCCTAAATACCGCGAGCGTTATCTCAAGGATTCATGGCCACTCATCACAAAGGCCCTGGACAAGAATGGCATTACCGCGACGCTCGATCTCGTGGAGGGTTCCATGACTGTCAAGACAACAAGAAAAGTGAGCAGGCCGCAAAAGATTCTGCGCTCCAGTCTGGCGGTAGGCAGGCGGTGAATTTTCAAAGCTAACCGTCCACCAGACATTTGACCCCGCAGCCATCTTGAACGCACGCGACTTGATTAAGCTCCTGGCCCGTTCGGTACCAGCGCCACAAGCCATCAAAATTCTCGAGGACGGAATGGCGTGCGACATCATCAAGATCCGGAGTATGGTGCGAAATAAGGAGCGGTTTGTCAAGAGACGACAACGGATACTGGGGCAGAACGGCACAAGTGCGTACTACCAACCACAATGGCGGGATCCTGAAATGATACTGTGGTGAACATTTCCGGAGTAGAGACTGACTGTGAGCAGCATTGAAAGCGCTCGAACTCCTCACGCAAACATATATCCTAGTACACGGCAACACGGTGTCCGTGATGGGGCCATTCAAGGGGTTGAAGGAGGTCCGGAGAGTGGTCGAGGACACGATGCAGAACATCCACCCGATCTACTTGATAAAAGAGCTGATGTAAGGCGTGACCGATGGCAACTTAGAGGCGAAGCTAGAAAGCTAACTCGCAAATAGGATCAAGCGGGAACTGGCCAAGGACCCGGCGCTGGCCAACGAGGACTGGAGCCGGTATCTCCCCAACTTCAAGAAGCGCACACTGTCGAAGCGGCGCACACCATTCAAGGTCACGGATAAGGCCAAGAAGACGTACACGCCATTCCCGCCAGCACCAGAGAAGAGCAAGGTCGACGAGCAGATCGAGACAGGCGAATATTTCTTGGGGAAGGAGGCGAAACACCGGGCCGCTGAAGCGGAGCGGGCCGGGAAGGCTAAGCAGAAGAAAGAAGAGAAGAAACGCGAGCGCGAGCGTGAATATGTCCCGCCTGAGGAAGGGGCAGCCGCAACCAAACCCAAGAAGAGGAAGACGACGCACGATTGAATTGGGGGGGGGAAACTGAGGAGTGAGGTGCTGGTAATGAATGGCCTGTGTATTTCGAGTGACGACTGGAGACAGTCGAGGTGATCGTCAAGCATGGCGAATTCCACGATACACCAAACGCAGGGAGATAGTTGGCCCGGCTGACAACGGTATCAACAAACTACTTCGAAGAGCTTAGGCTGTGGATTATTAATGGGTCTCCCGGTTCGGCAGTGGGCCGAGGCACGCGTCATCCGTTGGTGCGGGGAGCGGGGGCAATCGGTAACAGTACTCAAGGCGTATGCCGTGGGAATAAAACCGGGAACTTCATTAATTACCTTAAATACCGGCCGATTTAGAACACCAACTACTGCTCATGCTACAGCTCATAATTTAACCACATACTTCAAACCAATTCCAACCCCAGGTCAACTTAGGTCAACCCACAAGATACCAATTGCTAATCAATTCCCCATCTCTCACTCACAATATGCCGTACTCGCTCACGGTCAAGAAGACCGAGGGCAAGCCGGGCCAGGTCTACTACCCGTAAGAGACGGGACCCCTACCATTCACTGTACATAAGTACAATACTGATATCCTCCCAGTCTCCAACTCAACACCGTCCCCATACCCACCCCAGGTCCGGGCCAACTCCTAATCAAACTCTCCGCGGCCGCCCTCAACCACCGCGACCTATTCATCCGCCAACAACTATACCCCGGCATCTCCTTCACCTCCCCACTCCTCGCAGACGGTTACGGCATCGTCACAGCCGCAGGCTCCAACTCCCACCCCCTCCTGCACAAACCCGTCCTCCTCGTCCCCACCCGCGGCTGGGCCTCCGACCCGACAGGTCCCGAAGACCTCGCCAAAAACTTCACCATCCTCGGCGCCTCCCGCCTAGCCGAAGGGCTCGGCACTGCGCAGGAATACATCGTTGTCGACGAAGCCGATATCGTTCCTGCCCCGGCCCACCTCACCCCCACCGAAGGCGCGGCGTTGCCGCTTGTTGGGGTTACCGGCTGGCGGGCGCTGGTCAGTAAGAGCGGGAATGCGGAGCCTGGGCGGAATATACTGATCACGGGGATTGGGGGTGGCGTGGCGTTGCAGGTGCTGCAGTTTGCGGTGGCGAAGGGGTGTAATGTGTATGTGACGTCTGGGGATGAGGGGAAGATTGAGCGGGCGGTGGGGTTGGGGGCGAAAGGCGGGGTGAATTACCGGGAGGGTGATTGGGAGAAGAAGTTGGGGGGGTTGTTGCCTAAGGATAGGCCGTATTTGGATGCGGTTATTGATGGCGCGGGTGGGGAGGTGGTGAGTAAATCGGTGCGGTTGTTGAAGCCGGGGGGTGTGATTTCGTCGTATGGGATGACGGTTGGGCCGAAGATGGATTGGGTGATGCAGGCGACGCTGAAGCATATTGAGTTGAAGGGTACGACGATGGGGTCGAAGAGGGAGTTTGAGGAGATGGTGGCGTTTGTGGATGAGCACAAGATTCGGCCGGTGGTTAGTCGGGTGGTGAAGGGGTTGGATAATGTGGAGGGGATTGATGGGTTGTTTGAGGATATGAAGGCTGGTCGGCAGTTTGGCAAGTTGGTCATTCAGATTGATGGGGATGATTCGTCGTCGAAGTTGTAGTGTTGGGTGGTAACCGGTTGGGCATCTAAGGTGGATCGACAATCTTACCTGATGGGACTTTAAGACAGTCTGGGTGTTTTCAGCGGCAACATATGAGCGCACTTTACCGGTTGCGGTGTCCTAGATGTGTATGATAGTACTCGAAGAAGCCAGATTCTTGTTCTAAGCCGAATCCCTGTTTTTGGGACGCCTAGGTATTCTTTAACATCTGAACTTTGTACGAACAACCCAGGAGGTCCCGGGAAAGGAATTTAGGGTTGAGTAAAGGATGAGCACCGTCTATATACACCAGCCGTCTACCGCAGTGCATATGCAAAGACTTACCAGGATCAGAAGAGCAACTCTCGTATGGCCTGTTGCTAGCCGAATGTGAGAGCTCATAAGGAACCTATGGTTTAACCCCTATTCAAATTCGACATATCTATCTCCTCTTAGTTCCATCCTTCCAGGTCTATTCTTTAAGAATCACGGCGATGAATGACACGGCCAGGAAGAGAGAACCCACGCACACGTTTTTAAACCGTAGTAACAACCTCTCTCAGCCAACTTACTCCCCCCTTCCCAACCCCATCGCCTCTCCCTCCTCCACCGTCACCCTCCTCAACCCCTCAAAATGCCCCACGCCCCCCCTCAACGACCCCCCATCATTCCACACCCACACCCTCACAATCCCCTCTCCAGTTTCCCCCGTGTCCACATCCGGCGTATTCATCATCACCGGCCACCCCTCCACACCCACTTCCTCATCCCGATCCATCACCCAGCCCATCTGACAGCGTATCTTGGTTCCCCCCGCCGTCGCCTCATCCCCCGCCGTTCCATCTTCTTCTTCTTCTTCTTCTACCACATTTAAAAACTTTCTCCCCCACTCCGCAAACACAGCCGCCAGCTGATCAGCCGTAAACCACGACCCATTCCCCATCCCCACTCTTTCATTCTCCTCTCGCACTGCCGACGACGCGTACACCTCGCGCAGTTCCTTCGTCGTGGGCACCCTGATTCTCTGCCTTAGCCCTTCACTACTTTGCGTAGTTTGCTGCTGCTCAGAGGAGGAGGAAGAAGAAGAGGAAGATGATAAGACATAGTCAAGCTGGAGCTCCATGGAGATGATCAGGGCGTAGAACCCGCATTCTAAATCTGTTCCGGGCGTCGGGACGCGGGTGTAGGCGCCGGAGGGGAAGTGGTCCCAGAACCGGTGGCGTGCCCGGACGTAGGCTGCGTAGCGGGGGAGGGAGGAGCGGGGGGTCGGGAGGATGTCGATGGCGCGGGAGGAGCGGGGGGACATTGTGTTTTGTCTTGGTGGGGTTTGGGGTGTAGAGATTGTTGTTTTAGTGGTTTATTACTCTCCTTTTGCTTTCCTGGTTCCTTGCTTGTGGGTTTGATAGGGTACTAGTAACAGGTTTGGTTTGAAGTGTGATGTGTGTTGGTTGGTGATATTTTGTATTTTACATACAACTTGGGGTTAAATTCGGACATTCACCCTCTTTAATCATTTAACCGCAAATGCACCTATGTTTTCATGAACCGGATTTAGCAAAGCTCTCCCACAACTAAAAACTACAATAAAAGAGACAACAAATGTCCCTACGCCCTTGTCCGTCATCTTCCCAAAAGAAAGGGTAGGTAGTTAGAACAGACCAGGGAAGTCAAAATTAAGTTGCCGGCTGGTGATCGTCCCGCCAGCAGCCGCAGCCGGGCCGGCCGGCCGGCGGATCGGCAGCCGTGTGGAGCCACCTGGGGAATCCCCGAGAGGTCGCAGACAGAGCCCCGGAAAACTTCCGTGTCAGCCGGGCATACAGGGGGCAAAGGATTAGGCTGTATGTAAGCCTTAAGGCGAAGAAGGGAGAAAATTGAGAGACCAGATTTGGAAACAAGCTGTCAGGTAGAGAACACACGCGCTTAGAAATAAATGTATTGCCCAGCATCACATGCGTACCTCGCCACCAATATTTCTCTTGGAGGACAGAATCTTGCGTGAGATCTTGCCGCTCGGCTGACATGCGCTGACAGGTCCCACACGGTAGAATGGTAGACGATACATTAAGAATACCTTGCTTCCTGAACCAAAACAGAACATAATAAATCTGTCCTTTCTGCTTCGCTTAGCTGTTCCGCAACTGTCCTTCGTCTCTGTCATGCGGCTGAGCCACATACCTCATCTTGAAGGTCCCTTATGCAACACTCTAACTTAGCTAGTTCCTACTCTGCCCGGCTCAAATTACAGAAACCCGAGAGCAAAAGAAGCCTCCCATACGGTAATGGTACCACTCTTCCGTCACACAAGCCGGTAGTCTCGGATCGGGATCCAACACCGTTGCTGACGAGGTGGCTGAGACGTAATCGAGTGCAACATTGCACGGAATAGCAGATCACATTTTTGGGTTTACGTGTAGCGATTGGACCATGATAGGGATGTTTCTAGAAGAGTTAATGTTTACTTGCTGGCCACGAGTCTCTTGGATTTCACGTGTTTGTTGGTGACATCTTGGAGGAGGTCCTATCCACGTAAGTCTGTGGTAGTGCATATTTTCGGTATTGACCGGGATAGCGGGAGGTTATTGTATGTGTTGTGTTGTTTTTTAGGGGCTTTGACGCCAGGGTAAAGACTATTCGTTGGAGGTTGAAGATAGGATTGTTGATAGGCATGTGATCGTTAACGGTGACGCTGTGACATCCATAACAGAGTCCAAGCGAGGTCATGATTGTTGCACACCAATGTCAGCAGTCACATTTAGTCACGCTTGTTTGGGACGAGCAGTTTGTTATCGCGCTTGCATAAATCAACAGCAAAAGAATTCGGCGGCGAAAATAATGAATTACAAGTCTGGGAGCAACCGCACCGAGCCCGTGTGTAGCCCAACATCTCCCAAATAGAAACCCCAAATGCGGGTGTAGAAGTTTGGGGGGCCCATAGCCCTAGCACTTGAGCGTATCGTCACCAGGCCGAGTTGCAGTGCTGCTACCGCCACTACTCCCCAGTAAGCCGGTACGAGGCCCAGGTCCAGAGCACTAACAAAAAAGAGCCCGCCCAACGACAGTGCTGCCCCCACAAGCATGCCGGGCAACTCTAAGAAAAGCGCCCGCCCGGCCTGAGATACCCCCTTAGCAACTCAACTCCCGACCGATGCATAAAACAAGACATCCTTTCAGTTCGTGTGCGCATAGTCCCGCCGCCGGTTCCCAGGCGCCGGAACTGTTTACCCCTGGAACCAATCATGTACACACACCACCGCTTCCTAAAATACCCAGATCCCGCCGTCGTGATGCATTAACTGGGACTGGTGTCGTCCCTCTCTGAGGTGGAGCGGATGGCTTTTGTCGTTTACATCAGTACGCACTTGGAGCAGCAGCCGGCCTGTGCGTCGTCGTCGGCGATGTCCATCTTACCCATGCCGACACCGTTGTGCGAGAGGCCACCACCGGGGGTGGGTCCACCCTGCATCTCGCGGTTGTACCTCCTGATCGCACGGACGACCTCGTAGAATGCTTGCTCGACATTGGTGTTGGTCTTGGCCGAGGTTTCCAGAAACATACACTTGAACTCCTCAGCCAGCGCCTTGCCCTCTGTAGGATGTTAGCACTGGGGATGTAAACTGGCCCTTCCTTTCCGGCACTGGTGCGCCGAAAAAGAAAACAAGACAAAGAGCGGAGAGACCTACCCTCAACCGTCACGCGGCGCTCGCTCGCCAAATCCAGCTTGTTACCGACAACCACCATGGGGAAGACGTCCTTGTCCTTGACACGCAGAATTTGCTGTTGGAAGGTCCTGATCTCGTCGAAGCTCTCACGCGACGTGATCGAGTAGACAAGGAGGAAGCCCTCGCCAGTGCGCATGTATTGCTCCCGCATCGCAGAGTACTCCTCCTGGCCAGCGGTATCGAGGACATCGAGCAGCGCTACCTCCTCGTCGACCATGCACTGCTTGCGGTACGAGTCTGCATTGTCCCGTTAGCTCCACTGCTGCTGTGCCTATCGACATACGTGTCGGGCGATTGAGTAATTGCGCGCGTACCCTCAATGGTCGGATCATACTCGTCAACGAAATGCGACTGGATCAGCTGGATTGTGAGGCACGACTTGCCGACACCACCGCCACCGACGACCACCAACTTGTATTCTCGCGTGAACTAGAGAAGCAACCGCGGGTCAATGTCAGTCAACCAAGTCGAGCCGGATGGAAGAGATGCGAAGGGCCGGTCGCGCCCGGGGTAGTGGCAGGAAAGCGCCGAGAAACGGACGGACGGCAGTGACAATGGGGCGACAAGGGAATAGGATATTGAGACAAACCTTGGAGGACATTGTGAATGCTGTAATGTGTGTAAAAAGGCAGAAAAAAAGCGCGGCAACTTTTACAAAAGCACTGTTAGTTCAATTGTTGACCGAAGCACGCTCGTTTCGTTTTCGGGGATGAGTGGCGGAGCTCGATCGAGCGAAAGGGCAGAAGTCGGTCGGTTGTTCGGTCGCGCACGATATCGAACCAAACAAGACTGCTGGCTATGACGTGGGAAAAATGTGGAGGATGGGGAAGGAGAAGTGTATTTCCAGATACTGACATACGATGAGATTGAGAGAAAGGAAAATGCCCTGCTTTCTGTGTTGCGCTTTCTGTGTTGCGCGCACGCGGTTGTCTGGAAGCAGACGACTGGCCTGGGGAGCAAAGACGCGAGGCGAACGAACACCCCTTTGGATTGTGTGGGGATCGGCAATCGAATTTCTCTGGAACTGTCCTGGGGGGGAGACTCAGTTGGTCGGTCACTTGGACCCTTCACCGAAACTGGCTCAGGGAAAGTCAACCTAGCGTAGATATCGGGACGTTAAAGACAAGGCGATCTGGTCGCGTCGGGGTCAATCGATGCTCGGTTGCAGGAGGGAGAGGTGCTGAAATGCAGGAAAATGCACTTCGAGAAATCAATCGAGATTGTTCTCAAAATTGGGATGGGAAGAAGTGCTGCTGCAGGTCCAGCTCAAAGAGCAGCAAGAAGAGCAAGCCTATTGAGGCATGGGTTGAAAAGGGTCCGTGTGCCTTCCTGGGCGTAACTTGCAGACTAGGCTTGCTCGGTTGTTGATTGGCGAATGGTCGGCGGCGGTAGGCGGTGGGGGGCCAAAGAGGAAATGGATCCCTGCAAGGTACACAGTACCCGAAGGTGACCTTTCCTTGAGAACTGGGAGATCCTGACGGAGATGGGTCACGCTCACACTGTGGCGGGCCCGACGACGAGCGAACCACAACTCGAATGCAGCATATTTATGTTTCTTTTTCCGAATTGACTTTGGCTTTATCAACCCGCGCGAGCCGTGTTTACGCAGCAGACGGTGGCTCCAGCACAGGTTCTGTCAGGTCCAAATTACTGGTGGCTACACAGAAGCCAAGCGATGATCAAAGGGGTTCTTGTGCGGATTTCTGTGGCTGTCCGTTAGCCGTTTGGCCTTTTGACGCTGGACGTACCAACTTGCTAACTAACCCCACACTCACGCCGACAGGCGCCCCAGTCTTTGAGCGATGCGCAGAGGCTTGAAGTTGAGGCACGCAGGGCACTCCCTTGTTGTTCTCCGACCCCGACCGAACAAGGCGGGCCCAGAAGGGCAGCAGGTTGAGGGCAGACGGAGGGAAAAATACAACCTGATATGGGCAAGCATGTGAGACCTGGATTGGCGGAATGGCCAAGAAAGGAAAGAGGGAAGCCCAAAGAGAAGACCACGGCAGATACTTGGAACCATCCATCTAGGCATGCCAGGCACAGATGCAGAGCGGTCCTGGCCCCGCCCAGCTGCAGCATGCGAGAACGGCTGCCCGCGTGGCGACCCAGTCGACCCAACAAGAAAGGTTGGCGAAGCGGCTCCTCCGCCAACACAATTTGTATCGATTGGATGTCGTCGCCTCGAGAGGAAGTGGCAGTTTGCGGCTTCTCCTGAGATGCGATGCGGCGCAGCGAGGAGGGCTGAGTGATGGATATCGGCCAGGACTCCGTGGAGCCTCGCTTTATCCGACTCAGTTGCAGCCATCAAGTACTTCCAGAGTACGTGCTAGTTATCTCGTCAGATCCGCCTGCCAACGCTGGAATAAGCGTACTGTGTACGCTGTGCCATTGAAACCGATGGACCCCGCGCTTGCGGCTCACCCCGAGCCTGTTCGGTTGTTGAATAATTATCGACGGTAGGGATACGGCTTCCAGAAGCCTTCGAAAGCGTGGTCCTAGGGGACCGAACCAGGTTTCCGCATCCCCCCGAATCCCAACCAACAGGCCGGTACTCCGATCTCACATGGAGGGAATGTTTCGTGCCCCATCGGCGTAACGGAGGTACCGTACAACCCGCGACTCCTGAGCCAAATTTGTCAACATTGACCGAGCCCGGAGCCAAGACCCCGGTTTCAACCCATTTCGACGCCAATGACCGATGTGGTCAAACCGGCCGCCGATGGGCTGCAACGAGTCATTCAACTTTCAGAGATCCGCAACAGCTCCCACAAAACACTTGCATTGCTCGGCTCAACGCCGATGGCCGGTGAGGCCTTTTGGGAAAGCGGCGATCAACTGAGCATTGCACGTGGTGGATCATGCATCCATCTTCCGTGGGAGAGTAGACCCGAATAGCCCCGATTCTCATCGTTTTCCTGCCCCGCGACCTGCGAGTCCCGTGGTCATCAAGGCTGCGAATATGGCCAACCCCTATCCTTTCGGGAGATTGCCCCGAGGTCTCGGGGGGAAGCAGACGGATGTGACGTTCGCGATGAAAATGGAAAACAAGGGGGGACGGTTCTGTTTTGGAATTTGAAGACCTCCACACCTGATATTACCTTTTTCAGCTCAGGGTTTGCGGGGTAATTTTAGATACCGTTAGTCCTCCGGACAGGTTTGTCTTCTCGGCCTTACCTTCTTATTATTATTACAAAAAGCCAGTGATAGCGATTAACCAAGGGCAATCTTCAAACTAGGATGCCTCTAGCACGAACCGAAGTCGTTATGTTCAAAGGTGGCTCACCTCAAACCAGTACCTCACTTCGTCAAGTGCGATATCAGCTCCAACTTTCAGGGGACGTCGACGTGGAGCCCAAGCTCCCGGGCCAAGGCCCGCTAAGGCCCGTCGGGAATGAAACAAATTCGTTCACAGGGGTTATCCCACACCACGACTGGACAAAAAGATCGAGAATCCGACGATGGCCTCATCTTTTCATTTCCGTCCCGGGAAGGAGGATGGAAAAAGAACCATACCTCCGTGGCAGCACGTTGCCCTGAGATCCCGCACCCCCCGAGAAACGTGCTGGAAAAGGTTGCGTTGCAACGACGGCGACGCCGTAGGGTGACAAAATCCCGTATCCAAAAACACTCTCGCCCGGCTCCCTGATTGATTCGGTTGGTTCTGTAATTTGCGCAAGCGACAAGAATATCCTGAAAGATAGAGGGAATGTTGCGCCCAGCTTGGACCGTAGGCTGCGCACTGTACGATCAACGGACAAAAAAGGTTCCACCTAGCGTCCCTCAAATGCATCTCAAAGCTGTTGATGTGAGGGCGTATGTTGTCACCACGGCGACTACTTCGTTTCCCCGCCCGCACCATTCCCGTTATCCGCCTTGCCGTCTTCCTTCTCGTCACCTGTGTCATTTTCTTCCCCGGATTGTAGCAGCGTCCCTTTAACATACACCAGCACCTCGGGCGTGATGCTCTCAAGAAATGCCTTGTTTCTAACGGAAGAGAAGACGACATAATTAGCTTCGGCAACGCAGGTTTCGACAAAAAAAAACCCCCAAGACGAAAATCCTTACCTCCCCACCAACGTCACGGTATTCTTCTTCTTGCCCCAGCGTGGATAGCTGCCGACCTTGACGCCCTCCGACCCGACGCGCGCAGCCAGCTCAGTCAGATACTCGGCGACCTCGCTCTCAGGCAGCGGCGTGGCAATGCTCACACGCACTATTCCTTTCCCCTCAGGGTCGGGCAGCCGCGGCAGAATACGAGGGGTGAGGCCCTCTAGTAGCTGGGTGACTATTGTATATCTCGTCAGCGAGCATAACAACTCCCACGGGTCGCGAGGGAAGGAGGGAAGAGCGTGGAAGGGGACCTACATAATCGCGGCACGCCCGGCAAGATATGCACATTCCCGTTGACGACGGCCACCGGCACCCACAGGTCCTTGCAGGGGAACACAAACTGGTCAGCCAGCGGACGGGCGGCGTCGGTGGGCATCTCGATCATGCGCAGGCGGGCGCGGCGGGCAGGCGAATCTTGGTCCCAGCGGAAGTTGGGCTGGTGCGGGTTCGGTTTGGAGAGCTTCTTCATGAGGGTAAGGGCCTCTTCGTGTAGGACGAGGGGGAGATTGAAGGCCTTGGCGATGGATTGGTATGTGATGTCGTCGTGGCTGGGCCGGTGAGTATTAGTGGAGATGGGGTGAGGGATAGGATAGGTGAGTTGGTTCACGTACGTTGGGCCGATACCACCGCTAGACGTTGAAAGTCAGTACAGAGTGGTATGACTACCGAAAGACAAGGGCTAGCGAGGATGTGATGTACCTGGTCACGACAAAGTCATACCGCTCGCTCATGCGGCGGACAGCCTCGATGATTTCAGATTCGTCGTCCTCAATCACCTCGACCCGTTTGAGATTCTACTGTGGTAAGTTACAATATCTCGTCAACTGCGTAAAACCATAGTGGAGGCGTACAATCCCTAGCCCGAAGCACCATTTTGCCACGTAGTTGGAGTTCGTCTATCGGCAGGCGGCTTTTGCATTAGTTTGCCTTCATAGATTGATGATATCTTAGTACATCCAGGGGTCTCACATCTTTGGTCTGCATTTATCACACACTCGCACCAGTCAGCCTAAATCCCACCAACACCCCCTGAGATATCCTCACGTGCCTTTCCACCCAACACTTCATCGCCGATAATGAGACACGCCGCCGTCTGAATTTTCCGCGAGGCGCGCTGATCTGCTGTGGTCGTCGACGCCATGCTGCGGGTCCCTCGTAGCAGTGCCGGGGTGGTAGGGATAGCACTGAAGGAGGAAAAGGAGGAGGGATTTGATAGAGCGCGTGAGAGATGGCGTGCGACTTGGGATAGACGAGCAAACATGTGGATGGAAAGGGGTCACGCGGGAAGAGCCCGGATATGGGAATACAAGACGTTGGGGGTGAACAGGTCCACGGCTGGAACTGGTTCGTCATGCAGGGGCATTCACAAAACCAACTCACAAGGCTGCATTGAAAGCATTGAAAGACGGGAAGTTGGGACAGTTTCACCTTAGCAGAGCTGGTCATCTGAAAGCTGGAGGGTTCTGCAAGCGCGGTGGACTGCCAACAGCAGTGGGGCTGAAGCGCCTGACGCGGGGCATTCTTAGGCACGTCAGGTTAGAACTGGAACCCCCCCCCACTTCACCTCACTTGAACAGGACGCGACTGAGAACATTGTGGACCTGAGCTTAACGACGGCTACTACCCCTATACAAGAACGCGGGATTCAGTTTTAAAAGGACATTATCATAAGACTTTACAAACCGCCCCGTCGGTCACGATGGTATGTACCGCGCTGTCCCTTACCCTAACCCCCTCTGAGTGACCGCAAAAAGCCTGAACTAACACCTCACTTTCCCCAACTCCATCAGAGCTCCGAGGCCAGGCTATACACCTTCTCGCAAGAGACCAAGGACCACCTGCGCAAGTTCCGTCTAGGGACATCGCGGGCCGAGGGTCCCCAGGCCGTCATTTGTATGTATGTTTCTTTAGCGGGCAGAACCTGAATCACCATTCCTGCGTCGACTCACGTGCCCATCACCTCATCTATGGCTCTGAGAACCCCCCTCCCCCCCCCCACAAATACTCACAGAAAGATAGACATGATTGATAAGCAAACCAAGGAGATCCGCCAAGACAAAGACGAGACGGTGTACGATACCATTAGGGACCTAGCCGACGACCTGCCGGACCACTCGCCGCGGTTTATCCTGCTGAGCTATCCCATGACACTGGTGGGTGACCCCTTCCCACTCCGGTTACGGATTGGGCCCATTGTACGGGATGGGTTCTGAAAGAAGCCCTTCAAATACTGACTTTATGTCCAGGCCTCTGGCCGTCTCTCGGTGCCTTACGTGATGATCTTCTACCTGCCAGCAACGTGCAACAGCGAGCAGCGCATGCTGTACGCCGGCGCAAAGGAGTTGATGCGCAGCACAAGCGAGGTGACACGAATTCTTGACGTGGACGAGGCCGAGGATTTGGAAAACATCGAGGAGTTGTTGACTCCTTCATGAGTGTAAGGAAGCTTTGAGACCTCGGAGGGTATTGTGTTTTTGTGGCGGTTGGAAATATTACTATATGCGAGGCGATTTGCTTGCTGTCTTTGAAAATGGACATCTGGGTCTTTTACTCTCTTACTGCTCCGTACCTCCCCTCTCCTCATCCCTCCGGCACAATCTCATCCGGATCCAACCCAACCTGCCCCGCCATCCCCTTGACGACCTGCTTCAGCGCTAGACACGCCGGACTATCCGGGAACGCATCGAAGAAACTCTCGCCATAATCACACGACATACCCAACCGTGGGTCAAGCGGAACAGCTCCCAGAAACGGAATTCCCATCTCCTTCGCTAGCGCCCGCCCCCCACCCGTCGTAGCCTTGAAGATCTCGGTCGCGTGTGTGCACTTGGGACACACGAACAGCGACATGTTCTCGACCAGTCCCAGAATCCGGATACCGGCTTTCCGGCAAAAGTCAATCTCCTTCCGTACATCCAGCAGCGAGACCTCCTGCGGGGTGGTGACCACCACCGCGCCCTCAATCTTGCTCTCCTTGAGAAACGTGTTGACGCTCAAATGCTCGTCGCTTGTTCCCGGCGGGGTATCCACCAGCAAGAAATCCAACTCCCCCCACTCAACATCCCTCAAAAACTTCTTAATCAACCCATTCTTCTTCGGCCCGCGCCAGATAATCGCGTCATCCCGGCCCGGCAGCATGAACTGGATCGACATCACGGCCAGGTTATCCTCAACATAGATCGGCGACCACCCAGACCCGCTCACGTGGATCTGCCCGTCCTCAACGCCCAGCATCTTGGGGATACTCGGCCCGCAGATATCCGTATCCATCACGCCGACCGACACCTCCGGGTTGGCCGCCAGCGCCCGCGCCAGCTGAGCCGTCAGCGTGCTCTTGCCGACTCCGCCTTTCCCGCTTAGCACGAGGATCTTGTGGCGCACGCCAGCGAGGCGTGCTGTGATGGCGGGGATGTCGGGGTCGGGGCCCTTGGGTGCGGATGCGCAGATGGCTTGGTTCGGGCAGCCGGCGCAGGAGTCGGCGGTGCCGGCTTGTTGGGATTCTGGGCCGGGACAGTGTTCGGGTTCTGGGGCGACGAGTTGGGGTTTTTGTTTGAGGGGGTTGGCGAGGACGTCCTCGACGGATTCTGGAGGTTCGAGAGAGGGTGCCATTATGATGTTGGCGCGCCGGGTCCGGGGCGTCTTCGGGGTAGGAAAAGAAGGTGAAATACCTCGAACTTCTTGGGTTTGTTGAGCTGGAAAGGTTGGGGGTTGGCTTAGAAATCGCCTCGAGGTGATGACCGTGGCGGAACATTATGGTGGGGCTTATCTTATCGCTGCGAGACGTGGGATGGTGGGGCCAAGTTCATGTGCACCTCGAGCAAAGTTTAAATGCCAGTATCACGATGGGAACTAAAGCCTTCCATACATTGACTCTTCGGGTCGAATCCAGAACGAATAGGTCACATAATTCTACCAGTATTTCCCGTTCTTGCTCCCGACGGAAGACCAACATCGACGCAGACGGCTTACTAGAGTCGATTATCAAGCCAACTTCCAATCGCATCGTTTCCGGAGCCACTTGATAAACCCATAGGCGATTAAGCTTCAAACCGTTTAGTTGGTATACAATCTTAACTCCCCGCCCTGCCCAGTATCAACTCGGGATCCCTTTGTAACATTTAATACCAAACCCGCATCCTATCACTTCCGACTTTAAAGGACCATCACACCACGCGAGGTTCCTAGGATGGCATCTCATTGCCCCAAAGCTAATGCTCCCTCCTTCACTGGCACACTTACCACCCTCCTAAACGTTTTCAAACCAGACACCTCACTAGTCTAACGCAGCACCAGAGGGCTACCGCTAGGAACTCATAAATTGCGGCTGGTACAAGCCGTTGATCAGGGACAGATTAATGTCGTGATCGCCGGCTACGCCTCGATGGTGCGCTTGCTTGAAGAGGAAGGAGGGAAGAGAGGAGGACGAGATGAGTGAAAGTGATGGGAAGGAAGATCAGCCCATATTCAGGGGTGAGTTCACGCCTGCTGGCGATGCGCTGGCGCTGAAGCAAGGGCGGTTTGAGACGAGGCTGCGGTTGATGTGGAAGTGGGGAAACCTAGGGGGTAACAGGGGAAGGTTGTGGTTAACGAGGCTAGGTGATGAGATGGTGAGAGTTGAAAGTCCGAAGCGAGGAGGCACATCTGGGTTGTTCAGAACAGTGAAGACAAACCTGTCCGTGGGCCAGCTCGCAGATATACACAGAGGCGAGGGTCTATCTCGCTGTATCCTGTCGCGGGCACTGCGTCTTGCAAACGGGATTCCTTTCCTAGGCCAAGACTCGGCTTCTCACGAGGTTGAGTCCTCTCTCTGGCTCGTCCAGAATTGAGAGGAACGGAACACCTTCCGGAGCGGCGACGTTGGGGAATCCCGTCGGATCTCCTAATACTCACATCGCACTGAAGCACTGAAAAGGGGCCGGCTCGTAAGAGTCACCCATCACATGCGCCCTTGAGACCGGCTCCATCCGTGGCTTGACCCCCAACTTTTCAACTCGAACAGACTCACCCGCGGGCCTATCGGCCGCGAAGCGGTGACAAGGTCCAACGGTCCGATACGACGTGAGGGCAAAGGACAAGAGATGAGTGGCGGTCTGCACTTGGACTCGCATGCCTCACGGCGGCCCGTCGTCTTCTAATAAGTGGTTTCTTCTTGAGGCCCCCCTCCCATACTCATCCCGCGTCCTAGATCGGAGAGAAACGTCCCCAATACCCGCTCCCGCTTTCGACTCATGCATACCCTTGATGCCCCATCGTAGGGTAGGAAGACATGAAAAGAGCAGACATGCTGCACCCATCCCGCCCCGGATCGAGTGGGGCAAAGGGGGGTGGACAGTTGTTCAACGGACACCGCCGAGTTTTGCGCTCGACAAGTGATTGGGCATCGACGGTGCGCCTCGCCAACCACGTCACTGGGATGGGTATCCCGGGGGAGGGTGTGCTCATCCGGTCGGGCTTCCATGGGCCGCTCCTTTGGATGCGGGGGGAGGGGCACGTTGGGTAGGCATCGGCAGAAGCTGCATATTTTCCATTGGGAAGGAGGAAATTCCAACGGCGGTCGATTTGCCAATGGTCGAAAAAAAAAATCCGGGGAGCGGGTGTGGCCGGGAGAAGAACAGGGCAGCCTGTCAGGAGAGAGGCCCCGGGGGTCTGATGCGGGAGGAAAAGAAATGGAATTGGTGAGAAAAGAGCCCGAGTGTGGCATGAGGGGCATGAATGGACGTTCGCGGGAGAAACGAGAAGCCGTTTTTGGGCGGGACCCTGCATGGCGGGGCTCACCACTCCCAGGTGATGGCGTGTGGGAGGACCAGTTTCGCGCGGCCAGCACCCAGTTATAGCAGTGCGGCCCCTGCAATAGCCCTGTCGGTGCCTGTCAGAAAGGGTAACCGGGCTGGCCTTGGGTGGTCCTCATTGGAACCACGCATTTCGACCTCCCACCCTTCTCCCGCACATCCCACATCCAAAGAAAACCCTGGATCAAAACGCCAGAACCAGTCGAAATGTCCTGGCTCTCCACACCCACTTGCTGCAGTTTCTGCAGTACCGCGTCCTGCACCGTTTGCCCCATCTCAGGTCGCTGTCGAATCGAGAGCGCGCGCCCAACGGCGTCTGGGACGAAAAAGATACCTCATAAACCCCGGGTTCGCGGCTCCCCGCGCGATGTGCTTGCGGCTTATTGCTTGTCCTGCTGAGATGTTTTTCTTCCCAATCCTATCGCCCGCTTCCCGCCCAAAAGTAAACAAGTAAACAAACAAACCAAGACGGACGAAACCGACCCAACCCAAACAAGCGGTATCACCGCACCGCACACTCTGATATCCCGCATCCCGCAGCCTCGCATCGTCGTCGCATGACCGGACCGTCTCGATAAGTGGGGCCGCTGTCGATTCGTTCGTTCATTCGGTCGCCGCGCCAACTCGCGCCCCCATCGGGCCGCTGCCAATGGGTTTCAGCATGATGCCGTCGTCGAAGAAACGACTGGGTTCGATCAGTCTGTTCTTGAGGCAGGGCGACGGGAGCACCGCAGGTGGTGGAAGTGGAAGTGGAAGTGGGAGTGGAGGAAGAAGCTCAAGTTCACAACACCAAAGCGGGAGCACGAGCAGTGCCCGGGCCGGAATTGTGGGGCTGCCTATCCCAGCAACGGGCTCTGTTTTGTCCGGGGGCTCGGTAGCCAACGGGAGCCATCCCTCGCAGCTGCCCCAGCTGCAGCCCCCACACGAAATCATCGCGGCACGGCAGGAACGAAAGCGCGACTCGTCCTCTCACAAACACGAAAAACACGAAAAGCACGAGAAATCCGACAAGCAGGACAAGCAGGACAGACACGAGCGGAAAAGCGAGCGCAAGAAATCCCGTTCCCCCAGCAAACCACCCAGCAGCAGCACGATTGGTGCAGCAGCGGCAGCACAACAGCAACAACATCAACAAACCCCCGCCACTGTGGGAACCTCTTCCCCAACGGTCACGACCGCTGCAACGGCCAGCACGAGGTCGATTCCGGTGCCCAAATCCGGCCGCCATTCGTCTGCATCCCAGTCCAGCGCGACCATGAGCCCCCCAATACAGCAGCAGGGGCAGCAGCATCTGCACCCGCTGCACCGGACCCGGACGTCTGCGTCCGACACACAGCGAGATCGGGGCCACAACGCGTGGGAGGACTCGACCGTGGCCTCCATGTTTGGCGACAACGAGAGCAGGTCCGCTTCCGACCGTCTACGTGGGACACATGCCCACGCCCGCCACTACAGCGACGCTCCACCCCCACAGAGAGCTCTCCCTGCCCCGCCCTCCCGCAGCATCCAACCGAAACATGACGAGAATCTGCCGTTCGTCATTGGTGAGAACGGCATTCTCAAAGTTGTGCCCCCCCTCAGCACCCACACAGCCTCCGAGAAACACACCCAAATCACAAACAACAACAACAACACGGCTGCTGCTACGAATGCCCACCCCGTCAACGCCGCACAGGGCGGCATCTTCGACGACCAGAGCATCAAGCAGGATGACATCTTCCATCACGAGGCTAGCCAGGTCCTGGAAACACCCACGAAGGCCAGCGGGCTAAGACGCACTAAGTTGCCGTACCGAGACACAACCCGGGATAACCGTGAGATCAAGAGCAACGCATCATCAGAACAGAATGGTGGGTTAGGATACTCACCAAGCACACACAGCGTGAGCTTGTCTCCAGAGAGGCAGCCTTCAGAGCCGGGCGGACATATCGACAAGATCAGATTGCAGGAGCGCATGGCCCGGGAGCGAGAACGACAACGAGAACGCGAGCGGGAAAAGGAAAAGGAGAGGGAACGGGAGAGGCAACGGCAACGGGAGACGGAGCATGAGATTGAACACAAGCGGTCAACTCTATTTAGGGACCTGACACCGCTGCTATTCGACGACCCGGAGTTTAACGAGACGAAAGCGGCCGTCATCTCACCTAGCACGATCGACCCGGCGGCACTACAAGAGGCGCAAGACCGCACACCACGCGCTAAGCGCAACCTGTTACAACCAGAGCCGCTCTTTATGCAGCAGGCTAACAACAACAACAACCACAAAAACCACCATATTAATCATAATAACCCCAGCAGTAATAACCTGCTCAACGACGCGGCCCCTCCTCTTGGCCGCACCAACAGCAAGCGTCGACAAAAGTCGCCCCCCAAAGAACTTGCCCCAGCCCTTGGGCTCGGCCTGACGAATACTACCACCACGACCACTACCACCAGTACTACCACGCCTCCCATGACCAACTCTCGAAAGCGCCGCCAGAGCCTCGATTACAACGACGCCGAGCTGCACGCCATGAGCTACGCTGACCTGCGCGCGCAAGCCTTCGATTTTGACCCACAAACCGCCGCGCTCCAGCAACCCACCGCACCCCCCACCGGCGGCACCATCGAGGATCGCCTCGAGCACTATCGCCGCAAGGGCTCCATGGACCAGCACGAGTTCTTTGCGCAGCGGGTGTCGCTCGATGAGTGGGAGGAAGCTGGCGACTGGTTCTTGTCGCAGTTTGGAGATATCATGCAGCGGCTGCGCAAGGCAAGACGGGCGAAGCGTAGGCTGGTACAACAGTTTGAGGACGAGGTGGCCGCGCGTGAGGAGGCCGTCCGGGGCAAGATGGAGGGGATTGCGCGGACGCTAGAGGAGTTGAGGGAGGATGGCCGGCTGATGATGGAGGGGAAAGAGGTGGATGTTGAGTTTTAAATGAAAGGAGCATGGTGATGATCTGTGAGTGCATATGAGAAGGGAAGGGAGAAGTTGTCACGAAGTGGAGATGTTTAGATCTTGCAGGCGACATGGGAGGTATATCAATCGCATGGTAGGAGATGTTATACGACGGCAAGTTGATATCCAGCAGCAATTCCTGGGGCGACATGAAGTCCTTTCCCCATTTTCATTTCTCTTTTTATTCCTCTTCTATTACTAAGTCAGCGCATTTGGGGCTATTTTTTCTTCATGATTAACGACTTGACGACAACCAACGAAAACTCAGAAGGCAACGAACTAGGGCTTTTTTCATACATACCTAACACTTGGACGACATGACTGAACGATTTTGACGATTTGTTTTGTTTTTACGGCTTGCTTGACGAATTTACGACATGAAAAAACGAAAACGGGGATGGGGACACCCGGCGAGGTGGGATCGTTAGCATATTTTCTTTCTTCTTTTATTTTCTTCTATCTTTATCTATGTTTTGTTTCGATTTTTATGGTGGCACGGAAGGTTGCATTGGTAGGGGCATCATAGCATAGATCGGTCGGGGTTTATGGGTATGGCTATGGGAATTGGTTGTACCTGGCTGTGTATCCGGTTCAAGTAGATTCTTCATCTCTTCTCCTCTCTTCTCCTGATCCCGAGGATCACTGCCCTGGTTGGTATTTTATACGCGAATAAGATTGTATGCCTTGTACATGTCCATCCCCTTATCTCAAACACACCTACCACAAATCAAATGACCATACTATCCACCACCTCTCTCCCCCGTCCCACAATCATCCTCAACTGACACCCCACCTTGGCCCCATTATTCCCGCTGCTGCCCGTCTCTGTGTCTGTGTCCTCCGGCCTAAAAATCCCCCGCCTCACCCCGTCTGTGTACAGCTCATATGCCGGGTAGTACGCATCGACAAACTTGACGACCTGCGCCTCGCTCATGGCTGCGTCGGCGCCCCGTTCCCGTCGCAGCTGGGCTTCTTGCTCGGCTCGCCAGGCGTATACGTACTCGGTATCCTCTGCGTCGATGTGGATGAAGGCGTCTAGTACGCCGCTGCTTCCTTTCCCACTACCATCACTGCCGCTACTACTACTACCACTACTGCTGCTGCTACTGCTGCTACCAACGAGCAAATCAGCATACGCCCCAAGCTGCTCATTAACAAACAACAAATGTTCCAACGTATGTTTATGCAGTGTGCGAGTCCCCCCCCGCCGCCATTTCGCCTCAACAGCGGCGGGGGAAAGCGGGCGGAACCCGACGCACCAGCCTTCGAGGATGAGGACGCGTGGGGGGTTGGTGGGTGAGGTGGTGGGCCAGAGCGAAGGGGGGAGGCGGTCGCCGAGGCCGGAGAAGGCGGATTTGTCGTACTGGGGGATTGGGATGGGCGTTGGGCTGGGGGAGGTGAGGGCTGTTTGGAGGGTGGTGAGGAAGGTTGTTAGGAGGGGGATGTCGTGCGTTCCTGGGCAGGGGAGAGTTAGATAGAGGTATTTCAGGGGTGTAGGTAGGGAGGATGGGATAGTCCTACCAGGTTCCCCACGGCACTGTACCAGTGCGTTATCCGGGTGTTTCGCAGCCAATGCGAGCTGGTCGGTATGTGTCAGGTAGAAATCATCGATGCTCACGACCAGCGTGGACAAGCCCTCGCCTTCTTGGAGAGCGGTTGCCAGCGCCCGCACGAAGGTGGTCTTGCCGACTCCTTGCACGCCATTGAGCCCGACGATAAAAGGCCGTGGGATGGCTTCGTGGGCGTGTTCTTGTTGGTAGGCGGCTAGGCGCGAGAGGATGAAGGGGATGCAGATTGGGGACTTGTCGTCGACGACACGAGTTTGGAGCGGAACGTCGGGGGTGGCTGCCATTTTATCCACAGCTGGCCGTTGGGTTTAGGCGACAGTATCGTTGATAACTTTTTATGTTTTCATCTCAACAACCGTAACGCTGAAGCAGCCGTGGTGATGCTGCTTTTGGTGTTTCTGGGTGTACGATGATGACACATGCTGACAGGGACCCTGATGGGGTCAAACGGAATGTGCATTGCGGGGTGCATCGATTGGGGAACCGCGGGGAATGTGTGGGGAGACTACAAAGCTCCAAGTCCAGAATGGCAAGCAACCTGAATATTTTCCGAGAGAAGGTTGAAGGAAACAACGGTGTACACTACTTTGTAGATGCCGTTTGTGTGCCCACCCCAGATATCTCTGATGCTGCATGATTATTCTACTGCGTGCATTCGGCGAACCCCATGACAACTTCTTGGTTGTTCCAACGCTTCCGAGATCGAGCCATGTGACTGACGGAGCTTGGCGTGGATGGCCTGGGATGGTGAGGCGCTGACAGGACCGAGGTTTCGATCGAATATGGAACCTGCGGAGTCGGGTATTTCGCCCTTACTTTCTACCATTCATCGACTCTTGAAGAATGAAGGGTTGCCTGCCTCGTTGCTAAAGCCTTTTCTCTCTGGTGTCCTCAACTATCACTTCGACAGAGAAGATTGTACCCTTCGCTCCCATTTCTTTTCTCCTTTGGCGGGTGACTTTTTCCAAACGAGCAGTTGAGCTGAATTGAGCGTGCTCTCGATTGTCCCTGATTGGCCACAGCGCAACAGGCCCATGTGTGTGGTGGGAGTTGCATGTGAAGACAGGCCCTGCGTCATCCACAACCCCTGCCGTCTGTTCTCTCGGCGGCGGCCCCGCCCTCGGCAATCCTGGCCAACGGCGGGACCGTGGATGAGTGTGGAAGTGTGGAGACGGAATGTGCCATTGCCAGAGCAGCAGAGACAGCCGGGAGCGATTGCCTCGGCTTAACTTTCCGGCAGCCCAGCAGTGTCGCTTGAACCACTTGCCGACGTCAAAGGCCGCGCCCGAGAGAGACGAGCGTGGATCCAGATCCTTAATAAAAAGAGCTGCAGCATTTCCCAGCCGCGCTTCTCGAGCCCTTTTGACCTTGCTTCGACTTGTGAACCTCTCTCCATCTCTGTCTCTCTTCCACCACCTGATCTATTCCATACCCGGACAGTCCGACAAGAGTGAGCTTTATTGCTACACTCTTCCTCAAACGCTCATCTTCTTCCTCTTTTCCTTTTTATTAGTTTGTCCGCGGACATCCTTTTTCTCTTTTTTTGTCAGATACCATCCATATACACAATGGCGGGCCAATTGCGATTCGACGACCAAGTCGTTGTCGTCACTGGTGCGGGCGGTGGCCTCGGCAAGGCGTATGCGACGTTCTTTGCCTCGCGCGGCGCAAGCGTAGTGGTCAACGATCTCGGAGGTTCCTTCAAGGGCGAAGGCAACGACTCCAAGGTGCGTACTTAGGTCCCTTTTTATTGCATCATTTTTGTCCGGCGGTCTCCGGTGCTAACATAGTTTTTAGGCCGCTGATGTCGTAGTAAACGAGATTAAAGCCGCGGGCGGCAAGGCCGTGGCCAACTACGACAGCGTTGAAAATGGCGACAAGATCATCGACACCGCCATCAAGGCGTTCGGCCGGGTCGACATCCTTATCAACAACGCCGGCATCCTTCGCGACGTCAGCTTCAAGAACATGAAGGACCAGGACTGGGACCTCATTTTCAAGGTCCACGTCAAGGGTAGCTACAAGTGCGCTCGTGCTGCTTGGCCGTACTTCCGCAAGCAAAAGTACGGTCGCGTCATCAACACGGCGTCCGCTGCCGGTCTGTTCGGCAACTTCGGTCAGGCCAACTACTCGGCCGCCAAGCTCGCCATGGTTGGCTTCACTGAGACCCTGGCCAAGGAGGGTGCTAAGTACAACATCCTTGCCAACGTCATCGCTCCCATCGCTGCTAGCCGCATGACCGAAACCGTCATGCCCCCGGACGTCCTGGCTCTGATGAAGCCTGACTGGGTTGTGCCGCTTGTCGCCACCCTCGTCCACAAGAACAACACCTCCGAAACCGGCTCTATCTTCGAAGTTGGTGGTGGCCACGTCGCCAAGATCCGTTGGGAACGCTCTGGCGGTCTGCTGTGCAAGTGTGACGACTCGTACACCCCGAGCGCCATCCTCAAGAAGTGGGACAGTGTGACCGACTTCTCTAACCCCCAGTACCCCTCGGGGCCTAACGACTTCCTGACTCTGCTTGAAGAATCCCAGCAGCTGGGCGCCAACGAGCAGGGTGAGAAGATCGACTTCAACGGCCGTGTTGCCCTCGTCACCGGCGGTGGTGCGGGTATTGGCCGTGCTTACTGCCTGGCGTTCGCGAAAGCCGGTGCTTCCGTTGTTGTCAACGACCTCGTGAACCCTGACGATGTCGTCAACGAGATCAAGAAGCTGGGCGGCAAGGCCGTCGGTGCTAAGTTCTCGGCCGAGGACGGTGACGCCGTCGTCAAGGTCGCCATTGATGCGTTCGGCCGCATCGATATTGTCATCAACAATGCCGGCATCCTCCGCGACAAGGCCTTCACCAACATGGACGACAGCCTCTGGGACCCCGTCATGAACGTCCACGCCCGTGGTACCTACAAGATCACCAAGGCTGCGTGGCCCTACTTCCTCAAGCAGAAGTACGGCCGTGTCGTCAACACCACCTCGACCAGCGGTATCTACGGCAACTTTGGCCAGGCCAACTACTCTGCGGCGGTAAGACCGTTCCCTTCTATCCCCCCGTGAAATGACGAGCCCAGGCTGACTCTCTCAGAAATGTGCCATCCTCGGCCTGTCGCGTGCTCTCGCAATCGAAGGCGCCAAGTACAACATCTTCGTCAACACGATCGCCCCCAACGCGGGTACCGCCATGACCAAGACCATCCTCCCCGAGGAGCTCGTCCAGGCTTTCAAGCCCGAATACATTGCGCCCTTGGTGCTCGCTCTCTGCAGCGACAAGGTGCCCAACCCTACTGGTGGTCTGTACGAGGTCGGCAGCGGCTGGGTCGGCCAGACGAGGTGGCAGCGTACCGCCGGCCACGGCTTCCCCGTCGACGTCGTCCTCACCCCCGAGGAGGTCGTCAAGAACTGGGACGCCATCGTCACCTTTGACAAGCGCGCCGACAACCCGGAGAAGACGCAGGACAGCCTGGAGAAGATTATGGCCAACATGGAGAACCGGAGCGGCGCAGGAAAGGTATGATAAAACTGTCCAACCCGCCTGTTCCCATTCTGATTCCTGTCTGTATCGCTGTACTGTATCTATATAAAATGTATTATGAGATATCCGGTTTTATATGTAGAATACATGATATTAACATGACGTGTCTCCGTAGAGTGCCGGCGGGAACGAGTATCTCGATGCTATCCAGGAAGCCCTCAAGATCGAGGGCCCCGGGACTGAGTTCAACTTTACCGAGCGTGATGTCATGCTGTACAACCTCGGCATTGGCGCGAAGCGTAACGACCTTCGCTACGTCTTGTACGTTTTGTCTTTCACAGCCCGCTTCTTGACAACCTGACTGACCAACACAATAAACAGCGAGGGCAATGAAGAGTTCCAAGCCATCCCCACCTTTGGCGTGATCCCTCCCTTCGACGCCGAAACCCCCTATAGCCTCGACAGCCTCGTCCCCAACTTCTCCCCCATGATGCTCCTCCACGGCGAGCAGTACCTCGAGGTCCGCAAATACCCCATCCCCACCTCTGGGCGCCTCATCTCCAAGGCCAAGCTGCTCGAGGTCGTCGACAAGGGTAACGCCGCCATCGTCAAGTCCGCCGTCACAACCACCAACGCCGAGACGGGCGAGGACGTGTTCTACAACGAGATGACCGTATTCCTCCGCGGATGCGGCGGGTTCGACGGGCAGAAGAAGCCCGCCAACCGCGGCGCTAGCACGGCGGCGAATAAGATCCCCGATCGCGCCCCGGATGCTGTCGTTGAGGAGAAGACGACCGAGGAGCAGGCTGCTCTGTACCGCTTGAGCGGCGACTACAAGTACGTTTTCCCCCTTGTTACCCTACTTACTCCCTATAACTACCCACCCCTGAATCAGAAGGGACAATCCAAACTGACACACTTCTTCTACTAGCCCTCTCCACGTCGACCCCTCCTTCGCCAAGATGGGCGGCTTCAAGGTGCCCATCCTGCACGGCCTCTGCTTCTTCGGCTTCGCCGGCAAGGCCGTCTTCGAGAAATTCGGCGCCTTCAAAAACATCAAGGTGCGCTTCGCCGGCACCGTCAACCCCGGCCAGACGCTGGTCACCGAGATGTGGAAGGAAGACGGCGGCAAGAAGATTGTGTTCCAGACCAAGGTGAAGGAGACGGGCAAGTTGGCTATTGGTGGGGCCGCGGCTGAGTTGGCTTAGAGTGCCTGGGATGGTGGGAGGATGAGTAGTAGTGGGCATGGTGTGTTGGGCGAGAAGCGTGTGACGAGTTGGAATAGCGATAATAGCCAGGATGAGGATGAGGACAGAAATACCCATACCCATATCCCTTTCGACGCACACGTCGACACCTTATTTCCCGTCCGGCGTCCGGCCCCTACCACGTACGATCTATACAGAGCACTGCAGCAAGAAACATCAACAATCGCAAAATTATTAGGGACGCCGGAGAATATACACCCGGGCCTGATAGCGGAGAAGGCACTCCGCAATGTTGGAATGGCTAGTGTTATTGCTAGGTTGGCGCGGGTGAAGTTGCCTATTTTGGGGTTGGGGCAGATGGATTGGGAAGCGCTGGTTAGGGCGGCTTTGTTGTATTGGTTTTTGATTTGAGGATCTCTTTTGTCGGTTTCCCCCCCCTCTTTTGATGTAGTCGTTTTGGACACATTGGAAGGAAAGCGGGAGGTGTGTGTGAATAGCGGTTTGGTTTGTTTAGCTTGAGTAGCTTTGTTTGAAGTGAAGTGAAGTTACTTTGACGGTCTTGTGTTTCGTGTTTCGGTGATGGATGTGGTGAACTTAAGTATCAAAGATGTTCTCCGCCGTCTCATTGCGTGACATTCCCTCACTGCTCCCTGTCACTACAGACTAACTGCAAGTTATCATGGGTAGAGCATTTTGGGTCATAGACTGAGTGAGTGGGTAAATATTACCCGTGGCCATTCCATTTCAAAAAATGGGTATCATAATTCTTATATCGTAATCCTTCGCTTGGGTTATCCTCCCCTCGATCCGATCCGATCCGATCCATTCCGTTCCGTTGGTTGCATGTTTACCCCCTTTCCCTTCTCAAGACTGGTAAGCTGATGTGGAGCCCAGTTTGAGCTTGGGGAAGGGATCTATCAGTCCTTCTTCCCGTTGACCATATCCCCTCGTCTTCAAGTCCAATACCAATAGCAATACCAATCAACCATTGCCTGCGCCGATACCGATGCCGCCTACCGTCCGCCCGCCCCGCTGAGGAAATAAACAGAAAACAAGGGAGAAAGAAAAAAGGTATTAGGCTTAAAGGCAGCAGCGGCAGTAGCATAAAAAACGCACCGTTCTCGCTGGCTGGGAAGAAGTCAAAGAGAAATAAAGGCTGTAGGCAAATGAGACAACCTAGGTCATAGAACCATGAAACGCCAACCGACTGACCGAGGGATTTAAGCCCGAGTCAGGGATGGTTCTGCGGGTGCAGCATCCATCCGGCCTGGTTGCTTGACTAGCCGACTAATTGGTCGAATCGGTAAAGCAAGGAAAGGAACCCTCTGATCCTGTATTCCTGGTTTCAACCGTACCGTGAACCCTACTTTTGGTCCCATGTGTAATGTGACCTTTTCTCATTAATCGACGTCAACGGCCGGGCCACAAGGCCCCTCACGTTCGCCAGCCCTGACGCGTCTCGAAATGTTTCCCGCTTAGGTGTCCAAGAAATTGCCCAATGTCGTACGTAATATAATGCTTTGTCCATTACTGTCATTATTTCCGAGTTGCGTATGTCTCCTTTCGAATGCATTCAGATCGTTCCAACCACTCAGGATCACCAACCACCAACCAATCACGCGTCCGGCGCAACCGTGGCACTCCCCCTCTTCGTCTGGGACGAAGCGGTAATCTTCGGCTCGATATCGACGGGTTGGACATCAAAGTGCTTTGATTCATGCTTCGGCTTCGGCTGGTTCTTGATCTCAACATCCTCGTCGTCGGACTCTTGGCGTTCGGACGCGGTGTCGAAGTCGGTCTCCGCCGTCTGTGGCGTCGTCGGTTCCTTGTCGGAGTCATCGTCTGCCGACGAGGTGTGCTCAAGTGTGCGGGGTGTCGGCGGGACGGGGGACGAGGCTGACAAGGGGGGCGTCATCTCTTCCCGGTTCTCATCCTTGGTGGCGTCGTCCTTGGTTTCCGAAGGCGAGGACACGGCTTCGGTCGGGAACGCCGCAGAGGAGCTAGTCTGGGGGAGAGAGAGGGGAAGGGCGTCGACTGCCACGGTGGTGCTGACGGATGAAGAGTTCTTGGTGTGTCGGAGGCTGATGGGTTGGGGCATGCGCTTTGGCGAGGGAGACTCGGCGTATTCGATAGGGTGGGATGAGGCAGGGGAACTTGGGCTCCCGTCCACAGACGGAGCGTCAATGGAGGTTCGGGAGGCGACTGAGAGGAACGAGTTGCGGAGCGGGCTCTTCAGAGAGGAGACGTCGCCGTAGCTTCCTCGTGAGGCCCGGGCTGGGCTGCGCGCGGGGAGTGGTGGGGGAATGCGCTTCGGAATGTTCACGATGGCTCCTTTCGCTTGGATGACGTGGGTGACTTGCGAACGCTGAATTGAGGTGCGCGCTGGGCGGGCTGCTGCGGTGGCAACTTCGCAGATGACAGCCTCATCTCCTTCGTCGTCGTCCTCGTCGTCCTCGTCATCGGCATCGTCGTCTTGCGCTTCGGCTGTAGCAGTGTTGGGGCTTTCGGTCGGAATCTCCCGGTCAGCGGTTTGGGACGGTTCGGGCTGCACTTCCGTGGCAGCATGTTCTAGGGTTTCGGTGATCTCAACAGGCTCAACCGTCGCAACATCTAGTGCCGTTGGCGTGCTCGTCTCAGTTGCGGCTTCAGCGGCCGTAATCGCGGTTGGGGTCTTCAGCTCTGCAGCGGCAGCAGCGTTATCGTCGTCGACAGGTGTTGCCGTGTTGATGGGCAATAGAGTTTTGTTACTCGGCTCCGGAGCAGGCACCGTCTCGGCAGCCGGCGTCGGCTCAGAGGGGGCGGGTTTCGGCGCGGCAAACTCCATCGTCCTCCTCTTTAACTTCTCGATGATGCTCGTGTCAACCTGTGTGTAATCAACCTCGTCAGGCTCCATGACCGTGGGCAGCCTCTCGACCACTTCCTTGCCGTCATCGCTATTGGCCCGACTGAACGTGGTGTTGGCGCTGCTCGCGGTATCGGTTTGGGTGTAAGCGTCTGTCAATGTGGTCGCCTGTGTCCGCGCCGACATGCAGCTGCCTCGGTTGCTTCGCGAGACAAATGTGTCCATGCTCTGGCGACTAAACCTCCCGTACAGCGGGCTGTTAGGCCCCGGTTGGTACTCGAACTGAGTGCTAGCAGGCCGCAGCTTGCTACCGGCTTCCCGGATCTCAATCCCGGCCATTTCTAAGCCGATGACGCCAAACGGGTCCGGGTCACTGGCGTCGGGAACACCAAACGCAAGCTTGGTGGGTGATGTGAGAGTCGCTATGGACTCTCTCGGGCTTGCGATATCGGCATCGCCCGGTGCAGGCTGTTGCGCGAGCCAATCCATAAGCGCCTTGTCGAAGTCGGAACGACCCTCTGCGGCTTTGATAACCTCGAAGAGCGGCCGCATCTCGGGCACATTCTTGGGGATATTGCCCGCGAGAATGTCGAGAATGGTGACACCTTCACAATAAAACCTTTCGTTCTCGTTGGCCCGCTCTGTCACCATCGAGCCGTCCAGTTCCACCGCCTGATGTTTGCCCCTAGCCTTTACATAGGTCAAAACGGTGTCGTTGATCTCTTTCCATTTGATCTCAGGTTCCTTGCCCCCAGCCGCGACCAGGGGTCCAACGGCGAGACTGACATCCTCGCCGAGCACAAGCCGTGGGCGCGTGAAGAACTCAAGTGTTTGTACGCTGTTGATGACCAATACGCAGTCGTAAATATCGACGCCCATCACAAACGCCAACTCAGCGGTGTGAAGGATGATCGCCGATGGTGGGGACCATGTCCCGTCGGCCTTGCGCGCAGTAATCAACCCAGCACCCCCAGACCCGGACATCCACAGACCCGAGCGCATGCATGAGAAGACGGCGAGACCGACGGCATTCTGGATGATTCGTGGGGGGATCTTCTTGGTGATGTAATTTGGCGTTGGCGTGGAATCGGTCGTGTTCGTCTCGCTTTTGCTGTCTGTCTCGGATCGTTCGGAAGAATCCCCAGTCGTATCGGTCTTCTCGGTCTGTTCGAAGTCCTGCGACAGGAAGCCGTCAACTGCGTCTCTGTTAGCCCCCCGTCCTAGACAACCGACCCGCTTGCCTTCCTGCACATCTGGAACCTACAGCAGAACGACTTGATAATCCGCGCAGCTTTGTCGCACTCCTTGTCGAGGTTCGTCGGCCAATACGTTTCTCGGCCGTAGCGGGTGGGCACTGCTGTAGGCGTCGATGTGTTGAGACGAGTAGCGGGCACGACCCTGCCTGCCCATCCAAAGACCTTGGTCAGGGCACCGACAGGCGCCCTTTGTGGTGCGGGGCCGCTACTGCTGCTATTCCTGCTGTTGGTCGCAGGCGTGGAGGTGGCGATGGTGTTCCTAGCCGTGATCGGGTTCGCGGGAGCGTTCGTCGGTACGGGCGGTACAGGGGGGGTATTCGTGTTGTTCTGTCTCGACCGGTCCCACGAGGGAAGCAGAGCCGAGACACGATACATGGTGAGAAGCCGACTGCTCGGCGCCTTGAGCAGTTGTTCTCACCAGGCTCCCCGAAACGGTTGTTCGCGGACCGTACCTCTCTCTGCGCGAGAGGTAAAATCGGTGGGCGCGGCGGGGGTCTTGGAGGGTGGGAGGAATAGTTTGGCTGTCGAGAAGCCGGTTGCGGCAGAGAGGGTGCCGTCGCCGTTTTCAATCAAGGCTGAGGGCGATCCCCAACCAAGAGCCTGACCTGGGCCGCTTGGTGGGCAGTGACGTGGGCACGCCCCGGCGATCCCGCTTTCGAGGGGGGGCTCGAGGGTCCCCAACAGTGCAGTGAAAAGCAAGCCTGAGGGCCGGGGCCAGCACGACAGGGGTCCAACACCTGAACCAAGCACCGACCTGTTTTTTTTGTCTTTTACTTTTCTTCTTTTTTACGCAGGACACTGTGAAGCCACTTTTTGCCCACTGGCTGCTTTTACCCCCTGCGGTCAGGTACAAGCAATGACAATGACGCTAGCCTCAAAGTTTGTTCCCAGATTGCTTTCCCAGGGGCAGCAGCCTCCCGTGTCGGGTAAGTTGAGGGGTGGGTGTGCCGATGTGCAGGAACGAGTAGCACGCGAACAACGTGCAGCTTGGCTCCCGTGTGTCTGGTAGCAATGAGATGGTGGGAGAATTACGCTTTCAATTCGCGGCGGAGCAATGGTGGCGGGGAATGGGGCCCATGGTCGCGGCCAGAGACATGCAGTGGGCTGCAAGCCTGCAAAGAAAAAACAGCCCGTCGATCTCAACGCCGTCGAGTCCGGCCCGCCTAACCCTGCCGACCCAAGCCACGCGTGGTCCAGTCTCCCCCAGAAACCAAGAACCCAACCGTTAAGTTTTAGGCAGGTCGGTCACAAGGTGAGGTCGAGAGGTGGCCGTTGGGTGCTGGAAGGAGCGCTCGCTTTTAAAGAGAGGCGTGAGGACTCGCCGTGCAATGAGGGGCCGAGGAGGATGCGAGAGAGGAGCGCAAGAGGAAGGAGGAAGGAGGGGCCTTCTACTTTAGTCATCGTGAAGTGCAAAAACATCTGGAGCATCTCTTTTTTTTCAGCCAGAATTGGCACGGTTCCAGCCGTCCGCTAATGGTTGATCGGCTTGGTATTGCCTGCCCAGCCCCTGGTCGCCACATGAAGATCTAGAGCGGAAGACATCTCAATTCTCAACCTTTTTCTTTTCTCCACCTCCCAAGGAAGCCCTGGATGTAATCCGCTGCAGCACAATCGAGCATATCCCAAAGAAGCAAGCTGTTCGGAACCCGGCGCTGCATGTCGTCGCCCTCTCATCTAAGACACAGCCAACAAGAGAGATCGCAGGCAAAGAACCGACACAGAATCATGCACAGTCTCGACAGTTCCAAGCTTTTTCTCTCCATTCCATCAGTAACCTACACTAGTGGAGGAACGAGTTGAAACAAGAAACGAGAAATGCAGGCATAAGGCCCACCCTGCTGCCCCCTGGTTCATTTCATGGTCGTGCATGCACTATCGTTTTGTCATTTGACTGTTCGGGTGGTTCTCTCTTGACCTTTGTTGTTAACTAACTACTATGTAGCCTCAATTTAACTAGTTGTAAGCCGAGTCCACCGAGGGAGAATCCGACAGGGCCTTTGAGCAACACCATGTCATTATGTTGCTCTCCCTCGCATTCCGACAATTATATGATTCCAACAGGTTCGATTCTGGGTCCTGATCTGACCATCGATCTTCTTGCGCCGGCTCATGGTCACGATCCTCTTTCTGTTGGCTGTATCCTTTCCCAAAAGCAACAGCTCACTCGGTGGTTATCGAGCGGCGATGGAACACTCTGTAACACAACAGCACTGCACCAACACCTGCACCAAGACATGATCCAATGTCTCGGACAAGTACATGCCAACCACGCGCTGCGGGATGGCTTCTCATCCTAAGCCACAGCAACACCCGCTTTGACATTCCCACACCATGTGGTAGTACACCAATAACAACCATCGGGCCGTCTTCACAACACAGAAAACATATAGTCATCAAAGACAGGCTGAATATGTGGGAGGTTAACAACAACCAACCTCTTTGTCTAAGATCCGGTCAGCTTCAACAACAAACCGTCGGCCAAACTGCTCTTTTGGACCACTTTGTCTGACATTGCAATCAAACCATCGGCTGGTGTACCGTATGCTCTCGTCAGCTTGGACCTCAACACCCCGCCCTTGCTTTTCATGTCTGTAACATTCCCCCCTCGGCTAACTGGGACATCCCTCCTTCTTCAGAGCCGGTAGTGTCTTTTCCTTTGTCCTCGCAAGGACTCGGGCGGCCTCGTCGCCCGAGAGTTTTTTTTTCAAGTCAACAAAGTCCGTGGCGAACCTGGTGTACTGCCGGCCTGCGTTTTGGCCTCCACAGTCCTTTTGGGATGAAATCATGTAAGTGGTCTTCGGCGATAAATTGCGTGTAACCGTGAGACCAGAGCCCCCTCTCTCGCCATAACTCACATACCAGCTACCTCATCAGCTCGGATCATATGTTTTACATCTCTTTCAACCCCAGCAAAGCAATTGAAGGGGGCCATGCCTCCGACAGTTGTCCGGATTTAACCAACCTTGCCACTGCCTAGCCGAGCAAGCACATCACCCCAGCTACATGTAAAACCGCCCTCGGATGAAGGTCAAAATTCAGCGTGGCCTTTGTGTGACACCTAAAAGTAGCATAATCACCAAAAGCCGTTCACAAATATGACTACTCACTCGTAGAAACACAGATACTACATACAATGGTGGTAACACTCACTTGGTCCCACAGACAACCAATTACCGACATGTTTGCGTGACCATGGCCGAAGCATGTACGTATGTAGGATTGGAGTCAGCTAACTCGTCACCGGACAATGGACCTAGAGAAGTAACCCCAGAGTGTCTAGACCGAGTGGAGAGAGTAAATACCACTCACTCACTACATAGTACACATGTTGACATGTTGACTTGTAAATAAATAACAAATAGCCAAGGAGGCAAGGTATCCACAACGTTGCGGCTCGAGTGCGGGTAGTGCTCCGTCTGATTAAGTTTCATCGTTCCCACAACCGGCTCGTTTGGACCGGCCGCTCCACAGTCGGTCTTCGGCGACGCGCGGCGCGAATAAAAGGAACTCCGAGGTTGCCGGTCGGTTGAGAGACAGCCGAGTTCCGGGAATGGGTAACTCATTGGGGGATGAATATAAGCAAAGAGAGGGCAGCGCAAAGAAAGACTTTTAAGTCTACCCAACCGTAGCCGACGACAGTTGCTACGTAACGAACAGGCTAGCTAAAACTCAGTATATCACATACGATCAAACATGCACAAATAGTCAAGCGGAGAAGAAGCAGAAATAAAGTTGCGTTCATGTCTACCGACAATTGCTTGCATTGCATTCTATCTAAATGTTGTGTTGCGCCGTTACCCCGTTAAGAGAGCCCGGAAAAACAATAAAAAGTCCCTTTATGAGAGGGAGATTTGCCCCAAAAATAAAGCCAAGTCTAATGCTGTGCTGAAGCGAAATAAGCAATGAGTCGTTTTGTCGTCAAAAGTGTCGTTAAAATATCGTTGTCGTGAGCGTGGTGTGGTGTTGTGTTGTGTGCGTGTAGTTGTGGTGTGCGTGTGGGTGTATGTACATCCGTGTCGTGTCGTGTCTCTGATCCCTATTTCATTCTCCCTGACTTTTATCTTCCTTCCTTCCTTACATCCTTCTCTTTCTGTGTGCCGAGCGCTGTGTGCTGCGTAATTATGGTGTATGTGCGAAGAAAATAAAAGACGCCGGTGTGGCCATGTCGTCCGTCGCCAGGGCGGATCGAGAAGCATAGCCTGTGATGAGGAGCGATGTAAACAAGATGAAGCCAGTTGATGCCGCCCACCGTCTTTTCCCTCCGTTCCTTCTTTTTTTTCTTGTTTTTCTTTTTTTCCCCTTCTTTCTTTCTTCTTTCCGGCGCCCCTTGATCAAAACCTTAAACCATCAGCGTTCTTCCCAACTTGGGATACTCTCCCCCCTGAACCAAGAACCGCTCCAGTCCCAAACAGTTCACCGTCTTGATACGAGGCGTCATTCTCTCCTCCCGCTGCTCCCCTCCATATCTTCCCCCCGAAATAGTAAACTCATCCATATCCAAATCCAAATCCAGGGGCGCCCACTGATCATCTGTCACGGGGCTAAACACATACATCTCCCGCGAACTCGTCATGAAATCCCCCGCCTGAGCATCCCCTTCCATATGAAACCGCTGCAGGCGCGGCATGTTTCCCCTCAGGCCGGTAAACAGGCCCCGGAAAGAACCCTCATGGAGATGCACACCGCCGGTACTTGCTAACGACGATCGCGGAGGCGGGAGTGAGGACGAGGACGAGGAAGAAGACGACGAAGAGGATGATGAAGATGATGACACCCTCCCCGAAGCCACAGCCCCTCGCCCGCCCAGCCTCAGCCGCTCCAGCGTGGCGCCATGGCGCAGAATAAACCGCTTCAGATCCTGCTCGCCACAAGTAACCCCTTCCAGCTTAAGATCAGTCAACCGGCGGTAGACGAACTCAACACCACCACCTCCAAACAGCGCGCGGAAGGACAGATGGAACTTCTCCCGCGGCCGGTGGTAGTTGCGGAACGCGATGGTCAGATGGGTCAGGTTGGCGCTGGCGTGCAGGACGGCGGCCAGGCCGTTGAGGGCGCGGGCGCGGGCTGAGGGGAGGAGGCCGTTGGGCGGGTCGAGGACGAGGGTTAGGCGGGAAAGGGAGGCGAAGGTTGGCGCGCTGGCGAGCCAGTGGCGGCGGTCGTCGGGCAGGCGGAAGATTTCGAGGGGGAGCTGGTCGATGGAGAGGGACTCGAGATGGGGGGCGTGTCGGAGGGCGCCGATGATGGCGTTGAGGTTCTTGCAGTTCTGTTCGCGGTCGCGTTTGCTGTTGTTGCTGCTGGGGTTGGGATTGGGGGTGGTGTTGCCGCGGGTGTCGAAGACGTCCTGCAGTAAGGGGAAGTCATAGGGGGATCTGGCGAGGTTGATGTTGAGCTCGCGGAGGTTGGGCAGACATTCAAAGGCTTCCGCGAGGAGGGCGGAGCGGGCGTGTAACGGCGGTAGGTTGCGAGTGGCCACCTGGATTTCAAAGTAACGCATCCAGGCGTCCTGCAAGGGCGAATTAGGCGAGCTCGGCGAGCAGGGCGAGCCGGGGGAACTGAGCCCATGCTCGTCATCATTGGAGGCCGTTGGGTGCCATGCGTCGAAGGAGGCGATGGAGGCAGTGGTGTTGCTGTTGCAAGCATTGTTGTATGCGTCGATTTTGCCAAACTTGAAGGTCAGCGAGCGGATGGCACCGCGGAGTCGGTCGTGACCGGCAATGGACCGCAGCCGTGAGATGTCATCACGCCAGTCAACCGCGAGAAAGTGCGGCTCGATTAGGTACTCGTAGCCCACGTCGGCGTACCGCCCGGCGGTCTCGCGGAGGGCCTTCACGCTGGGGCCATCACAGTGCTGGAAGATGAGGCGGACCAGCTCAACGGGGAGAAAGTCCATGCTGGAACGACGGAGGAAGGGGGAGGACCAAGGAACACCAGAGATGCTGAGCGTCAGCTGGGCCCATCGGTAGGTTGAGATGCCGTCGGTTCAGAGGAGTCAGCCGAAGAGGGATAGGAGCCAAAGAGTTGCCGTCGAGGAGGCTGATTGCTAATAGTTGCTAATAGATGTCTGGCCTCCAGAGGGTCCAGAATAACAAAAATAATAAAAAAGACCAAGGTGAGGCCGATGACATGGGACACCGGGTGAGTTGCCAGACTTATTCCCTTTCCACATTCAGTACACACCGCTAAGGCAGAGCCTGCGTGTTGCGTCTGACAGAGAGCTACGACCAATCACCGGCCCGCAGCGGACTCTCTGGCGGTCGATTGTCAGCTTTCTCTCTCTCTTTTTTTTTCTTCCGAGCCTTGTGCTGCTGGCGTGCCTGGTGAGTCGACGAACAGCAATGCAGCAGAGCCTGAGAACCAAGAAGATGGCAAGGAAAAAAAAGAAGGAAGAGACAACAAACCCTTGACTGCTTGGCTGGCTGGCAAGGCTAAGTCCCTGGGATTTGGAAGACTCCCCACTGCCCCTTGCGTTAGCTGGCTTTTGGATGATGGAGTGAGTTGGCTCATTGGCTCTTTTGAGTCAAGAGACGGAAAAAAAAAGCTCAAAATCTAAACCAGCCAGGGACAGGATGGCAAATTGGAAGCGGTGCTGCACCGCTCGACACCGAAAGTTCGGAGGCGAGAAGTCGGTGAGAGAGCGCTGAGCCTTTCGAGACAACGCAGGTCCGGACGGGGGGTCCCGTTCGACCACGACACACCAGAGCACTCATGGCCCCCATGCCCACTAGATTTTACCCATGCCCGGCCTGCAGAAGGCATCTGCACCCAAATTCCCAACCCCAGCGACCCAGCAGAACACACACACAACCACACACGACCTGCGTCAGCGACGCAGCGTTGCTTGTGTCGTCAGGACGGGGCAAGCAGGTCCGGCATCAGGGACAGGAAGCAGAAGCAGGGGTGGAATGAAAGACAGGCAAGCCAGATCAGGGGAAAACGCAACAACACCACACCATCAGGGCGCCGCTAAAAACCCCCCGCCCACCACCAAACCGCCGGTTCTGCGTGCACGCATCGATGGTTGGCCGGCTGGTTGCAGGGTCTCATTCTTTCGGGCGTCCGCTCTTCTGTTTCTCTTCGGACAGGTCAACAACAGAGGCGGACACCTTTGTCCACGTGCCTGCAAAAGTCTGGAGGAGCGAGAGGGGAAGATGAAGAAAAAAAAAGATCCTGGTAGCCCGATCGCTGGGGATTGAATCGATTTGATTGAGTTTGACGCAATGCCTTCTGGTCATGTCTGGCGGACCACTTGCGGTGCTGGGTTTCTCAAGGTTCCCGAAAGAGCGGACTGGGGGGGTGGCACCGGGAGTTTGGGCGGTGAGCCAGCGCAAGCGAGCGGGCGAGCGATCGGAGCACGGAGAAAGGTGAGTGGTTGATGGGTTAGCGATCCCATCCTCGTGTGGTGTCCGGCTCAACAGATGCGCTCCGCCTTTTGGGGTTTCTTTGGTGTTCCGTTTCACTTTTCCTCCCCCTTCCAGTGCCTGCTTCTGGCAGTTTTGCCTTTTGTGTGACGGAATGGAGGTGTGACGAGGCCGATGTGATGACGAAGGGCATCTGCTGGTTGAATCGTGGCTTTTTTCTTTTGCCTTTGGGGGTTGTTTCTCTGGGTTTTTGTGCTGTGTCTCTTCTGACCCGTTTCTCTCTTCTTCGTTCCCTTCGCATTTCTATTTTATTTTCTGCTTGCAGGTCCCAGAGTGATTTCTGATTATCTCTCCTGTTGTCTCTCGTTTTTCCCGCTTTTTTCCCCGGTAATTTTGAGTTTGCACTTCATCGGCCACCGGCCGGTTCGCAGCGGGGGCCGATCACTGGCGCCGATCCTCACGAGATCTGAAGCTAATGTCTTCGAGAAGCCTTCCCTTCCTGCCCAGCCTAAGCTAGCAGTGGCCACCGCTGTCCAAATTGTCTGAAATGGCGGACAGAAAGGGAGGAATCTGCCCGAAAAGGCGGGCAAGTAAACTCATGACCCGCACGCCTGGCAAACTCATTCTGTGGGAATGGTTCGCAGTGCTCATGAACGATGTGTTGTTGCATCCTGTAGTCTGCTCGACGCGGGGGATACTGACTGGACGGTCCCGTTTGGGATTGGTGGTTGTCTCACTTGCCCACCTCGTGCCCTCTTTCCTCTCCCCCGCCCCCTCCTCTTGTAGTGGCTCTTATTCCTACACGTTCATTTAGGATTTACTGGAGAAAGTTATGGGGAGAGGGGTTACACCGACTGCATGTAGGCGAACACGGCCCATCCACGCCATCGGGTGCCCACGAGGAGGCGAGAGAGTGACATGTCGTCGTATCGATTAGCTGGGGGTGATGATTGGCCTGTTGGGACCTAACTGCCCCAGGACAAGACGGGAGTCATCGGGTGAGCAAAGCCGTGTCCAGGCAGCTTTGGATGTCTTGACTTCGCCCACCCGTATTTTCAACACATTGTGAGGCCGCCGCAGTGTTGATGAACTGCTTACTAACGTTAGATATGGAATGGTCTGGACCCCATTCTTCTCATCGGCCGCAACATGAATAACTATATCGGAGATGTCCGTCAACAAACAGACACCTGCTGGGCGAGCGAACCCTAACCCTGACCCGGCTACAGAGTTGGAGCTTGTGGATACTTTGAACCAGGCGGTCGACTGCTTGATGCTACTCCTGTAGTTAGACAAAACGTGAAGTAGAAAAGTCCTTCTGGCTATATGTCTCACTGATGAGCGCTCTAGCAACTCTTGAAGCTGGAACGCCGCGAAGCAAGCCTCTGACTTGTTTTGATGTTCTTGGCCAAAGGACGGATCGGGGCCGCTATTAGTAGACATAACAAGGCTGGTTGGAGAGTTCACCAAGGCCGATTTAGGGGTTGTCAAGGGTCTCATCCTGCAAATGACTTTGAGACGTATGTGTAGTTAGTTGAAAAGGGATTGGGATTGGGTCGGGACAATGGTCACAGGTTCATCGTTTTTGACTAGAATCGTCCCTTCCAAGCTGGTATGTCAATTACGGGTCAGGCGTCCTGGACAAATGCTGACAAAGAAGGAGCGAGCGATATGCAGCCTTTCCGTCCATAAAAGTGACAACCTAAACGATGCCGAGAGTTTATATGCACGCTGATATAGTCATCTATGCTTCATATTTTAATGTCAAAGGTGTATCAATCCATGTGTGAAAGGGGACAACTTTCTCGGGTTCAAAGAGGCTCTGGATGAGGTTCCCAGGGTCACGCCCACACTCTTGAGCAGCACGGGCCCAAAACACGTGCCATGTTAGGTACCCTGGTACCTGAGTTACAGGGCGGTACTGCCCTCTGCGCTCGTGACATAGGCTCCTCTCTCAGCACCGCCTGGCACCCCTCCAGGCACTCCATGTCCCAACAAAACCTCCCAAGCTTCCCTGACGCAACAACCAACAACCCACCTCGGTGCAGTCAACCACCACGCACTGAACCCGTCAACGCGTCCTCCCGTGAGCATCACCATGACCCAAACATCCGCCGGGACCTCCACGACGCACAGGTAGCAACAAAAACCCGAAATTCCCCTCCGAACCGAGCATGTAGCTATCGATTTCAAAAGGAGTCCATCATCCACCACGGGCCGCCATCATGGGGTTCTCAAATCTATTCGGTGTCGGCGCACCATCATCGGGGAACCGCGCAGGTAAAGGAACAGCGGCAGAGGCAGCGACAACAGAAGCGGCAGGAAAATCCGGAAAGAAAGAATCTACCAAAAAAATCCCGTCATCGACCAGCGCCGAGTCGCTACAACCGACACGAACGACACCACCAGCTTGCTCACCACCCTCCACGTCGTCCCAGGAGTCACGAATGCCCGACACCGCACTCGAACACATCGCAGATGAGTCTGATTTGCGACCCGTCGATCCGCCCCCGCCCGACCTCCGGGAGCTGAACGCGTGTCTGGATGCTCTCGCAGCCGTGTTCCCGGACATCCAGATCGAGGTGTTCCGGGACATGTTTGCGAGCTTTGACGGAGAATCAAGACTAGCCGTGGTAGCGGACGCCTTGCTGAAGAATCGCGCGTCGTGGGTCAAGGGCCGGTGGAAGGTTCCCGCCGTCGACGCCGCGGGGAGTAATAATAACGGTGGGGAAGAGGGAGGAGGGAAGACTGGTGCTGGTACCGGTGCTGATGCTCGTGCTGGTGGCGGGCTGGTTCCCTTAAAAGAGACCTTCCGTAGCGCCGAGTACAAGCGGGCGGTCAAGTCGCTTGCGTACCACGAGTTCAAGGGGCTGTCCCGCTCGGCGATCCACGCGGTGCTGGCGGAGCACAACTACTCCTACCTCGACGCCCGTCAGACCCTAGTCGACCTGTCGTCCAAATCCTGGCGCTTTACACTCTCGTCGCTCTTTCTCCGCCGTCGCCCCGTGTTAGCCACCGAGGCGGAGAGCCACCCCCTGGTTGTCTGGAAATCGACCGGCCGGGGGTCCATCGTGCCGACGATCAAGCCGACTAGCAGCGCGGAGCTCGACCGGGAGCTGTTTGCGGCGTTGATTACGCCGCTGACGGAGCGTGCCCAGGCTGCGCGCGACGCGAGTGACCGTCAATTGGCCATGGAGCTCAACAATGCCGAGGCCGAGCAGGCCGGGAGCATGATCGAGTGTGCCTGCTGCTTCACGGAGTCGGCGTTTGAGGAGTTTGTTTCATGCACCGGTGACGCTGCCCACATGGTTTGCTTCCGGTGTGTGCAGCACTGCATTTCCGAGGCGATCTTTGGGCAAGGGTGGCAGCACAATATCAACAAGGAGACGGGCAGCCTGCGGTGTCCGGCTCTGGAGTCGACGACATGTGGTGGCTTCGTGGCCCCGTATCATATTCACCGAGCCATGCTCCAGGAGAAGAATGGGGCAGAGGTTATGCGGCAATTTGAGCACCGACTGGCCGACCACAACCTGGCCGCCAGTGGGCTGCCGCTGATACGGTGCCCCTTTTGCGCATATGCCGAGGTAGACGACATATACATGCCCGTTGACGAGTGGGACCTGCTCTTACCGACGTGGAGCATAAAGGCTGTGTGCGTCGCCTGCCTCTGGCTCTCGGTGTGCTTGGTACTGCTCGTATTCTTCGTCTACCTCATCATCCCCCTCGTCATCTTCGGCCTCATCTTCTACTCGGATCGAAACATCCCCGAAGAATTCCGTGATGCGATCCGACGACGCCGACGCCGACGTCGCGGTCTGCGGTTCGACTGCCAGAACCCAGACTGCGGGCGCCCTTCGTGCATCGGATGCGAGAAGGCGTGGGTCGACGTCCACGTGTGCAACGAGTCCTCGCTCGTCGCGCTCCGCACGCAGGTCGAGCAGGCCATGAGCATGGCGGTCAAGCGCGTGTGTCCGCGCTGCAACACGTCGTTTGTCAAGAACTCGGGGTGCAACAAGATGACGTGCCCGTGCGGGTACCAGATGTGCTATGTCTGCCGCAAGGACATCAGCGCTAACAGCGGCGAGGTCGGGTACCAGCACTTTTGCAACCATTTCCGCCCCAACGGCGATGCGAACAAGCAGTGTGCCGAGTGCAATAAGTGTAATCTGTGGGGGATTGAAAGCGATGACGAGGTGATGCGCAAGGCGAAAGAGGAGGCGGAGCGCAAGTGGAGTGAGACGGAGAAAAAGGAGGGATTGTCTGCGGCCGAGGTGCGGTATATTGAAACCGGGTTGGCTACATCGCAGTCGGCCGCCGGTGGGATGGAAACTGCGGTTCGTCAGGGGCGTATGCCGACGATAGCTGAGGTTTGCGATACCGTGGTGGAGTTTCTTTCGCCCTAGGGAGCCCAAGAGGGGACAAGGTTGGGGGCAAAGAGGAGATCAATAAGAGCGATTGGAAACACGGGACATGCGATATTGGGTATGGAGTAAGGGAATTACAGACAGAGTATGGGGTATGGGATACACGGCTGGGGCTGGCGTACGAGACTGATGAGGAATTGATGAAGGGGACTTGGGAAGCTCTGGATGGACTCTGTTTTAAACGGGCTTTGCATTTACACGGGGTGTTGGAAGGACAAAGGGATACCCAAGACAGAAGATTCACGGCTCTGTACCCGCATAGTAGCAGCATACCACAGATTAATTGGTAATCAATAGACTATGTTTGGAGGAGATTTCAGCAAAACTTGTGATTTACGGATATGTCGACTTGGTTGGCAAGGTAGTTAACTCGTTACGTTGATGTTCACATTCAAGCACAGGGTGAGCTGCTTATGTCAGCAAACCACTCAGGCCGTCCGAGCTCCAAAATTCTCCGCCGTCCACCCAGCGACGCGTGCACGCGCCAACAACCTCGAGCTCCCCACCACCACCGCAAGGGACGATACCCTCTCGAAGTTTACAGACTTCGACGACTTGCCCGGCCTCAATTCGTCGCTTGAGCATCGCGACAACCGGCGTCTAGACCGTGCGGAGATCTTTTTTTGGTTCGGTCTCCGTATACGACACCGTTGCACAGTTGTGCTGCGCGCAACGCAGGGCGCATTCCTTAGTTGCAGCTGCAGTCGTCCAATTCGAAGCGTCAAAAGGATCGAAATCGAAAAATAAATCCCACATCCTATCTCCGCACACCAATCCATCCCCAAATTGTCGACCTTAAAGCCCCGCCGTCACCACCACAATGTCCACGCAAACGGGCAAGTGGCGCGAGGAGCAAGTCCTCGTGCTCTGCCCGGGCAGCCAGACCACGCTGGCTCAGCTGGGCTGCAACGAGCTGACGCCGCCCGCGCACCGGTTCCCCACGCGCATGTTCCGCGACAGCGAGTCGTCGTCGTCGTCTGAGGATTACTGGCGCCCGTATCATACGTATCGGCGGAAGAAGGAAGGGAGTGGGGAGAGTGGCAGTGGTGGGGGTCTTGTTGTTGGAGAAGGGGGGAAGGAGGATGGTGGGGAGGGTGAGGGGGAGTGGGAGTTTGTGGAGGATGTGGATTCGGTGGAGGGGGCGGTGTATCCGATTCAGGGTGAGTGATCTTTTGTTTGCGGATGGGGAATGGGGAGCAATAAGAAAAGCGAAGTAGAGAGGGGAAAGAGGGAGAGAGAAAAGTGCTGACATTTCTCCTGCTAGCCGGCCGCATCGTCAACATGGACGCCTTCCTCGCCTTCCTCGAGCACGTCCACGCCCAATTGACTACCACCTACCACAACACCCCAATCATGCTCATGGCCTCGCCGCAATGGACCCGCCCCGACTGCGAAACCATCGCGCGCTACATCTTTGAAAAGACCAAGACACCCGCTCTGTGCCTGATCCACAGCGGCATTGCCACCCAGTACGGCCTCAAGTGGCCCAACATGACGGTCGTGGACGTTGGGTTCCAAAAAGTCGACGTCACGTGTATTCACGACGGCCGCGTGGTCTCGCATCGCGATGTCGGCCCTGCCGATACGGATGCCATCAGCGGTGGGGAGGTTTTCACGCAGCGCCTTTTCAAGCTGCTGGAGAGCAAAGGGTTTGACTACGATATGGCCGAGCAGCTGAAGAAGAGTGCTGTCTGCGAGGTCCTGCCGTACGCGCCGGAGCAACCGGAGCTCGTGGAGTTGCCCGTGGAGACTGCTTCTGCTCCTGCTGCTGCTGCTAGTACTGCTGGACCTGGGAACGGGGCGGCGGCTGGGGCATCGGCACTATCAGGCGACGGGGCCAAGCCGGCAGAACAACCAGCAGAGCGCCTTCTAGGAAACGGAAACGGAGAGAATGGCACCAACGGCGAGGGTAGAGAGGGTGGAGACGACGACGGGGTGCTTGATGTAGCCAATATTGTCGCGAGCGGCCAGACGAGGGAGTTTCTGGCCAAGAAGGAGAAGGAAAAGGCGGAGAAGGGGAAGCCTGGGCGGAAACCGAAGGATAAGGAGGCGGCTGCAGCTGCGGAGGCTGCCGCTAAGGCTATTAAGCTTCCCAACTCGAAGCGGTATCGGGGCGTGTTCCACTACGAAGAGCTCGTTACGGAGGATGTCCCGATCGCCGAGCCGCCCAAGGAGAACGGCGGCCAGGATGTTGGCATGACCGAAGCGCCGGCTGTTGCCGAAGGTGCTGCTTCTGCTGCACCAACAGCGACGGCTGGTGATGAGCCTAAGGCGGAGGGCGAACCAACTGGCACTGAAGAGCAGAAACCCGAGGCCGAAGCCCAATCTACTCCTGCGGTCCCGCAACCAGTCCAACCCACAGAGTCCGCCCCAGCTCCGTCAACCGCAGCGACGACAACAACGACGACAGCCACCGAACGTGTAACCCGCCGCGTGCGCCGCGATATCGAAGTCGGCCTCGAGCGCTTCCAGTTCGCCGACCGCCGCGAAATCGACCGTATCGTGGCCGCCATCTACCACGCCGTGCAGGGCATCGAAGACATGTACATGCGCCCCGGCTGCTGGGAGAACCTCGTCTTCGTCGGCAACGGCGCGCGCATCCGCGGTCTGCGCGACAACATCCTCCAGACCCTCCAGGCGCGCCACCTCATCTCCCCCAGCACAGCCACCATGTTCACCTCCGAACTACCCTCCAACATCGGCACCCCCTCAGCCACAGGCTCCCAAACCCCCACGGCCTCCGGCTCCGGCCAGCTGCCCACCACCAGCAGCGTCAACCCCTTGCTCCTGGCCGCGACCACGGGCGCCAACCCCAACGCGCCCAACAACCCCAACAACGCGGGCGACGCCGCTGCTGGTGGGAATGCCCACACCAGCCACCACTTCCACAGCCAGACGCCGACCAACATCCGGCTGGCGCCGCTGCCGTCGTATCTGACGGAGTGGACGAAGCACGGGTTTGAGGAGGCCATGTTCCTTGGCGCGCAGGTCGCTGCGCGGCTGGCGTTTTGTATCCATAATTTGGATGCGCAGGGCCTGGAGGCGCAGCGGTTGATGAGTTTGAGTCGGGTGGATTATAAGTGAGTTTTTTTTTTCTGTTTCCCCCCTTTCTTCATTTGATTTCGGTCTGCTAACAGCGAATACAGTGAACTTGGTCCCAAGGGCGTGCGGTCGCATTCCATGCTCGGGTGAGAAGCCCGAGGTTGGATGAGTGACTTGATATGGGGAGCCAGTGCAGGAGGAGAGTGGAATTAGGCTATCCTATCCTGAGTGTCAGGAGTTTGTTATTACGGCAAAAGTCGGCTTCATTATTTTTTCCTCTGTTATCCTTTTTTTAGCTCGTTTGGGGAGGATGGAGGAGTGTTCGGGTAGGCGTAGCGAGGATTGTTTCGAGAATGTAAATTTATACCCCGGATACTGGGGCTGGTAGCTGTTTACAGCTCTGTGTTGACAACGGAGACCATGTACCTATCCTAGTACCTGACTCACCTTGTGTTGTGTGTAGGGAACCGAGCTCCATGCCGTTACGTAGTGTAAGTAGCATCATGGAGGTCCATGCTGCCGTAAGGTCGAGGTCCACCCTTGAACACCGTTCCGTTTCGCGAGTATATGGCCCACGCCTATCGCGGGAATAGAGTCAAAAACTGATCCTCACAGGGTTAGGGTTCTTGAACCGACAACCCAGCTCTCTGTCCAACCTTGAACAACCGGGTCACACCATGACTCACTCACTAACATTCTCGAACCTCTTTATATTCTTACTTTTTCTTTCCCAATCCCGAATCTAGGAGGATAGTTCGGTCCTCCTCTCACATCTTTACTTATCCCGTCTCAACATCTATATCTGTCAACCTCTCTGTCTCCTCTCGGATCCCCTTCTCTCTCGCTACCATGTCCACCACCCGGCGACTCATCTCCTCCGGCTCGAAGTTCGAGTCTCTAATCGGCTACTCGCGTGCCGTGGTGTCGGGGGATATGATCTTTGTGTCTGGATGCACGGGGTAGTACTCTTTTCATTCTTCGATACCCCGTATCTCCTACCAGCTTTCCCTCTTGAGTCACCCCCCTTTTCCCCCTCCCCTCTTATCTCAAGCTTATATCTACTCTCTACTCACTGTCACCCTACCCCCTAAGCTATTCTCACCAATCAACCCCGGTAGACCCAACCAACCAAATAGAAACACAAGACTAACCGAGAGAAAATGACATCCTAGATACGACTACAAAACCAACACTATCTCCCCCAACGTCGTCGAGCAAGCAGAGCAGTGCATGCTCAACATTGCGGCTGCGCTGGCTGAAGCGGGCGCAGAGATGGGTGATATCGTGCGGGTGCAGTATACTTTGCCGGACAGGCGGGATTTTGAGAAGACGTGGTATGTGTTGTCTTTTTTCCTTTTTTTGGTGTTCTTGGTTTATCCGTTTGGCTGGTTGTTTGCTGCTTTTCGTCTGTTTTCCCCGTTTCTAGTTTCGAGTTTCAAGGGTTAGTCTTGAGTTCCTGGGTCCTTGTTGTGCTTGATCAGGTGGAGTTGTGTAAAACACTGTGAAGATGATTTTCTTCTTAGTCAGGAGGGATACAGATACAGAAGCTGAAACGTCCAGGCCCGTCCTCCGAAAATGGCTCGGCGAGGTCCGGCCCGCGGCAACGATGGTGCAGGCCGAGCTATTAGAAGAGGCGATGAAGATTGAGATTGAAGTAACGGCCAAGAAGGAGCGGGCGTAAGTAGAACTGGCTGGTCATTAAAAATAGGGGACGCCATTCAATACAATGCAAACCAATGGTTGAATCCATACATAGAACAATTGTTCCATATTGAAAAGTAAAAACACATCTTCGTATTACATCGCCCAAGTGTACCAGTACATCCAGCGGTAGGGATATGTGAATCAGAACACCAGCACAAGCCCCCTTCTCCCACCTAAATAAAGCGGAGCAGTAATGGCTTGTCCAAACAAAACAACACCGAACCAAAACGAAATAGCCAGTCCTCAAACCAGGTATAACGCCTTCCCTGCGCAAGAAAAAAAAAGAATGTTCCGCTCCGTATCATGTTCATGCAGCGTGTCGTTTTGCGTCATTGCCCAGTAAAAAAGAGTGCCTGGGATCCAGCGTAGCCATCATCATTGCCATCATCGAATAACCTCCTCTCCATGCCGCTTTCCCCCCATTCCTTAGCTACCACCCCCATTCCCACTTCCACTACTACTGCTGTCAAGATTCTCCGAAAACACACTCCTCCTCAATGGACTACTCGGTCCCTGCGCTAGCCCATGTCCTGGCCCATGACCACCATTGCCGGGCGCCGCAGTCGTGGTGAGCGGGGAGACCACGGCAGCCTCGGTGAGGCTGCTCACCACGCGGGGATCGCCTCCAGGCGCGCCACTGTTACTTGTTGTCCCGCTAGGCCCGGATGTGGTTGCAGAGCTGAGCATGCTGACGCCGCTTAGCACACGTTCCCTGGCCGCGATGTTGTTGTCAGTGCCGGATGTGGTCCCCGCGCCTGCTGCTCCGGCCGCAGCTGCAGCGCCAGCACCAGCGCCGGGCGCCGTGGCAAGAGAAGATATGGTGGTATCGCTGATTTGTCGTAGATGCGCGCGGTCGCGTTCTGAGAGGTTGGAAATCCCAGAAAGGAACTTGTCACGGCCCGCAGCGCCTTGTACCGCGACGGGGGCGGGCGACACTGGGGTGTTCGTGGCATTGGTGTTAGTGTTGGTCGGCGATGTCGCAGCCGAGCCGGTCATGACGCCGCGGGGAAGGGCGTCCGAGTCGGGGCGATAATAGATTGGGGATTCAACTTGGGCCATGGGCGGCGGCGGAGTCGGAATGGGGAAGGCCGAGTGCGATGGGGGTTGCGATTGCGAGGGTGTGCTGGCGTGGTCGGTCTGGTGAGTTGAGGAGTAGTTGGTGCTGTTGTTGAGCGAGGCCCCGGCAGCGGTAACGCCGGCAGCAGTGGCGGAAGTAGGCGAGAGCGCAGCGGAGTGGAGTTCAGCAGCTGGCGGGGAGGTGTCTGGAAAGCGTGTGAGTCCCAAGAGCGTTGCGCGTAGCAAAGGAGAGGGAAGAAAAGAAAGAGAGAGAGAGAAAAGAAATACCTGGCAACTCGGCTACGGGCACCCCAGTGCCCATCATCTCTGCGATGGACGCCGGCTGGGCGGCGCTAACGCTACTATCGGGATCCGGAGTGGGAGAGCTAACGGGTAGATAGTCAGACGACGTTACCGTGGGCGGCGACTTGAATCCGGATGGGGAGTTGGTCTGGCCGCGCAGCCAGGAAGCGATGCGGTTCCCGTTGGTGTCCTCGGTCCCGGCTTCGCTCATCGGCCCGCCGCGGCGCAGCAGCCGCCGACGCCGCCAGAGCAGGATGAGCACGGCCACCATAGTGAGAAAGACGAGGCCGAGCACCACGCCCAGCACGGGTGGAAGATAGGATGGGAGACCGCCACCGCCGTCGTTTCCGCCCTCGGATCCAGGAGGCGGCGGCGCGTCTGGGTTGGTGTTGTTGATGGGGCCTACCGATGCGTACGGATAGTACGTCTTGATCTTCTCCATGGGGTACGCCGTGGCAAAGATGCCTTCCAGCTCCTTGGCACCCCACGATCCGTCCGGCTTGGTCACCGTAGCGCCCCCGGTGCCGCTGCCGCCAATCTTGGCCACGATGGCGTCGGGCACCGTGTACTCAGACCACACTGCCGGGTCGTACCGGTCTAGCCACTCGCCGCTGGACATGTTGTACACGCGGATCGTCTCGCTCAGGCACTTGTACTCGGAAGTCAGGGCGGCTGCGCCTCCGATGGCGAACATCTGGTCCGGGTACGGCTTGACACACTTGTGCGCGGCCCTAGCTTGTTTCGCATCGCCTGACGTCAACTTGGTCCAGATGAACGAGGGCAGTGACAACACCCAGACGTCGTCGGTGAAGACCTTGGGGTCCTCCATGTTCCGCCCGTTGTAGCCGCCGTAGTAGTAGATGTTGAAGCTCGAGCCGTCCTGCGCAGCGGCCACCACGGCACACCCCCTGACGAGCGCGTCGCTCGGGCCGCCCGTCGACTTCTGGCGATACCACTTGCGAGTCTCTACGTCGTAGATATCCAGGGTGGCCATGAATCCGGGGCTGGTCTTGGCCTGTGGGCTTTGGTTAGCGGCTGTGGTGGCTGAGGAATTCCGAGTAAACTCACACTTTCTGATAGGTTCTTGGATTCCCAGGAGTACGAAGCAAAGTCGCCGTACACAGCACCGCCAATGGCGACTAGGATCCCACGCTTCCCGACGGGCACCCACACCAGCTCGGACCCAGCGCGCCCCGGAGTCGTTGGCGGCAGCGTGACATTCGTAAACACCTCCTTGCTTTGCCCGGGGCCCATGTCCAACGTGATGAGCGTGTCCGACACCCGAACCGGCGCTGTGTCCTCCACGTTGCTGTAGACGCTGTATATCTTCCCTCGCTTGGGTGCGCTATTGCCTGAGAAGTACCAGGCTAGGTTCTCCGACGGTGCGCTGGCGGCGCCCCCAAAGGCTAGCCACTGCGTCACGTCTTCCGGTAGACCTTTGGAGACAAAGGACGGATTGAACGTATGATCAACCCCGTACTTATACCCTTCGTAGCACAGGACTTTGGTGGGGTCGGGGTCGGAACGGTTGTCCCCCGGTGGCGAGATCGTGCCGCCGTAAAGAAAGAACTCGGAGTCGTTGTAGAGCAGCTCGCCGTCTTCATAGTTGGGCGCGCGGGGGTTGAGGTTCCCACCCCCGGTTGTGATGGTGTCGAAGAGGGCCGTGATGTTGTCCGTCGTCTTGAACGGAGTGCTGAAGTTCAAGGTGTAAACGAGTCCCAGTGGATTGTCTGGGGTAGAGTCAGTCACCATTACCCACACCCAATCCACTCTTGTACCCCTTCCTCAACGAAGCTAGGGCACCGCGAGAGAGAGATGACGGCTACTTACTGTCGTCTACCGGGATCGGACTCGTCGAGCCATCAGCATAGGTGGGCCACCACCAGAGCTTCCCGCCATCGAGATACAAAGTGTCATGAAGGACCGCCGCTAATCGGGACGGTTAGTCGCATGGTCATGAAAAGCTTCGGCGATACTGGGAGGACGAAACTCACCACGAAGCCCGCCCCACGAGCAAATGGACGTGCTGACTTGGTTAGGGCTCCATACCGCCTGGCCGACGACAACCGAGGCCGAGAGAGCCAGGCCGGCGAGGAGGTTTGTTCCCAACATGGCGATCGGGTGTTGTTTGATCCGTTAATGAGTGCCACTGAGCAAAAGAAACGCGCCTCAGGCAGAAGAACGGCTCATGAGCGAACACCGGGCCAGCATTTGTCTTGTATGGATCACGATGTCTAATCTGTCAAACCAACCATGCAGTCAAATTGACCCGCCCTGCGGGAACTTAGGGAATCGCGCGAAATTGGGAGGTGATAGTCAGGAGAGAGAATCTCGAAACAATTCCTGGCAGCCGAGACCCGCTCATGGAGCAAACACATACCAGCGAACAAGCGCAATGGAATGAGAATGCAAGTCAGCGAAGCCCCTCGCATGTCGTGGGGGGGGGACTCTTGTCCGTCTGCCGGCCAGAGGTTCGCCAACAGCCTGGCCGAGCCCACCGAGATCCCTCCCATGCCCAGACCAAAAAAGAGAATCGGGCTGCTGCCAAGGGCGAGCCGCAAGTCCGCAAAAGGACCCCGCAGGAAGTCAGCCAATCGTCAGCCCGCAAGCTGGTCAGCCATTTTTCGGACGCCATCCTCCTCTTATTGGGTGGGTGAGTTCGAGCGGGTGGGCTCGGTTGTCACTGTTGGCACTGTTGGTTCGCATCTTGTTGCCGTCCCAGGGTGAGGGACATGTGTCGTCGAGGAGAGGGAACGATCACCGCCACAGTTTGATTGGGGTTCATCAGGTTGTTGGGGGGAAAGGCACTCTCTCAGTCAACGGTATCCAGGAGTAAGTGATGAGATGACCCTTTCATTTCTTGCGAGGTGATGAAGTCGAGTTTTCGTAGGCCACGACAAAATCGGAGTTCGAGGCCTGCCAGAAATAGATGAGCTTGCCCTTAACCGTAGTCGCGAACTTCCTCATTGCGGTACGCCAAACGCCTTTGCTCGGGGGAACAGTAAATATTTGGCGCGGAGTAAAGTCAGAAATATTGGCGCCGATGGCGATGGCTTCTCCCGTGAATTGATGGCTTGAGATGTCATGACGTGTTTCCTTGCAAAGCTCGGCGACTCGAATCATTGTCAACACTTTGCCGTCAACCCTGGGCGAGATCACGGACCATGTCCCTCTCAGCCTTGCCTGTCACGAGCCGTCGTGCCTGGGCTTGCAAGTCGAGGATCGACGGCAGGGAAGGCCATGTTGGCCAGTGCTCACAATTGGCTCCGCGTGCCGGACTTGCGGCTGAGCCTGGAGAGCACAGGGTCGTGGAGGGCGGCACCACTGGAAGGCCACAAGCTCGCCGACCCCAGGCATGTGTCGTATCCCGATGCAGAACGGCTGGTTGGTGAACCGTCCTTGATGTGGATGTCACGCTCGAGACCCTGGCCACAGAACAAAATCACACCCGCGCTGCTTCCCGATGCCCAAATGGGGCGAATTGCCGGCGTTTGTTCCTCGGTTTGGCCTGACAATATTCAGGAGAACCGCCCAGAGTCGAGAGTATGGTGGCGGGAAATCTGCCGTGGATTACTGTTCTCAGTATCATGATGGGGAAGCCGGCTTGCTGCGGCGTTGACGCTGGAGGTTACAAGATTTCAGAGGATGCTAACTACGGAGTAACTACTTGAGAGGCTGAATGGTTTGGTACACAGGGTGGAGCTAATTGACGGAAGAGAAGGACAGGAAAAGTGCTGCGAAAGACGATCGAAGGCTCTTGACGGTAAACGCGTCTCCCCCACTCCATCTTTGGAGCTGTATCACCAGCCTGACCGAGCTGATGAGGGCGTGCTGACGGTTGTCGCGGGTGAGGCGGGCGAAGTTCCCTTCTCCATCTTGCTGACGCTGCTGCGTGTTGCTCTGGAAGAAGAAAAAACTTGTGAGAAGGCCAAGAAGGGAACATACGGAGCGGGGCAGAGAGCAACGGTTGCAATGGGCAAGGCGGCCCCGCTCGCCATTCCGCCCTGCAGGGCTAGACCGAAGGAGGCAAGGGAAGGGCCGATCGTCCAATCAGAAGACGCCAGCGCCCAAACTCCTTCCCAACAGAGCTTGCTTCCCGCGGCCCAAGCTCCCAACCCACTCACCTCGACTTGCACTTTCTTGGGCATCGTTCCTTCTTAGGCCATTTATTAATGTTACTGCATCGATACACTCCAACGCGCCTTCCTGTGGTTATTCTTTGGGCGGCGGGGGAAAACCTGGGTTTTCACGAGCACACCACCTTTGTCGGGTTCCTTTCCTCTTACTTCGACGCAAGATACGAGGTAGCAAGCAAAGAAAGGCCCGACGAGGCGGAAGAGCGGGACGACGAGGTGCTCCCATCACCCACCACCCGAGTCAACCCATACCGTCCATCGGGTTACGCACCACGTCTCTCTTCCATTCATCGCTTGAATTTGCGGATGTCTTACTGTGTATGTATGTCTTCTTCTCTTGTCGCAGTCCCAGCTTTAACTAGTCACCGTTTGGCCGGCAGGTGGGATGATTTCACATGTCTCACACGCTCCCAAGCGGGGACCGTCGACCACCCACAGCATGTTTTCCGGAAGCCTGGACTCTGCAGTAGCGAGTTCTGCAAGGCACAGCGGCCGGAAGTTTGCTACCGCGACGGCCACGCAGCGAGCTCACCCCCATGAGGGCCAGATCATAACTTGAACAGAAGCTGCAGAGCAAGAGTACATACTCATTTGCCAGAACCCGGGTTTGGACTTTGTTGATTGCCACACGCTCCGGCCGTGCCGTGCTTGCCACTGGATCCAAGTGCGGGGGGAGGCCGCTTAAACCGGGCTCGTGTCTGCCAATTCATGAAAAATGTGGCTCAACTCGGCACACCAAAAGGGTCTTTTCCAGCTTCCGGATTGCCGTGAAGGACGACCCGCTCAGCCCCCGGGGGGGCTTGACCGACTCGAACGGCCACAACAGGGCCACTCATGAACCACAATCCCGCACTCCAGCCTCGTTGTCGGTTGCTGTCCAGTCAACTGCCCCGCCCAAGATGCAACGTTCGGTTGCTCTGGTTGCAGGAGTTTTTTCTGGGCTGTCGGTGACCCAGCAGCCAGCTGCGATGTTCGCTCGTTCCCGCACCGAGTCCCATCCACTGATCCCGGCATGCTGACTGCGTGTGTTTTTGGGATACTTCGTCTCCCTCCTCGATCCGATTGCCACGCGGCATGCTCAACTCGACCGAGGAGGCTCTCAAGCGGGCGCGGGACAGCGAACAATGCCGGCAGGGGATCGTCGCAACACGCACCGACAAGCTCATCACAGTCGTTACCGTGCTGCTGGAAAAATCCTCCGAGGTTTGCGAACATCTTTCGCTTGGCCCATCCGGACCTCAGCCTGGCAAAGAGCGTCGCCCCACGTTCGACTCGACTGTGGTGTAAGCTTTAACGAGTGTACTGCGGAGAATCCTTCAAGGAGGGGGTGAGAGATTAAAAAAAGGCCCGGTGCCTGGAAGCCTCGTTTGCTTGGTCGCTTGGTGGCTTGGTAGGTGAAGTCGCCTTCCCAGGCCTACGGACAGGGGGGGGGGGGCTTCCACCCTAGCAGCGTTACCAAATCATGATAGGTCATTGGGACATCCATTGATTCCGGGCACCCTCCCCGTCTGCAGATGCGAGTCTGCAGCGAGCGGGAGCTTTGGGAGCTCTCCCGGCTCTTTGTTTTCCAAGAGCTCCCTCATTTATCTTTGTCGTCGAGCTCCTAGGGCTCAACGCAAGAGACAATTAATGCCGATCTAGATCGCGTAACCGTTCGAAGGAGAGCCAGCAAGACAATAACAAGAAACATAACTACTCATTTCCGGTGATTTGGGCGTCACGCATTACTATCTCCAGCGGTGGTTTGCTCATGGTGTAGTGGGCTCGCTGCCTGCCAAGCCTCGACGCACTTGTGTCATTTCCACCCCGGGAGGACCCCGATCTGACCCAGCCCGACTTGGCCCCTCGTACATATGCCGGGTGGGCGCCATTCCCTTTCGCCCTACGCGTCCGCCGCTCTCATGCTCGTTCTTTCTTGAGACCTCTTCGCTCGCTCCTCACTTCCGGGCCCAACTTCGGACACAATGCTTCTCACGAAGCTCGTACAGGGCCTTGGGGCTCTGTCCCTTGTTCATATTGCCGTCGCAGCCGACCCATTGGCTCCGAGAGCCAAGGACTCCCAGGACTCGGGCTATGGGGTAGAGTGCTGGGGATGCGGCAAAACCGTCACCCAGATTTACACGGAGACCACAACGTGCATAGAGACGGAAACCAAGACCGAGACCACAACGTGCATAGAGACGGAGACGGAGACGGAGACCGAAATCAGGACCGCGACTGAGACGGAAACCTGCACAGTGACGGAAACCAAGACCGGGACGGCCACGATCACGTACGAAGCCTGGAGACCGCGAAGAGCGCGTGCCTGTGTATCTCGGCTTTGTGCTAACTTGAGATTAGGGAGACCCTCCCAGCTGTGACGGTGACGCGCCCAGGCGCTACGGTGACGCTTCCGGCTTCGACCAAGACTGTGACGGATACCGTGACCGACGTTGTCACGGACACCATCACGGCGACTGAGACCGACAGAGCCACAGTCACTGACACCAAGACAGACGAGGTCGAGGTCACCGAGACGGCGACGGTTACGCGGGAGTAAGTTTTAACGGCAGCAATTAGCTGATCAGTGGAATTCTTGGCGCTAATGAGACCATAGAACCACCGAATTCTTGACGTCGACTTACACCACGGTAGGTGCCTACTCTGGAGCAGTTTTATGCTTTCAAGATTAACTCGCGTACAGTCCTTCCCGGTAACTGTGACGACCACCGTCTGCAAGGGGTGGCCCAAGAAGTGCGATGTTAGCACGACCACCAAGTGGGAGACCAAGACGACAACCGAGGTGGTTGTGTCCACGTTTGTCACTGTCGTCCCGACCACGGTTCCTGTGACAGAGACCTTGACCGACATTGATACCGTCACTGCCACTGCCACAGCCACTGAGTTGGTACCAACGACGCTCACGAGCAGCATCACCGTAACGGAGGTCACCACATTTGTCACCTCGTATCCGGTTACCGTCACGGATAGCACGACAATCTACACGACCGAGACCTCGGTTGTGACCTCGACCTTTGTCACTGTTAGCACGCTGACATCGGTCGTCAGAACCACGGACACCATCACCCGGTTTAGCACGCTCCCTGCCTCGACGGTTACGGATGTGATCACGACCGTGCTCCCGCCCGTGACTATCACGGTCACCAAAGACGGAGAGGTCGTTACCACGGTCATCCCCGGACCCACCGTCACGACGACGACGACGTCTATTGTACCCCCCGTCACAATCACCGTATCCGGCCCGACGATCACCCGCGACGTTTCGGTCTGCCCTGCGCCGACGAACTCGGGTGTCCCGGCTCCACGTGCCACGAGTGGTCAGCGCCAACTTTGGGGCTGTGACCCCGGATATGTTTGCGACCTCCCGAAACCCGAGGGCTGCAATGTGTGGGCTGATGCCCCGGCCGATGACTTTGTTTGCAACCCTGCATTTTGCAAGCCGGCGCCGTACTTCCCGCTCATTGAATGGCCCGAGAACAAGACGGGCTACTACCCTCCGACGGAGGGCTACTTCAACCTGGATCCCAGGGCGTTCGGCCTGAGCTACGACATTTTCGCTGGAGAAGTGGTCACCACTAAGATCCACGGCCACAAGACCACCCTTACTACAGGTAACTGGGCTTCGCAGTCGGATCTTACACACTACCCCCCCGCGCCAACCGCGACCATCACCAAGGGCGCGTCCTACGATCGCCGCAGTTTCGGCCTGTTCAAGCGCGACATCACCATTGCTCCACCCAGCTGCTACGCCAAGTGCAACAATGCCTTCAACATTGCGCAAAAGGGCGGCTTCACTTCAGATCTCTGCAAAAATGACTCGCAGTTCAAAGTCAACACGGACATCTGCACCAACTGCCTCGCCGACCATACCGCCGACCTGAAGCTCACGCTGCGTGCGTACCTCGACAACGTCTTTCGCGATTTCTGGAACTTCTGCAACATCCAACCCGGCGAGCCGCAGCAGCCGACCAGCGGCACGCCACCGCAGAGCCAGATCACGGGTACGCCCTCCTTCTCGTCTAGCTCCCAGGCGCCGCCCAACACCGACACCGAGCCGGTCCCCATCACCACTACCAGCACTACCAGCACCAGCACGAGCGAAAGTGAGCCGTCCTCGTCGCCCCCGCCCAGCTCCTCCGGCCACAGCGCAACGGCCACGGCCACGTCCACGGGCACCAGCACGACCAAGACCGGCACTGGATCTCCCTCTTCTGCCACCGGCACCGCCAGCAGTGTGTCCGTCCCCGAGTCCGAAACCACGTCGGCACCACCCACTGGCACCTCCACGCTCGTTACCTCCACCACGACGCGGTCAGCCACTAGCTCCATCGCCACGGGCGCTGCGGGTAGGATGATGCCGCGTGGTGTGGTGGGTGGCCCGTCGGGTCTGGTGAACTTGCTCGCTAGCTTGTTGGCTGCGCTGTTTTTCCTCTAGGGGGACCAGGGTGCCTGGGTGTGTGTGTGTGTGTGTGTTGCTTGCCTCTCTACGTTTGTTTGCTGCTTGGTTTGCTTCACTTCTAATCTTAATTTGATTTTTTCTGGTTTATGCGAGAGCGAGAAAGTGGGGATGGTTCCCTGAAAAGTGCACATGGGATGATGAGCACATTGTTTAATGGTTTTGGGTTTTCTTTTCCATTTTGGAAGCACGAGGGGCACGTTTGGCCCCCTTAGCTATGGACTTTTGCATGATAGAAATGGCGCGCGGGGAGGAGAGAGATGATGATGGCTGGGATTTTTCGACGACCTTTTCACGACACTCCTTAACGCGATAATGTCTTTATGCCCAATGTTGCGGCGTTTTTAGCATATTTTTGATGGTGGTTTTGGAATTCCTGGTTTGGGGGGTTCGGATGGTTTTTGGAATACCCAAACGAAAGATACCCAGTATATACCCCGACTGCATACCGTCGCACGGCTGTTGAGGCTGGCGCGACGGAGGCGAGGAGTATGTACATGTCACTCCTTTATATAATTATCATCGCATGAAGCGGATTTGAGAGCAATGGATGATCAGTCCTTACCTACTACTGTATTGTGTACTGAGTAACTATTGAGGCCGATATGAGAGCACTGTGTATAGAGTTGGTCAACTGCGCAAGGCTGTTGTTGTTTGTTTGTCCTGCGCTGAACGCGGCGGCAGACACGGCCCGAGCCTGCTTTGGCGAGATATGAGCGGAAATGAGACCCAATTCTGAACGCAATCAATCTACACTACAGTCCTTTGGGGCCATCACGATGGAGGACTGCTTGCGGTGGCATGCGCGTGTCTTCGTACGTGGCGTGTGTGGTTACTTCCAGTGCCTAGCTAATTACTTAATTACTCGCTGTGTGTGATATTGGGGCTTTTCTTGGAGCTTTGGGAGGGTGACATGAGGAGGACCTCAAGCCTGGGACCTTTCGGGATGTGCTGTCTGTCACCCATCCCAATTGCCGACTGATGAATCGGTGTCGGTGGGTGAAAAAGAGTGTGAGTGTGGTTGCGTTTTCTGCGCGTCCTGCTGCGGGCTTTTCTCAGTTCTCTGCTGCTCATCTCGTTTATGCAGCTCGCGGCGAGAGGGGGAACGGGAAGGCCCGTGGGCAGCGAATGGGAGAGTTGGTTGGTTCAGTTTGGTCACATTTTCTTTGGGCGCGGGGGGTGCAAGCATGTCCGCGGGGTGTGTTTTTCTCTTGCAGATGCAGCAGCAGCATTATGGTGGTCGGTCTGGACGGATACAGAATGTTGTTGGGGGGGTGTCTTGGGCTTGTCTGTCGTATTGGGCCATGAGTTGTGACTTGTGAGCGGTCCGGAAACGCGAGGTGTCTGCCGATCGTCGTGCCTGCTGCTACTTCGGGAGAAAACATACGCACCAGCTTATTCCCATCGTTCATCCATGTGTAACTGTTTTGGGATGGTTTGCCATGGCAACTCGGTAGCAGCCGCTGCTAAGTTTTGTTAGCAGAACCGGAAGAGGAAAACTTTGTTCCGCGCAACCCTTGTGCCAACGGTGTTGTCGTTGTTACACAGGAGAGGCCCTTCTTGTGCTGTTTTCTTCCTGTGTGTCAACTCTCCCTGATTGGTCACCCTGCCAATGGTTTGGACCGGACTCGCAAAGATTGGTCTCGGAATTGGGTCCGGCCTTGCCTCTCGGGCCGAAGAAGCACTTGATGGACAAGTTCTCGGCTCGGGGTAGTTACCCACAAACGTGGTGCGATGACTTGGAAGCTCGCGGCCACGGCATATTTTACCATTGAGAGTATTTGCTCGTGGATATTCTCTGCCGGAGCAGCATGCTAACCTAAGGGCAACCAGAGAATGAGGCCAATGGACCGGTTACGTTGAAGCCTCGGACTTCCCTCACTTTATTGTTGGTCGTAGGGGAAGGAATGAAAAACACCAGAGAAAAACGCACCCGCTAGCTGTGACTTATCAAGTTATTATTCAGAGATGATCCCGAGGTTGACATCGGGGACCTCGTACCGCAGGAAGCTTGGCGCCGATGAAAGTAACCTATATGTCAGGTCTTAAGGCGGGCATCTTGCGAGGTTGCACCTATATTCAAGGGCCAAAAATCTTAGTCCGCCCTCTCCTTTGGGTCCTTGACGTACCTCGGCCCCGCATTCGACGCCGTCGAATCCCGGATTCCCGGCGTCTCGGGCGAACGCATGGACGCCAGCCAGCCTGGAGCCGATATCGCGGTCCATGTGTCTAGTCGACGACCCTCCGCGAAACACGAGGCCGGCAGCATTCCCGCATCTCGGTCGCTCGGCATGCGGGCCGGCGACATTTCGTCAACAACCGCAGAACCGGGCCCAGGAACGCCGAACAGGCTGTGGGTCCCCGGGCCTCCGGGACTGGGGTTTCTGCTGGGATTTACCAGGATTACGCAACAAAGAGGACCCCGAGCAAGTTTATGGGGTAAATTGGCAGATCGCCGAACACAAAATGCTCAGAATCCACCAAGCATTATTTTCTGAATAGCCACGAGGGTTGCCGGCGAACCGTGAGCAAAGACCCAGCGGAATGGTCCCCGGATTGCAGGGTTACATCCATCCTCAGTGTTGGTAATCGTTCCAGAATGGGCAAAAGGAAGGTGCCCGAGGTCGCGAGGCCGAGGCATGTTGGGATTTTGGAAGGTCTGCTAATTACCGCCATCTTCGAAAAATTATGCGGAGAAGAAAAGTGCGGATCGCTTAGTGCTGTTGATGGCCGAATCCGGGTTTTGGCTGGAATATCAAGATCGGTAATTCCTTCCAGAACACCGCAACTCAAGTCGTTCCCAAAAGCGGAAGCGACGAACAAGGCAGAACCCAGCACCTCGGGGAACTCCTGTCCCCCGATCCAGCGCCACCGAGAACGGTCGAGCACTCATGTCAAAATCTCGCCAAAAGAGCCAGCCCTTTTGCCCATGGGGGTTTGGACCCGCCACGTTTTCTGAGTAATGCGTAATTTCTTGAAGAAATGGCATGACGGCACCAGTCTCAACTTAAGACGATTACCTCCTCACGGGTCGCAGCACCTCTTAGACGCGTGACTTGGGGTTCAACGTGCTACCCCCTAGCGTAGTACCCCCAAACTACCTAGACTTGTGTCCGGGACCGAGGAATCAGGGCCATGCTACCTTACTGAACATACCGATACGCTCATAAGTGCCAACCTCCTCGACCTCCACACACTCTCTCCCTAGCTTATCGCGATCAACAACGCAAACGTCAACACCAACAGAATGAACGATATACTCAGCGGCGCCGCCATGGGCGCGGCACTCACCGTGGCTGGTGTATACGCACCAGACGTGATCTTGACCCAGTTCAACTTTACCGACTTTACTATGCTTCAAACCTTTTTGACCGCGGCTGCGGGGAGCTCGTATGTTACTCACAACTTCTTTAGCAGCCACACTTATTTGACTCTACCTTTCTTCTTACGCGTTCCTTATCGTCAACTCTCGACGTGCTTCACAACCCCCAACTCAAAGCCGAACTAATAACAGCCTCACACCTGACTAACCCTCGTCTCCCACAGTCTCATCGTTACAGCCTCCCAAACTCTCGGCCTCACCTCCCTCCCACCACGCCGCCCAGCCTCGTTAGGCTTCCTCTCGAAATACGACGGCAATATCTTCGGCGGCGCCCTCCTCGGGGCCGGCATGGCCGTGTCGGGCGCGTGTCCCGGCACGGTGCTGGCGCAACTGGGCGTGGGCGTGACATCAGGACGGTGGGCGTTGGCGGGCGGGCTGTTGGCGGGCGTCGCTTGGTCTTGGATTTCGTCGTGGTCCTCCTCCTCGTCGTCGGGGTGTTCTCAAGAAGGGAATCGGGACCAAAAGGCAGCTGATGAGAAGGCCGGTGACGGCGATGGGCTGGGGAAAGGGGGGGATAAGTCACGCCCGGCAGAGACGGTGCATGAGGCCTTCGGTGTGAACCGCGCCGTGGCGCTGGTGGGGTTGGAAGCAGTGCTGATACTGGTGATCGCTACCGTGGCAAAGTTGACTACGTCAGGCGCGAGTGTGGCACGGGGGATCACACCATATGCTGGCGGCCTGGCGATTGCCGCGTCTCAGCTGGTCTCGATACTCCTGAGGCGATCGCTGATCGGGACCTCGACGGCGTTTGAGGAACTCGGGGGTTGGGTGTGGGGAGCGAAGAAGTACACGAACGTGCTGTTCTCGGCTGGTGTGGTGAGCGGCGCGTGGGCCATCTCTCAGGCTGTGCCGGCGCTGCGGCCGGTGACCGAGGCGTCCATTTCGCCGGTCCGGTCGCTTCTTGGCGGGTTCATGATTGTGTTTGGCGCGAGGGTTGCTGGGGGCTGCACCTCTGGGCATGGGATTAGTGGGTTGTCGTTGTTGTCTATCTCGAGCTTCTTGACGGCTGCGGCAATCTTTGGAGCGGGGGGCATTACCGGGTTGTTGTTGGAATAGGGGTAATCTGGGAAGAAGTGTTGGATTCTCTACCTGTAAGGAGAGATAATTGCTTGGAAAGGGACTGTAATGATCTAGAACGATTTGGAAGAAATCTCGGGCTCAAAGCCCAAGGAGACTGGCCGTTTGTCAATACCCTCAAGAATGATTGAAGCACCCTTTATATTTTGTGTTAACTCGGACAATGGGTATCTGTGATTAGTATCCTTAGGTTAGTTACGTTCCCTTAGACATACATCACCCCTCATCCCGTTGTTAGTCATTCATGCCCCAAGAATGGCATTGCTGACCATCTTCAACTCGAAAAGGGGCAAGTAAACAAACAATCCATGGAGAAATCTGGCTTGTCCGCCTCTGTTCAACACGCTCTCCTCGATATTCTTCTTATCCTACCTTCTGGGAACCAGGCTCTGTCCACGGTGAGAATGGTGAACACATCCTACCCCGTCCTATGTCTGTCAAGGTCATCGCTCTCGCCCCAGGCAGACACGGGATCACAACCGACCCCAGCCCTTTTCGGCCTCCTCACCACCGCAAAAGCCATCACGTGCTCCCACAACACAGCCAAGGGAATATAACGCTTTCCTTCCTTCCCTATTCTCAACACAATAAGAACTGAACTTGTTCAAGATGGCCAAGCTGGATAGTGTCTCACCCACCCTATCTGACCCACACCATTGGAAAGCACGCCGGTTCAAATGCTAACAGATGCAATCTTTAGTGGCTTTCTGGCTTTCTCTCTTGGTTGCTTTGGTGGCTTTAAATTTGCTTGCTGCTTTCTTGGGTTGGTTACAGCGTTGGATTGACGTGAGCATTTCCAGGGCACATAGCGGGCGAGCGAGCGAGCATAGCAGTCGGTGTTTCTTGGTTGGCAGTTGCGTTTGGCTTCGAACTTGTAAGTACACTCCCCATCCCCTCCGGGGGGTGAGGCGTCTACTGGCTGGGCCATCGTGAACAAAGTTCAATATTTTTTTCCACCGCCCCTTGGTGTTTTCCCGACCCTTGGTGTTTCCCCGACCCTTGGTGGTTATTGTTTTCCCACTTTGGCGTTTAGTTTTCTCAGTGGGTTTCTGCGAAATTCCTTTCGTCCTTTCTTGTTCTTTTTTTCAGTGTTTCTTCAGGCAATAAATGCTAACCACTCCATTCATTCTAGTGGTTTACTGCCTTCCTACAAAGCTGTCCAAGTTGAAGCCCGACGCGACCTTCACGACAATGTTGTCACCCCGACGTGTCTTGTTGTCATCTGTTTCATCTTCACCAAAACGAACGCCTTCGATCAACACCACATTGCCAGCATCATGTTTGTTATCTTAACTCACAACATCATCCTCCAATGCAGTCCGTTCACCCGCGGCGCGTGAAAAGTTCACTCTTTTCCCGACCTCCAGCGAAGGAGTCCGTTGCCCAGCGACGGGTCTCCCCGACCCCGCGAGGCGCCTCGTCCGTGGCCTAGCGACGGGGTATTCCCTACAGGGAGCCACGCGTCGTCCACAGACCAACGACGCGGCTTTCCACACAGCGAGATGTACCTTGTCCGCGGTCCAGCGATGCGGTCTTCTCAACGGCAAGGCGTGCCCCATTCACTGCCCGGCGACGCGGCCTCCTCAACGGCGAGACGTGCCTCGTCCTCTACGAGCGAACTGGACGAAGCCATGACACAGCGAACTTCAGAGAAACCGAGCTTTGAAGCATGGTGCTGGATCAGGGCGCTTGCGCCACGGGTCCGGCTACTCCAGCGGGTACTGCGCTTCGCCCAGAAACCCCCCCCTCATCGCCGCGGTTCTGCCTACTCTAGAGGCTACTACCCGTCGCCCGTGCCCTCCCCCCAGACTCAGGCACCCCCTTCCAGACCGGTCAGCAGCCACTCCTCCTCAGCCACGGGGACAGGCACGCCTGACTCGCGTCCCGATTCCAGCTACTCAAGAAGCTACTGCGCTGCGCCAGTTCCGCCCTTCTACGGCCAACTGCGCTCCCGCGGCCACGGCCAACAGAGGCCGCAACACCGACCTCATTCATGGGACATTATCACTGGTCCGTAGCTCACCGCGCCGCGGCGCTACATCGCCAGATGACGCCAGCGCCCGATTCGCTCCTCATATATAGTTGGCGATTCACGGGGCCGCGCTGTAGGGGATTCACCCGCTGAGTCCGGGGTGCGCGCCGCTGGAACACTGGGGCCGGGTCCGCGCCGCAGGGACTTCAACTTCCGCGGCCCAGGTCCTCGCTGCGGGGGCGCGATGTCTTTATGCGCGCCGCGGGGACTTCTCCTTTCGAGGTGTAGGACCGCGCTGCGGGAATACCGCCTTGTGGGACTGGTGTCTGCGCCGCGGGGACATCACCTTGTGACGCCTATGACTGCACTGCGAGGTAAGTCCCTCACTATGCGGTCAATAGCCGCGCTGCGTCATGTCTTGCAGGTAGGTCATTTAGCCTTCACTCAGTGCAAAGTTTATTATCTCGTGGCATATAGTTAATGATTTGTAGGGCCATATTGTAGGAACATCACTTTGCTAGACCTGTGTTCACACTAATTACCGGAACATCACCTTGGGAAGCCAATATCCAGGTCGCGAGGTGAGTGCCACACTTTCAGGTTCATGACTGTGCCATGCCGTGTTCTATCGGTCAACTAACGTTCACTTAGTGCCCGTTTTGTTGTCTCCTTTGGTACACTTGTCAATTCACGGGACCACGTCACGGGAGTTCTACTTTGCTAGGCTTCTATCCGCCAGCCATCTTCTCTAGGCCATCAGATGAGCGCTGTGTTATGAACTCCGGCCTGAGAGACAAGACGCTGTACTGTGGGTGTTGGGGGTGTGTTATGGGACATGGAACCGTGTTATAAGATTAAGTGCTCGGTGCGAGGTGAAAAACACATCGCTGGATAGATACTAAGTTGTTGGGCCGATTCCTAGGCCGTAGGGTTTTGGATAGGTTCACCATACGATTGTGGGGTTTGTTCTTGGATAAAAATCACATCTTCTTCGTCACTCCCTTGTCTTCTTTGTCTCCGTGACCCAACTGAGTGACAGGACATCTGGTCGGGGTGCTCAGATAGGTATGTACTTGGGTAAAGGCGAGCCACGACATTGTTCTATTCACTGTCAGTTCAGCTATCATGCTAAAATATACCATGCTGGATGTAAAAACCCAGTTTCAATGTTCTCATACACTTTTCCCCTACCAGCAAGGCATCAATCATCCAGATAGAACCTCGCTTTTCCTATGTCCCCAAGCTTCGTGTCCAACCACCATGTCCTGATATCTTCAACCAAGCTTACCAAACATCCAACGCCTTCTCCCTCTGCCCCGTAACCAACTCAAACCCGCCCTGGTCCAGCTGCAGTGTATGCCGTCCACCAGTCATACTGCGCAAATGACTATCATACTTCATCATTTCCTTCAGCGGCGCCTCCGCCACAATACTCAGCATGCGCACAACCGCTTTCTTCGCGCCGCGCAAGCTCTGGATAGATTCGTACGGGTCGGGCGGGGAGTATACTTTGCTGGTGTCGATTATGGTGATGCTCGGGGGTGTTTCTCCGTCGTTACTGTTGTTGTTGTTGGAGGGGGATTGGGTGGTGGAGCTGTCGAAATCAGCGGCCGCATCATCGTCTTCGGGCTTGCGGACTTGTAGTACACGCCCTCCGCGAACGGCAGCGAGGTCATGTTGGATGGCGTGCCCGGCTTCCTCGGGACAGTAGATCTGCACGTGGGAGAACGGCTCGAGGATACCGACTTGTCCTTGGCTGTGGGCTTCCTTGAGCGCGCCGCGGACGGCGAACAAGGCCGCGTTGGTGATGTGTCCGCCTGTGGACGCAACAGGGCCGAAGAAATCGGTGGCTGGGTCGAAGGTGACGTGGACTAGACAGCGGCGGACGGGGGCGTTTCGGCGGGGCCCGCGGGCGAGGCCGGCGATGGCTCCGTTGAAGAGCTGTTGGCGGACGAGGTCTGGGTCGAAGGGGAGGGTTGTGAGATCGGCTTTGGGGTCGACGGGGATAGTGATGTGGATTAGGTTGCCGTCGCGCTCGGTGCGGAATTCGAGAAGGCCGTCGTGATGGCGGGGTTTGTCGTCGTAGACTGTCCCTTCTTCTACTTCTTCTGTTTCGTGGGATGACTGGAAGGGTTCGATGGTGACTGTGCAGCCGGCTTTGCCAGCCTTGTCGCGGATACTGCGGTCATAGACGGTGCGGTGTGGGCTACTTGAGGCCAGCGGGCATTCAGAGTATTCGACTTCGATGTCACCCCACATGGCCGACTCGCGGTCGATCTTGTAATGCGTGAGCAGTCGGTCCTGGGCAATCTCGAGATGCAACAGGCCCATGCCAGACAAGATCAGGTGGTCCGTCTTCTCGTCTTTGGTCCACCGGATGCTAGGGTCCTCGCGGGATAACCTCGAGAGGGCTTCCTCTATCTTTTCGCTTGCCGTGCGCGTGTACGGCTCGATGGCGATGAAAGCGACGGCTGGGGGAGTCTCGAGGGCTTTGATCCGCAGATTTTGGAACGATTCGGGCGCTGAGTTGCCATGGTGGCCGGGGAACGTGACGAGGGTGTCTCCTGTGCGGGCTGATTTGAGGCCGGTCAGGGCCCCGATATGACCGGTGGGTAACTCTGGGATTTCGTGGTGGTCCTTGGCTGATACATGAAGAAGATGTTGCGCTCGTTCAAAGGCGTGGACGTGGCTATTCCACATATGGGCCATCCGCCCGATGGAGCCGTGATAGATGCGAACCCAACTCATCATGCCCCGGCGTGGGTCGTCAACCACCTTGAAGACGTGGGCCAGGGCCGCGATCGGCGGTTGTTGGGTGACCGCCCGTTTTTTCTTGGATGGTTTCGTGAGAAGCTCTGGTAGCGTCGGGGCTGCGCCTCCGATGATCTGTAACGGTGGCCGCTCGTCTGGACTCGGGAGGTAGTCCACCACGGCATCTAGTAGTGGCTGTACGCCAATGTTTCGGAGACTAGCGCCAGCAAAGATAGGGGTAAACTTGGCCTCCCCGTCCTTGATAAGACGGCGAATGGCCGCCTTGATGGAGGAGGACGGGACATCCTTTTCTACTTCAAGGAACTCCTCCATGATCTGGTCATCATTCTCGGAGAGGGTCTCAATAAGACGTAGACGAGCCGTTTCCATCTCCTCCAGCAGCGCGTCGTTGTGGTTTGTGAGGCTCTGCTTGGTGACGACAGACATAATGCCCGTGCTAGAAAATTTGAAGCCGTGTTGGTGGATGACGTCGATCACACCAATAAACTCGTCCTTATTCCACCAAGGGATCTGGCAGAGCAACGGCCAGGTCCGCAGTCGGGAGGCCACCTCAAGCACCGAACGTCGGAAGCTGGCACCATCACGGTCTAGCTTGTTGACGAATAGAAGCCGGGGAATCTTGGACAGCTGGGCCGACCCCCAGACACGCTCGGTGTGAGTCTCAACGCCCTTAACTGAGTCCAAGATACACACCGCGCCGTCCAGAATGGGCAGGCAGCGGTCGACTTCGTAGCGGAAATCTTGATGGCCGGGAGTGTCGATCAGGTTGATCGTCTTGGGCTCGTGGTCTGGCGGGCAGAGGCCCTTGGGCGGCCACTGGAAGGTCACGGCAGCCGACTGGATGGTGATACCTCGCTCTCGTTCCATGGGGAGGAAGTCGGTTGTGGTGTTTCCATGATCAACATCTGGCTCAAGTTAGCAAAGTGTCCATGGCTGACCCGCTCATTGCATTGCATATTGTTTCCCGGGTTTTAGAAAGGTTATTTTTGTCCTCCCCCTTTTCTTTTAAAATCGAAAAAATCTCAACTTTCAGGTATATTTATCCAAGGTTTTCATGGTTATGATAGCAAATAAGAATTACCTACTCCCGATGTGACGAGTCCGACCGCTGTGGTACAGCATGCGCTCCGTGGTAGTTGTTTTGCCCTGCATGGCATTAGCTGTATGTTACCGTGTCATTTCACAACTCGTACCCTCGAGCACAGCCCATACTCACCGCGTCGACATGGGCAATGATGCCAATGTTGCGGACATTTTCAATCCGCGCTTCATGATGGGCATGGTCACTCGAATAATTCCGTGCAAACCTGATCCGGGCCAATTGAGTATGTTTCAACCCCAATACAGCTGCTGAGAGGGCGTTTTTTGACTTTGATAGCTTGCCCTGGCCATGACGGCAGTTGGCTCGGAGAGGGGCAGCCCAGACCATTTCGTCACTGCGTATTGTGAGGTTTACGGGGAATTGAAAGCATAGGAAGAGAGAAAGACAGGGAAAAAGAGGGATAAAAGCACAACACAGAAAAGTTGACTTGGAGGTTTAGTCTGGCGATTTAGATGTTGGTTGGCGCGACATGGCGGGGTACCCAGCTATGTGCGTAAACCAACATCAATGTTTCGGACACAACAACCCAAAATTAGGGCCCAAACTCTGGTGGACCGCAATTATAATTCAGCCTGCCAGTGGTTTGAAGCTTGTTGTTGTTTGCTTCTCCTGTAACCTGAAATATTGACTTTGAGAGGAGGGGTCCTTTCAAGAAAACATGAAAAGGGTCCGTGCATCAACAATGTTCAAGAACATGGACCCCGCTCTGCTTGGCGCCAAGCCAATGCTAACCCTGACACAACCCTGTCCTAACCCTGGAGCAAGGCAGCTGCGTCGTTTCCACCACTGACGACAATGCGGAGCAGCTGCGACAAGCCACCGAGCATCATCGTGTAACGCAACCTGCGTCTTGAGAGGCATCGCTTGTTCCTCGGCGCGCGGTTGATTGAGAGCTGTCTTTGAGATCTATGCCCGCCCGACAATTATCCTCCGAACCCCCGACCCCGCGCGACGGGATACTCAAGGCCGAACCTAGTTCACTCGACCGGAACATCTATCCCTTACCACAACCACCGCACCACGTCATCACATCCGAGGTGTAATACACAGCCCGCCATGGACTACAGCTCATCAATCCACGACCCCGAACAACCCGCCGAAACGTCCCCCTGGGGGAACTCGCCGAGCTCGTCGCCCCGACAGACCCAAACCGTGTTCGGATCCATCACGGCCGACGCTCCCGGTTCACCTTTCCGGTACCCGAGCTCGAACACTGGCCTCAGCGACGACGGCGGGTTTGGTGGGAGCGACGTTGAATACAGGCGGCCGGATACTGCGAGCAGCACCGTATCGCAGCCTACCGAGCCTCAATCAGAAGCACTAGCACCGGCCGAACCGATTCCTGAACAGCAGGGATTTGTGGGGGGTCAGGGGCCTCAGTCGCCGCAACCGCAGGGGCAGACGCAAGCGCAAGCGCAGACGCAGATGCAGACGCAGCAACAGCAAGGTCATGGACAGCCGACGCAGGAACAGCAGCAGCAACAGCGGCAGCAGCAGCAGCCCAGGAAACCTCCGCCGCCGCAGTTCAAGCTGCAGGCCAAGATCACTGGGCTTGAGCGTACTGGGCGCAAGGACCCAATTTTGCGATTCGATGTTCATGTACGTACGAGTTGTTGAGGACGAAAAGCTTAGGGACATATCACTAATATGGGTACCGTTCCAGACAAACCTCCCGGCCTTCCGGACCACCCAGTACCGCGATGTGCGCCGTCTCCACTCCGAGTTCATCAAGCTCGCCGAACACCTTATCTCGGCCAACCCCGAGGCCATCGTGCCATCTGTCCCTCCCGCGCTGACCTCTGCCGGCGCGGGCACCGAGGAGGATGAGATCCGCATCAAGGCCCTCTTACAGCGGTGGTTCCACTATGTGTGCAGTAACGAGGTGCTCATGCGTGACGACGAGATGGTGCTTTTCGTCGAGAGCGACTTTGGGTACAGCCCGATGGTCCGCAAGAAGCAGCCGGCCACGGGCGTGCGCCGCAAGATCCTCAAGCAATTTGCCCCGCCCCCAGACGATACCCCCGAGCTACAGGAAGCCCGGCCCATTGTTAAGCTGTTTTACCTTGGATCTATGGATGCTGGCCACAAGGTGGACAAGCTCGTCAAGTCGAGGAGATGTTAGTTTGCTTGAGTTTACTCTTCCCTTACTTTTCTTTTCCTGTAGCATCACAGCTAACATCTCAGGCCTTGGTCTCTCGGAATCCGACTTTGGCGTCAAACTCGGGGCCATGAACGTCCAAGAGCCACACCCCGGCCTGGCCAACGCGTACCGTAAGCTGGGCAAGATCGTCCAGACCGTCGGCGACTACCACGCAGCCCAGGCGACCGCAGAGGCCACCACCATTGGCGACCCCTTCCAATACCACTCCCAAGATGCCTTCGTCGTCAAAGAAACCCTGACCAACCGCCAAATCCTCATCCGCGAGTTCCTCCAGGCCCAGGAGACCACCCGCTCCCGCCTCAACGCAGCCGACCGCATCAAAGCGTCCTCCAACGTCCGCCGCGAAAAGGTCGACGAAGCCATCGCCACCCTCGACGAGGCCCGCCACGCCGAGTCCGCCCTCTTCCAAAAGACCACCCGCGTCACCCAGAACCTCGTCCACGAGCGCCGCCGCTGGTTTAACCGCACCGCCGCCGACCTGCGTCTCGCCGTCCGCGAGTATGTCCTCCGCGAGATCGAAGCCGAGCGCCGCACCCTCTCCCTCCTCGAATCAGTCCGCCCAGACATCCGCTCCATCGACGCCAGCGGCGGCCTCAGCCGTCTCGGCCGCGAAAGCCATCCGCCTGCTGCGGCCGCTGCCGGCCGCCGTACTGCGCTGGCCGCCAGCCAGGGTCCCAAGGGCGACGCCTGGAGTGGCGTGCCCCGGCGCAGCGTGGACGCACTCACCCGGAGTGTCTCGGGGAGCTTGGTAGGCAGCGGGGCTGAGGGAGAGGAGGGAGAGGGGGCCGGTGGTGATGAGCAGGGCGGTTTGGGTGGGGCTGGGAGTCCTGGCGGTGATGGTAGTGCAAGGTCGAGAGCGCTGAGCGGTGCTGCGGGACGGATGCAGGGTGTGCTGGAGGAGGATGATGAGGACCGGGTGGATGCGCGGAATGCTGCGAGTCGGTTGGCTGCGAGCACTTTTTAAAGGGGGTTGATATCTGCTAAGACGAAACTAAGAGGGAGAGTGAAAGGGGAGGGGGGAAACGGTTGGTCAGGGAGTGAGTGGAACTCAAGGCTGGGAATGAATGAATGTTCCGGTAGCGGTATTGTTTCGGTATGGGATGGGCTATCATCGCATATCATCTCGATCGGGGGACGGTGGCAGCTGAGTGATTACATCATCTATGTTTCTGAGGTTATATCTCATGGCCTAAATGTCGATACCAGAAGGCTTGTTTTGTTTTGTCTCTGTGTCCTGCTCTTACGGTAGTCCTACCCAGCCCTGATGTTTGAGGTGATGCCTGCTTCCTTCGAAATAGTCTTTCAAGAACAACCGAGGAGAGACGCTGTCCCATGGAATTGTCTTCCCCGGTAACAGACGGTTAAAGCGAGCTGTGAAATAAGTTCACATTGTGGTTCGTCCCTTAGTTCCATTTTACCTTGAAATCTTCGTAAGTTCTACACTACCTTGCTGGTGAGTACGGATCTCTAGTAAACCAGCCCGCCATCCCCAAAGACCACGAAGGAAACGTGGAGTGAGAGAGATGCGCATGTGTTCTTCGCCACGTAACCCATCCATCGTCTCGCCCAACAGCAACACTCACAATCAGCCAGCCTTAGTGTAGGGTACCTTGACGTCGGCACACCGGGATAGTTCTTTCCGAAAAGCTAAGAAGTTCTTCCATGCGGAGAAAGGACGCCGATCCCCGACTCATTTCGTCCTTCTGTTCCCCCACGAAACGAATCTGCCATTTCTTCCACCTTTGCCCCCCTTCCCCCAGACGGCTCGGTACCCGGCAGGGCCGTCCCGTCGTGGGGGTACGGGGGAAAGGAGGGTTAAAAGGAGAAGTCGCGGCTGTAGTGACATTGGGAGAGAAAAGGCTGGGCAGGGGGAAGATGGGGGTCAGGACATATCTCGGGATCCGAGGGGAGTTACGCACAAAGACCTAATCAATGAATCTCAAGAGATTGTTTTACACTATTAGTGATCCGTCAAGGTTCTCCTGCACGCACCGCGGCCGTGCCTGGGAATAAGAGCTGCAACGAGGCATGCCAATGCGTCTCCCCGGAGGGCTCTCCATTCTGGACTTTGGAAGATATCTCGGTTACACTGTGCTATCGCTCCTTCTAAGGCTGCCTATCGCTCGGTGGTTCGACCGCGTGGAACGATTCGAGGGAATCGGTTGGCAACACGCAAAGCGATAACTGTGTGCCGTGCCGGCCGGTAGGTACATGGTAGAGCAGATCGAACTCACCGCTTTGTTTCCACGACGCCGGGAAGAGAACGTTCCGCAATACAACATTGCGATTTGCGAATAGCCCTCCTGGTTTTCCGAGGTAGGCGAGCTCGCCTATCCTCCGCTGCAGGTGGTATGTCGACAGGCCAGAAGCCGGCGGCGAGAGATGGAGACTTCACGCATGCGCTGCCTCAGCGTGACTCCCGGGCCGCGGGCGGGTTGCCTTGCCTTCAAGCAAGGTTCCCGCGTACGCATGACGACGATGACTTCATCGATGGGCTGGTCAATGACACCAGATACAACGTTTCGGGACGGCAGAGCTGCCGCTCTGGTCTGACAACAGAAAAACCTGCAAATTTACCTCCTTTGATGTCTTGGAAGCCCTCTGGTCGGTTGGCGGTCCAAGGGCAAAACCTCTTCTGTTTGCGTAACGTCGCTCGGGCCACCCGGCCGTTCCGAATTCAGCCGCTTCGATGAGAAAGCTCCCTGCGACGTGATGGGGCTCAATGCCCTGTTATCCCGGGGAACAGCGGAACACTTCGCTAGACACCTCAACTCCAGGGGTAACGGAGATGGCGCGAGATCTAGGGTCGGCCGATGTTACGCCGTTCGCACCCTGGGCTTGCACTGGTCGGACCGGTTGATGCTGACCTGGATTTGCCGTCGCTGAGGCCGTGATAGCTGTCGGTCGAAGTCTGAAACTCGTCTACTGTGTAGGGAGAGATTCCTCAATCAAGGTGCTAATATTCTACCGTTCCGCAAGGCCCTCGGCTTCCCAGATTCAGAAACCCGGCATCGAAGAAGCGGCACGGCATCAGGCCGGAGCCGAGCTGCTTGAAGCTTCTGACGGCGTTGACGGCGTGCAGCCAACTGTGACTCTGAGGCGGGTGAACAAAAAAAGAAGGCTTCCCGAGAACCCTCGTGGCTCCACCTTTAGTGCCTTGGCAATGATGTTATCATGTCTCAAACTCTCGTAGGGTACTGGATTTTTAGTGTGTATTTTTACCTTTCCCTCTTGAGCCGCCTTTTTCGATGAAACCTCACGATCATCGCTGTTTAGTTTTCGAGTCAACTCGTGAAGCTGCGTTCATGCCCCACCCTTCCCTCTGTACTGACGAGAGACACGTGAGGGAACGAGCATTCGGTGAGGGATGGATCGACCCTCACACTACTGCGGGTAGGAAGTCACTGCATCTGATAATGCACAATACGTACCGGCGAGCGTCAGTGCGAAGCGCCCGCTATCACTCCCTGATAAGAGTTTGACCCGGTGCAGGACGGCTGTCTCACCGATATCGATCCGCTCCCGGCACAGGCTACTCTGCTTCGTAGTGTAATGGCATCCGGGTAACAATTCGGGGAAACTGCGGCAACGGGATCAGGCGGTGTGTTGTGAGAATTGCACATGTCCAGGAAGCAATTCCTCTCCAACCTCTCCAACTTTCTCCCTGGGCGAAGTTCTCAGATGGAAGAAAAATTGGGATTTTGGTCTGGAGGTCGCTGCTCCGTTTCATAGGCTCGGCGGACCAGAGACCCCTGTCATGCCATGTGCGCTTTGCGATAGGGCCGGCAAAACGGGAGAAGTCAACCACCCAGCATCGCAAATCGATGGCCCTGACGCCCGTTCGTCCCCGGTTTGTCGGATTTGTTCAATGAGGCAGAAATCTCCGAATGTGATCTCCTGGCGGTCTTCCCGAGATCGTCTTCGAAGGCCAGTTCGACCTCGGTGGAATGGCGGTCTTCAACCGGCGTTCATCCCATGAGAAGCCACTCCCGGGCCGTTTGGCAGATCCTGGATGGATGGCCGTGATTGGAGTATCGAGCAGTGGAGTTTTGGCCGAGCGGTTGGAAGCATCAAGGGTTCGGCTCCACACGCAGATCCGCCTCGGATAGAGTTGTCGAGGAAAATCACTCCGATCACTGCTAACCAGGGCGGTGGCGACGGAGTGAGAGCGATGGCCGGCGACAAATGCCCATTTCCAGAACGAAGACGGAAGAGTGAGATACGACGAACCAACAGTGAGGTAGCATTCGGCAGCATTGTGTGCGGAGACAAGCTCGTGCTTCTCTTTTTTTTTTGTTTCTGGGGTACACGGGACGGAGAGGAACATACGGCGGCTTGGGCGGGGAGAAAAGAAAGCCATGGGGTGAGGAAGCGAAGAGGTCAAACAAGCTCTCGTAGTCTCAGCTAGGATCTCGCTAATCTTTACGGATGCCGGCGGTGCTGAAAATAAATGTTGCAATATTTCAATCACACCCACCTGAGAGGAGGAGCGAGAGAGGGGAAGAAATCTTTGCGAAGAATCAAACAAGGTAAGGCCGACTCACTGACGACAAGGCGGAATGACTTCGGTACATACGAATGGGAAGGGGCATTGGTGTTGCGGGAGCGTTCCCTCCTTCCCGGGCGACGCACACAATTGCGCGAACCGTTGTTTCCCCGAGGCCAGCAAGGTGTTGGGTCTCTTTTTCGTGTGGTTTAACCGCGATAACTAAATTTTTTCAGGAACTCCTGGTTCGCGTCATCATCAAATGCAGGAACCCACACCCACCTCCCAACCCCGGCGTCCTGCCTGGTTGCTTGGGATTCCACGGACTTGCTTATACCCGTATCAATTCGTTCAACGGCCTGAGGTTGGTTTGCGTCCCGTAGCAATACTAACTCCGCAATCGGATGCGTTTTCTGCAGAATGGACGGCCAATGTTTGGCGGGCTGGGAAGAAACGGCATGACAGGGCCAAGAAGACTAAAGACCATCAGCATTATACTGCGGCAATGGCGGCCGTTACCATCGTCATTCCTGAATCTCGCGGCATCCGGGAGTTGTGTAGCTTCGCTAAAAACGAAACAGGCGGCTTCTTCGCGCCATGTTCCGTGTTCCGTCCTCCGTCTGATATCACCCATCTCAAGGCGACAGAGATTGCCGTGGTTCCACGGCCCATGGAGAGCACGCCAGATGATGGCGTGCTCGCACGAGGTGCATCGATTCGCTCACGTCCCTGGCTGTCGATGGACGGCTGAGATGGACGCCCAGGACCTCGCTCAAAGCTCTCCACAGTCTGTTCTGTTTCGAGCCGTGTTTCCTCATGGGAGCAGGTCTCGGCGTTTCCTCGCCTCGCCCAGGGCCCCGCACGAGGTGTCCCGCTCTCCCAGGGACCCCTCGCAAACTCGCACCCTTGGGATTTCCGTCTTTCGACTGCGCCAAGCATTTCGGCCCACACAACGCGCGCATGGTCTGCTAGTCTGCTGCATGGAAGCCGGCCATCACTCCCGTGCAGCTTCTGTCGGAAGCACCTAATCGCCCGGGTCTCCACTTGACGACGAGACGAACCACCCCAGACAGGAAACATTCTCGCCCCCAGTGCTCCGAATCGCGCCAGGACTGGCCGAAACCAGCATATCGCTCCCAGAACATAGCCTGCTCTCTGCCAGTTCTGCACCATAGGGTCCCATGGGTCCCGTGGGTCTCATGGATCCCATGAATGCCACCATTCCACGGCCACTCAGCTCGGGACCGCGCTTGATAATGACTTCAACACCGTACCAGAGGAGAGCCCGCACGCTGCAGCCACTCGTAGTGTAGTGTAGGTGCCATTGCATCTCACCGCGCCCGAGTGGCCTTGTAGCAACCGCGCTGGGCCCCGGCTGAAGACTGCACAGTATCCAGAAGAGAGTGGATATGTCCCAGACGTTGCGATCTCCCGCTCTAGGGCCGATAGACATGGGTGGTGGGAGTTCGTGCCGAAAGATTGCCTGGACACTAACCTGCTTCATCATGCTCTCCCGAGATTGTCGGGGCTCCTTGGAGCGCATTGTGCCCAGCGTGTAGCCTTTGTGCAGAGATAACTAGTCGGTATCTGACTGGCGAGGCCAGCCGGGCCCTTGGAACAGAGCACGCATCTTGACCTCCGCTCCTGGACCCTGCATCGTACCCCCCTCCCCAACCTTTTGAGACCGTTGTCGAACACTCCTTTCCTAGCTCCTAGCTAGGTTCGTCGGCCCCGGACGATCCGCACCGCGGATTGACACATTGCAGCACGTCAACCGTTCCTCTCATGGCGGCCAAACCATCGACACTCTCTGCTTAAAGTGTGGGGGTCCTGCCCGGCGTCCTCTCCTCCGTCTCGAAGGCACTTCTCACCTTCCATCGACTCCATCATCCCCGTCCTGTGACGGGTTCTTTTGATCAACCAGCAAGTTGCGAGCTTGCCACCCGTCGGTGAAACTCAACAAGCCCCCTGGGCCCCTGAAACTACTTACACCCTCTTCTCCCCCCTCATCCCACGCTGCGGCCGTCAAGAAAGAGCCGCATCCCTCTTGCCCAACATCAGCTGCGACCCCCAACCCCACGGGGAACCCTTTCTCGTTGGCCAAGCTCGCCCTATCCCACGCCTCATCCCACTCTCATCCCACTTAGCCGCCGCCCTATCGAGATGGCGCCCTGCGCAACAGGCGAATCGGCAGCGATGCACCTTGCCGGCGCCTCCAAAACCTCGACCATTAACGCGTCCGTCCTCCATGGGCCACGCGACCTGCGCCTGGTACGGCACCGCTTTTCTTCCTTATGCTCCTTCCATTCTTGACCTTAGCGTTCACGAGAGATCTCAGATCTCTAGCTGGTGACACACAACGGTCGCCAGCTGAGCATGTGGCTCGGGTCTGGTCCCTTGTGTTGACCCAACTACGTGCCACACATACACATGCACATATATGCGCACACACACTCTCTCAACAACACACTTACTTGGCGGGCTTTCCGCTAACTTGATGGCTCACATTAGGAGCGGAGGACTATCGAGGACCCTAGCATCGGTGAACTTCAAGTTGCTATCCACACCACCGGAATCTGTGGGTCTGATGTCAGCTACTACAAGAAGTTCGCCAATGGCGACCTCTGCGCTTGTATGCCCCTCTCACTCGGCCACGAATCGTCGGGTGTTGTCGTCGCCATTGGTCCCCAGGTGACCGGCTTCAACCTTGGTGATCGTGTTGCCCTTGAGGTCGGCATTCCCTGTGGCCAATGTGGCATCTGCCGCAAGGGCCGGTATAACCTCTGCAAGCGCATGAAGTTTAGGAGTAGTGCCAAATCGGTGCCACACTTCCAGGGCACATTACAGGAGAGGATAAATCATCCGGCTACGTGGTGTCACAAGTGAGCCTTCCCCAACCCAACTCGACAGACGAAGATGGATCAACTGACTTGTTTCTACCTGTTTAGACTGCCCGACAATATCTCCTTTGATGCTGCCGCTCTCCTAGAACCCCTCTCTGTCGCGATCCATGCAGTCAACCGGGCAGAACCGACACCCGGCTCTTCCGCCTTGGTCATTGGCGCTGGCGCCGTTGGCCTCCTCACGGCGGCCATGGCCAGGCAGTCCGGCTGCTCGACCGTGACCATCGCTGATGTGGATCAAGGCCGAGTTGAGTTCGCCATCGCCAAGGGCTTCGCTACCCACGGCTACGTTGTTGAGCGGCCCTTACACAGCTCGCCCAGTTGCTCGTCCATGTACAGCCCTAGTAGCTCCGGCACATCCACCCCGCTAGACGGCGTCATGACGCCTGCCAGCACGCTCTCAGTTTCTTCCCAATTTGACTACGCCAGGTCGCTTGCCGCCGATATGCTCTCGCTTACAGCCTCTGACCCGTCGATCTACAGCGACGAAGAGGAGGCTGACGGCGTCGACGTCACTTTTGAGTGTACCGGAAAGGAAGTCTGCATGCACACCTCGCTGTACGCTACCCGCGCCGGCGGCAAGGTCATCATGGTGGGCATGGGAACCCCCGTGCAGACAATCCCCATGTCAGTCGCGCATTTGCGCGAGATTGATATTCTCGGGATCTTCCGATATGCCAACACGTATGTCACTGGCATCAAGCTGCTATGCGCGAGCGAGCGAGCGAGGAAAGCGGGCAAAGCTGGTGTCAGTGGTGGTGGGTGCTTATTGCCATTCCTAGACCAGATGGTGACACATCGGTTCAAAGGATTGGAGAATGCAGACCGGGCGTTTGAGCTGGCGAGTAAAACAGTCGATCCGGAGGGGAAGCTAGTGTTAAAGGTTGTTATTGAGGCTTGATGCCTAGGTCAGATACCATTTGTTTTCCTTTATCTTGTTTTTTTCCTTGCCTCCTCTTTCACATCCAGCTTTTTCTTTGGTTTTCCTTTTCAGACTTGGCAGGCAACATACTATACATAGATGGACGGACAGAACTGGGTTGGTTGGACGGTCGGTTTGTTGGTTACGTCAATGATCGGGTAGAGCTGTAACTGGATGGTTTCTTGGTTTCTTTTCTCCTTTTTCCCCCTTCCCTTCTTTTTCTTTAACAACGCGAGAAACTCACGATTTTAGGCGCAGCTGAAGAGGGTAAAGAAGGCAAAGAAAGCGATACATGAGCGTTAGACAATGGTTCGGCCAGATGGGCTTTGGTTGATCAGTTTGGGCGTCGGTTATGACTCTTTCTTTTGGAACTTTTCCTTTCCATGTTTTTTAATTATTCACAGATAACAGTTCTCCTTGGGACTTGGCGTATTGGGAATGAAATTTTAGATGAAAAGTATGAAAACATGCTTCTGGTGATGAAAATGAAGTGGTTAAATAACTGCCCTTGAAGTAGGCCCGTACTAACTCGCCTGCTAAACTAAGTTTAATAATCTTAGGCTCCTAGTGGACGCTGTCACTCACTCTTTTCCTGCACCCTCAAACACCGCCCTCACTGTCAATAACCCCTTTCTACCAAACACCACCGTCAATGAACCATTTTCATGAGAGAGGAAATGGCTATGCCTCTATTGAGTCACTGGTTCTTGAACGCCAAAACAAATAAAACAAAATAAAGGAATACACAAATAACCCACTGGCACATCTAAGGCGTGCCAGATGCCAACTCCTTATGCTTGCTTCCGTGGCGTAACCTGCATCATACCGGTTCAAACGGTTCATTTCCGTAAACCACGGTCATAAACTCCATTGTAATTGTCATTGTCATCGCAGTCACCATCCAACCCCCGAGGTTGCTCTTCGTGTAAGTGTGGACGAATGTGTGCCTTCCATCTATTCCTTAGACGAAGCAACCCACGAAAAAGCCCATTTTGCGCCTACTGCTCTTGCTACCATTCGACCTAGTACTCGGCAGCAGTAGCAGGATATGAGCCCAGCCCAAATTCGGATGTGAGCAATGAATGGTCGTACGATCCGGCACTACCAAACCCACCACCCCCACTGCTACCGCCCAAGTTCCGGCCCTGGCGCTGGTGGCGGGCAGACTCGACGATGTGGAACTTCTTGCCGGCCTCGCGGGCCTCGTTAACGCTCGAGACGAGATCGGAAATGAGGGAGATGAGGTTGACATCGTTGGTCTCGCGGCGGATTTCTTGTTCTAATGTGTTAGCCAGCTCACCGGGGGCGGTGGCGACTAGGTCGGCGTTGGTGACGAGGGCTTGGATGTGTCGGAGGATGGTATTGGAAGGGACGGTATATTGCTGTGCTGGGTCGGCGCGGGCGGCATCGGCGGCGTCGGAGGTCGTTTGCTCGCCAGAAGTGAAGGTGGGTGGAAGGTTTTGGAGGTAGGTGATGACGAGGGCGAGACGGGACTTCATCATCTTGACGGCGTTGTACTTGGCCTGGAGAGCCCCCATGTACTCGGACTCGGCGCGCGTGAGGTTGGCATCGAGGTTTGTTTTAGTGACCGATTGTTCAGCAGCGGCAGCAGCGGCAGTGTCCTTCTTCGATTTGCTGCTCCCAGCGTAGGCGACCGCCCTACGTTTGCCTTTGCCATCATCTACAGCAATCTTCTGATCAAACTGCTCCAGAATGTGTTTCTCCGTGCTGTCTACGGCGGCACTAGAACCCCCTTCCCGGATAAATTGCATCGCGATCATCTCGGCCTCACCGGAATCTGTGGTGTATGGCAGCTTGCGGAAGCGTAGAACCATCTTGGTAGTCGTGTCAGCATCCTTCATCTCTTTGTCCTCGCCCGCAGTATCTTTAGCGTCCTCCGCTTCCATATTGCTCTCGTATATTGTAATCGGAAGAGGGTCCCCGGAGGCTGCATCTAAGATGTCTTCGACATGGAAGCCGAGAAGGACGGCCGACTCGTTATAGGCGCTGATCTGGTTGTGGATGGGGAGATGTAAGGCAGAGGGTCCGGTTTTTGGTACGAGCGAGTACCAGCCGACAAGGTCGAGGGCAGGATTTTTGTGAACAAGTTTCACTAAAAATCTATCAGCAAAGTGTCGCAGCGACAAGGTAGTAAGCGGAGGTACCAACTTTGCTCCAAGCGACTCTTGAACCACTCATGATCAAGCTCGTAAAAGCCATTTTCATTCTTAGCTGACTTGCAGCTAAAACTGTGTTCGATAGTAACCTCGTGGCCATTCTGCTGCCCCAATAACACGCCGACAACAGCGCCAGACAGGCCACGCTGGTAACCGCGAACGATAAAGTCGGAGATCTCGAGGATAGGTAACGGGTGCAAAACGACCTTGAGGCCCGAGTCGGACGCCTTTTGGGTCGACAGCAGCTCGTTGGCTGCTTGGCCGGCCATGTTTCGTTTGGGAGGAAGTGGGTGAGGGCCTCTGATCCAGGTCGGGGTTCGATGAGGCCAAAGGAAATCTTTCCTGGGCTCGTGTGGATGAATTTGAAGGGAGTCGTGTTTGTTGATCGTTTGGCGGGGTTGGTCGGTTGACAAGGCAGAAATGCAGCCTTGCCCCGCCGAAGCTCCGGGGGCTGCTGTGCTGGTGGTGCTGGATTCAGGCAATGCCTGACAGCTGTGGAGAGCTCCTGGCAGTTGGCAAGTTCCCTACAGCTGACAGCACAAACCAGGAGGAGCTCAAGTTCAACTTACACCACACGGCCCATTCAAAGAAAGGTTCCAGCTGCACCTTCCGTTGGAAACAAAAGCAATGGTGAATTTTAAAAGTGTTAAGGATGGAATCTGTCATACAATTTCCTTAATCTCGATCTTCACCTCTTTGCCCAAACCTTTATGTTACAATCGTGATTGGCTAATATCTTCACATTCAACATTCACAACTGTCAGTGATTGAGCTCATTCACAACAAGAGTGCAGAGTTCGCGCTGGGTCCCCATTACTCGCCCTTTTACTAAGAGGTGGTTGAAAAGAGTCTTCTTTTTATTTTATGTTTGTTTCTTTGCCCATATCCACACCCTGTTCTTCAGCAATAAGCTTTTTACACGGTCTCCAAAGAACCGGAGAGGTTTGTTTGGCAACATGCTGTTTCGTTTCCAAGAAGATTCAACTTCTTTTCCCCCAACCGCCAAGAAGAAAAGCCTCCTATTCTTTTGGGTGCTTGAGCATATAATATGGCATGTCCCCTTGTATCAAGTATGGGGTGATTATGCCCCCAATTCATTTTTCGCTACTCCGAGCTTCTCATCCCATCTTCAATACACGCATCATGCTCGAGCAGTCCAAGGACGGAGACCGGTCCCAAGCACCGACTCAAGAGGTTGGTTTGGAACACCTGGGCCTGCAAGCTGCGCCTCAGAAGCGCCCGGCTCCTGACGATGAGCTTGAGTTTATCTCCTCCAATCCAGTCAAGAAAAGAAAATCGACCCCGACACAAACGCAGCCTGGGCCAGACTCCACTCCTCTCACACAGCACTCTCCTACTTCTGTTTCTACTCCTCCGCCTTTACCCGCTCACACCACTCTTGCTACATCTCCTGCTCGGCCGCCTACCCTTCAGGTTTCTTCTCCGCAACTGCAACAGGAACCCTCAAACACGAGCACGGCAGCACAGATACCATCACCAACACGCCTCATCGACCGTTGCCGTAGTGCCTATGGTATACGACCGGCCGAGATCCGGAAGCAAGTCTTTGTACCGGAACCACGTGGCGGATCATTGCCGACCTTTGACCAGTTCGCCTTCCCAAGATTCTCTTCTCCCATACGAGGCCCGCCCACACGACTCTCGGTGGCCATATCGCCCAAGCAGCTCCCTTATGCTGTCCCCACACCGCAAGCACCCCCGGACACCGGCCAATCCTCCGGACCTCGCTCATTCCAACCCGCGGTCGCCCCCCAAACCACAATTGCCTTCAATCAGATCCCGTGTCTTGACTACAACGGTGTACCGGTCACTAGTCGCGGGTTTGATATGGGGCAAATATTCTGTGAAGGCGGCTTTTTGGACGGCATAGGCGCTGGGTTGAAGGATGCAGCTAACCCCACGCCGCCCCCTACTCAGGGGCCAGACACGCATGAAAATGTACTACCGACGGCCAACTTAGGCATCAGTACCGTGGCGTCGCAATCCCTCCAAGGCGCCGGGACAACATTGACATCCCTTCCGACCATAACCACGTCGTGCCCACCACAACATCAAGATGGTACGGCCAAAAGCGGTACCGTTCTCGCGGGGCAGACTGGGCTGACAGGCCAGTTGGGTTACTTCCCAGTTGTGCCTCGTCAGTACTTACAAAACTTCCAGCCAGGCAAGCCAACGGGGGTCGAGGCGGATTGCCCAGAATGTGCTCGAGATAGACAACAAGCAATTTTGCGTCAAGCCCAGGGGTTGCCCTTGCCGAACTATTTCCCATCGCATTTTCCCATCAACCAGTCGCAACAAAATCGACAACAGGGAAATCGCAACCAATCCCCAGCGGCAACGGAAACCCCCCACGCCCCCACGGCACATCCATCCTCATTTCCTTCGGGGCCGTCCCTCTCTTTGCCCCAGTCTCAACCAGCAACAGGAGCAGAAACAGCCCAACCAATAATCTCCCACTACCAGCAACAACAGCACCAAGTCAAATACGGCCTACAGCCGCAGATGCAACAACAAAAACCAGCTCTGCCAATTCTACACCAAACCACCGCGTACCCCGCGCCAGTGCCCACTAGTCAGGGACTTTCACCCTCAAGCCTTCTGCAGGATATTGCTCACACGATTCGGTCTGGGTTCCCATATGCCCAAGTGGCGGCACGGAATGGGACGCCGCCAGACAAAGTGGTTGAGACAGTGGGAAACTTAGTGATTACACATTTGCTGAGGATGGCTTCCCAGAGCCCCAGGGTGCGGTAAAGGCTCATATGGTGCGGCACGGGAGCTGATAGCTCTTTTCTTCTTTTTTTGTCTTGTCAAGCTAGGTAGGGTGTGTATGATTGGGTGTTTTACTTTTCATCTGGGCGGTTGTTGGGAGCATTCCAGTAGAAGGATATTGTTGGGAAATGAGGGGATACATTCTGTAGAAACAATGTGACGACATGGAATTACGATTTTGGTTTTGTTTCGTTCCCTTGCTTGTCTCGTCTTTCGACCCCTTTTGTTTTTGTTGACACCGCTGGCAGTCCTGTATGATTATCTAACAGCTGTCTGACCGCTGTAATGAGTTCAAGAAATCCTGCGCACTAATAAACTTGAAAAAGCCCTCGGCGCCGAGCCGAGTGCCGGCCCCGGGCTTGGCGCCGTCAAGCGACCGAGTGGGCTCCGTCTTGGCGACATGGATCAAGGGCCGTCCACCGCTCCGGAGCAGGGATATTATTGCGGGCAGAGAGCGGAGGCGGGGATAGTTTATGTCAGCCAAGCACGTGCCTCACATGCGAAGCAAGGGTCTAAGTGGAGCCAAGCTTGGGCCAAGCGAACGACACATCCGAGGCATCAAGCTCAGTTGAGGCGGTTTTTTTCTCTTGTTTTTTGCAGCAAGGAAAAGGAATGTGAAAAACCAAGGTTTTTGGAGTGGCGTGGTCAGCTAGCTCTGTGGGGGTTTGCCTCTAATAGCTTGCGTCCACAGTCCAATCGGCTCCCCAGCTTTTACTGTATTGATTACTCCATGCGAGGCTTTGTGTAAATGCCGATCGATCGTCATCCTGCAGAAGTTAAATAATTTTGGGTGATGCTGCATGCCCGGTAGCAGCATGGCGGCATTTTCGTTTTGTCACGTTACTTATCCAGGACTTACACTACACTCGAGACGTCGTAAACGCTCACCGACGAGTTTGCGCTAGCGTCGGTTTATGTATTCACCTTTCTCATGCGTTTGTGACTTGTGCGGAGAAAAAGCACTTTGCCCAAGACTTGACTTTTTGAGATTTTCTTGGACCCGCTCCCGGTCTCTTCCCCATTTCCAAGGATCCCATTTCTTACCATATTCCCATTCCTGTTGTGACCCTCCAGATCTAGGCCCAGCGTCTCGGATCGCCCCGACCAACTCCCTTCTGTCTCCAGTGCACTTTCCCTTTTCCCTCATTACCCACTGGAACCGCCAGATTTTGTCCCCCTTTGGCGCTTCCTGTTGTGTCGCTCTCATTGTCTCAGACTCCCGCGCGGGTCGCCCCCCTTGACAATCCCCAATCATATTAACTATCCACCGCTTACGCCGCGGGCCAAGTAGCGCTACACAGCAACGGACAATCCAACCCGAATGGAATTCGTCGTTGAATTCTTCTCTCTACTCCTTAAACAGATATACTGAAACTGAGCGGTGTGTCGGCTCAACGCTATCCGAATATCTTGTACATACCTACCCATCACCTTCCCCGCTAAACGGCAAACCAACCGCGGCAAACTATCGCCTGACGGGCGAACAAAATGCCTTCCACCGCCGTGGACGCTGAAGCCGGCAACCGGCGGCCGGGATCCGTCAAAGAGGTCAAGTCCGGCGCGGACGGGGCTGGGTCCTCGGATGTCTCCATCCGTAGCCTCCCCGGTGACCAAACCCATCGGACGCTCAGGTCGCGCCATATCCAACTGATTGGTACGTACCCAATCGGGGATGAGGGTAATAAAGAGTAGAATATCAGGAGAGCCCTGGGATTACTGACTTTTGTGGTAGGTATTGGCGGGACCATTGGCACTGCGCTGTTTGTCCAGATCGGAAGGGGTTTGATGGATGGCGGACCCGGGAGCTTGTTTCTTGCTTTCTCTTTGTGGTAAGTCAACATGTGCAGTACATGAAGACATGTAACCATCCGTCTGACTTACCTGACTTACACTTAATTACTAACAACCGTGTGTAGGTGCACCTTTATCCTGGCCGTGACGCTGGGCATGGCCGAGATGGTGACCTACCTGCCCATCTCCTCGCCGTTCATCCGCTTCGCCGGCCGCTATGTCGATGAGGCGTTTGGGTTTGCCGCCGGGTGGAACTTTTTCGTGTTCGAGGCCGCCATGGTGCCGTTTGAGATTACTGCGTGCAATGTGATCATCCACTACTGGAGTAAGGCCGTACCGGCTGGAGGGATTATTGCGATTATTATCGTGCTCTATGCGTAGGTTCTTTTTTCCCCTCCCCTTTTTTTGCAGGGATCTAGCAGTCTTCGGATTTGGCTGACCGTTCAGACTCATCAACCTCCTTGCGGTCAAGTGGTATGGCGAAGTCGAGTTCTGGGCCGCCCTTGGCAAAGTTATCCTGATCGTCGCCCTCCTCCTGTTCACCTTCATCGTCATGCTCGGTGGAAACCCCCTGCACGACCGCTTCGGCTTCCGCTTCTGGTCGTCTCCCGGCGCGTTCGCCGAGTACTACCACACCGGCAACCTCGGCCGCTTCATGGGCTTTCTCCAGTGCTTCATCCTCGCTTCCTTCACCGTCGCCGGACCAGACTACGTCTCAATGGCTGCCGGCGAGTGCGAGAACCCACGCGGTGTCATGCCGCGCGCCTTCAACGCCGTTTTCTACCGACTGACCGCCTTCTTCGTCCTCGGCTCACTAGCCGTAGGCATTCTCGTACCCCACGACGACAAAATAATGAAAACCGCTTTCAGCACTGGTGCTCCCGGCGCCGCCGCGTCCCCTTACGTCGTGGCCATGACCCGTCTGCACATCGGGGTGCTCCCGCACATCGTCAACGCCATGGTTCTCACCGCCGCCTTCTCCGCAGGCAACAGCTACGTCTACTGCGCCTCACGGTCCCTCTACGGCCTCGCCCTCGAGGGAAAAGCCCCGCGCATCTTCACGCGCTGCACGGCGCGCGGCGTGCCGCACTTTGCCGTCGGCGTGGTGCTGCTGATTGCGCTGCTGGGGTTTCTGCAGGTGTCCAACGACGCCGCCGTAGTGTTGCAGTGGTTTGTGAACCTAGTCACGGCCAGTCAGTTGATCAATTTCAGCGTGATCAGTGTCACTTACTTGCGGTTTCATGCGGCGTTGCACGCGCAGGGGGTGGATCGGAGGACGGGGTTGCCGTATCGCGCGCTGGGCCAGCCGTATGCGGCGTGGTATGCGTTGTCGGGGACGTTTGTTATGACGTTTATGGGTGGGTATACTGTGTTTTTGCCCGGAAAGTGGGATTTGCCGACCTTTTTGTTCTCGTGAGTACATTTACTTTACATCACCTCCTATCCTTCGCCCGCCTGGGACCGGATTCAGGGGTAAGGGTTAGGGTTATATGTGAGCGGGCGTTACCAATACTGACGATGAGAACAGCTACACCATGATCGCCGTTTGCCCGATTCTGTACGTTGGATATAAGATCGTCAAGAAAACCAAGATTCTCTCCGCCAAGGACGTGGACTTGCGGAAGAACATGGACGAGATTGACGAGTATGAGCGGAATTATGTCCCGCAGCCTGCGAAGTATGTTCTCTCTCCTTAGTTGCTCCCTCGGATGTTTTCGCCTTGCGACATGCTAACAAACCGCAGAAACACTTATCACAGGGTTTTGGATGTCATTTTTGGGTGAGGCTCTTGGCGTTTGGTCATAAATCGGCTAGTCACAAACGGCGTGTTTTTCTCGTCCCAAGACATTACAGTAGATATCCTTGAAGCCGTAGAACAGATAGATTCGCTTGTTGGATATATCACGTCATGAGAATGCATCTCACCCAAACAATCCCCCCGACACCCAGAATACCATAGTCCTATATCAGCTAAGAAGAGTCTCACGTCCTCGGACTCCTCAAAAACCCAACCACCCCCGCACAATACCCCACCAAATCATCCAACCGTTCCCTCTCCCTAGCCTGATATGCCTTCCACTCCCCCAGCGCATCCCGCAACGGCGCGCTCGCCATGACGATGTCAAAGTGCAGCCGCAAATAGACAGTCATCCACGCCTGTGTCAGCTCATAGTCGCGGCGCGCGGCGAGACGGCTGGTCAGCGCCCGGATGAAGTGCAGGTGTTCGTTGGCGGAGAGGTCGTCCGGGGCTGAAGAGGTGGGGTTGGGCCCGGCGGAGAGGGAGCGTAGTTCGAGATCGGCGGCTGAGGGGCCGAGGGATTTGAGGTGTTCGAGGAAATCGGTGTCTAGGAGGGGGGTTTGTGTTAGTTCACTTAGTTCACTAGACATACTACGAGGCAAAGGGCAAAATTGTGGGAAAGGTGGGTCGAGGGAAAGGGGGTGAAAATGACATACAATCTCCTGACGCTCCACACACGAGCAGCTTCGACGTCAGCGCCTGCTGATTCCTCGTCCGGTCCAGTTGTGTCAGCCGTGAGCCTTCCGTCTCTGCATTTTCTATTGCAGGTAACAATGAGCCCGCATTGTTGGCGCTCCCAGTTCCGCCAACTGACGGCAGAAAGAACGGCGCCTTTTCTGGTGCCTTGGGCGCTTCCTTGGGTTTGTTACGCGCCTTGATCAGGTCGATGTGCAGCAGCGTCTGCCAGCGGCTCTTGGGCACAAGACTGAGGGTCATCATATTGGCACTGAGCTGGTCTAGCACCGGGACCGTGACGCCGTCGTCTTGTTTTGCTCCCGCTTCACCTTCGACCTGTGCGTCGTCGTCGTTGTCGTCAAAGGCCGCCTCGATCAGCCCCTGACCGCCCTCGCCCGAAGTTGTCGGCGCCGCAATCTGGCCGATCTCCTGGTCGGAAATCTGCCGCGTGGGAACGTGTTTGAAGAGTGCACGGTTGGTCCACAATTGCACGCCGAGATTGCCCTCGACTGCGCCAGCGAGATATTCACCCGTCGCCGAGAAGGCGAGTGCCGTGCAGGGCCGCTCAAGTCGGAAGGCGTCGATGAGGTGACTTGTGGGGAGGTCCCAAACGCGGAGAAGGGAGTCTTGGGCCGCGGCGATGAGCCAGCGGCCGTCGTTGGAGAAGCAAAAGTCATTGATGGCCCCGCGGCAGCCCCAGAACTCACGAATGGTCTGTTTCGTTTCGATGTCCACCACGCGGATAGAATAGTCGTCGCAGGCAAATGCGATGAGGTCGTTGCCCGCGTGGTAGCGGCATGCCGTGATCTGCACCATGGGCGCCCAGTCAATCTCGTCCACTAGGTTGCCCGTGACCAAATCCCAGAACTTGATCTTGCCGTCTAGCGAGCATGAGATGACGGTGCGGTTGAGCGAATCGACGACCAGGCCAGTAACAGCTTGGGTGTGCCGCCCTGTTCCCGGGGCAAATGTGGGTTTAGATCGTGTCTCGAGCTTGCTGGTCTCGTCTAGCGCCTTGAGCTGTTGCATTTTCAGCTGCCGTAGCTGCGCCGGGGTTAATCGCGAAGGGAAGCGCTGACGGTGTTTCCCAGACTGCAAGTTGAACATATCGATGCTTCCTCCGCTCGAGCCCACAAACGCGAAGGTACCGCATGAACTGATAGCCACCGTTGACACATCCGCCCCGTCACCCGTCTTGAACGCCCACCTGCCAGCCTTTTTCCTTCCCCAGAACCAGGTACGTGCCCAGGTGTCGTCCTTGTGGGCGGTGACCACACTCTCCCACCCAGTCATCCCGCTCAACTCAGCGCTGCTCAGCTTGTTCTTGTCGCCGCCCTTGCCCCAGATCACCTGCTTCCCCGGCATCGCACCGATACCGCCATCGCGGTTGAGCGAAGAGGCGATGCAGGTGATCTCGGGCGCTTTAAGGTCGTCCAACGTCGTTGTCGGGCCATGTGAAAGCGAGCCGCCGGCCAAGATACCCATTTTTTTGGCCATCTTCCGGATCGCGCCTTGGCTGAGCTCGGCGCTCTGCCCATCGCGGCGCAAACTCCAGCCCCACAAACTCCGGTCCCGACCACCGCTGAGCAGCCATTTGTTACCAGCGTCCGCGCCGTCAAAGTCCGAAGGTAGGAACTGCAGGCAGCGTACGGGAGCTGCGTGGCCACTGCGCATGTGTAAAATGCGCGGGACGGGCGAGAACGGTGACTCGTCAAAGATCCATGACTTGAGAGAGTTATCAAGGCCACTGGTGACGATAACGGGCTGACCAGGCAGGAATTCGACCTTGCTAATGCCGCCGCGGACGTCCCTGTTATGGGATGGTGGGTTGTGTGCGCTCCGAAGGACACCCATGATCCTCCCGCCCTTGTTCAAATCCCAGAACGTCACGTCTCCGCTGACGCTCGTAGCCGTAGCCATGACGCCGTCTTTCCGTCCATCTTGCCCGGCACCCTGACCGTCACTTCGGAAGGAAATGCAGGTAACCGGCGCGTCGTCTGTCCCTGCATTCACACGCAATACCGGCTTGTCCGTCAGTACGTTTTGTATGACCAGGGGCCCTTCCGAATAGGCAATCGCGAGCAGAGAGAGTGCCGGAGAGGGCTGGAGGCAGGTGACGGACCCGCATTCCGGAGTTGGTGGCAGGATGGTGTAAATCAGCTTGCCCGTGCTGATGTTCCAGATCTCGACCCAGCCATCCCGCCGACCGATGAAAATCTTGTTGAGGAAGGTGGGCATGTTACAGACGCCGCCCGTGATCTCATTGTCGCCCTTCTTAGCTGCCGCAGTGAAGATTGTGGTGTAGTGCTCCAGAGTCGCAGACTTCCACACTTCAACTCTTGTTGATGCGCACCCCACAATCCACGAGCCAAAAATGAGAATCTGCGTGATCGGCTGGTCCAAGTCTGCCGGGAGACGGAGCTCGGCGGCCTTCTTGCCGCGCTGGAATGCCCACAGCCCCTGGGGCTCGCCATGTTGCGGGTTCCCCCATGCCGCATAGACTTTTTCCTTCCAGGCAAATGTGGCAGTGATATCGGCGGGGGTCTGCGGACGGGTGACGAAGACGAGGTTGAGACCGCGCTTGAGGTCGTATGTCTGGAGCGCCCGGCCGACCGAGGTGGTGATCTGGAAGGTGGTCTTGCCGAGGGGAATCGAGGTAAAGGGGACACCGGTGGGGGATACTAAGCCGATGGTCTAAACGGTCAGTATCGAGTGAGAGAACTCTATTTCACTCCGAAATGGCTTCACATACTCGGAACGGCGCAAAGATGGCCGAGCCCCGTTTGGCGGGCCGGGGGGCCTTGACGACGGCATCGGTCCTCTGGCGTTTTGTCAAAGGCCGGTCAGCCTCTGAGTGGGGCATGTCGTCGCGTGGAAGCAAATGGCCACCACAAATTGGCCGTCGATTGTCCGGTTGTTGGTGCAATTCGAGGTTCGTGGCAGTCGCGTTGTTGAGGCCGTTCACTTTTTTTGTCAAGTTTTCCGCAGCCTCGCCCGAAAAAGCTAATCTAGAGGCCTGTAGCCCCACCGAAAATTTTTGGAGCCAACTGGAGCGCTGAATCGAATCTGAGGCTCAGGGACTGGGGGGCCCACTATCAATCGGCCTCCAATCGCCGAGCACCGACATTGCTACGGCCCTGGCTCAAGCGCTTTCAATGGAGGAAGCTTTCGATGCCCCGCATAGGGGCCGCCCGTCCCGCATCCGATGGCTGCAATTCGAGATGCAAGGACCGTATTTTGACCGCCTTTCCGGCTCTCGAAGAAGAGACATTTGTCCTATGAGCGCACGACATCTCATGGATTGGCCCAGATAGGCTAGATATCACACGACCGCTTTCCTGTTGTGCTACATGGCACCACCGAGGGGGGACTTTGACAGTGTCTGAGGGAGCCCAGAGGGTGAGAAAGATGACAAAGGAAAAGAAATTAACTACAGATTGGGGCTTCGGTCAGCGCGTTCAGTCTGGCGGTATTTCGATATGGAGGTTGTCTTGTGCTGGCCGTCCTTCTGCGAATCGGTTTGGAGTTCATTTTTTTGTTGTGATACGTTCACTCCGAATTTGAGCCTCTGGCGTCATGGCACGCTTCTGGGTGTGTGGTGTGCCCCTCTGCCCCTCTGCCCCACCATCAAACCGCGTGCTTGGCGCTGGCGTTGGCCATCCAAGCCATCTTATGGCAGCAATATCCTTGGTCTAGCCCGGATCCAGCTCCATTCCAGCTCCCACGGTCCGCGCTTTTCTTTGCGTCCTGGTCCTTGACTGGCCTATTGAGCCGGTCAGGAGGTTAGTTTGGTTCTTTTCTTCGCTGATTGCCGAATTGTTTTATTATTTTATTTTCACATGAAAAAAAGGAGAAAGTGCGAAGTACATAGTTGAGCCCTTGTTATCCCTTTATCTCCGGGAAGGTCCTCAACGTATCTGATTTCCACCCCTCCACCCCCCTTTTCCACTTCGTTCCGCTCGTTTGCCACTGCCCCGATTCTCTGCGAGCTGCTGATACCTGCACAACCTGTGTTTGTGCTTGGGGAGCATACCCCGAATTTGGAAATCAAAAATCCCAAGAGCCTGAACTCAGCTGAATTCGGCTGCGCCGCCAACCTCCGACAGTCGTCTTTTCTGACGCTTGGCCGCACGAATATGGATCCCAATTCTGATGACCCAACAAACGATTCTGTAGGCGAAATCGATCGGTCTGATGCAAGTGCTACGCTGCTGTCTGTCGAGGGCCAGAAAAATGCGTTAACTTCGGATTCGACGAACCGTTCCCCAGTTGAGGGAACCGAAGGAGCAACGACGGAAGGGGCAGTGGGAGGTGTCACAGGGTCTAGACCGTCAAGTCAGCACCAAGGTGTCCACTCTCGCAACATTTCTTCATCGTCGGCCCTTTCCGCCCAAAGCATGGGGCAGGCCAAACCGGGAACGACCAACGACGGGGGAAACGTGAAGCTTGCCGCGTCTATGCCCCCGCCACCCGTCCCACGACAGAGTCCATCGAGGGAAGAATCGACAGATACGATCGTTCCGACGAAACCGCCCCAGGGACCGGCCACTTCCCCGGCTTTTGCTTCACAAGATTTTGGTGCCACGGCCACCGATCACGACGACCACGGCGAACACGATACCCCTCGCCTTCAGGCAGGCACCGCTAGAGAGACAGGCACGCCGTACGGCATCCTCCCCGAGCCTGCCCTTCGCACTCCCCGAACTTCAGTGTCCGAAGGCCCCGTGAGTAATCGCCTCAGCGTCAGCTCTCTATACAGTCTCGCATCTGCTCGCGGCGTCCCTAGCTCGGCAGCATCGGCCAACGGCAGCGAAACCAGCAGTCTCGCCGGCTATCGTCCTGCATCTGGCATCATGACAGCAGGCGGGGGACCCAACACAACGGTCACCCCTGGGGCTGCGGGATCAGGGGCCGTATACCAGTCCACATCACGGGAAGGGAACGCTTCAAACGACGGGACCAGAAGGCAGCAGCAACAAACTGCTCCGGTGCCGATGCCACGTCAGCCACCCACTAGGTCCAGGAGCCGAGCTAAGCGCAGGTTCAGTGGGAGCACTGGGGCCAGCAGCCATAGCCCTAGCGGTGATCGATCCATCTCGCATCGACCAGATAAAGAAGAGCACAAGCCTGCTCCGCTTGGGGTCATTGGTGTTTGTGCTTTGGATGCGAAGGCAAGAAGCAAGCCCAGCCGGAACATCCTAAATCGCCTAATCCAGAACCGCGAGTTCGACGTCTGTGTGTTTGGAGACAAGGTTATTCTTGACGAGGGTAAGCTACAACCTCCCGCATTGTTAAGTAGGAAGCACGCTAACACGACGACAGATGTTGAGAATTGGCCCATTTGGTTAGCACCCCTGTTTTCATCCTAGCGTTGCCTTTCGTGTCTCTTCTTTTACTCGTACTAACGAACAGTGTAGCGACTATCTCATTTCCTTCTACTCAGATGGGTTCCCCCTGGAAAAGGCGATCGCCTACGTCAAGGCTCGCAAGCCCTTCTGCGTAAACGATGTGCCTCTGCAAAAGATCCTTTGGGATCGCCGCCTATGCCTTCGCCTTCTCGACCGCATAAACGTCCCCACCCCTCAGCGTGTCGAAGTAAACCGCGATGGTGGCCCAACTCTGCTCACGCCCGAGACTTGCAAGTACATCCGGGAGGTTAGCGGTATTACTTTTGAACCGTTCGACTCAGATGCCGAGCGGGCAAGATCAGCAAACCCTCGGAAGGTAGAGTTGCTCGATAACGGCGACATATTATCAGTCGACGGCAGCTTGATCAAGAAGCCCTTCGTTGAAAAGCCGACTAGTGGCGAGGATCACAACATCATTATCTACTTTCCCTCGTCGGCTGGCGGCGGCGCTCGTAAGTTGTTCCGCAAGATCGGCAACAAGAGCAGTGAATACGTCGAGACGCTCAACGTTCCGCGCGCCATCACACAACCGAACGAGAGTTTCATCTATGAGCGGTTCATGCAAGTCGACAATGCGGAAGACGTCAAGGCCTACACCGTGGGCCCAACTTACTGCCATGCCGAGACACGCAAGTCCCCCGTTGTCGACGGTGTCGTCCGCCGTAACACCCATGGCAAAGAGGTCCGCTACGTGACAGCGTTGAACGCTGAAGAGAAGGAAATTGCTAGCAAGATCAGCACTGCTTTCGGCCAGCGCGTTTGCGGGTTTGACTTCTTGCGTGCTGGTGGCAAGAGCTACGTTATTGATGTCAACGGCTGGAGTTTCGTGAAAGACAACGACGACTACTACGATCATTGCGCCAGCATCCTCAAGGATATCTTTATCAAGGAGAAGCTGCGCCGCGACGGCCGGACGCCGCCCATGCCCTCTCCCGTAATCTCCGATATCGATCCTATCTCGCTCAAATCGGGCCACACGCCTAAGGATCGGGACCATGCTTCTGTTGGCAGGCCAAGTGTGGACAGATCGGCCCGGAATTCGCTCATCGAACCCCTCCCACCGTCTAAACCCGATTCCAAACACAGCAGCATACCTGCTAGTCCGTTGGCGGGTCAGTTCTCGGCTGCGCTCCAGGACCCAGCGCCATCTGCGACTCCCTCGGTCGCTTCAGCTGCGCCTTCTCTTCTCCCCGAAGCCATGGCCCCTCTCGAACAGGAGCCACCACCGCCACCTCCTCCCAAGCCTAGCTGGAGACTCAAAGGAGTTGTGTCCGCCATTCGCCATGCGGATCGCACCCCTAAGCAAAAGTACAAGTTCACGTTCCACACTGCCCCATTCATCGAACTCCTGAAGGGTCACCAGGAGGAAGTGCTGCTTATTGGCGAGCCAGCCCTGGCGAGTGTGATTGAGGCCGTGGATGTAGCCATGCAGGAGGGAGTCGAAGATCCTGTCAAGCTCAGGGCATTACGCAACGTTTTGACCAAGAAGGGGAGCTGGGCGGGCACCAAGGTTCAGATCAAGCCCATGTTCCGCAAGAAACTCGACGGGAAGAACGCAAAATTGTCCAAGGAGCAGGGGCAAGAGAAAGATCAGGGCCAGGACCAAGGTCGAGGTCAGGACCAGGACGAGGGAAAGCAGAAGGAGGCAGCAGTTAAGGAGGAAGAGTCTGCCAGCCAGAAGGATGAAGAAGCTGTGGATAAGAAGGACGACGGAGGCGAGTATACTCCCCGCAAGCCGCCGCGGCGGAACGATTCTCTCTCGGGTGTGACTATGTCCAAGTTCACTGCTGCCGAAGAGAGCCTGGTACTGGATAAGCTGCAGTTGATCGTCAAGTGGGGCGGTGAACCGACACACTCGGCTCGTTATCAGGCGCAGGAGCTGGGCGAGAACATGCGCGGTGACCTAGGCCTAATGAACCGTGAGGTTCTGGACGAAGTGCACGTCTTCAGCAGCAGCGAACGTAGAGTCGTGACAAGCGCGCAGATCTGGGCGGCGAGCTTTCTCAAAAAGCAGGATCTTCCCGAGGATTTTATCACGATTCGCAAGGACTTGCTAGATGACTCCAACGCGGCCAAGGACGAGATGGATAAAGTCAAGAAGAAGCTTAAGGGGTTGCTGCGCAAGGGCAACGAGCGGCCCTCGCAGTTCGCCTGGCCAGAGAATATGCCTGAGCCATCTGAGGTGCAGACCCGCGTCGTTCAACTCATGAACTTCCATCGGAAGGTCATGCACCACAACTATGCCAAGCTGTACAGCGGCGCCGTAAACGCCATGAGCATCATCAACAACCCTCCCGGCGGTCAGGACAAGCCAACCTTTCACGAGGGCACGGCGTCTTCGACTGTTTCACTGTCGTCGCTTACATCGGCCGGGTCGCTTTCGCAAGCGAATTCGATCACGAATATCCAGGCTCGGTGGTGTTGCGGGGAAGACGCGGAGTTGTTCAAGGAGCGGTGGGAAAAGTTGTTTGCCGAGTTTTGTGATGGCGAGAAGGTCGATCCCAGCAAGATCTCGGAGCTATACGACACGATGAAGTTCGATGCCCTTCACAACCGACAGTTCCTCGAGTGGGTGTTTACCCCGCCTAAGCACATGCTTGAGGAGGAGTACGGGATCTCATTGAACGGGAAGGAGGCTAGTAAACCGGCTTCGGGTTCAACATCGTCTTCGCCGCCTAGCATGCCAGAGGAAAACGGCAGCAACACCACCGGCAGCGCCAAAGGGGCAGGGGAAGAGAAAAGCCCCCCGCCACCGACGAGCTTGAGCGAAAAGATCGAGACCTCGGGTCACAAGGCCGTGCGGCGCATTTTCCGTCGCCGTTCGTACCTCAATGGCCTCCGCAGTGCCGGTGAAGCGGAGCTCCCGGAGAAATATTTCCACCTGTACAAGGGCAATAGCCAGACCAAGGCCAAGACGGACGCGCGCTTTGAGCCGCTACGCGAGCTGTACCAGCTGGCGAAGGTTATGTTTGATTTTATCTGCCCGCAGGAGTATGGCATTTCTGATAGTGAAAAGGTAAGTGGCACGGTCAGAAAGTTGATGGCACATTGGGGAAAAGGTTGCTCACACATTTGCCGTACAGCTCGAAATCGGCCTCTTGACGTCGCTCCCCTTACTCAAGGAGATTGTCCAGGATCTCGAGGACATGCAAGCATCAGACGAGGCTAAGTGCTTCATCTACTTCACCAAGGAATCGCACATTTACACGCTCCTCAACTGCATTCTCGAGGGCGGACTCGAGACTAAGATCAAACGGGCCACGATTCCCGAGCTCGACTACCTCTCGCAGATCTCCTTCGAGCTATACGAGATGCCGGCCAATCCTCCGTTTGACGCCGAGGGAACGCCGGTATTCAACTACAGCATCAAGATCACGATCAGCCCCGGGTGCCATGTGTTTGACCCACTCGATGTGCAGTTGGATAGCCGCCACTGTATTGGGTGTGCTCCGAGGAGAAGCTTGACGGCGCATGCGGACTGGAAGGTGGTGATTGAGACGCTGAGGGCCAAATTTCATCAGTGAGTTCAACCTGCTCTTTCTTTTATATCGTGCCAGACTAGGAAGTGTGTGTTCGGCTAACGTTGGTGGCGTTGTAGGGTGAAATTACCCAAAACCTTCCTAGCTGTCAACCTCTCGGACGCGTTCTCGTTTCAGGAGAAACAGAACCAAAACGACAACGAAGGTTTGGAAATGAAGTTGCCAAGCGGGAAGAAGGGAGCCGAGGGGGACACCATCGGGCTGGAAGCACATCAGGAGGAAGCCAGCAGTGGTGATGCGGTTGATGAATCAGAGGCAATCACCGGCGAAGGTTCTCCTGCTGCTGTCGCTTCTGATCCTGATCCAGGTCCGGTCCTCCCGGCCGCTGGCACATCCACCGATGCGACGACGGCCGGCGGTCCGGCTCCAACCCTGGCACCCCAGCCAGAGGGGGCATCTGAAGCCGGCCAGGGTACCGTGGCCGGAGAACCGGACGAAAAGATCTGAGTGGATGGCGCGTCTGCCCGCGTGCGTTTTGTCACTTGCCTCACCTTCGCTGGTGTGTGGTAGCCCCGGTCAGATGAGGCGAAGGATTGCGGCCCGCCCTGTCTGCATGCATGTCAGCATGATCGGTGTCGACCGGTGAGGGGCCTTTTTTCTGTCAATATCTTTTATCACATTCGATTTGCGATCTTCACGACCAGCCAACCCGAGAATCTCCGGGAGCATTACGAACGGGGATGGATCTTTGGGTGGGGGGCAGCCCTCTTCTCAAACAAGAGGCTTTCGGATCTCGGCTTCCCCTTCCGGCTTCCAGTTCCTCCGTTGGGAGGGATGTTGACCCGGGCAGGGGACGCACGGTGAGAACTGCTGGGTACCGTGACCTGTCATGGTTTATCCGAGAGACCGAGGCGATTATGGCCCGTGCCATTCCTGTGTCTGACGCAAAGCAGATCTCAAGGGTTTTTTTTCTTGTTGGCCGGTATATTCGTACCACCGTGTCGACCGACGGTGGTAGTTATGTGGTTGGTATTTCCGGACGGACGGACGGCTGAGGCCTCGCGCTAGCGATTCAGGTTCATGGTGAACAATGGGATCTGGGTCGGAATCGGAATCGGAATCGGAATCGCTTCCTGCTGGTTCAGTGAAGAGACCAAGATACCTAATGAGTCAATGGGCGGGCGGGCGCAACGAGACGGGAACATAAAAAGTGTTTGTTGTTGGTTGTTATTGCTGGCGTTGTTTCGGCGTGGCCGAGCTACGGGGGATAGATAGAATGAGGACCAAATTCATGGTATGGTATGGGTGGGTGTATGGTATGGGATGGGGGGCAGGCAGGAGATTGATTGCATGGCATAGAGCAACTTTACAATTTAGAGGGTGTGTGTCATAAAAGCAGGTCTCTTGTTTTCTTATTTGTGCGCATGTCAAGGGCGTGCAGGCGTGGTTGTGGGGTGTGTGTGTTTGTGTGATAGACATGATGTGCGGGAGAAGCGAGCGTCCAAAGTGTGCGCAAGATATCAGATGAAGTGATGTGCATTGTGGCGCGATTGATAATCGGTCCACTCAGTCTACACTGCATGGGATGGGAGGTTGAAGCGAATGCCGAGGTATGCTGTTCTCAGTGAACACAGTGAAGCTAGGTCGGTCCGAGGCCGAGTTGGTGGTAATCTCGTGATGTTGCAGCCAAGCTGAGTCGCAGCTTCCTTCTTCTGTTCTTTTGTCTGCCACTTCTTGGTACCGATCTCGTGGTGGCAAGGGGGGGTGGGAACGGGGGGGTAACTGACTGGAAAGGGCTTGGGAAGCGGGAACGAAAAAAAAAAGACAAAAAACCGTTGAGATGCGGGATGCGGGACGGGCCCTGCGGCACGGATCCCGAAGGGGCACAGTCTGTCTAACATTATTTCTCTTCTGGGCTCGTCCAATGCCTGTTGGTTTTTCACCATGCGGTTGGTGTGCTTGGGCGTAGGTGCCCTTAGGGTACGTGTACATATCTAATGTAAGCGACGGGGAGGAGGTGGGGGGGACAGTACCATGGATCGGCCGGCATGAGAGGGTGTGGTGTGCGCTCATTTCGTTCTCTCATTGTTCGAGAGCGGCTGACCGAGATGGGACAGCGAACGAGATGGTGGTGAGGGTGACGAAAACAGAAGAAGGCATCTTTCTAGTTACTGGAAAGGTGTGATGGTTGACTGGTACGGCTCGCTTGCGCGCTTCGGTTAGGCTATCACACCCCTTGCTAATTTGGGGGACGCCCTTGGGCAGGCGATTCCGGATTCTGGAAGAGAACGTTATGATTTGGTGAGCAGTTTCGTGGAGTCGGTTAGCTTTACCTCCACCACGTGGGCACCTGTCAACTCAAATCGGAATAGAACCCCGCGGGATGTCGCAGGATTACTTGTTTTCACGTGGAGAACCTGGCGTTGAGTACCTCGTCTATCGGCCCAAGCAGCCAAATGAGTCTGTTGGGTTGTGCAAAGCCGTCTGCTGGCAGGTATCAAATGTTGGCGAAACGGTTATGCTAGAGAATTTTTACAGTTGAGGAAACTCTTGGGGTTCACGGGCGGTGATGAAACAAGATTCACCTTCGGCGTGAAGTATGAATTTCTCCATTGCCGAGATTTCCCTAGTGGTTATCGGATTCAGTACTCCGCCGGATGGGATGTCGTATTCAAGTCGATTAGAAGTGTTGCTGTTGTTTTCTTGGCCGGGTCATTTACTCGCTTGGATATCCTAGAGAGTGAGCACGAGGTAATCCCTGTTGCCATGGCGGACGGGACCCAGATTCGGGAAGCCCTAACCGCCGGATCTCGCTTGCCTGTGCCGCAACCTCCCGTAGGGTTCTTGGCGCTTTGTCGTTCGTCCCCTCGTCGTGTCTACACTGCTGTGGAATCCGTATAGAATGTTTCACCGAAAGACACCGAGCGGAATGTTGCCATTCTTGGTGGGAGGAGCGAGTGACCGACATGGGTGCGAGAGCCTCGGGGCTCTCACCATTCTGAAACCACTGGCTGGACGGAAGCATTCTAGTGAGTTTCCGGGGACTTGTCAGCCTACATCGCGGGCGATTGGAGACTGAAAGCCGGCCCGGCAACCATGACCTAACTTCTATTTAATATATACTTTTACGCAGCGAATATGACTCGAGTGTCGGTAATTCGAGTGGATGCCATGGGCAGGCGAACCGGACAGATGGGGCTTTTGAGATCCTGAAGGCCGCCAGCAGACACGGAAACGCAGTTGCTTCCCGCTGTCACTTCGTCTCGAACCGCTCTCTCGGCTGCCCGGTTACCCGGTGAAGACGTTGATTCCGGGCGCAACTCGATAACTCTTGGCGTCCCAATATTAGGCACTGTCGGTACTTGATGTGCGGTCGGCCTTCACGCAGATACCAGCGTCCTGCACAAGGTCGCCCGAGGCGGTCGCATCCACTCGAGGTCAGGAGGAAGACGGCAATCGTCCCAATTGGCCCATGAAGGGCCGCATTCGGGCTGCAGGCGGGAAGATGATCGTCTGCGGGTGCGTCGAAACAAGCGAAGTTGCCGTGGTCGGGGTCATTATGCCGTGTCAGACACAGAAAAAGTCGCCCTCGTATGTGAGGCGGGGAGAGAGACGGATGATTCAGCCTTTCGAAGCAACAACAAATCGGACTGGGGACGGAAGAAAATGCCGTTTAGTTCTCAAGAAGACGAGGTGTCATTCGTGTGTTTAGGCTGCCGAGCCCATCAAGATCAGACGAAGGGCGGCGATCACCGCTGCGCTAGAAGGATCATGGAAGCTGGAGTCGCCTGGGTTGGGCATGAAGAAGGCTCGCTGAGACCCCAGCCTCCCCACGAATGCTCACTAAGAAGCTCCGTGACAGGCCCTTGAAGCTGTTCCAGGCTTGGCTTCATCAGCCTAACGCGAGTGGGTACTGAGGATCGAGCGTCGCCCCGGACGGGGGATGAACAGCCTAGGGCATGTCGCCCTGATTGCGGGAGTGATTCGGCCCCTGGAGGCCATGCCATATCTAAGATGTGCTGAGACAAAAAGCCTATACGCGACGGTGTGTTTGGGTCGGCGGTACGAAGTATCGAAGAGGGAATTCACCATCAGACCCGGCAGCTAAAAAAAGGCGCCCGGTGCCGCTTCTGGAATCCGGTCAGGAACGGACTGGTGCAGGGATTCCGTTGAATGCACCGACAGTCCAGGCAAGAGGAAAACCGTTGCAGGTTTGCCCTCGTGGCTGCGGCACAGCACCGGGGTTGCGTGGGATGAGGGGTTTGGAGGGGCAGATGGGCGCGGGGGTCTGGGGTTCGGACCGCTGGGGGGCCCGGAGCCGATCCGCCGACAGCAGTGGAGGCGATGGAAAAGGAACCTTAATAAGGGGAAGAAGTCAAATTCCATTTTCATTTTCACGATCTTGAGTACGGATTGCCCACAACTCATGCCCGAGTTCTTGCAAAAAGGAGTCGAGGAAGGAACCTTGAAGGTGTCGGTTCGGAAAATTAGGGCTTGAATGTCTCGGACCAAGAGATTTAGCAAGTGCAGACTAACTACACACAGGCAGACGGGGAAAGTGCCGCCCATCATGGACTTCCAGTTCGTTCCATGCCCATGTCTGTACCTTCCTTCTGGTTTGGATGCAGCCTGTTCCCATTCCCCAATCACTCACCGTTCCCCAATGCCCCACCGCCCCGCCCTCTGTCGGCCCCTATCCCGCCCTGCAAAACCCACCGGCTTAGGTCCATTTCCTTCTCCAGCGCTTCTTCCGCATGGCACTGTTCTTACCTGAAGCCAAGTTCCATTCCCCCTGTTCGGTCTTGTCCGTTGGCCTTGTCTCCCAGCGAGGTCAGACGGTCGTGGTGGAGCTAACGTCATCCTCCTCATGCCCTGTCAAACCACGCGCTCGGACTCGAGGGATCAACAACCGGTCCTCAGCATCCGTACCCAAAGGCTGTCCTCCTCGTTGCGACTGCCCCCGGGTCCCTTCTTGACGCTGTGCTGCGCGGTGTGTCGATGGACCTGCCGGTACTCACCCCGCAACGCCGCGACGGCGTGACAGCGCAACCTGTTTATCCGCCTTCCTGCGCTGCGCTCTGCCAATCCGGGAAATTCCCCTGTGTTTCTCGGCTGATGAAGCATTGTACTCCCGGGAAACATGCAAGGTACCCGTCGCCAGCGTTGGAAGGGGCCGCAGAAGTGCGCGACCCTCTGCGGTACGCAGATTGTGTTCGATCTGGGGTCGAAGAAGGCAAGCACGCCGCGTGCGCTCCTGACGACGACGACGGCCACATACTCTCCCCCGCGCTCTTCCCCGCTCATCACTGGTCGAATGGTTGTGCCGACGACCGTGTCAGAAAATGAAGACAACGCCGATACCAAGTACGAATAGGTCTCTTGGCTCGTTGCGCTGTTCCTGGCGCCCTGGCCAATGAAAGCGCTGTTCGCGAGCCGGGCTTGTCTCATTCATGCTTCAACAGCAAGACCCATCGAAGAACAGGCCAAAACCCTTGCTATTTCCCGACAAAAGACTTCTTCTCTAGCCGGATCTTGATCCCTCGCTCTCTCACTGGCGTGCCACTTCTAGGGAACGATGCCAACCAAGGAGCCAAGGTTTGACGGCTAAAGGACATCTGATATCACCCATTTATATCCGCATCCACCCAAAAACCGACGAGAAGGGGTTGCCGCAACCCTGCAAGGGACCCGTATCAGGAAACGCCGGGCGGCTCAGCGACAGGGCCATCCTAGCCAGTAGTGACGTCCTAGCACTCTCTGGCGAAATTCGGGGGTTCAGCACCTTTGCGGCCTGTTTGAAGTTGGCGTGCTCCACTGTGGTCGGCCATCTTCCACAACAGGGATTCTCTTGTCCCAGAGCGTTGGTTTGGGAATAGATACAAACTGCTCCATGTAGTTTTCCGCCCCTTTGCTGCACGACGGTACGTGCGGATTGAGTACTGTACACTGCTTCCTTCTCAACTTGCGCTTTCCCGAGCTCGCGTCGATTAGGCTCAGGGACGCTCTCTTTGCCCGTTCTGTTCCCTGTCTCTTTGGCCCAATCTCGAACGCTTGAACCCGCCCGAATAACGCCCGAGCCCATCCAGGGGAGGGGAGAAGGGGAGGGGTGTAAGTCTCACTCAAACAAACCTAAGTCTAGGTAGAGAGCAACTGCGAGGGACCCATCGCTCCTTCACCGGCTCCCATCAGCACATGCCGACTCCGGTTCACCCCTTCGCCGGCTACCGGGAGTGTTGGTGACGCATCTCTGTCCCGCTCCTATCCTGTTTCCTGCTTGTTGTCGGAGGCAAGCGGCCAGACCATCAGACTGTGTCCAAGTCAACCGAACCGGTCGATCCACAACCCGTCCGACCCGTACCCGTACCCGTGCCTGGAAGCCTCCACCCAGCAGCTGCACTACCACAACTTCAAAAGGCCGCCTCATCGCCCCCCCTCGGACGCTTGCCGTTCACCTACATACACACGACAATCAAAATCCCGCCGGAAATCCACGGAAAACGGTTGGACAAACGCCCACCTAAGCGAGCACTCGTTTCTGTTCTACTGTCACGCACCACTGCTGTGCTTTCGACGTCTTCCCTGACTTCTTCTTTCTTTCCCTTCCATTCATTATAAAACCTGAGCTTAGGTTTCGCTCTGGCAGCGATCACACCATCACCATCACACCTTTTCACTGCGATACTCTCTCCGACTTAGCTACTCCTCGTCATATCCGTCAGTACAAATACTGCACCCTACCATCCTGAACTGCTCTCACGTCGGCATTACACGGCCTGCTCGAAACAGAAGCAGGCGCTATCAAACGTGAGTACATTATTCTTATCCGACCTTCCTTTTCTATAACACTAATACCACCTCAAGACTGAGGCAAAAAAAAAGAGGAAACCATCGTTCCTAGCCCTACATTTTGGAGGCGGACCATCAGCACGCAACTCCCAACTTGAACTTGGCCTAACTCTGTCAACATGGCGATCGCCGGCCACAGTCACTGCGCGCATTCGTTTGTCATGATCAAGTCAGACAATACCCTCATCGAGTGGAGGTGCCACGTCTGTCATTGTGGCCCATTCTGGTTCATCTGGGAGTGCCGGTACTGCCGCCTTCACACATGCCGGAGTTGCATGGACAGCGCCTAAGCTGCTACACCGTACCCGGGTAGTGGACGCTGCTAAGAGATCTGGAACTGGGATTGGAGGTACAAGAGACGGGATGAAGACGGTCCTGGCTTTCTGGGTGCTGTGGTTGGCTTTCCTCCCACGGAGGCGCTGGTGAGTTACATCGAGATCACCGCAGCCCCGACAGTGTGGTGCGCTTTCCCCTGAAGTCGGTACACAGCGGATCATGGTCGAGTGGCCGTGCCCAGCTGAATGACACAAGAAATCGACAGGGGAAGGGAAACTCGCAACGATCCTAACCACTCATCACTGTTCTCAGACCTGAGAAAAGATAACTGGTTACTGACATGCGTTAAAAATTCCGCAGACTTTCAAACTAATAGCTTGGCTAAGCCGCCGGGACCGAAAATATCGGGCTGTTTTGGGGAATGGGAAGACTACCGTCCCAATACCGAGTCCGGACCGCAACACCCGAAACGCCGAGACATCCAACCCTAAACAACCCCTGCAAGCTCCGACACCTGCCCCGACCCTGAAAAGAAAAACGCAAAAAAAATAAAATTCGGAAGAGCAAGAAGCCAAGGAATCACGAAGGCATCAATTTGTCCCGCATTCCCCGCCATCGTGATATGGCGGGACGCCCCGTCTTCCAAACGACAAGCTCGCCAAATCTCGCCTCGAGAGGTTACCCGGCATCAAACCGGCCCCGGCTGCGGCCTTCCGCAATCCTAGGCTTCTCTCGCTTTCCCCCTCCCCCGCCAGGCGCTCGGTACTTTTTCTCCCGTTTTCGTCGCATCCCCAAAATAACCCCGACCCCATGTCGTCACGCAAACACTTTTTTTTTTCTCTTCGCGCGAATAACACCACACGACGGGGGTTGACCGGCTCAGGCAGGTCCAAGCCCATTCTGCTTACGCGATCTTTTCTCTGTATTTTCAGTTTGCCCCATCTTGATTTCCCTTTTGGCTTTCGCTTGGCAGGAATAGAGGAGTTTCGGCTCATAGACGGAACGGATTGGGTTTGCTTTGCGCGCGGAAGGATCAGTGCGTTGGGTTCACTTCTTCAGATATCCACTTTGGTGATGCACCATTATTTCTTTCTCATTACCTTTTCCTTTTGGCTTTTATCTTCTTGGGGTGTGTTGTTTTACCTCGGGGTTCAGTATAACCTCGGCTAGGATTGGAATCGGAAACATCTGGAATAGACTGGGAAAAAACGGCTTACCCCGCGGGTGACCACCGGATGGTACAGACCCGGTTTGGGATAGCTTTTACAAGGCCCCTCGGGAAAGGGAAGGAAGATGAGGGGGAAACAAAAGGCGGTCGGGATTACAAAGGCGTCATGTGTAAGGGAAGGGAAACATGATTGCGAGGATAGGGCTAAAATTGGACTGGAATGGGAAAAATTGGCTTTTGTGCTGGCCGCTTCTCATCACATCACCACCATCTTTACTAACAATTCTCTTAAGATCGCTATTATGGTGTTGAATCTCTCCTTCTCTCAACTGCCGTGTTTGCTTTCCCTCCATGTGGTCTGTGCCGTGTGGCTGAACGTGCATGGAATATTCTTCTCCCTCGCAGCTCAGTATCACCAACCACCCTGACTTTCGAGGAATGGAAGTACACAACGGGTAAGAACACCGCTTGTGGTTTCTAGCTTATTTCTGGAAAACGCCGAGAACACCGACGAGCACCGAATTTCCCGTGTGTGATCAAAAGTTGATGAGACCAATATTCCGTGCTCGTCACAACAACTCGATCACCCGACCGGTTTCCTCAAACATGGATACTAGTTAGCGCCGTTGATGATGAGCCGACTAACATGTTGTACAGTGTAAATCACCTCCGTATGTCAATTTCTTTTTGGAGTAAGCGATCAGATCAGATTCCCCGCTAACCGTCCCCCCTGTCCGGACCGCGGCGAGGTCAACGACAAACATCGAAAAACCCAAAATCCAGACGACAAAGAATAAGCTGACGTGTTCATCCGTTCGTAACCGCCCGAACATCGTTCGTTCGACGCCGCGGTGGGGATGTCAATGCTCCCCAGACGGAAAAGTCTTCAGTCCAGTACACTCAATTAATTCCCAACCGCGTTTTTTTCCCTTTTTCCCCTTTCCCTTTTCCAACACTCGGCTCGCCGCAGAAAAAAGCTCAGGAGATCTGGAATTACCGCTTCGAGCTAAATGCAGGCCGGATGTTCAGGGAAGGTCCCGGTTTTGCCTGAAGAGCCCCACTAGAAGGGAGTGAGCAAGGTGAAGAAGAAAAATGGACGGCTGTTTTCAGCTTGAGCGGTCTATGATGATGACGATCATGGCGTGATATGGAGCTTTACCGGAAGCGTTTGGGTGCTGAGATCGCACTAGAGTTTGTAAGTATATTTGGATATTGTTTTTTTTTATCCACATCCCCACCCCGCTGCCGTTTGGCGGTGACGTATCTTCAGTTCTTCACCGATGAACACTACCCACGCTTGCCACGCCCGATTAACCTGATGTGTAAAGTCCGTCCGGGGTGAGCGCGTTACGTGTCAAGCCAAGCAGGCCCTAGGACTAACAAGTTGGGTTGACACAGTGTTTTGAACAACTCAAATCCGTCATTATCAATCTGAAACGGGCAAACAAACAGGGCTTGGTCGGGTAGTCGCCAGCGCCAAACCCGAGTAGATTCCGGAATGAGCCGTCTTCTCTATCCGGTGTGTCCGAAGAGGGTTGGGCAATCCGCCGGAAATGGAAGGGGGGAGAGGAAAAGAATCCTAAACAAGCGCACATATGTTCCTTCGGCTGTGCGGGGAGCCCAACCAGACGAGCCATTGCCCAGGCCAAAAGGCGGCTCTCTTTTCTTCCTTTTGGGTCCCCCCTCCCTTCTCTAATGCATGCATATCGCCGTTTTAGTGTGCCGTCACACAAAACACGATCCGAATCGGACGGGAGGAGTTCCGCTGAGTTGGGCTGGGCTGGGCCGTTCTCTTTGGGATAAGGCTGGCGGCGTTGCGGGTTCGTCTGCCGCTGCAGGTGGTCTGCGCACGGCGATTTCCCGATTGCCCGATTCGGGTGCATGCACGAAGCGACGGGCGATGATTGGTCGGCTTATCAGCCCAGTTCAATGTCCGATTCGCTGTAGGTGTGGATGCCCTTGATGCCCTTGCATGTGCGAACATCTGGGTGGACCATCGATGCCGTTCGCTTTTTGTGTTATATTGTCATGAAGCAAGACAACCATGGCCGTTGTTGCGCGGATGACAGAAGGTAAGACACGCCGTCAGATATGAAACGACGTCCAGGCACTGCTTGAGGTAAAGCTTTTGTCGTTACGAACGTCAGTGAACATCAACCAGCTTTATGCATCTCTCTCTGTTTGCGCAACTCAGAGTTGTGCCGTGCCAACCACTTCCAGTTCGATAATACGGCCGTAGTTACCTAGCTGCGTGGTAACTCCTCTGTGTCTTTGCGGATGATGCCCTCACCCGGCCAGCGTATTTAAGCCTCAGCTTCCCAAGGGACTGTTGGCCTTGCGCCCGTGATGGTACCCTGCATGCTGGTTGGGGAGTGAGGTGGGATTTGGTACCAGGCAAACAGTGGTGACAGTGACCTCGGACGAGCAGCCTTGTGCTTCGGCGCCACCTTCTCGAAATTGCGGCGTCCTGCCCGCCATCGATCTCCCGCAGCGCACGTCCTTTGCAACGCGACTGCCGAGTGTATCTGAAACGAGTGCGAACAAAAAAGCGTGTCCTCTCATAACGCACGAAAGTGGCGCCGCTTCTCGCCCGCCAAATCAGACGCCTCGCCCGCACAACCCCAAGATCAGAGTACATGCACTAGCCCCGATCGGCCCAGGTCCGCAGCGTAGCGAGTCGAGTCTCTCACGGAGCCGAGGCCGGCCCCCACCCGGTGTGCCGATAATTTCGAGCGGCAGGCCCCGGGGGAAGTGTCCCGGTCGGGGAGAGCCGGCAGCGCACGGACAGGCCTAAATGAAAGCATATTGACCTGCCTCCAAAGGAAGAGGTTCCCGCAGCGTTGATGTTGTTTACTATGTAGCGCCGGTTCCGGGGCTTGCAGCCTTCTATGAAGGTGGGTAGCATCGCCCATGAAGAACCAGATTCGATCGATGATAACGGTTCATGCAACCCCTCCGGGGCAACATTCAGGTATAGTCGCATTTCCGGATGGCCGGACACCTCAAGCCGGCCAGATTCGATCATCGCGAGGTCGAGAGAAGCGTGCTCGATAGGAATCAAGGCGCAACATGACTCGCCCAATCCAACCCTTCCAGCTTTGCTCACCGTACCGACAGTGGTTGTATACTATGTGGGATAATACCTTGCCCTGCTTTGTTAATTGCCCGCCGCGGCCCGCCGTACCATCAGCCTGAAAATCAACGGTCGTCCCAACGTTATGATTGCCGGGCCACCGGCCCAGGCTCTTGTCAATGCCGCGCCACTCGTGGCGAGTGGGTTTCGAGAATACTCACCCAATGAGGGGACGAAATATCCGGAAACGCCTGATAGGAGCCCACAACGAACTTAACTGAATGAACCAGAAAGATTTCAACCCACTGGGGATGTAGTGGTGTGTGCAAGCTTGTTGGCCCACTACCGAAGACATTGAGCTTTGCTTGTTACCGAGTAACCTTGATTGGCGTCGGGTCCCTAGATGGAGGATAATTCTAACCGTCACCCCCGCCCGCATTAGCAAACTACTCCCAAGAGCTCTCAAGCTCAAAAAGTCCGCGTGCAGGAGTCAACCCAAACGTCGATGTTGCACCAACAGTCTGCCGACCCTCCATAATCTAGAGCGCGGGGGAAAGGGATTTGATCATCACAAGCTGGAGCAAACTCGGCCAACATCGGCGTGAATGACATGCGGTGGTAAGCGATGAGCGGAGCCAAAGACCAAACACCTTCCTCATCAGCTAGAGCGTTCTCGAGTGACGCGTGATTTTCCCGCATCATCACGCATTGCCTCTCGTTTGTTGTCGCCGGTTTGATGGGAGCGAGGTAAACCATGCTGATCCACCGTTGATCCCCGGAGGAATGCCCGACCACCGGAAAATGTTCGGGCCATTTGCTCGGTCTCGCCCTGCTTCGGTGAGTCCAACCTAGAAGTAGCGCCGCACCATATCGCCGTTGAAATATCAGCTTCCGGTGCTTTTTAGGGAGCTGGAGGGCCTTTTTTGTTCGGACCGATACTGATGAAGCTGCATGAAGCTTTGGCGATACCACGGTCGGAGGCGTTGGCTCTAATGCAATAGGACATGCCCACGGACGCCGTGGCCGGTGTCGCTCACGACGTCTCAGTTTGTGGTGCCGAGAGCAAGTTTTCGAGTCATCGAGTTGGAGAATCCTTCATAAACTAGGCTGAAAAGGTGTGGCGCGTATGCTGTCTGTTGCATCACAGCGGGAAACGGGCCGGCTTCCAATTGCGAGCGCACCTTTCGCGTCGAAAATTGATGAGAACAAGTGGTGAGAAGTTGATGAGACGTCGCTCAGTGGGAAATTGCAAGGAAGGCGGCAGCATTGGGCTGGTGGATCTTGAGCTTTGATTGCGGGACACTCAGTGGGTCTGGGGAAGCTTTGACCCACTGGCCTCCTCTGGGCTCAAGGGTCTTGAAACGTTCGACAGCCTTTTCCAGGCGACGGCCAAGCTCGAGCAACCACTGTGTGCGAGGCCAACAATGCATTGCAACGAATTCATAGCGCTGTTTTCTTGAGCCGGTTGGACCCTTCAACGGTTGTCATGTTAGTCCGCCCAACATCGGAATGAATCTCACCTGGTGAGCGTTCTGGAAATTTATCGGTCATTACCCAACAAACCTAACCCAGGACCCATCGTGGATGATTGTCCCAGCTTAAGACCCATCTTTTCTCTGGCGATTGGCGCGATCTTGATCCTGGGGCCGTCTTTTCCACCCCCTGTAATACCCCGGTCACACGTGCTCGCTTCCTCGAGCACGCGTCGTTTCCGCCATTCGGCGACTTCACGGATATCTAATCGAGCAATCCATTTTCGACAAGCGAAAATCGAGCAACTCGGGGAAATTGCCAAGAGACGAGAGAGAGCAGGACAAGGAGAGCTGCGTGCCGACCCCGAAACACAGCCTTTCAGGCGTCCATACTTCGGCCGAGATGCCACTGCGGGTGAGCCGATCCACTGAGGCAGTCCCCCGTCAGATACAGAGCGTTCAAGCCAGTTAACATTCATATACTCAACCACTTAGGCGTATGATGGTGGCTCTCACACCCAGGAGACGTCATGTACATATATGTACCACGTCAGCTCAGCATCTTGATCCTTCTCGTGTTACCGAGCACCCACGCATCGTGAGCGAAGAGACGCTCCCGCAGTTATGCGGTGATTAACGATCTCCGCCACCCGTTCCCCGTCATGCTCTACCAAAGAGACTGCGTTGGAGGACTTTCGTATGGCTTCTCGCAACCACTCAACGCCCGCAGATCACCCTTGCCCCAGGACACGAACTGCTGAGGGGGTCCACGTGGCAGCAGGCTGTGGACCAAAACACGACTCGCATTGTGTATCACCAGCAGCAAAACCTGAATCAGTCGGCTATGATTACCGTGGTTATCTCGCGGGGTGCGGCCTGCAAAGATACAACGTAATCCTCATAAAAAAGCATTACACGGTACGGCGCTGTCCTCTCTCATGAACGGAATGAGCGCTCAAGTTCTCCTATGGGCTCTTAAAAGGCGTATGGCACAGACCGTGAGACAAATCTTTTAGCACAGGCTAACATGACTGAAGGTTTGAGGGTAAGAAGTAACTGGAACGTTGTCAGTTTCCGGCTCCCCTCTCAGGTCCCACAAATGTTTTGAAGGTGAATGACTGAGATACTGGGCGACTGGGTGTAGCCACAAACGCACCGAGTCATGTTTCAACTTCGGTCAACTGAGTTCGTGCGAGAGGTAACAGGGCTAACAGCTAGAAAGCATCGAGTTGCACAGCCAATGCTGACGCTGGCTAAGGCGGACAATCAATACTCGATGAATAAATCGGAGACCGATATGGGCTCGATGCTCAACTCTGTCTTCCTGCCCAAAGTGTCACAAAGTGACCATCCTTTCGCTGGAGCTCAAATGAGGGACTCTGAGGAGACATATCAGTGGCCCATCTTCTCAGGATTCTGCAGGTGAGAGAAGGTGGGTGGGCACTGTTCTGCGTCTTGATCACATTATCTACTGCCCTCTAGCAGACTTGGAGCCTGGTCTTGTGGGAGCATTGTGTATGCATCACGCTTTGCTTACAAGAAAAAATAAGAGCAGGCGACCAATCGAGAGCCAACGGTCTTCGCGGCCCCCAACCCCTCGAACCCCGACTGAGGCTCCAACAACCTAGATACCCGACTCGACCCCTCATCCACGCGTGAGTGCAATGTCTCAACTGCGCGTCATGTCGATAGTCACAACCGGGTTTCTACCCCGCAGATCGAGTGCGGCTTGGGCGGGAGCTAGCTGATCTAAGCTTTCCCAACTGCCGCGTGATGTCCATTTTCGGACGGATTGGCTACTTGAAGGAAGCGTGACGTTGGAGCACGGCATGTCTCTACCGGGGCCCACTCACATCTGCAAAAAATCCTGCGGCAGTCCTCAACACTCGCGGCCAACTGCTTCGCAGCAGCCGCAGGCTTGTGACCCAACAACACAAAAGGCTGTTGGTTCGACTTCTGCTTCGAGTCCTGCACGCCCAAGATCAACATACCCGTACACCACCGTATGGACTGCCATCCCAGGACCGACAAACCACAATGCGATGCGTGGCATGGAGGCGATCAGGAATGAACGCAATGTCATCCGTTGCACTGATCACAACGGAATACAGCCTAGGCGGGCAATGTTGCGGGGTCATTGTTCGTCAACTGACTCTCGAGAGGCCCAGCTGACGAAGTTTTTTGATACCCGATTCTGATTCCAAAGGAGCGCTTTGTTTCGGCGTCGCAAACTTTTCGTCGGAAGGAAGCGTTAAGCCTTGGCCGCTTGGCTGGCGGGTGATGTGGCCATTGGCCGTGGCGCAGAGAGCCATCCGTTCCTCCCTTAGGTTACGCGCTCAAAGGGGCAGCAATTTGGCCGCTTAGGCCGGCAAAGGAATGGCCTTGCAAGCGATCCCGCTGATAGGGCCATGGTCCGCCAAGCGCAGGGATAGCGTTACTCTGTTTCCGACAGCATAACAGCCGGGTTTTATAACAGCCCTGAGATTTCCTATTTGGGATATGAGGGAACATCGAGCGCCCAAAACAGCGTGGGGACACAAAACCAACAACAATGTGGTCACGGCCACAATTTTCGTCGGACGATGTTCGTTGGGTTTCCTTTGTGATGGCCCAGCAGAGCCTACTTGTTGTTGAGGCCCTCTGCGCTGTTATTTATATAGCCGGCCTCCGCAGCCCTATGTTTTGACCTCTAACTCCCTGCATTAGTTATTTACCCAGCCGTTTCACATTTTTTTCACCTGCTCCCCTTCATTTACCGAGCGCGAGGAAACGAAAAAAACATCAACCTCAGTTCAAGATGGTGTCCTTACGTTGGGGCGGGTTGGCTGCTCGCGCGGTCCACTTGATCTCCGTGCGGCCAGGCATAGTGATCTCAGGTCAAGACTCAATATTGGCTGTTCAGGCACTTCAAGGGTGGTACGATGCGCCGTCTGGGCTCTGGGCCACGACGGGCTGGTGGAACAGCGCAAACTGCCTCACTGTCCTGACAGACTGGGCAGTGGCTGCCGGATACAACGCTGGACTCGTGGATGTCCCGGGTATTATCGCCAACACGTTCAACAACGCGCAGCGAGTCTCGGGCAGCGCGCACAAACGGATGTCTAGCACCGGGCTGCCGACATCGACATACTCCCTAAACGCCACGGAAGCCGGCGATACCAGTAACGACAAACGCGGGTTTTCGGGGTTCATAAACGACTACTACGACGACGAAGGGTGGTGGGCGCTCGCGCTGATTCGGTCCTGGGACGTGACGCATCAGCAGGCGTATCTCGACATGGCGGAGAGCATTTTCCGTGACATGCAGGCTGGGATAGACGACAAGTGTGGCGGCGGGATATGGTGGAGCAAAGAGAAGGCGTACAAGAATGCCATCGCCAACGAGCTGTACCTGAGCGTGGCCGCCAGCCTGGCCAACCGAGTACCGGCACAGAAAGCACACTACACCCAGATCGCGCGCGACCAGTGGAACTGGTTCCGGAAGAGCGGCCTGATCAACGACAAGAACCTCATCAACGACGGGCTGAGCATCCGAGCCGATGGCCGCTGCGTCAACAACAACGGCCAAACCTGGTCCTACAACCAAGGCGTCATTCTCGGCGGGCTCGTCGAGTTGGCCCAGGCCACGGGCGACCGGTCGTACCTGAGCCAGGCCATCCCCATCGCACTAGCGGCCATCGACAGGCTGGACGACAACAAGACGGGCATCATCCGTGAGGCGGATAACTGCGAGCCCAAGTGCGGCAGCGACGGCAGCCAGTTCAAGGGTATATTTGTGCGCAACCTGCACTACCTCCACAAGGCTGCGCCGCGGGATGAGTTCAAGAACGCGATCAAGAAGAATGCGAAATCAATTTGGGACAACGACCGGAATGGGAAGAACCAGTTGGGGATCAAATGGTCGGGCCCCGCAGATCTGGGTGATGGGCCTACCGCGTCGACGCACAGCTCAGCATTAGATGTGTTGGTGGCGGCGTTAGCGATAGGCGCATAGGGGGACTTGTCCATGGGTGGTAAGCGATGAGCATCTGCATTGGGGAGGGGGCTAGTGGGATACAGGCACACTGGGATACACGGATACAAAACGGGAGGCAAAGCGATACCTTTTAGACTTGGGTTATGGTATTATACCTAATGATCACGAACAGCGCTGATTCTAGCTAATTTATTAAACTTGAGGTTTTCAACTCTTATCTACTATTTGACCGTTGTCCTTTTCCTGCCCCGGGCCTCTTCACCTAACGCCTCCCCAGGTTTTAGTTTCCTCTTTCCCCTCGGCTTTGTTGTGTAAACGATTCGTAAGATACAGTATTCTCGTGACCCCAATGACATGTGTTGATGCCTGACGTGGAGAGCTACTTTCCCAATTAGGACTCAAGCTCCCGCAGCTCGACACCAAGTTCGGACGGTTTCCTCACACCCTTGCCCCACTCTTGAAACTTTCCACTCAACCGCTAACTTCACAACTTCAACAAATCACTCCATTCAACTCACCTGCTCACTCACTCATTCAACTCACCTGCTCACTCACTCACTCACTCACCCTACTTTCGAGTCCGGCCATGGACGCTCCCGAAGACGACCTCGACATCAAACTCCAAAAGATTTCGGGAGATCTCATCGCCGATTTTGACAAGTCCCTACAGCCGTTTCTTCGGAAACAGCAGAGGAAACAACATGTCCAGGCAGCGAGTGGAAACGGCCTCCCCGCAGTCCGGTTACGGGTCCGTACGCGTGAGACGGCGCGACTCATTTCTTCGGTATGTACTTGTCAATAATAAAGAAAAGAAGACGGCAATGAAAATGAGAGAAATTATTTTTTCCATCAAAAAAGAAAGAGCGAAAATAGAAGCAAATGAGTGAATATCCACATAATAATTAACACATTCCTTTACCATCAAGCTGCTAGACCCGTTCCAAGAACTCCCCCAACTTCTCGACCCGCACCTCCCTGTCTGGCTCTCGGCTCTCGGCGATGCATATCTCGAGTACTATCTCACTAGCCACCTCCGCCGTCGACATCATCGCCAACCGGACCCTCAGGCCGTTACAGATCCAACTCACCCCCCTACAGAATCAACACTCCCCGACCCCTCCGCCGACCAAATTGGTTCCGGCCTGCTGATGCCCCTTCCGCGCGCTATTTGCAAACTTCTCTACACGTTCTGCAAAATCCGCGGGGAGAAGGTAGTGGTTCGCTTTCTAAGTAACGAGGCGCGGTACTTAGAAGTCTTGCTAGCCGCGCTAGAAGAGGCCGAGAGAACTGGCGGTGTCTCCGGCAACGAAAACGACAACGGCACATCCTGGGCATGGGAAGAGCGCTACGTCGTCCTCCTCTGGCTATCCCACCTGATGCTAGCCCCCTTTGACCTCTCCAGCATGTCCTCGCAGGAAATGCTGGGCGAAGACGAGGTGGTGTCTGTGCCCGGTCTGGTGTGGCCGGCCAATTTGCCGAGTATCACGACCCGTATCCTGCCGCTGGCTATCGAGTGTCTTGCTTCGCCGGGTAAGGAGCGGGACGCGTCTAAGGCACTGCTAGTGCGGATTTCGATGCGGCGGGATATGCAGCAGCTTGGGGTGTTGGATGCGTTGGTGCGTTGGGCGTTGGGGGCTTTGGGATCTGAGAGTGGTGGTGATGGTGATGCGGGGGCTGGGAAGCAGCGGACGCCGTATCATTACATTGGGGTGTTGTCGTATTTGGCTGGGATATTGGCATCGTCTGCGGATACGTCGGATATGAATCGCTACTTGACGAAGATTTTCTACGTTGTGCATGGGATTGCTGCGTCCGAGGAAGGTGGGAAAGGGGGTTCCTCGATGATGGCATCGGCTTTGGCGCGTAAGACCATGATCAAGGTGATCCGGGCTATTACGGTTCTGATTCTACGAGATCCACAGGACATGGAAGGGATGGAAATCGTCGAAACGACAATTGGGTTTCTCCTGGAGAGTTTGGCAGACAACGACACGCCTGTCCGTTTCGCAGCCAGCAAGGCGCTCAGCATCATCACGCTGAGACTGGATGAGGGTATGGCCTCGCAGGTCGTCGAAGCTGTGCTCGAGTCTCTCAACCAGAATGTTTTGCGTGTCAAAGCTTCAACAGACTCGTCAGGAGTTCCCAAGAAGGACTTGAGCATGGTTGACCCCCTGGAATGGCATGGCCTCATGCTAACGCTTTCTCACTTACTCTATCGGCGGTCTCCGCCGGCCGAAAACCTAGCCGATATCGTGCAGGCTCTGTTGATGGGTCTCTCCTTTGAGAGACGGAGCACATCCGGGAGTTCTACGGGCGCAAACGTCCGTGACGCCGCATGCTTTGGCGTGTGGGCACTAGCTCGACGGTATACCACTTCTGAACTTCTCGCCGTGCCCACCACTTCCTTTGTCACCACTGGCAATCCTGACTCGGCAACCTCGATTCAACAAATAATTGCCACCGCGTTGGTCACCACAGCCTGCCTTGATCCATCAGGAAATATCCGCCGCGGCTCGTCGGCGGCCCTGCAAGAGCTCATCGGCAGGCATCCTGATACGGTCGAGAAGGGCATCTGGGTCGTCCAGACGGTTGACTACCATGCCGTGGCCCTCCGGTCGCGGGCCGTTCAAGACGTCGCGTTGGGTGTGACGAAGTTGGCTGGGCTGTACGGAGAGGCTATTCTGGAAGGGCTGCTGGGCTGGCGAGGAGTGGGTGATGCAGACGCGGCTGCGAGACGGGCCGCGGGCGTATCGTATGGCGCTATTACGGCCGAACTGGCGTCGTTGTCTTCGGACCCGGTCCAGAGGCTGGCGCAGTCTGTAAGCTTGGTGCTGGACCGCATCAAGGGGCTCGAGGCGCGGCAGGTAGAGGAGCGGCATGGGCTGTTCTTTAGCTTTGCCGCTGTACTGGATGCCCTAGCGGAGGTTGCTTCTCCCGAGACACAAACGAGCCCGACGTTCAGGGGATTAGTCTCGCTCTCGCTCAACGCACTGCTTGATATCCTCGAGGACAGCGACACAAAGACCTACCGCAAACCCGAACTCATCGCTGAAGCCGCCAGCCGGCTCATCATCTCCTCATTCCCCGCCCTTCAGGCAACTACGTCAAGCACCACTGCTAAGCTGTTGCCTGGTCACTCACTCATGTCCAAACCCGGTGCTGAGCTCTCTCACCTCGTCAACTCCATCCACCGGACCACAACCGTTAAAAACGATACCCCAACCTCGGCCTTAACCTCAATCCTCCCCACACTCACCACCCTCGTTCGTTCCAATCTCCAAAAGTGGCTCATCCACCCCGACATCGCCATTGTCTCTGCCGCTTCCGACGCCGCCGTCATTCTCATGCTCTTCTGCAGCCCACGCGAGCGAGCCGAAACCATCAGCGGTTGGGCCGAGTCGGCGCGACGTAATCTCCGGCAGACGTCCAAGACGCGCACGACGAGTGGGCATTTTTCGGCGTTGGCGGCCGTTTACCCGCTTGCTACTGCGGTAACTACGCAGAGTGGGGAGGCCAGCCAGGATGAGAAGGAGGAAGAGAAAGATAAGGACCTTATTTGCAACGCCATCGTGGAGAGATGGCGCGCTGATGTGTGGACGGACACGAGGGCGTGTATCCTGCAGAGCTTGACGGGGAGCGAGTTGCTAGCGCGCAATACGAATGTGTTCCTAGACTTAGTGGCAGAAGGGCTGGATGATTACACCACGACAGCGCGGGGCGATGTGGGATCGTTGGTGCGCTTTGAAGCCATCCGGGCGACACGGTCGCTGTGGGAACGGGAGCTGGAAACGGCGGGTAGCGAGACGGCGCATCGGCTGGTATCCACGCTGTTCTTGCGGATCTTGAGGTTGGCGGCCGAGAAGCTGGATCGGGTGCGTGTCGAGGCGCAGGCTGCGCTTGCAGTGGTGCTTAAGGCAAGGTAAGAAAGGAAGACGCCCACAACTTGGCTTACAATCTCCCCCTTTTTGTTAGACTCAAAGTGTTGACCAACCACCACTATTCACAGCCAAGCCGCCCTCCTCCGCCGGTCCACCTTCTCCTCCCAATCCTATTTCATTTTCCTCCTCGACCTCCTCCATAACGACTGGCTCCACCCCACCGTCTCTTCCACAGCCAAAGCCGACCCCGACGCCTGGATGGACGCCCTCCTCGCCGGCCTCGTCTCATCAGCCGACACCGGCAACGAAGAACTCGTCATAGCCACACGCGCCGCCCTCTGCGCGTTCTGCGAACGCTCCCCAACCCACCGCGACGTCGTATGCGGCGCGCTGGCGCGCAACCTCAAGACCTGGCAGGGAACAGACCGGGTCCTGGTCCCGACGCTGGAGGTGGTCGCCTTCTTGTTCCACGTAGGCATCTTTGAGGGTGCCGCGGGGATCGACTACAAGACGCTGTGTCTGCGGGTGCAGAAGGCGTGTTACAAGACCGGGAATGTGCGTAAAATTGAAGCGTGTGTGAGGGTCTATGGGGCAATTGCGGAGTTGGGGAACAGCAGGAACAGCGCCACTCCCGCCAGCGCTGCTAGCATTCACCAGGACACCCTGGATGCCTCAGTCCCCAAAATCACCACAAAAAGGCAGGAAGAAGGCATCCGTGAAGCCCGTGTCCGTCTCGGGGCTCTCATGTCCCACCCCTGGCCACGCGTCAAGAGTACCGTTGTGGACGAGCTTTGGGGTCTGCATTACGAGGACGCAGCGATCGCCCAATCTCTGAAAAGCGTGGACTGGGGGAAGGCAGAGAAGGCTAAGATCAGGACAATGGTGGAGGGTCTGGGGCTTGTTTGAGAGGGGGAGCAGCCTCGGGACATGATCCATCTTCGCCTCCTTTACACCGGATAACTGCACCCGAGGGCGAGGATGAACATTTGGCCGTCTTTCTGCGGTTGGTGGAAGTGTCTTCGGAACCTGGACGGACTGTGGTCCGGAGCGAAGGCTGGGCCAATGGGTGAGGGGTGGTTGGTGGGGGACAATAGGTACGGAGTATCTGGAGTGTATTGTCCTCCTGTCTGGGGGTCATTGATTCCTCGGGCTAGTGCTTGTTGCGTTCCTTGTGTTTTGTCAAGCTGTACATACACTAGTATGGATCACTAACTAACACCCCGCTCGATTCAATCGTGGGTTCACGGCGGAGATGGTCAAGGGGAAAAAAAGACACATGGCAGCCCTGTCAACCGTCGAGTTTAGTGGTGTAACTGGAGGGGAAGAAGAAAAGGATGCCCACTCGGCTTTCGAACCCTTGTTGCCGCGGAGGACGGCTTCAACCCGACCCAGCCTTCACTACTTTGGCTTTTTGAGCGTGATGCAGCCTTGCGTGCAGCAAATCTCGTGCAGAGGACTGATGAATTGGCGGCTCAGAATGTTAGTTATTCCGTTGTGTGTCTAGATTCGACCGAATAGGTATTACCCAGAGGGTCCCCGCGTCTACAAGGCAAGCTGAACAAGACATAAAATTCACTTTCAGGCGGCCCCATGGACTGCGTGCGTAGACTCCTCCTTTCTTCCGTCGCACCGTGTCTCCTGTCGTGCCCATCTGAATCATCCTTGACAAAGCCAGCCTAGCGGTCATGAGGGAAGCGAGGGTACACCATGACGTGCATCGTCCCGGTGGAGAGCGCCTTCGCTGATCGCACACTGACGACGTAGAGGGGAAGGAGGGAAAAAAAAAAACAGGGAGAAGAAAATCAACGCCAAGGCCAACGGTTGCGACGAGCCGGCCCGGCGTCCAACATGAAAGTTGGGGGGTGGTTGAATGGGGGCCAAGCCTGGCCGTTTTCTTGTCAGATCGGACGTCAGTTCTTAGTTCATTCGTTTCGCCCGTCCAGTGTTTCGTTTCCGTCTTGTCGTCTCGCAAGAATAATATGATTCTCTTTTTCTTCCACGTGTAATACTCCGGAATGCCTGTCAACACGACCAACTGAACCCTAGACTTGACTTGGTTTTTTGTGCAAGATAACGCGTGGAGTGAGTTTTACCCTGTCTTGTTCGCTCTGCTCGTTCCGGCTCCGCGAAGAAACGAGGCAACCGACAAGCGAAGGCCCGAGTCCGCGAGTGGTTCTGTTGTTGCCCCAGGGTCCTGGAGGATCCATGTGACTCCACAACCAACAACTTCGAGACAGAGGCAATATGAATAGGGTAGGGTATCTAAGCACGGGCCACATTGCGGCGGCTTCCCGAAACATTCACCAACTCCTCCCTTGCCTGAACGACTGACCAAAACAAACGGTTTCGCTCTCCTTTGCTCTGGCCGAGAACGCTGAGAGCAAAAAAAAAAAAAAAAACCTCCTCCGGTTGCCGGATCGGGCGCAGATACCGGTATGGACGGTCCTGCGAGTCAGACGGAGCACCTTCCATCCTGCCATCTGCTCTGCAGCGTCGTGCAGTTAAGAGCAGGGGTATAACTATTCGTAAAGCGAGCAGGAGGTTGGATGAGGGCGATCGGCCCGCGGCAGGCAAGCCGCCGCCAACCGTTGGTTGTTAGTTAACGTTGACTTGTTGTTTGACAGTTCAAACATGCGCGACAAAGTAATAATGGGGATGCCTCATTATGATCTAGGCAGAAGATCTGTTCGGAGCAGTGGTCCCGCATACAAGATGCTGCCGTCCTTGGAACTTTTGCTACGTTGCTGCTGCTGCGTCGATGTCCGCTGCCGTTGTTCAACAAATGTGTGTCGGCTGGGAACCACGATAAAAGTTTTCAACCGGCCTTTTTCCGATGGGTCGGTCATGTGCGTTGAGGAAAATGAGAGTTGGCGATTGGCGAAGCGGGAGCTTTGCTCTTCTCACTGTGCATCCCGCGTCGGCCTGTTCCAGATCGGGCGAGTCCCATCGCAGGCGCCCGGGGATTTTGTTGTTGCCCCCTCTCGACCGCTCCCGGCAGGCAATGAGGTAGGATTTGGGCAGTTGACCTTGGTGATTATTTACATTTGCTACGAGGGTCAATGAGACAACAGCATTGTTTCTCAGCTTACATAGTCAGAGATATTGTAGTTGAAGAAAGGGAGCCTAAAACCTCTCTCTTTTTGAACTTTGAGGGCATAATCGAGACACTCCCTGCCCCTTCGCTCCTCAGAAACGCCCATTGACGAAGCCAAGAGTGAGCCCACCGTTTCTAGAGCACGGCTAACTAGGCCCGGCCGCCCAAGGACCCGAGCAGGAGATGCTCAGAGATACGAATATGCAGGCAACATGTTTGGGCTTTGTTCTATTACAAGAGTCGGCCGTTGCGACGATGTGGGCGGCCAGGAAGGGCTAAAATGAGATCCCCTGCCTGTGCTTTGGTTTACATGCATGGATATTCAGTCATTCGATGCCCCGGCAATTCTGTCAAGCCTCAAGGGTGGTGTTGCCGGAGCGAAACCCACCGTTTCTGAAAGGCATTGCTTTGGACCAATTGCTTTAGTCCAACGCCTTCCTGTTGTCTGTTGAATCCTGTTGTCTTCTGTATCTTGCGTCGATGAGTGCTCCGAGCCGTTTATGCTGTGACAGAAGACTGCCTGCCAGATTCCCTGTTCGGTCTTTGGCATCCTGGGTTGCTCGGGCTCTTCTCGGAAAACGAGGGGGGCGGGGCAGGGGTGAGATCCCAGACTTGTCTTTTAAGTTTTCAACACCGTGTTTGAGGTTTGTTTCGTTCTCGGGTTGGCTGTTGAAACTTCGCCCAAGCAAATTCTACTCGTGATTCCGAGCAAGCTCAAGTGAATTTAGACGGCTGCGCTCACTCGCTGGTTCAGCCCTCAACCGCCATCTGTCTGTTATCGGTTCAGGATGGCAATGTTGCGGGGAAATTGATCGCGACCCCGCCGTATTCTGTCAAATAAAACCGCCGAACCACGGTGACATAGCTCTGCACCTTTGGTTACACAACGGATATGCATATCGGGCGTTGAAGGCGATCGGTGACACAGCGGGCAAATAGTCAAGGTATGACGACGAGACGAGATGGCCAACCGACGCCGCAACCGCGCCGAGATCCAGATTGCCGTGTGTTGAAACCCTGTGATGGCCAAGCTCCTAAGGACGGCTCGCAGACGCACGTTTTCCGTTTCGCACCCCAGCACCGACGAGAGGCCCTATTCTTGCTTCGAGCTACGGCGGTTTCTTCGGGGCCGGTGTGACGTCCTCCGCATCCCGCTGCTTCTCTGCATACAACATACGCGAATTCTTTTCGAGCTTGGGGCGTAATTTTGTCAACAACAACGGCCGCCGTTGGCCAATCCATACAACCTAAGACTAGGCGATATGCCGGAGAAGCCAGCGAGACGAACCTTGTCCTCCACTCAATGACCAAACCGCACTAGAGTCTCATTCATCGATGCCCCGTTATGAGAGAGCTGACGTCGGAATCCCGCCTCCGCTGGACGTGTGAGACAGCTCCAACTGAGGGCGGGTGATTCGCCGGATCGAAAAGCGACTTCCCGCGTCTGCAAGCACCCCTCCTCGCTGGCGGCTTGCAGCCGAGAGGGCAACACCCCGCTCGGCTGCTGGATGTGCAGACCGCCTAGGGCGAGCCTGGCCCTTTCTTAGAACCAGGTCATTTTCCCTCTTTCTCAACAAACCCCAGCCCTTTCGCAATTTCAAAGCTGCAGGTTCTCGGGAGTGGTCGCACGCCTGGCCAAGTGCTCGAGCTGGCTGCGAAACGGCCGAGAGCAGATACCCAAAGCACGTCGATGGGCCAAGCTGTCGAGGAGGCTCCGCCAGCCGTGCCTGAGTAAGGCAGAGCAGGGGTTGGCCGTCCGTAGTGTACTCCATACTAATAATACGATTTTTATACTGCCGTGATCGGCACGTCGCAGTCAAAGTGCAGGTGCAGAATCCTATGCAGACGCTGAACGGCGATGATGCCCTCGGTGCTGCTTACCAGCCGCCAGTCGCCGGCATGGAGTCCCTCCGTCTTTTGGTGGCGTTCCAAGACGTACATTAAATTAAGTCTGATGCGGAGATGCTCGTCAGCGTCGTCTAATGATACACCTTACCTCTTTCTTTTTTCGCCGCCTAGGTTCTCTTTTACTTTCGAGCAATCGGCAGCGGTCCTCCAGCCCGTTAGATGATTAACATCTTGAGGCCAGAGTTTGAAGACTTTTTGTTGTTTGGGCGATCCTCGGTATCCCCCAAATTGCGGAAAGCCGGCTCCAGGCGCTTTTGCCAGTTGTTCCACAGGAGCTTTGACCTGCGAGTGCGAAAAAGGCAGGAGGACCCTTGGCGGGGAAGATCGAACGGCAAGCCGGCGGCCCCGTCTTGAGCTTGTCACTCAGCGGCACCCTGGTCCCAATCCCCACGCGACTGGCGCCCATTTGGGGGTTCCGGAGAAGAAAGTTTCCCAAGACCTCCATCACATCACCATTTGTCTCCCTCCGTTCACATCGACCTCCAACCCCTAGCAACGGACGAATAACGAACACCAATAGCGCTTTTTCAACACTCGACACTCTCAATACTGCAACAACCTACCAACGTTCTTTGTGGCCGATTTCGCGCTTGCCCACTAATTAATTTAAGGGGTTGTACATTCTCAGGTTGGGCTGTTGGTGTGATCTGCGACCCAACATCAACAACAAGACTCGCTCGCCCGTTACACGCTCGCATGCACTGGATGATTTTGGCGCGAAAATCGCACGCTTCCCCCATCTCCACCCCATCCCACATTACAGGGCCCAAACAGACAACCGCCACCTAGTCAGCGTGTCCGCGTTAGGTGCGTGTCGACCTAGCGACGCACGCATCCGCTGCCCAACACGGCAAACCCACGTCGTCGAGTTGGCCTTTCCGGCGGGGATGAGGAGGACCTCGCCATGGAGGCCCTCAAAAACCTCATCGCCAACGTGCCAGACTGGCTCCGCAAGCTCGACGAGCTAAATGGCCAGATCGAACAACGCCAACTCGAGCTTGCTAAGCTGACCGAGGGAAGCGAGACGAATTCACCGGGCCACACCGGGCCTAAGTCCGTGCGAAACAAAGGGTCTACCGAATCACTCAGGCCACGCGATGAACCCGAAGCACACCCCAATGACCCACTGCCACAATCCAATGCCGACATAGCGGCTGAGCGGGCGGCTGCGGCCGCCGCTGGCGCCGCGGCTGCTAAGGCCAGCACTGAACAGCCATCACCACCCAGCCCGTCTGGCTCGCAATCTCCATCCGCCCTGCAACGACAAACAAGCCAGATGCGCGCGGCCGGCCAGGCACGGGCCCGCGCCGCGCTTCGCAAGCGGCAACGCACTAGTTCGGTCCTGAGCGCTGAAGGCGCGCCGCCAACATATCGGACACGTAGTATGATCATAGTTTACTATGACAGCTATGTGCAAATGTTCTTTGAGGAGCTCGTCAAATTTGTCAGTGCTGGACGCAATATGATGAGAAAGGCCAAGATGGCGGCCAAGGTTGCGCAGATCAAGCGGCTAGCCGAATTAGAATCGCCCGAAGACGAAGACGACAACCCCCTTGGGCCAACGACACTATCACCAGACAACAACAACAACACCGCTGCCCCAACGTCCTCATCTCCTAAAGCCACCGAACCAGAGAGTCTCGAGCCCGCACTTCCATTCGTGAGCACCCGCCGCATGGCGGGCGGGCCTCGCGCCACACGCGGCAACATGTATTTACGAGCGAGCGGGTCCCGGATGATTCGCGGGCCAGGTGGCCCAAGTCCTTCCCTCGGGCCGGATGGCAAGCCGGCCCCGGCGGATGTATACGACACGTTAGACAAGGGCTTGGAGTACGTGCAAAGCATGTGCGAGCAAGGCGCGCATCAATTCTTACGCGACGGCGACTGCGGCGAGGAAATCCTCAACATCAAGCGACGGCTAGGCGAAACCAAGGAACTCGCCGACAAGGAGATGGAGCGGGTTAAGAAGGAAGAGCCCGAGGCACTTCTAAAAATAGGGGGAGACGATGGTATGCGTGGGAGGAGCTATCGCCCGCAGAGCATGCGTAAGGACGCAGCTAAGCCGGCGGCTGCGGCTGCTGCTACTGCCGCCGCTGCCACTGGACTACTAGAAGTGGATGATGGTACGGATGATGTTAATGGCGATGCGCTGCCCAAGTTGGAGTGGAGGAGCACGAGGATGATGCGGTGATGTTAACAACGCTGTGCGACCCGCGCCGCGCGAGACGAGAAGGAGGGTTTAGCGGACATACTACGATCCGTTATCCAACACAAAACGTATTTCCTCACCTAATATCCGACACATTAACCCTGCCCTTAACCGTCCCCCATTTGACAGCCCTGATATTTCAGCATTGGTTTCTTCTGTTATACAACGAGCGAGCGAGCGTGCACATATGTTTTCACAGGGGTTAAGACTAGTTGGAATCAACTATTTGAACACATTTTCCGGAGCGCTCATGGCAATGATTTTCGAACTTGGATGAATATGGGAGGGTAGAAGCCGCCTCGCGCCTTGACGCTAGGCGACCAAAAGAAATATCTGATTGATTTCCCCTACACAAAAGATAAATCTAGCAGACATACAGTTACCCACCTACATTTATTAGCCGTCACCTTGAGTGGAAATGACCGTAGGTAAATGACCGTAGGTGTCTCATTAGTCTTCGCCGCGGCATCGATCGACTTGGTATAATCGATATTATTTCCTGAGCTGTTTACGTTTACCATGCCTTTGCCCAGGAAGCCGAGATTTGTGTCTTCCCTCCCTAGGTCTTCAGAATAAACGAGAATACTGAAATGTCGAATACAAAACCTCCTTGTCCTCGGCTCGACAATATGACAACCATATGCCAGGTCAAACCCGGTCCCATGGACTCTGGGGCTCGATCGGAATCTGTTGTGGAGCGTGAACATCGTGGAACCGGGGGTACGTGTAAGGCGGGCCGCTGTGTTTTCAGCGGGGTTACGCGGGGCAGCCGTTTCGCAGCAATGTGGATGAATGGGAGCAACAACTGCAGAACACATCAAAAACCATTTCATCGGCATTAAACTCGTATCACTGGCAATTTTTCGTTTACCAACACCGAGATTTCACTACCGCAACCACGTCCGCGGTCACCAGAGATAAAAACGACAGTAAACTCAGCCACGGACCAGCAATACCATGGCAGATGAACACAAACGCAAAGCAGAGGCACTCGTGCCAAAATTTAAATTCGAACGCCTGCTAAGACAAGGTAAGAGACCCCCCTTAAACCCAATAAACAGATGAAATCACAATCGAAACAAATATTGAAACAACAACCCCCACCTCCCCCTAGACCAAGCTGGCCGCCGCTCCTGTCTCGTCGGCACCATCGACGACCAACCAGCACTGCTCATCCTCGAGCGTGCACCCTTCCCCAGCTCGCCAGATTATCTCGGCTCCGTCCCCGCCACGCTCCAGACGATCCAGAACTTGGGCGCCAACGACGTCTATCACTGGTACCTCGCCAGCAGTGGAACGATTCCTCTACCGGCCAGCTCCAGCCATGAGTTTGCCGACCTCAAAATCAACCTCATTTGGCCATGCACGGAGAAACACATCAAGAAGTACAGCAAGCAGGGCGTGCGCTTCGTGACCGAGACGCCGGCCATTTATCGGGACCATGTGAGGCCGTTTATTCAGGCGCAGCGCGAGGCGGGCCGGTTGAACTGGGCGTTTAACATTATCGAGGGCTTGAAAGAGGCTGAGGACGTTATCTACCGGACCCCTTACGGACAGGATCCCGAGGAAGGGTTTTTGCTGCTGCCGGACTTGAACTGGGACCGCAAAACCGTTGATGCGCTGCACTTACTGGGGTTAGTAGAGCGAAGGGATCTATGGAGCTTGCGCGACCTGCGCAAGAAGCACATTCCCTGGCTGCGACATATGAAAACCAAGTTCCTGGACGCAACGACGCAAGTGTACCCGAGCATCGAGGCGGACCAGCTCAAGCTGTATGTGCACTACCAGCCAACGTATTACCATCTCCACATCCACATTGTGCACGTGGAGCTGGAGGCTGGGGCAACGCAGGCGACGGGGAAAGCGGTTGGTCTCGAGAGCATCATTGCGCAGCTCGAGGTTATGGAGGGGGATGACGAGGCCGGTATGGACGCGGTTACGTTATGCTACACACTAGGCGAGGCTAGCGATTTGTGGGTCGATGTGTTTGAACCGCTTAAGCGGACTGGTAGTACAACTTGTTGATAGCGACCACAAGGTCGTTGACCTCCGGGCCCGACGGGCACTCCGTCCATTTGCCACCATCTCGAACGCAGTAGATCTTGTCGTTAAGTCGGACTGTACAGCTCTTTGTTACGCCAGCCTATGAAATATCAAATGTTAGCGCAGGTCAAAGAGCTCGCCTGGTAACGAGTGGATGTCCTTGTTGTACCTTCGTCGTGCGTTGGACGCTGTCCCGTAGCATACCGACACCTAAAGCCCCGTCGTCTTTGGTGGCGCATTCGTTGAGTTTTTCGAAGTCGATAGCATGTTCAAGCGCGCAGTCCTCGATCAGGCTACGTTGAGGGATATGCTTATAGTCCCGCGTCAGGCACATTGTGAAGCCGAGGAACGTCTTGGGATCGGGGTAGAGTCGTTGCGCGCATAGTTCGATGATGTTGCCGAGGCCTGTCAATTTCCCGTGTTAAATACCACAAACGCGCAAAGGAATAGAAGCCGGAAACATACACTCCTCTGGACCGTGCTTGCATTTCACGCCATCATCTTGCTCGGTCGGTCTACTACGGTGTCAGCAGTGGCAGATGTAGGGAATCGAATCGCCGCACGACGTACGTTCCAATAAACGATAGCGTAAAGTTGACCTTTTCATAGGCCTTCTGCATCGCTGGCAATACCATATCACGGAGACAGTCCTGGTCCTTGTTAGATGTTTGATTGGGATACGTGGAGCGGACAGAGCACACCTTCGCATCTGGGCACTTGCTCATAATATGCGCCTCCAGTGGGACTAGCTCGTGTGTTGTCGGCATAGGCTCCTCGTCAAACGGCGCCGAACTCAAGTGGGAGAATGAAGCTCGTGGCATGAAGCAGAGGTAGACGACGGCCGCGAAGGCGAGGTATCCGGTCGCGAGGATGACCCGGAGGGGGCTCACGCCCCGGCGGATTGGCGGCGGCATCGGCGCGCGCTTCTCGTCCATCACAGAGTCTGTGATTCGAATAGTCTCGGGGTTTCGTGCTAGCTGTGGTTCGATTTTGGGCCGTTGTAGGGCGCTGGTGGTGGGGGTGTCTGGAGAAGACTCGACGTCTGGTGTGTTGTAGTGTAAGCCTGGGAACCCTGTTTTGGGGGTTCGGGACAGCCCCATGACTGGTCCTCTAGGGGTGGTCAGTTACCGGCAGGCAGTGACGATGAAATTATGGGGCGGGCGCTACAGAATAAAGGATCCTGGCCACACCACGTGCCATTTTGACAGACCACAACTTCTGTCTGGGTACAACGTTTAATCATCGAGCATTAGGATGTGACGGCGATGGTATAATTCCCGAGGACAGTTCCGTAATCCTCAAATAAAGGCTCGAGAAGTCCAGTGTTTAGCGATACTCAAAGGAAACAACACTTTTGATAATACCTCGCCCCCAAATTTGTACACTTCTGCGGTTGTTGCTTCTTTTTTGTAGCCGAATATGGCAGGAGCCGTGGGCCAAATGACGGTGCAACATGTGCCTCTCTTTCCGTTGATCTGAATCTCAAACCACAACATTTGTTTCGTGGTTGCTCCTTCTTTGTTGGCAGTTTATGGGCCAGCTGTTGCATTTAATGTCTTAATTTTCCTTCTTCTTTTTCTGGGTATGGCCGAGAGCTTTTTGCGCACTACTATTTCGAGCAGACCGACATGATGGCGCGCCTTGATGATTTCCTGCAGCCCCTGGCGATTGATACCTTGACCCTGTTCAAGTTGTCAGATGAGCTGGCGTCGACTTTCCGCGCATTATCCGCTGAGTCACTTGACCAGTTTTTACCGACACCGATATCCGAGCCAATTTTACGCTCTGCGGCGGGTAATCATGGCCGGTGAGTGAAGAACCCCGCAGCTATCACAAACACAGGCCTGACATGTTGCAGATTCTTGGCAATAGATATGTAAGTCACTGCACCTTGCTTAAACACGCCTCGCGGGTGTTGACCAACCTCCTCAGTGGCGGTTCGAATTTGCGTGCTGGGTTCGTCGAGTTGCTGGGAAACCAGCGACCTGGGACGCCGGCAAACGAAGGTTCTCCGCGGTTGAACCTCCTCCTTGAGCGGTCATGGCCGATCCAGGAGCATCTCAAAAACCAGAACTCCGAGAGTCTCTTCTCGTGGATTGGAGGGCGGATCGCGGAAGTGGTTACCAATGGGTGCGGGACTTTAGGTCTCCTGCTCGACGCTGAACTCCCGATGGGTGTCACATTCAGCTTCCCCATGCAGCAGAAGTCACTCTCCGAGGCTGTTCTGATGCCGATGGGTAAAGGGTTTGCCGTCACGACCAACCTTGATCTTGCTGGGCATCTCATGGCTGGTTATGAGAAGCATAAATCCCCTGGCATGCCAATCATCAAGATTGCTGCCATCGCCAACGACTCCGTGGCCACTCTGGTGTCGTTTCTTTACCAGTTCCCCTCCAAACCGCATCAGAAGGCTGCGATGGGCTTGATCGTTGGTACCGGCTCCAACGCGACTTTACCCCTCAAGTTGAGTAGTTTACACGAAAGTAAAAGGCCCGTCTCGATTAGTATCCTGCCTGGCCAGGAAGTGGCCGATGTCAAGATCGCCGTCAATACCGAATGGAGCATCAGGGGGTCGGCACCGCCGCTTCGAAAACTCGGCCTCATCAGCCAATGGGATACGGAGCTAGACGAGGCCGGCGAGATCCCCGGGTTTCAACCGCTCGAATACATGACGGCTGGGCGATATCTCGGAGAACTTGCGCGTCTAATATTCCTCGACTACTACGGAAGCGTTCTCAAGTTGCCCGTAAGCCAACTACCAAGAAAAGTGCGGGAGAGATTCGGCCTCTCTACCACGTTCCTCAGTCATCTTTACCCAGGAAGCCCCAAGGGCTCGATACTTCGGCTGGTCGAACAGGAGTTAGAATCGGAGGACGCGACGTTCAGCTGGACGCTAGAGCTTGCTACAGACCTCTCCCGTATCGCAAAGGCCATTGAAGTACGGGCCGCCGGCATTATCGCCGCATCGACTATCGGTCTCCTACGCTGTGCTGACGAACTTCCATCATCCGACGCAGATCGCACGGAAAAGACCACACTCGCGGTTGGTTACACGGGTGGTTGTATCCAGCACTTTCAGGACTACCTAGCCGATACGCAGCGGTTCATTGACGACATCTTGCGGCACGAATTTGGTACCCAGCCACCAGTTGCAGTCATTTTGACTCCTTGTCATGATGGGGGCATCACTGGAGCCGGAATTTTGGTCCCGGCCGCCTTGGGAAGCCAAAGCACGTAGTTAGTCACCATAGCGACTCATTTCTGCGATGCCTTCTTGTAGCCATGATCGGCAACACCGCGCCTTGCGGTTTATTGGTTTCAACACGTCGATGATTATGTAGGCCCGAATGAGTGAATGATCAGAGTCCAGATTTTCTTCTTCAACGTGGTGGTGTGGGCGGGACCATCCCAATGGTTACACCAGAAGCCCAGTGACTGAGGTCGAGCTGAGGTCGTTAGGCTCAGCTGCGTGTTCTGCAGCATCCGGCGCTAATCAGTCGGTTGGCGGGTCAAAATACGCGATGCACCCTCGAGGCACCCACCCTGCGCCGGCGAGCCGGGTGCGGCCACCAGGAAACAAACCCACCCCAAAGCTCACGATTGGTGCCATTCACATGCAAGGATCTGCGGGGGCTGGAACTCGCTTTCTTCCCGACCCGGAACCGCAAACGTGATCAGCGGAGGCAACATCGGAGGAACCATTGATGCATGCGGTGTGACCGCGGACCCGTTCCTTTGCGGGGGCGGGATGAATACATAGGAGGAAGACTCATCAGAGGCAATGCCGGGAGAGTGCAAAAGAGGAGTCACCGATAAGGGGCGGATTTTACTTGACATTTTTTTCCTTAGCTCCGCCAGGCCGCTCGAGCGTGCAACTTCGGTTCTCACTTCTCGGTTGATCATCAAGAAGTTCTCACGGTGCACACACTACCCTCGCGGTAGTGATGACAATTGAGACCCCCAACGACACTCAACGAGGCACCATGGCCGGCGCCGAGCCGATCGCCGCTGGGCCCCCCCGGTCATCCCGGCGGCGCTCTCGGAATGACGGCGACGACAGTTCGGGTAGCGAAGAGATCGACCCCAACCAGCTAGACATGATGCTATCCCGGTCCGTGCAATCGGCCGTGCCGGTGTTGGAGCCGGAGTCCTTCCAGCACAGCATGCTCCGGAACACCCGTGTCCACAGCCGCAGCCGGAGCCGGCGCCGTGATGCGACCGTCAGTCCATTCCGTGGGAGACGCCACCCCAGCACGGCCCGCCCAAATGGAAAGGTTCCGGGAGACGAAGAGCTTGCCATTACGGATGAGGAGACGCCCCTTCTCCGGCCTGTTTCCACCGAGGAGGGTGAAAACGAGCGTTCGTCTTCTCCATCTTGCGACCCCGACGACGACAGCACCGACCCCGCAAAGAGCAAGAACCCCTATCTAGGCGGCGTCTCGGTAACGCATTTCTGGTTGTTGTTCCTGCAGATCAACGCCAACTATTTCATCGCGTGTTTCGACAGCACCATCATGGCGTCGAGCCACCCGGTCATCACATCGTATTTTGGCGCCGCCAACTCAGCCTCGTGGTTGTCGACGGCCTTCCTGCTCACCTCGACGAGTTTCCAGCCCATGGTGGGCGGGCTCTCGGATGCCTTAGGCCGGAAACCGCCGTATGTGATTAGCACGATTATCTTCTTGTTCGCGACGGTGTGGTGCGCAGCGGCGCAGAGCATGACGAGCTTCATCTTTGCTCGGGCGTTGTGTGGGTTGGGGGCGGGCGGGATGTTGACGCTGGGGAGTATTCTTGTCAGCGATCTCGTACCGATCGAGTGAGTTATCTATGAACCTTGTCTTCGCTCTACGAGAAGAATGACTGGCTGACTGTTTGATGTAGGATTCGTGGTGCGTATCAGTCATATGTGAATATGACCTATGGCTTGGCCTCGATGTCGGGCGCGGCTCTGGGTGGTGCCATGGCGGACTACCTGGGTTGGCGCTGGGAGTTTGGAATTCAGGTCCCGCTCATCATGGCATGCTTGGCTGTTGCGATCCTAGTTGTCCCGAACGACATTGGGCTGGCTGGGAGGAAGAAGCAGACGCTGCGTGAAGCGATGCGGACGTTTGACTTTAAGGGGTCCTTTTTGATGTCCAGCGCAGTGACGAGTCTCATCTTGGGACTGGTAAGTGAGATACTCGCAGTCGCAAGCGTATGCATGCATCATAGGCCCCCGTACTAACAAGTACAGACTCTTGGTGGAAACGTTCTCCCTTGGTCTCATCCTATCGTGATTGCATCCCTCGTCGGATTTGCCGTCTTTGCGCCCCTGTTCATCTTCGTCGAGACCCGTGCTGAAAAGCCGATCATGCCGTTGCACCTTATTTTTAAGTCGCCGCACATGAACCTGATATTCTCGAACCATATCGCTGCCTTCTTGTCCAACGCCATTCTCTTCAACGTGTAAGTCGCCGGCCCACGGACTCTCTTGTTCAGGAGTTAGCACTGTTTCTGACCTGCCCTCTGCAGACCCCTTTTCTTCCAAGGCGTCCTCTTGACGACCGCCACCACCTCCGGTCTTCGTCTCGTTGTTTCATCTGCTCTGTCCTCCATGTGCGGGACTGCCACCGGCTTCCTGATCAGCTACACCCGCCGGCTCAAGTGGCCTCTCGTCTCTGGCACTGCGCTCACGATGATTGGTACCTTCTGCCTCGCCTCTATGCAACGCGGCTGGCCCACCTTCCTCTACATCCTCTGCCTGCTCCCTAGCGCGGCCGGGTCTGGGTTCCAGTTCCCCGGCACGTTCATGGCCATCCTCTCGGTGTCGGAGCAACGCGAGCAGGCGGTCGTGACGGGCACGCTGATGCTATGGCGCAGTCTGGGCCAGGTGCTCGGTGTCGCGTGTAGTTCGCTGGTGGTGCAGAATGCGCTGTGGTATTACCTGGAGGAGTTTGTCACGGGGCCGGAGAAGGAGGATGTGGTGGCAAGAGTGCGCAAGTCTGTGGAGGTGATCCGTGAGCTGCCGCTGAAGTACCAAGGGTCGGTCGTGCAGAGCTATGAGGCGGCACTGAGAGTGACATTTTTGTTCTGCGCGGTGCTTGCGACCGTGTCATTTTTCTTGATCGTGCCGGTGCGGCTGCCGCGGCTTGGTAAGCGGTAGAAGATGAAAAAAGGGGTATTACATCGGGGTGTAAGTGAATGAACTTATGAAGGCTGGCGTTGGGACAGGACGGTATGGGAAAAAGGAGTAACGTTAATCAGTGGTCGGATGGAGGCTAGGGAAAAAGGAATTTGAGAGGAATCTGAACTAAAACGATCTATTTCAAGTTGTTGTGTACACTAACTAGTTACTCTCCTCCATGAAGCTCGGTGGAGAACAAGATATCCCCCCTTCCCCCCACGTGCCTTTGGTGGAATATGTACGAAGGAATTAGTTCGTGAATTGTCAAGCTTCCCCCACCATCGCTGCCGTGAGGAACCAGCCGAGCCTCTCTTGCTCAAGACCCCACGTTGGGTCGGTACTTATTAGTATATCTGCATGTACAGTAGCAGTAAGTTGCCATGTGGGATGTACCTGTCTCACTTTTCTGTCAAAATAAACGGCCGTTATACCAACGCTTCTGTGAGCTGCCTAACTAATTAACAACATTGAAGAGTACGTTTACTACTCTCTTCATATCACGTATGTAAAAAATCCCAATCTTTGCAAATGACATGGTCAAACACGACATCAGAATCCTGAAATTCCCGCGCGAGAAAAACACGTTCCCGGCCATCTCCGGCTCATCTGTCAGTCAGATATCAAGGGGATTGGCAAAGCCGCAAAGGCCCATCACACTTCCCTCGTCAGCCCCGCGAGCCGGTGAGGTCGCCGGGACCAGGGGCCGGGAACGACGGGAAGCTCGTGAAGGGCCAATGGGAACTGCAGTGCCCGCCCGATTGGTCGGCTAAGAAGGGCAAAATCAAAGCATCGATCCATCAGAGAAAATACTAACTTGTGATACATACAAGTTGCTGTGTTTTTGCTGACATGCATCAATTCAGTTCGTACGACAGATTTTCACATCGTACGACAGTCGACAGATCCATGAAAGTGTTGTGATCTGGCGTGGTATTCGGTGGCTTGCCAGCTGGGAGCTGGCTCATCGGCGAGGCCCAGCTCCAGGCCACACAAAACCCGGCACGTCGTTCGACCCTGGCGCAGATCATCGCTGGGTTCGGGACCCCTGCTCATCTGTGGCGTCTTCGACGTCGACGTGCTCAGCCGCTTGGGCCGAAAAGGGAATAAGAGATAGCGGATCGTGTCATCGTGAGCTGTCGTGGACCCGGGGGCTTGGTGGTTGGGTTGGTTTGGGTGGGACGATCTTTTTTTTTTTCGGGTTGTTGTCACTTTGCTTGTCGGTCGCGACGGGCTGGCTTTGTCGGTTTTGGATGGTGCGAGGCCGGGGGAGGCTTGCGAGTTTTGTCTCGCTTTTGCCCGGCCGTGGGCAGAGGGGTTGGGACCAGGTTTGTTTGCGTGTGTTGTTGCGGGGATGTTGTGTGATGGGAGAGCGGTGGGTGTGTTTACTGGATTCGTATAAAGACGTGAAGGGGACACGAACGACGAAGCACCGAGGTGCTTTTTTTTTTTCTGCTGTTCTTCTTTTACACGCAGACCAGGTGATAATTGTAATATTAATTACTCATCCGAACTAATCAAGATGGTGTCGAGTCGCTTTCTCGCAGCCGCTGTGCTGCCATGTCTTGGTGCTGCTGTCAACCCGGCCGCGGTGTATGACGGCGGATATGGCGACAAGGGACCGGTTCTTCTCGGAATTGGTAACGGCGGTGCCGGACAGAGTGGTTTGATCAAAGGTGATTTGAAGCCCCAACCAGTCAATTTTCGGATTTCCCAAGTCTAACCTCAAAACCCCCGTGTAACAGCCCTCGCCGACGCGTTCATCGAGGACAGCGTCTCCAACGGCACCGAGCCTTTCCGCGTGGCCTGGTACCAGAGTGACACCACCTACAGCATCAACTACCTCAAGGACGCCGTGATCGATGTCGCGTTCACCTACAGCCCCGCGGCCGAGCGGATTGCCATTGAGCAGGATATTGCGTTGGCGCCCAGCTACTACGCCTTCCGCGACCACTTTCTCCTCGTTGGGCCCCCGTCCAACCCGGGCAACATCTCGGGCAAGCAGGACGTGTACACCATCTTTTCAGACCTGCACGAGAAGGCTGAGGCGGCCAACTCCACGCCGCCTGTGCGGTTCTTGAGCCGGTATGATAAATCGGCCACGAACATTAAGGAGTCGGACTTTTGGATCAGCATCGGTCAGGTATGTTAAAGGAAAAAAAACAAAAGAAGCATGAATGCTTCCGGGTGAAGAAACTAACCCCATCTCTTCAGGTCCCCTGGGCCACCGCCTACTCGACCTGGTACCACCAATACATCGCCTTCCCCATCCAAGCCCTCACCGCGGCCATTCTCCTCAATGAATACACCCTCACCGACCGCGGCACCTTCCTCTCGCTACCCAGCAACCTGACATCTGCCACGACCATCTACAAGGCCTCGACCGACGCTGCCGAGGACCCACTGCTCAACCCGGCCCACCTGCTCGTCGGCGCCAAGGCGCCCAACCCGAAGACCGCGGACGCTTTTGCGAAGTGGACGGTTGGACCCGCTGGGCAGAACGTGATTAAGGGGTTTAAGAAGAATGGGGAGCAGTTGTACAGCCCAGCGCCGGCACAGGGGGAGAATAACGGGGGCAAGGGGAACGGGGTGGCGGTCGCTGTTGACGTGTAGGTGTAATACTGGTCCATCCAACTAGGGGGACATCAACATTGTGGGTGTTGATAATTGAGTTAGCTGAGCTCAATCGAGAAAGCCGACTGGGCTGCGCTGGGACTTAATTAGAGAAATCAAGAACTCGTTTAAATATCTTGAAATTGACGGAGGGAAAAGAGACATTGCTTGGGTCACGTTGATTAGTGACGTCGGTCATGGGCTAGGAATGATTTCGTGTTAATGAATGGCAAGACCTTTTTCTCGTTTGGCTACCAAGGTAACAAGATGAATTACAAGTCCCCCTCTCATTTTCCACCCACTGCTCTCTGTCTCCTGATTTTCTTCTGGAGATTTAAACCCTGAGGTAGGCCTCTTCATCTATGGCAGAGGTAACTGAGATAGTGCGCTGATCCACCGCTATTTGTTGTAGCCTTTGCATGATTGCCTCCCACGTCAGCCTAGGGTCACCAAGCTTGGGAAGGCCAATCTCGTACGGATGTCCCCACGTCTCCGCTGACGCTCTTGCGAGTGGGCCAAGGTATTTGCGCTCCTCCATTTTGTATCCCATGACAGCGTGACGGTGCCTAAGGTAGTTGAGGCGGGTAATATATTGCGCTGTCTCGTCATATCCTTCACCGGCACATCCCCAAAGTTCCATCAACAGTTTGTTTTCGTCGTTGTCGTTGTCATCACTACGCTTACAAAAGTACTTAATCAGTAGGTCAAACGTCCTCTTGGGATTCTGCGCGTGCATATCCCAGCCCATGCCCTTCAGATTCATCCAGAGAATGTAGTCGGGGATCATATTCTGGAGATAATCGTCGATATCGGCGCGTTCGGTTTGCCATTGAGCTCGCTCCGTGGGCTCAGAGGGCTCTGGAACATCCCGCAGGATATACTTGTCGAGATCCAGGCGTCTGAGGACGTGAATGACCCTGTCATGCCAGCCTGGAAAATGTTGGAAATCGGTGAGCTTCGCAATCTCCGGGATCCGTCGCGCCTGGGACTTCTGGGGGGCCTGGAACTTGAGCCAGAGGCGGAACACCGCGTTCAGATCAGGCTGTTGGGTGGCCATTTTGACGAGACTGAGTCTAGTTGACAGGTTGTAGGCTGCGCCGCTACAGAGTAAAGAGAGTCAGCAGGATTCATACATCGATTTTGTTTAGCAAAGTGTACGGATCAGGATAAAAGGGTTCGCAACTTTGCGGGGTTGGATACCTATGTGACTTGACACTGGAAGAAGACGAGGCCCTTGCTGGTTCAGCGGCGGATTGATCTGAGGGCTGGTTGATTCGAGGAGGTAAATGTTGTTTCGAATGCGGGTTGTTGAATGGGAAGATAATTTAAGCTCAGGGTACCCGTGGGAGGGAAGGGGATTTATTTTCAGTCTGCCAGGTCGTGGTTCAGCCCGCCTTCTAAAGCCCCATTCCCATCATGAGAAAGGAAATCAAACAAAAAGAGTAAACTCTTGGTGGCTAAGCGTTGTTTTCACAAACAACTTAGAAACCCATGATGCTTGAAATTCGCTGAGGCCATATCGTTCGTCCAAGAAAGAGATGACATGCCCACTCATAGCTCCATTCTCAGCTGTGATATCTTGCTGCTTCAATTACTGATCCTTTAATTACTCCATACTGAAGGTTTGGTAAGGGCAAGGAACACTGCGTGATATCTGTTTGCTGCCTGTATAAATGCCTGTCTACTTCGTTGCAGAAAGAGAGTAACAAAGCTACGCCGGCCTTTAAATATGTGTGTGTCTAAGAGTTTTAACGGTAGGGCAAAGACATTAAAATCATAATGACCGGCCGCACGGGTGTTGTTGCCGAATACTATGGTTTCTTCATGTTATTTTCTACACCAGAACGTCGAAAGGGTAATATGGGATAAATTTTCTGTTAATCCATAATGACTACCTATGTACAGCACAGAAGCCAAGGTCTCTCGTATACTTGAAGGCACCCAATCCTTGATGTCCCTTTTAAGGTTTGACCCCCACAGATACACAGCCCACTTACACAGTATCCGTACTTGTGTATCTCGCCCATCTGCCAAGCGCTTGGCCAATGCTTAACCTTACTTCGCAAGTTCCATTTCCATCATAACCCCCCTTTATCATCTTGCTACCCCCATCTATGTACCCCCAAACCCCCACTCCCACCCAAAATCCAACCTCATCTCACCCTCGCCCCCCGATCCAACAACAACCTTACCATCTCCTCATCCCGACTCCTCACCGCCAGCTCCAACGCCGTCACCCCAGGTCCGCCCTCTATTACCCTCTGAACCACCCCGCTCCCATCCTCCCCATCTTCCATCATCCCTTCCCCACTCCCGAAACCCTCACTAGTAGTAGAAGCAGCAGCACTTCCCATCATAGCATCCGGATCAGCCCCATGCGCAAGCAACAGTTCGGCCACAGACCTTCGCCGGTACTGCACAGCCAGGTGCAGCGGTAGAGCCCCCGTATGATCGGGCTGGTTGGTACGGGCACCGGCTGCGAGGAGGGCGGCTGCGATGGCGTGAGAGCCTGTGCGGATTGCTAGGTGGAGCATACCGCTTCTACTGCCGTTGGCACTGCTGTTGGTGCGGGTGGTGCGGGTGGTGCTGCTGCTGCTAGTGGTATTGCTGGTGGATGTGGTGGCTATTGAGAGGGCTGGGGTTGGTGCTAGGAGGGCTGCGCTTGTTGGGCTGATCGGGGAGGGTTGGAGGGAGTGGTTGAGGTCTGGAGGCTAGGTAGATGGGAGAATGATTAGTTGATTGGATATGGCTTTTGGACGGTTGGCTTTCTGCTTCCTTTGAGGTAATTCATACCTGGTAATATACCCCGTGTCCGTGAAATGCAGAAACATCTGAGCTTGAGGCGTTTGCACTCGTTGTGACTGATGAATACGAACCATAACCGAGATGGTCGAATGGAACAAGAGACAAGGTGTTGTCTGGTAATGTCCCTGGCGTTGAAAGAATGGCCACGTCGTCTTCGGTATGGTGATGCTCCAGCTGGGGAAAGTCTTCCCAGGATCCGTTTTCCTGCTGTATACTGTGTTGGCTGCCGCCATAGCCGGGGCACAATGGCCCGGAATAGTAGTGGTCACCGTGGCTGAGAGCTGGATCTATGTTACTCTGGTCGTAGACGTCCTGATCACTGCTTTGTTTGGAGGCTTCTTGTTGTTGTCGCTGGCGTGCTCCTTATTGCCAATTTGCCGTCTTAGCATCCAAACTAGATTCCAGAGTAGGTCCAGAGATTCGAACTTAACTTACTTGATTTTCGCTTAGCTATCCGGTTACGTTCCCGAACTCGTTCCAGTTCGAGCTGTGACATGTATTCGTTGTCCGCACGAGGCCCCATATTAAGACAAGGAAAGTGATATTGAAACAGAAGTGTGTGATAATTAGAGTACACCACTGAGTTGGCAGGATCCAGCTTAACAATTAAGGTTTGCTTGTGATACCAAGGATACACACTCCAAGTAATTATCCCCATAGTCAATACTGGGGTTAAAGACAAATATACCTATAAATGGAAGTTATGGAAGCCGGAGGGATCACGCCCCATGCACATGCTACATTCCTCCAAGGAGGGCGGCCAAACTCCGTTACTCCCCGATGGCTCGGCCCTTGCCGAAATACTTGGCTGTATCCGTATCTGTTGTTGTCGCCACCGTGGGATGAACCGATGAAGGAAGGAAGTTCCACGACACACACACCCGCTTAGGTAGCCGGTGTGCCATGGATGGATCAAAGTGCCAAGCATGGTCTGGTTCGTCGATGTAATAGGTCGCACCCGCGGCACCGCGCTTGGGAATCACAAACAGCGTATTTTTGCTGAGATATGACGAGCTCGTAAGCGTGTGAGTGGGCGGGCTACGATGGATTCTACGTGCATACATTGCGTACTTACAACTCGGAGGCGGCCCGCCTGCGCGTGTTCTCAGCAGGGTTCGGTTCGGTTCGGTTGGGACCCGGCCATTTGCCGTGGGGCGGATGATGGGAGCGATTATCAAAAAGGGGCAATGTTGTCTCGGAAACTCGATTTAGCACATAATATACATTGAGCTCGTTCTTCCATCCATTGATCGAGCGAGAATTGACTGACCGAGAATTGGCAATGAGCGAGGGATTCCATTCCTAATTTTGACTTTCCCGCATTGGGGGCCAAATTGCAACCTGCAATCCCTCCCTGCTCCGTGTTCTGGGGATTTGGACGTTGCGTTGCGTCTTGACGCACATGGTTAGGGTTAGTTATCCGTAGTATTGTTCCGTACCAAGCTTCAACAAGCTCTGCTGGCAGTGCTGTGGGCCGCTGCGTGTCTGGATCGCAGCGTCTGCAATGTTACCATAGCGTTACAGTGTTAAAAGTGCAAAGATTCCTAAATTTTGGGGGCCGCGGCCGGGGTCGTTCCAAAAGGGGCATCATTTCTTCATGTATAATTCTCTCTATGATAGGCTAACGATTCGAGGAAGAGCAACAAGAACCGCGGATGCATCGGATCGTGATTCGGGAGAATAAGCGTATTAACTCTATACGCAATAAGAACGAAAAGTGCCGGAAGGGCAAATGTGACACCCGAGGGCCGAGAACTTGATTGAACTAAACTGAATTACTGAACTAACGACAGAATTATAGCTGATTCATCGTGCATCCTCACCTGACACCTCTTCTGGCTGCAACCGGCGGCGAGTCACTCCCGCCTTTTCAACTTTCCCCACACATCTCATGATCTCATCGCATCTCATCTCACCTCAGCCTATCTCGCTCAGACTCGTGTACGGAGTAATCCACTCTCCTCCCGCCCGCGGTCCGCACCTACACTCGTTTAGCGCGCTCTAGCCGCTCCACCACTGCGGCTCCTGCCGAGACAGCCGAAGAAGCCGAAGAAGAAGCAGCTTGATCCGCCTCTTCAACGATCGGGTCATACGCGCCCGCAAACCGGACCGCCAGATCTAACAGATCGGCCCGGCCGCGCCGCGCATCCACGCATAACACCGCCGTGGTACCCCATAACCAAGCGTCCGGTTCTTCACTGCCGTACGTGCTCCGCGAGACGACGACGGTGTTGTACCTGGCAATGTGCCGTGCGATGTTCGGGTGGCGCTCGGCGAGCACTGGGATCAACTCGTCTTGGCGGTCGACAAAGTGGAAGTGGAGATCGTCGCGGGCGACGGTGGGTAAGACGCGGTGGATTAGAGGCCAGTGGACTTGTAGGGCAGTGTTGGTGACTAGGACGTGCTGATGTTGCTGTCCGGCGTCCGTGGATGTGTTGTTGTCGTCTTGTTGGTTGACGAGGAACGGCTGAGCGAGTGCTTCGTACCGTTCCCAGTCGCCGACCGCGCAGAGCACTTGGAGGACCCAGAAGTCAATGCCCTGCGCCACGAGACTAGCCGCTGAGCTCATGAAGCCCGGCGGCCGCGCGTTGACTTCGTGGAGGAACATGGTGGGGGTTGGTGTCTGTTCATTCGGATGATGGTCCTCGTGGAGTTGTAGGTCGGGAATGCTCTGTCCCGGTTGGAGGACGTATTTCATCCTAGAGTTGCGGACCCGAGCCTCGCAGTGGAAGACGCCGGTGTGGAAGCCCTGGAGGCGAACGACATCCAGCATGCTTTCAACTAGCATGTTCTGTTCATCCTGAGGCAGCTTCGACGGAAATACCGTCTGGGTCTCGACAAACAGGCCGGCATTGCTTTCTGGCTTTCCTCCATCGTCGTGATGTTTCCCTTTTCCCACTTCCCCCTCTTTATCACCGTCACTAGCACTGTCGCCAGCAGATAACAGGCCCCCTTCAGATAACTCGGCCGGACTCGGAAAGTCATCCACCACCTCCCCGTACAACAGCCGCCCGTCGCGGAGGATCAAGTTGACATCCACCTCGGGCCCGTCCACATACGACTCGATTAGCACGCGGGTGCCGTGGTCAAGGCAAGCCTTGAGGCTGTCGGCAACTGCCCGCCGCAGCTCAGTAGGGTCACGCGCTAAGAACACACCCTGACTGCCACGGCCGAACGCTGGCTTGGAAATCACGGGGAAGCGGATGCCAGTAGTGTCCTGGGACGACAGTCGTGCGTCTAGCTCGACGAGTGACTCGACGGCGAAGGATTCGGTTGAGTCCGGATCGACAAGCTGGCGCGTGAGGGCCTTGTCGGTTGCAAAACCGAAGGGATTGGGACCGTTGGTTAAGAGGCCGAGGATTCCTGCGGCGCGGGCGACACTGACGAGATATGCGTCGGTAGGGGTAAAGAGGCCGTCGATCGGAAGGGGATACGCTCGTACCGCGTCCACGATTCGTTGGGTGAGGCCGTCGTCCGGCGTCAGATCAATAGACACAAAACCTTCACGAAGGTGGTCCAGGTCGGGATAAGACCCTTCTCCTTCGCCTTCCCCTTGCTTGTCAACATCGGTTGTCCACCATGAGCCAGAACTGAGAATGACGACTTTGACGCCCACGGCTGCGGTCCCTTCCCACCGAGTTCGGGTAACATGGGGGCTGATCGGGTCCAATACGACACACACACGCCGCTGTCGCGGCGGACGGTCCGGGGGCAGAAGCCAAGGCAGGGACAGACGCCGGTCTAATTCCTGCTCCACATCCTGCAGCTGCAGCCGCGCCGGACCCGTACGGGTCGGGAAGCAGACCGCGCCAATGGCGCTCTCAAGCGCATGCACTAGGGAGTCACCGCCGCGGATGCGGGGAGTCTCACCATCATCGGACGACGCCTGGGGAAGGTGGTAATTGCCCGGGCTGGAGGATGATGGCGTGATCGGAACCGTAGGGAGAAGGAAGCTTTGCGGCGCAAAGACAACGCTGGGTCCGGCTAATCGATCGGCCACAAAATTAGAGTGCGCCGCGTACCCGCTCTCGTTTGGCAGCAGGAAGGCGGCTCCAGCAGGGGTGCCGTTACGATCGCCTTGGAGCCAATTGTTGAAGAATTGGAGTAGAATGTCCGGTCGGGTCGTCGGGATGACCAGGCTCGTGGGCAATGCCGGGTGGGCCCGGAATTCGGACGATTCGGGTGCATCACGCGGGCCGGGGGAGTATGGCTTGGACGGAAAGGGGGTGAGATGGGAGATGAAAATTCCGTCATGTTGCGGAGCGCTTTGGTGTGTTTCTTCTTGACGAACCCGAGTTTCTTGGACATGAATGGAGCGTGGCACGATGTATAGATTCGTTAGCCTGTTTTTACCTGGCTTCTCGTTGATGTGCCACTGGCAAGTAGCCGACACTCGACGATGGTCAGCTTCTTAGTCCTCTGTATGCAGCCAGGCGAAACCAGTCTCGAAAAGTAAAAGCCCCACATACATACCTATTTTGAGTCCGAGCTTGACTTCCACTCGGCACTCTGGCCAATTTCTGTCGTCCATAGTTATTCTTGATATCGTGCACTATACCTCTAGTCGATTGAAAGCGCAATCAAGCCAGGATATCAATCAATTGTGTCCTTGGGACGGCTATGAATGAATTACCCATCCAACCTTGACCTCCGTGTACGTCCCGAAGGCAGAATCTTGCGCCATTGTCCCAATCCTAAGTACACGGTACGCGTCAGACATGCGTAGTAAACGATGGCTCTCTCTATCGATGTTTTCGGAACAGGATCAGATCGATGGTACAGTACCCACCCGCGGTCATCACGCTGGTTCACGCAAGCCAGATGAAGGACCGCATGCTGCCAGGTCTTGGAATCTCGGTTGAAATCCCGGACAGACTCACCTACGTCGAAATCGGTCCTTGTTGTCGTGACTTGTCCCCCGCCTCGAAAAATCTTATTTCCGTGGTTGGTCCGGCCCGTATTGCTTGTTTGCTCGTCGCTTTCCCTCCTTGTACATACAGCGGTCCAGGTCCAGACTCGACGCTGGTCAGGGAGAGTGGGCATCTGTATGCAAGGTCACAAAGTCACACCTGGAGGTGTCGTGAGCGAATCAGCGTACAGCCCTGTGACAGTGCATGATGGGTCCTGTCACGTTTGTTGGGACATGGCAGTTGGCCCCCCCCTTTCAACCAGTCACAGATGGCAATGACCTTCCTTTTTGGATGGGATCGCGTATTCGCCTATTGATTCGGGATTTTGGGTGGCCAAAAAAGGCTGCAAAGCGTACGTATTGGAGCACGCAAGCGCGGAGAGGACATTATCTGAGTGTTGTTAAACGCGTAATATGGCTTTTGTAGTCGTAGTCAGGAAGGCACTTGGAAAATCGTGGGTTCGGAGTGAGAACTAGGGGGAACTTGTTTGTCGATTGAATCATGACGCGGCCGACTTTTGAGTTTGGACAATCGAACGACGGTGTCAACCAAATGGCGGAGAAAGGGGCGGGAAATAATGAGACAGGGACGGGGGCCAAGAATATAGGGAAAGAGGACAAACGGGAAGGAACAAACCTGGCTTGCATCATAGCACGTGTTTTCCACCTGTAGCCTCCGGCACAGTGACCTGTCAACCCCCAAGTTCAACTTAAGCATCAAACATAGGTAGACCTCTGTTGGCTAAGGTTCGTCCTAAACAAACGGACCTGCCCTCGTCCCATCGGCCGCCGTCACCATGGCCAATCTTGGACGGTTCAATCCTCTTCGCTGGCGCAATTCGGGCAAGATCCCCGAGGTTCCGAGCGAACGGCAGGTTTCTCGAGAGGAAAATGCCGGATTCTGGTCCTTGCTTAGCTTTGCGTGGCTCAGCCCATTGATGAGTGTATGTACTATGTTTATCCATCAACGAGAATTCGCTACATTTCATAGACACTCCTCATTCTCCCGTGTTGTATTCAACCCAGCATCGATTCCTCACTGACACCCTCAAAGGTAGGCTACCGACGACCACTGGAACGAGGCGACATCTGGCTCATCCCTAAAGACCGAAGCGCCGCAGCGCTGCATCAAAAGCTCGAAGCATCTTTCAACCGTCGGGTTGCGACTAAGACTCGCTTCCCGCTGGCCTGGGCCTTGTACGACACTTTTACGGTGGACTTTTGGGTTGGTGGCATCTGCCAGCTGCTGGCTGCGATCACTCAGGTACTGGCCCCGTTTGTGCTGCGGTACCTGATTACCTTTTCCAAGGATGTGTACAACTCCAATCTGGGGCTCGGCGATGGGAACCGGCCCAGCGTTGGGGTGGGTATGGCATATGTTATTGCCATTGGCGCGATGCAGGTGATTCAGAGCTTCGCGCTCGGCCACTTTGACTACCGCGGGATGAGGATGGGAGGGGAAGCCCGCGCCGCGATTATTGCTCTAGCTTTTGGGAAGTCTCTACGCATTTCTACGAGAGCTAAGGCCGGAGGGTTGAAGCACCTAACGGAGGGCGGTGAGGGTCCCCAAGGCGAGGAGAAGAAAAATGAAAAGAAGAAGAAGAAGGACGAGAAAAATGACTCCGAGGGCTGGTCCAATGGGCGCATCATGAGCCTCATCGCGACTGACGCGGCCCGTATCGAACAGGCCTGTGGTGTCTTTCACTTGATCTGGACCTCGCCGTTCCAAATCGTTCTCACCGTCGCCCTTCTGATCGTCAACCTCGGTGTCAGCTCGCTCGCGGGAGTGGCCGTGCTGGTTGCCGGCCTCTACGCCCTCACCAAGATGATGAAGCCGCTGACCAAGGGCCGGGCCGCCATTAACCACATTACCGACCGCCGCGTGGGTCTAACTCAGGAGTTGCTACAGGGGATCCGGTTCGTCAAGTATTTTGCTTGGGAGGCCTTCTTCCTACAGCGGCTCAAGCCGATTCGGGCGTCGGAAACTAAAGCACTGCAGGCATGGCACGCGACTAAGAGTGCAATCGGGGCCGTGTCAATGGCGCTGCCTATCTTTTCCAACATGACGGCCTTCATTGTGTACTCTATAACTTCGCACGACCTGGAGCCAGCCACAGTGTTTTCGTCCCTGGCGTTGTTCAATGGGCTGCGGACGCCTATGAACTGGCTACCTGTGGCGATTGGGTACGTTATCGATGCCTATACCGCTCTGAAACGGACCGAAGAGTTCTTGCTTGCGGAAGACGCTGCGAAGCCGCCGGAGCCGGAGCCGGACTTGGTGGATGCGGTGTGTCTCGAGGACGCCTCGTTTACGTGGGAAGAGGTACCCAAGGCCAAGAAGCCGTCGGAGGGGGCATCGAAGAAGTCGGAAGCAAAGAAAGAAAAGTCGGGAGCAGTGTCTGTGTCCTTGGATCGGTTGCGGCCCGACCGTTTCCGGGCCCAAACCTCGCCAGGTAAAGAAAAAGGGGCAGCCCCTGACGCAGCGATTCCGGAATCCGGACAACAACAGGGACAACAGCTCGACGAAAAAAAGGAAGCCAACAGTGAAACTCCTTTTCGTCTCCAAAACATTACTTTACACGCCCCACGCTCCTCTCTTATCGGCATCATCGGAACCGTTGGCAGCGGCAAGACCTCCCTGCTGAGCGCGCTCGCCAGCGACATGCGCCAGACCGGCGGCCACACCCGCTTCGCCACCAACCGCGCCTACTGCCCCCAGTACGCGTGGATCCAAAACGCCAGCATCCGCGACAACATTCTGTTTGGAAAGACCTATGACCCCAGCTTCTACGCAGATGTGGTCCGGGCGTGTGCCCTACTACCCGACTTTGACGCGCTACCCGATGGGGATCAGACCGAGATTGGCGAGAGGGGCATCACGCTGTCAGGTGGACAGAAACAGCGGATCAACATTGCGCGGGCGATTTACTCGGATGCTGGGATCGTCTTGTTGGATGATCCGCTTTCGGCCGTCGACTCGCATGTGGGTGCGCATATTTTCGAGCAGGCGATTTGTGGCCTGCTGAAGGACAAGTGCCGGTTCTTGGCGACACATCAGCTACATTTTGTCTCGAGATGCGATCAAATTGTGTGGATGGTCGATGGAAAAGTCGAGGCGGTCGGGACGTATGAGGCGTTAATGGACGGGAACAAGGGGTTTGCGAAAATGTTTGCTTCAACGGGTGGTCAACATGGAGAGCAGGATCAAGAAGAAGGGGAGGAAAACACAGCTCTGGAAAAGGGGAAAGGGACGTCCTCCGGATCGGGGGAAAACACGACACGAGAGGGCCCTGTGGAAACAAAAGGCACCGCCAAGCAGTTGATGCAAGAAGATGTCAAAGTTGTCGACAGTGTGTCGTGGGCTGTTTACGTGGCCTGGATGCGGGCCTCGGGCAGCCTCTTCAGCATTGTTGCGGTATTGGTTTTGTTGTGCCTATTCCGGGCGGCCAATATTTTGACGAGCATCTGGCTCTCATGGTGGGTGTCTGACACATATGGGCTAAGCCGCGGGGCGAACGTAAGTAACGCTACCTTTCCCGTTCACCGTCCCCCCTTTTCGTGTTGTTACTTGGATCTAACGACAGAAACTTCAGATCGGCATCTACGCAGCGCTCGGTGTAATTCAGGGGGTGCTTCTATTCGCTTTCTCCCTCGTGTCCACCACAGTAGGCACCACGGCTAGTCGGGCCATGTCCAACGAGGCCATGTGGCAGATCCTCCGCGCGCCCATGTCCTTTTTCGACACCACACCCTTGGGGAGGATTATTCATCGGTTCACGAAGGATGTCGACACCATGGATAACAACTTGACGGACGCCTTTCGGCAGTATTTGATCGTCCTGAGCACGCTGCTGGGCGTGTTTGGTTTGATTATTGCGTATTTTTACTACGTGAGCCATCACAACCGCCCGATTGCTTGGTAAATTGCTTTACTAACATTCATAGTTTGTCATTGCCCTCGCTGGTTGCACCGTCTTGCTTGCCCTTTGCGTTTCTTACTACCGACGGAGCGCCCGTGAGCTCAAGCGGCATCACGCCATTCTTGACGGTGCCGTCTTTGCCCGTTTCAGCGAGGCCCTCCTGGGCACGGCGTGCATCCGGGCGTATGGCCGTGAAGAACAATTTGTCAGCATGGTGCATCGCGCGCTCGACGATATGGATAGCGCATATTTCCTGACATTTGCTAGCCAGCGCTGGCTGTCGGTCCGACTGGACAACATCGGCGGCCTGTTGACTTTTGTGACGGGGGTGTTGGTGGTGACGAACAGTCTATCGGTGTCTCCAAGTATTGGTGGTTTGATCTTGAGTTACAGTTTGAGCGTGGCCGGCATTATCCAAATTACCATCAAGTATCTCGCCGAGGTGGATAACTCCATGTGCAGCACCGAGCGTCTGCATCAGTATACCTCGACATTGGCGCAGGAAGCCCCGCTGGAGTGCGAACCCCGGGTGCGGGAGTCATGGCCAGAAAAGGGGGAGATTGTTTACGAGGCTGTACAGATGCGATACCGTCCGGAACTGCCCCTTGTTGTGGACAACTTCTCCCTGCACATTCGTGCCGGCGAGCGCATCGGCATTGTCGGTCGCACAGGAGCTGGCAAGAGCACGATTCTCTCAACCCTGTTCCGGTTGACGGAGCTTGCGGGCGGGCGTATCCAGATTGATGGCGTCGACATCAGTCGCATCGGCCTGCACGAGTTGCGCTCACAGCTGGCCATCATCCCGCAGGACCCGACCTTATTCAGGGGTACTATCCGCTCTAACATTGACCCGTTCAATAAGCACACCGATCTCGAGTTGTGGGACGTCCTGCGGCAGGCTTATCTTCTTCCGAGGTCAGATAGCGTCGAGGACCTCAAGAACGTCGAGGATGACAGTTCGGATTCCGAGACAGATGAAACCAACAAGAGGAGCAACAACAACAACACCGCTCGTATCACCCTCGACGGCCCCGTCTCAGAAGAAGGTCTTAACCTCTCGCTTGGCCAGCGTCAACTTCTCGCCCTAGCTCGCGCCTTGCTCCGATCCACGCGCATCGTCCTCGTCGATGAAGGGACCAGCAGTGTCGACCCGGCGACTGATGCACGGATTCAGGAGACTCTTGCGAATGGGCTGAAGGGCAAGACGCTGATTGCTATTGCCCATCGGCTGCGCACGGTGTTGTTGTATGATCGGGTGTGTGTTATGGAGCGGGGGAAGATTGTGGAGTTGGGGAATCCGAGGGCGTTGTGGGAGGGAGAAGGGGGGACGGGGGTGTTTAGGGGGATGTGTGATGCGTCGGGGATTTCGGCGGAGGATTTTGGGGGTGATAGGAGGGAGGGGGAGGGTCAGTCGTAGAAACGGGGGGCTAACATGGCAGATGGTGGTATGGAAATAACGTGGGATATTTGCTGGATAATCATGGGTAGAAATTTCGAATCTAGATTTCAAATTCTGGTTTATCCAATGGCTACTACATGACCTTAACACGATACTGAGCACCATGAACCACTCAACCCCGACCCTCCACTCCAGCGCAATGCCTACTTCCCATCCCCCAAAATATCATCCCACACCGGCTTCAGCCTTTCCCCCGTCGTCTTATATACGCCCGGCAACCCCGTCTCCTCATACACCTTACCCCCCACCACCATCTCCACCACCCCCTTCGCAGCCAAATACCCAACCGGCATTCCATGTCCATGAAACCCAGCCAACACAAAAACCCCCTCTCGCCCGGGCACCTCCCCGATATGAGGCAGTGAGTCGGCGCTGTACCCCATGATGCCTGTCCAGACGTGGTCCACCTGTGTCTGGACAGTCGCCCAGTCTGTCACAATACCTTTCTCCGTCGAAACGGACGAGGATGAAGGCCCAAAGGTTCGCGCCATAAACCCCCCATCCTCGCTCTCATTACAATAAAACGCCCTAGCACGTTCGATGAAGCTAGCGTCGTCGACTGTGTTGTACCACACCCCACGCTGATCCCCCCCTTCGGGATTTGTGTTTGTCGTAGCAAACTTGTAAGTGTGATGTGCCCCACCAACAACAATAGATCGTTCCGCGTCCGGCCGCTGGATCAGGTAGTGATACCCCGGTATGCCGGAGGGGGTGGCGACGCGGAGGCAGAGGCTTGTGCTGCGGAGCTGGGGGAGTTGGGGTGGACCTGAGCTTGGAGTTGCGGCTGGAGCTGGTGGGGCTGGAGATATGTGGCAGGCTAGGCCGCGGCAGGGGATGATGGCGGCGGAGTATTCGGGGAGGAGGGCGGAGGTGTAGGCGTTGGTTGCGAGGATGAGTTGGGTGGTTGTGAGAGTGCCGTGGGGGGTTGTGATGAGGTATTGGTGTTGAGAAGGTGGATTGGTTGCTTGCTTGGCGATGGAGAGTACTGGGGTGTGTGTTTTGAGGACGAGACCAAGTTCCAGTGCCCGGGATAACAGTGCCAGGGTGAACTTATACGGCGACAGGTGAGCGACCCGTGAGACGAAATAGCCCTTAGCGTCCCTCACGCCGGTGTGCGCGGGCGCGTCGTCCCCCTCGTAGAATCGGACACCGTCCAACAGAGTCCCAAACGACGCAGGATGCGCTCGGAGTTGTGCAAAACGCTTCTTACCCGCGGCCAGCTGCTCCTTCGTGGTGAACACTTCCAACCCTGCCGGCTCGATGGTGAAATCGCAGTCGATCTGCTCCTCGCGGACGAGCTGGGCGATGGCGTCCATGTGGTCCACTTCGAACTGCGCCACGGCGCTTGCGGCTTCGGGACCGTACCGCTCGAGGAGCTGGGCGGGGGCGCTGGTGAGGTCGGGCCGGAGATGGCCTCCGTTGCGGCCTGTGGCGCCGGAGGATGTGTTTCGCGCTTCGAGGAGGACGACGCGGGGTTTGGGAGAGGAGGAAGAGGAGGAAATGGCTTTGAGCAAATGGTATGCGGTTGAGACACCCACGTACCCGCCTCCGACGATTAGGATGTCGCACTGGGAAGGGAGCTCCGGGACAGTTTGATGGTTGTCGAGTTCGTCCGGCTGGCTGCGCCAGTATGATGGCGTGGGATTGGGAACTGGGAGATGGTTGGGTCTTTGCGACATGGTGAGAATATCGGTTGTTGTTAAGAAATAGATATAAAATAAAAAATAATCACAATACGTGGAAAGGGGTAGATTAGTTCTCAGGGGGAGTTATTTGTTAAGTTGTTGTGGGAAGGATTGGGTAAAAATATGGAGTAAACATCGATTGGCGGGGCTGCACCTGCATTTAAGGAGTTGCTCGGCGACTTGGGGGATCGGTACATGTAACTCGGACTCGGAGAGGACCCGCCTTTTGAGTAATCGCACTTGAGTTCCTCTTCGTGGAATCAGAAGGAACAGCGGATACAAAATAGCACCTAGGTACCTATGGTATGTACGGTCAGTGGGACACTGGTCATTCATTTAGGTAACAATCATGACGCATGGCAAGGTGTAAAATGTTTAATTCTGCTTCACATCCAGTGTCACCCCTGAACTCAGCCACTGACGAGGAGGCAGCCGCGGTTATGGAATCAATTTAAACTATCTACAGAACCCGAGAAACAATCACAGTCGCGTTGACTGTTTTCCCTACTTCCCCGCTGGAATGCAGCGTCAAAACAGGCCGAAGCTTGCCCAAAACGCGGGGTGACTGGAGAGATACCGGCTGAGAGACGAGAAAACCTGTTAGTAAACTGATAATCTCTGAAAACCACTGTAAAGCTTGAGAGTATTACTCACCGGGTACGCCATCGTCTTCAACGAATATGTGCTCCGCGTGACCATATGGGCCCCCTTCCTCATCCGGCTCACCACATCCAACAAGATACTCTCCTTCTCCTCAACCGTCGAACCAACGGTAGCGTTGAAATACACAGCATCATACACACTCAAATCCGACGGCGCATTCCTAGCATCACCAGTCTCAAAGCTCACACTGGCATTGCTTGACTGGTCTAATAAACCGAGTGCCTGGTGCACTCCACGGCTCAGCTCAAGTCGGTCTGGGACGAGCTCGACATTGTGGACGTGGATTTGAGTCCCGTGGGCTGCGGCCCAGTCGGTGATCCAGATGCTGGTCTCGGGCAGCGCGCCCGAGCCGAGGATGGCGACTGACTGGGGCGTTTTGCCGACTGCGTTGAGAAGTGTGGTCCATTCTAAATTGGCGAAGTGCACGTAGAAGGGGTGGATTGGGCCATTGTTGAGGATTTCGCGGGCTGGGGAACAGGATACATTAGATAATACTCTAACTGAAAGTTCCATCGAAAGCGTGTAACTAACCTTCATCCGGGTCCCTAGCCTGCACCAGCCGACGGGCGGTGATAATCTCAAACGCAGCCTCACACTGGACCGTCGCTTCACGGACCGCTGGCATCAACTCGGCCGTCGACTTGTGAGTTAGGATAGCATGCTCCAACTCGACATCTAGCGTGGTGAAGCCGATGGCGGTGTAAATCTCATCCCACAAGGGCGAGGCCAAATCGGCCTTTTCGGGCGTGTCGAGGGGATAGAGCTTCCGGAGGGCATCTGTGGACTGCGAAATCGCGGCCAGGTAGGTTTGAACCTCCGGCTCCAGGTCGCGCGCCCGTGGTTGCTGCGTGGGTGGGATGGGACTCATCGCGGCTAACAACACAGGTGACTAAGGCTGTTGAATTGGATTACCTAGCTGCTGCGAATTGTCGTGATCTCAGTTATGGCCGGAATGTTGTGAGGCATGAACAAAACTAACATCTGCCATCAGGTATCGAGTGCATTCACACAATACGTGGCCATTCCACATGGTGGTTCGGTCATTCTTCGAAATGAACTTCCCGGCTGGGTTGACTGAACTAGCAAGACCTTGTTGACCGTGCGTGTTGACACTTGACGGTACTTCATTGTGGACATGGTGACATTCCATATGCAAGGTCACGTTTTGTCCTCAGGTTGACCGATGACAGCTAGGTATGCAAGGTCACAGACTCACAGCCAATGTCAACAACCCCTATCCCCAAAATACCGTTGCGCAATAGCACTAGCTTCCATGAAAGGGTTATACGGAATTGAATGGGAATGCGCGCTGTCTCAGACAATCGGGGTTGATACGACGACCCGGTAGCTGACACGAGAGAAAGATTCGTGAGATTCCGAAAACCTAACCGCCCTCCACATCGCGTTTAGTTGATTACATGTCTTACAAGTTACATCCCATCATGGCCGGATACGCACCCTTAACGGAAAAGGATTCTCGGCCCGCGGCGAGAGACCGGCTCGCAGCCACACCACCGCGATCTATCGGCCATATTCATGGCCGTGGGGATTGTCAAGAGGTTCCCGTCAATGAGAATGTCGAGAAGGTCGAGATTCAGGTATTAAACGACTTTTTCACCAAAATCACCGTCAACGGAAATTAACGTGAATAATTACAACCAACGTGCCGTTTCTAAACTGACGACTCGTAGGATTCATCACGTATAATGCATCGCAACAATGAAAAACATGTTGGCATGGACAAAGTGACAAACGAACCGCAAGGAACGGTATTCTTGGGGCTTTGCGAGGCGTTATCGTTAATAAACTGAGCTTTGGGGGTGAATGTCGAGTGATAATTCAATACCTGGTATGGAGCCATTCATGTTGATCGACTCCCATCTACAATACTTTACTTTACCTACCTGCCGCGTTGAGTTTCACTTGACCTGCTTTGCATGAAGTTGCATCGTCCCTGGGGGCACCCAACGTCTGGAAACACAATTTATTTTCAACTACGCAATGAAACCCACCACTACGACACCTCGTGTGACGGTGACCTCGATACAAATCGCAACCCATGACCCTTTTCTTATGCTCAGGCCACAACCTTCTGAAACGCCTGCTCAAAATCAGCAATAATATCCTCCACATCCTCAATCCCCAACGACAACCGAAACAAGTCCTCATACACCCCCATCTCCTCATTCTCCTCCTTCGTACACTGCTTATGCGTCGTCGACCAATGATGTCCAATAATCGTCTTCGCATCTCCAACATTCGACGTATTAATCACCAACTCAAACGCATCCACCACCTTCAACCCTTCCGCCGCACCCCCGTGCAGCCCAAACGTAACCACCGTGCCAAACCCGCGCCCCGGCTCAAAATACTTCCGCGCCAGCTGATGATACGGATGATCCTCAAACCCGAGATACCGCACCCACTTCACACGCGGGTGACCCCGCAGATACTCCGCCACGGCCGCTGCGTTAGCCGCCTGCCGCGCACACCGCAGAGAAAGCGTCTCGACGCCGATGAACAATTGCTGCGCTGCGAGCGGACTCATGCACGCGCCCGTGTCGCGGAGGACTTCCCATTTCAGGTGCCGGATAAAAGCCGCGTTGCCGACTTGTTCGTACAGATTATCGTCAACGGTCTCGCGCCCGGCACGTCGGCCGTGGAGGTGCGGGAAACGCGCCGAGTTGGATTGCCAGTCAGACCGTCCGGTTTCGATGACTAGGCCACCGAGGGTGGTGCCGTGTCCACCGATCCATTTGGTGGCCGAGTGGATGATGATGTCGGCGCCCCAGCGGGCGGGCTGGAAGAAGTAGCCTGCCGCGGTGAAGGTGGCGTCGACGACGAGGGGGATTTGGCCACCGGGAGTGTTGGGGGAGTGGGCGATGGCGGCGAGGGGTTCGAGGTCGGGGACGGAGAGGCTTGGGTTGCCGAGGGACTCGGCGAAGATGAGTTTGGTGCGGGCGTCGATGAGGCTGTGGACTTTGGCCGTGTTGTTGGTGTCGACGAAGCGGGGCTCGATGCCAATTTCTGGGAGGACGACGTTGAATTGGTGGAAGGTGCCGCCGTGGGTGTGTCTAGACACGATCACGTTGTCGCCGGCTTTGGCTAGGGCCATGACGACGGCGAGGACGGCGGAGGCGCCGCAGGAGAAGCTGGCTGCGTCAAGTCCGCCTTCAAGGGCTGTGATGCGACGTTCTAGGGCATCGGTTGTGGGCTAACCTCATGAATTAGTATGAAAAAAGGTACATAACGATTAACAGGAAGATAAGTACATTGTGAATACGGCTGTAAATGTGTCTGGTGGAAACAGCGAAGGCCTCGTCGGCTGCAGCACGCGAGGAAAACTTGAACGACGCCGTGTTGTACACTGGCACAGTGCATTCGCCGTAAGCGGGGGAGTCTTCCAACCCGGCATGGACTTGCAGCGTGTCGAATCCCCAAGCCCGTTTCCCGGCTGAGGCTTTACCATTGCCGTTTGAAACTGAATGCTTGGAGTGGCCGTTGGCCACTCCCTTGACAGGATAGTCGTGGTTCTCGAGCGAGCCCATGTTGTAATCGAGTTTGTTGTTGTTTGTGGGCTGAAAAAGGTAACAAGATGTGCCCTGCGGTGGAACGATGCAGTTGATGATACCTTGAGATTGGTGATATCAAGCGCGGTTAGCTCTCGAGGTTGAGCACCATTAAATTGAAAGACCAAAGCAACGGACCACGCAAAGGTATTCCCAGACTTAATCTAAAGCAGTTTGATCTAGCGGTCTGGAAACCACGGCTCTTACTCAGTCAGGAATACGCTCCATGACCTGGGATCTAGAGACCGAGCTGGAATTGCGTATGCGAATTGTTGAATGTAATCGGTACTTCTAATTGTCCCCTGAATGTGACCATGCAGGTAAGACGAGGGTCGTGACACAATGCAAGGTCAAGTCCGAGGAGTGTCCCGAGGTTCCCAGGTCCGACTTCACTGCGATGCTATGCGGGAAGCTCCGGTCGATACACCCCTAGATGCAAACATCGAGCAATTAGATGCGAGGTCGGCCACCCTACCTCGCTCTCAACTTGCAGAAGCGACTCTCAAGCGAGATTCCATCGGACTTTCTGCACTATTACCACATTCTCAACGGCAACATACCTCCAGAAAAACAAGACAAATCCTAATCGACAACTTGACGGGCGGTTATTACGAGAACAAAGCCCCAACCAACAAACATGAGAGCAGACATGACCCCTCCAAGTGCGTAGGGTCATTATCATGGCATATATAAAAGGGGCTACCATTAACCCTAACCCTCGCATCTAGCCGCCAAACAACATCATGGCCGCCCTGAAATCCTCCCCACACGCCAAAGCTACATCACCCTCGACGAATTCACCCTCGAAAGCGGGACCACCCTTATCAATCCCACCATATCCTTCACCTTCATCGGACTCCTCAATGCCACTCGCGACAATGTCATCCTCGTCTGCCACGCACTCTCCGGCAGCGCCGACTTTGCTGATTGGTGGGCGTCGCTGCTGAATCCTCCGAAAGGAAAACCGGCGTTGGATCCTACAAAGTGGTGCATTATCTGCTGCAATACACTTGGCAGTCCGTACGGGTCCGCCAGTCCGTTGACGTATTACCGTGACAATGCTACCGGGGAGAGACGACGGTACGGCGCGGACTTCCCGGCTACGACCATCCGGGATGATGTCCGGTAAGATTTAATAGCCACCTCAAGTCATTACAGGTCTTGAGTTACTTTCTGAGTGATGATACCATCTAACCCCCGCATCACACACAGAATCCACAAACAAATCCTCGACATTCTCGGCGTGCGCGCCATTCACTGCGTCATCGGCAGTAGCATGGGCGGCATGACCGCCCTCGAGTGGCCCCTCCTCTTTGGAGCCGAGTACGTCCGATCCCTCGTCCTCATCGCTACCGCAGCCCGGCAGAGCGCCTGGGGTGCCGCATGGGCCGAAGCGCAGCGCTGTTCCATCCGATGCGACCCCAAGTTCCGCGGGGGGGATTACGAACTGGACGATCCCCCGACCGCAGGACTGGCCGCTGCGCGGATGGCGGCGTTGCTTACGTATCGCACGCATCAGTCGTTTGAGGAGCGGTTTGGGGGGCGGAGAGAGGGATTGGATCGCAAGAATGGTTGTGTCATGGGGAATGGTGTATCTGTGCTGGGCGGCGCGGCTCAGACGGCGTGTCTGGCGCGGAGCTATCTGCAGTATCAGGGGAGCAAGTTTAATGCGCGGTTTGATACGAACTGCTACTTGCATATTCTCGACAAGATCGACTCGCATGACATCGCCCGCGGGAGGTGTCCGTTGACTGACAGCGCGGCTGTTGATGACGGGGAGGCAATCAAGATGGTACTAAGCCGGATCCTGCAACCAACACTGGTGGTGGGTATTCCTACTGATGGGCTGTACCCTGTGTGTGAGCAGTATGCGTTGTACGAGGGTATCCCAAACGCGGCGTTCGCTCAGTTGCGGAGCGAGGATGGGCATGATGGGTTTTTGTTAGAGGCCGAGCAGATGAATCAGTTGTTGTTGTTATTCCTGGGCGCGCAATAAAGGCTGGGAGGTCAGAATGCATACATAATATGCATGAAATCCCCACGGAATAGATTGGTTATCTACCTTACCTTCCCCTACAGCATTCTTGACGCAACACTTCGCAGTTTTGAACCTGCCGTGTAAGGTTGAAGTATTTGGATTCAACGACAAGTCACAACTAAGTAACCTTAGAAAAATTTTGAGGAAAAAGCATTCCAGTTTTCTGAACAATCAGGTAATGTCATAACTCATTTGAAAGGAGTAAAGAAACGCATACTTCTAACGCAGAGGTGCCAGCCTGGATCCTGATTAAAAGTAAAAGTTTGGGGAGAGGGATGAAAGATAGTCTGCACGAAGCAATTCGACCAGAGGAAACCATAAAGGAGGAGTGTGACTAAAGAATCGGAAAATCAAATAACTAACTAACAATAATAATCTCTTTAAGCTTACATACAACCGATTCAACACCGGGTAGCTACGTAAGTAGGTATGTACCTATTGTCTTCATTCCTCTTTGATTTTATCTTCAATTGTTCACAAGTGACAATTCACAACAGCCGGCTCTCGGGGTTCCCTAGTAATTAGTGTTTACCTACCTAGGTACCAGGTATTGACTCGACAAGCGGGCCATTTCGTCTGATACTTGGCGCTTTGTCGTATGTAATAATTACCTGTACAAGAGACCGAGCACAGCAAATAGAATGCATAAAAGGCGAACAACTCCTTGTCAATTTGCTAGGAAAAGCTCAAGATCCTTGGCCAGTAAAAGATGACTAGGAAGAGGAGAATCACGGTTGAATTCTTGCTTGACCCTGTCGGGCCGGGTTGTGCTCGAGCTCAACCGCACGACTCCGGGTTCACATCCCCGTCGTTATCCAGCCGGGCATAGCTATGCTCCGGTCAACAGTAGCTCTTTCCCGCAATTATGTTTCTCAAGGCTGGAGCGGAATTTTCTCGATTATCCCCGGTAAATGGGATCATGGTTTTTCTTCTGGATTGACGACTATTGAAAGCCTGCGATTTTCCATGAAAAGCCTAGACCGATTATATGCCCTTATCATATTCCTCACAGTTTCCTCTTCCTCCCGCAGAATCGTTTGGCCGACATTGTAGCCATGTCATTTTCAAAGCACTATCGACCCATCGAGGCTCAATTGGACGGTGGTCAGGCAATGCCGTCGGCGGCACTCCGCCTCATCACCCGATGGCCCTTCCCTAACGGCGTCATCCCTCCCGCAATGCGGTCCCGATTTCTTACAGCCTCCACCTCCGACCAAGCAGACAAGATGGCTAATGCTTTTGCCAATGGCCCAGCCATCGACTCGCTGGTTATCTTGATTCGACTGCTACTTTCGCTTCGGCTCGACTTAGGTCTGGCTACGGATCAGCGACTCTACATGTTGGCGCTCCACGACTTTGGTCGCAGGCTGGGGGATGACTACATCGTCAAGGGGGAGCTGTTTGAGATCCTGTATCCCCGCCAAGCTTCGAGTCTCGATCGCGTGGACATGACGCTGGGCGAGCTTGTTTACCATCCCATGGTTTCGAAAGTGCTGTGGTCGCTTCAGCCTTTCCAGTTCTTTCGTCGAGAAACATGGGCCAAGCGTGACGCAAAAGCCCCAGTCGAGCCGTACCGGCTTCGCACGAGAGAGGCTTTCCTACCCACTCCGATCCGCGTCCCAGACCAGCACCATGACATTAACCTTGCCCGCTTCTTCTCCCAGAAACTGGGCCCACATCATGCGGCTGGCGGCCGGATCGTTTATTTTGCCTACCAGGCGCCTGACGTCATTCCCGTTATCATACGAGGCGGCCAACCGTTCGACAGCATCCGTACATTTACCATAAGCGGCCCATCAAGGTTCCAACCGGCCGACAAGGGTACCGTTCGAATAGTTTCTCAAGACTGGAGCTACCGACTGCGTGCGGTCCTCAACCTCGTCGACAGCGATATCCATCTGTACCACCACGATACCTCGCCGGTGGTGGAACAGCTGTTTTTCGACAATCATCACAAGCACGAGGGCAGGAGCCGGAGTCAACATCACAGCGAAAATGAGAAAACTGGCGGTGACAAAATACCGCGGAAGGGCAACAGCGAGAAATCTTGCCACACGTACAAGACACGCCGGTCTCAGCACGCTCCCGGCTGGACATTCGAGGATAGTCCATTGCGGGAGTTTCTCCTCATCTATGAGATACACACGGACGATAAAGGCAGCCACAAGATCCGAAACAAGTACGGCGAGTATCTCCCGGCTACGAGGGGTGATGGTATGTAATTAACCACCGGTTCAAAAAGTATTAATTTGCAGAAGTTTGATGCTAATATGGAATGGTAACCAAATTCAGGCAGTCAGAGGCCGCTGATGCCCCCGTATCTCCCGCCGGTTCCTGAAGCAGGCTCTCGGCGTAAAGAATGACTGTTTACATCTCATATTGGATTCATCACCATTTATTTGGGCGGAATGGATACAAGAAGGGAGCAGCAGGTTTAGGCTTAACTGGATGATGCGTTGGGAATATTGTAGGAGATGTTAGTGTATAAAGATCAGTGGAGTTCAAACTGGGAGCAGAGGTTTGAGATACTGACTTTAACGTCTGCAAAATGCTCACCGCGACTTAGTTATCCGTCCGTAGGTACAGTACCTACGTACCGGATCATATACCGGAAAACTCATCAACTCAACCCCCCATAACCACATGGGATATGTGAATTCTCAAGTTCGATATTAGTATTGCCAGGCCTCGTAAATCGGCATGCATCATCCACTCTCTAGTCTGGGTTTTCTGCTCCTTTTTTTGCCTTTGCTCATCCCTGCCCGATTACTTATCCACCATCCTCTGGTCATACTTGACCACGACCTCTGGTGGCATCTCCACAATCGCATTCATCGTCCAGACCCTCTCTCCCCCATGCCCCTCACTCACAGAGTGAATACTCTCCTCACTTTGAGCACCCGAACCAACTCCTCCTCTTCCTAACCCATCTCCTTTCCCCCCACTATGACTGCCCAACCACCACCCCACCCCAGATAACAACCCAAGACTACTATTCCCCGTCATCGGCGGCCGACTACTCGCAACCGTCGCTGATCTCGCGCGATTCCCTTTCCGATCCCTATTCCGACCCCCATTCCCATTCCTACCCCCGTTTCCAATTCCATTTCCAGCCCCCCGTTCAGCGTTACTGATGTTGTTGTTGCCGTTACCGTTGCCAGCACCACCATCACGACTGCGCGCCCGGCTAATGAAGCCGCTCTCTTTGTCGTAGAAACTGCTGTTGCTGCTGTTGCGTCGCGAGGAGGAGGTCGCGTCTCGCACCAGCACGCGTAGCATGGGGATGCTGGCGGCGATGATGGAGGAACTGATCTCGGCGTTGCCCCAGCACCAGAGGGGGACGGTGTCCGCTGGGTTGGGGGTTAGTTTTCGCTCTTTTTCTTTTCTAACCAGGGAAGGAGGAGGGTTTGGTGTTGGGGGAATAAGCAGGGACACACCGAAATCAGTCGACAAAACAGCCGGGATCTTAGTCGTCTTGATGACAGCCATGATCCCAGCCACAACACCCATACCCATCGCCAGGCCGGCGCCGACTTTCTCCTTCCTCTGAATCGGCAACGTCCACAGAAATCTACACGGCAACAGCGCCAGGGTGAAATCCATCAGCGCCGAGTACCCCGACGCAAAGATGTTGTAGTACGCCGACGTTTTCTGGTCCCAACACGACCCCTTCACGTCGGTGTCCCACGTCTTCTGGATGGGCGTGCAGCTCGTCCAGAGAAATAGTGCAGACAGTAACATGGCGATGTTCATGGAGATGGTGCAGAACCAGATGAATTTCCGGTACCAGCCCTCGGTGATGCGCAGTAGGGTCAGGCCGAAGGAGGTTTTGCTCCAGACTGCGCCGGTGACGAGGAAGGTGTTGGCCACGTTGGCGGGTAGGATTAATGAGTCCAAGTTGTTGGAGGAGTCAAAATCCCAGATATGATAGCCATACCCGAGCTTGGTGGTGTGTGTGACGATGGCGGACTCGATGATCACGCAGACCTTGGATTGTGTTAGTGCCACTCACTGATTATGAAGGAAAGCCCAGCTCTTTGAGAGGAATTATTCTTTGATAAGAACAATTTCGGGTATGAGTCTGAGAGGAACTCACCCATGAAGCAATCAATATCCCATCATCCCACCACAAATACTGCCTTTTCAAAAACCGGCAATACACTCGCAGCGTCAAAAAGACTGTTGCGAGAGACGCCAACAACCAGAGACTGGCCACCAATATCGGAGCGGCATCATTGTGTGGAAGCTTGGCCAACTCTTCTGGTGTGAATGGGGGAACATCGGCGACAGTAGAACCGGCCGGTGTGTATCGCATCGTGAAGGGATGATGGAGGGTGGGATGGGCTGTTTTGTGTCTTTGTGTCTCAGGCCGCCCACCCCGACTGTGACGCAAGTTGCTTCTGCACACCACCCTCTCACTCCCGTTCCGCGTGCGTGCCTGTGAGAAAGGATGTCTGCCTATGCGTACAGCGTTGTACAATCCCCGAACTATTCTTCCGTTTGCGGTGTGTAGTGGCTGTCACAACGGCGTTTGGTGTTTCATCGGATTGGCGTTTGTGAAGGAAGACCAGTCGGTCGGTTGGCACAGTTCTTTTTTTGCTGGACACAAGGGGGGGAACCAAGAAGAAAGGGATGATGATGATGAATGAGGCGGAAAGCGGAAACCAACGCAAGGCGCAAATCGGTCCTCGGGAGCCGGGGTGCTTTCCCCTGTCTCACAACAGCCCTCCCCCCTGGCACGAGGCGGTTCTTCAACTCGACCCAGACGTCGATCAGCACTAAGTTGGACTATCGAAGGCGAGGAAGAAACGAAAGATGATAAATCAGCGCGTGGAGGCGTTATTAGCGTGGGAGTGAGGCCTTTACCCTTGGAGTATGAGCGTAAGGTTGTTTTCTTTCTTGCTGGCGGCCGTTTTGTTGCCGATTCCGGGGGCGTGGGGGGCGTGGGTGTGTTGTCGTCGGTTCTGGACTCCATCTTGGACAAAAAGTATGCATGACTTTGTAAGTTTGTAACCAATTCTTCTTTCTTTATTAATTACTCATGTCGGGACCTGCAGGCAGGTTTGATTCCATCGTAATTGTGTGCAAACCTCTCGTTTTTTTTCATCAATTTTGTTGAGAGGCGGCCGAAATACAATTAAACGCGGAATTAATCCCATCTTCGAAGACAAACCTCATGCCGCTTAAAGTTATTTTCAAGCCACCATGATGCAGATGTCGACAACAAAAAAAGGAGCGAGCCGACGGCGATCAACGCCACGGCCAGGGCGCCACGCTTCTCGAAGGAAGAAGGAATAATTGCCCCAGAGAGATCTTGTGGAAAGGGAAAAGTCGAAATGGCGGAAATCGAGTTCGGTTCGTGGCGAGAACATGCAAATTGCATCTGGAGTCAACGAAATGAAGATCGTTGATTGTCTTAGCCAAGACCCCCCAAAAACCTCGTGGACGGCCGTTATGTGGAACGGTTTAGCACACCGCTTCGAGTCGTGCCGCAAGTCATCCCGCCGACTGGCGGAGACCACGAATAATCATTAACTATTAGTTAGTTAATTCGCAAGGCTGCCTTTTATCGGGTACATTTATTTGTACCCTGAGTGTACAAGAAAGATCAAAAACTTACTCATGCCGCCCAAGTAACCCAATGATCCGCTTCTGTCCATGACCAAACCCGAGAGCTCCGCAGCGCTGCGCCGATACCTTCCGGCCTGAGTATCAAAAGGATTGTGGGCAATAACCGACGCTTTTCGTGTTCATGTGATTGGTTGCCTTGGAATATGTCCGCAGCGCAGCTACAAATTTATCAAGCCTCAAGCGCTGCCTGCTTTTCGTGCGTCTTCCAACGCCCGGCGTAACAGACTTTCCAAACCCCAAACACTATCTCCCGTTGTCTTCTGCCCAGTCATGACGTAGAGCGTATTGCCCAACACACGGGTATGCACATTCCACCGCGAGATATCTCCTGACTTCTCCCCATCAACACCAACATCGGTCCCATCACCCCGAAGCAGAGCTGCTTGCACTACCCGGGCCGCATTGCTCTTGTAGCTGTCAACGCCATCGGCACTGGCGATACGAATAGCCAGAACACTGCCCAGCGCCCAGATGCCACTCACAAACCCACTTGGCAGTTGGTCCACCCACCGGATGAACTCGGGGCTCCAAACCGACCAGGCCAGGTTATCCTTTCCAGGAGACGCTGAGGTTGTTGACACCTCCGAGACCTCCTTCTCATACGGCCCCTTTGCCCACTCCCAATCCCCGCGTCCCTCCATCTGCTGCATCTCCTTGACACTCTCCAACGCTACTTGACACCCCACAGCATGCGCCGTGTAACTGTGGCCGTGCAGCAATGCATCACTTTTGTCGTCGCTGGAAAAGGCTTGGAAGATGTCCTCCGATGCCAGCGTCACGCTGAGAGGGAGGAGCCCGCCGGTTAAAAGTTTGGCGTGCACTGAGATGTCCGGGTTGACGCCAAGGTATGAAGCGGCAGAGAAGCGGCCGAGACGGTAAAGGCCGGTGAAGACCTCGTCGAAGATTACGGGCAGGCCGGTCCAGGCTGTGGGGGAAGAGCTGGGCGATTGTGGGGAGGTGGAGTGGCCGAAGAGGGAAGGGTGTTGACGGACGACTTTGACGAGGGTGCGTTGAAAGAGAGGGTCACTGGGTTGTATCGTTAGCTCCTGATCCTGTAAAGAAAAGTCGGCCACTTACACAAGCAACATGCCCCCTGCGCCGAGCACAACCGGCTCTAGCATGAGTGCCCCGAATTTATGTCCCTCTGCGACGAGTCTCTTGAGAGTTGCGGTGAGGAAATCTTCATAAAACCGCCCCTCTTCACCCTTTTCCCGGCCCTCGACATCAAACACCGCTGACACCGACGCATACTCAAAGCGAGAGCGCCCACCACTCTCACCCAGAGGATCAACCATCTCCGACGGATACCTCACGACCCAAGTTCCCCCACTATATTCAACCACCGGATAGTCCAACCAATACCCCCTTCCCTCGTACCACTCCACCTTCTCATTGTACACACACGGCTCCGAGCAATCCATCGCGCCCACCGTATCCCCATGATAACTCCCCCTCAACCCCAACACGCCCAACCTACCCGCATCATCCACTTCATCCCACCCGTACCGCACCCTAGCCGCGCGTAACGCCATCTTGACTGCAACCTCCACCGCCGTGCTGCCGTTATCGGAATAAAACACGCGGGACAGACGTGGGTTCTGTAAACCCGCGAGCAGCGTCTCGGCCAGGGCGAGCGCGGGCTCATGCACCGCTTCAGCAAACATGACGTGACCGTAGCGGCCGGCGGCGTAGGCGGCGGTGAGTGCGAGCTTGGGGTTACCGTGGCCGAGGCCTTGGGTCCACCAAGATGCGGAGCCGTCGAAGGAGGGCTGAAGGAGGGCGGTTGTGGGAGGAGGGGAAGATGGGACTGGAGTGGTTGATTCCTGGGGCTGTGTTTCGGGTATGAGGGTTTCAAAGCAGTCGCCATGTGCGGAGTCGATAACGGTGATTTTGTCCTTGGTGAGGTGTTTTTGTTGGGTGAAAGGGTACCAGATGATGTCTGAGGCTTTGGTGCTCATCGACTCGAGACGTGCGATCCGGTCTTGGTGGCGGGCGTTCAAGTGGTTGAGAACGTCTTGGAATGTCTCGCTTTTACTATTATCTTCGTAGTACTGAGACATATTTTTGACGTCACTGGTCGTGTCATTCTCCATCCTCCGTGGTGGCCCAGAGAATGACGCGACGGGGATGTCGTGCTCCTGTTTGAAGTACTGGGTGAGGTACTGGTAGTTTTGATACTGCGGCTCGCTAAATAACATCACCGTATCAACATCGTAGCCTCGGATCTTGAGGGATTCAAATGCCGAGATGGTTTGTGAAATTCCGCCGAGTTTGCTGTCACCGATAAGGACGACAGGGAGTCGCAAAGGCCGGTATAAGTCGGCCTGGGTGCTTCCTGAGGGGCCGGGGGAATGGACGCCTCCGGCTGTTTCGATGAACAGCCATCCTGGACCCCGAGATGCTTGCTGAGAGGCAGATATGGAAAGCTCGTTTAGAAGAATCTCATCCGAGGGAATGAACTAACAAGCGGCGTGATCTTTTAGTCTGCGCATAGGATGAATTGAGGGAAGCTTGGGGGAGAATATGCGAACTAACTTTCTTCGATGCCTCGGCCGCAATGTGCGGGCTCACGGCAAGGTCATACTGGAAAAGCGTCTTGCTGGGTATCCCAGGGGCAAACCTCCGGATATGCCTGCAATGATGTTAAAAACACCATTTTCTCCCCGGTCTGAGTCGTAAGCGATCGGCCAAACGAGAATTGAGTCATCTGGTGAAGAATCAGCATTGAATGGGGTGGTAATACAAACTAATCAGGTAAAAAATAGGATCAATGAATATCAAAGACAAAATCTGAAAACACATACACAAGTCATCCGCATCGGTGGCAGCTCCAGTCGAGACCGGTTTCACATAGCCTGTCTCCTCCTTCTTCCAGAGCCTGCGGGCGGCTTTGCAGAGCAACGTTGTGACGACGGTCTTTCCGACCTCGGTATTGGCGCCATACACTTGGTATACGCGCAGTGAGCGCCATAGCAGCGATCTAGCTGGCGCCTTGAGTGGAAACCGCATGAGGGTTGGGTATGACTCTTTCTCGCGAAACTCGGCCCGTGAAGGTGAAGAGTAATGCTAAGTTAACCGGTCTCTCGGTAATGAAAAGTAGGCCCCACGAGAAGCGGTTTCTATGGCTCATCCAAGAAGTAAGGCTTGTGAAGAATGGAGTCGTTAAACTGTGGAAACCCCGACGCAAGCCGACTTCGGGGAAAGGGGAGAACAGGTCCAATTGTCCAATCAGTCATTCCCGTTGAGCCATTTTTGTAACCTTCACCCGGTATGTTACGCAGATCGCGTACGTACAATCAATCCACTCACCCGTTTCGGTATTTCCTTGAGCTCTTTCCGTTCAGCTAGACCCACCCATCCATTCTCTTGCCGTGGCACTCACCTCAGCCTCTTTCTCAACAAAAACTACACCAAAACAGTCACCCTACCAAAAGAAAATGGCCGAAAAGGCCCCTCGACTCGACAGCACCCTCGCCTCCCTCCTCGACCGCCGACGACAACGAGGCCAATTGCGATCCCTAACCACCGTCCCCCCAGGAACCGTCGACTTCTCCTCCAATGACTATCTCTCTCTCTCTTCCCAACCTGCGGTTCAACAAGCCTTTCTCGCTCGCCTCCAAGATGCCGCTGTCCACCCGCCCGGCAATGGCATCATCACCAACACCACCAACCCAGTTACTAACTCAACCTCCCCCAACCCCCTTTTAAACCCCCCCTCCCTCCTCGGCTCAGGCGGCTCCCGCCTCCTCGACGGTAATTCCCCACGCGCCGAAGCCCTCGAGCACTTCCTAGCCTCCCACCACCGCGCACCCGCGGCGTTGTTGTTCAATTCCGCCATGGACGCCAACGTCGGTCTGTTTGGGTGTGTCCCGCAGCCCGGGGATGCGATTGTGTATGATGAGCTGATTCATGCGAGTGTGCATGATGGGATGAGGGCAAGTCGGGCGGGGAGGAAGGTTGGGTTTGCGCATGGGGTGGTGTGGGAAAGGTTGGAGGTGCGTCAGGGAGGAGGGAGGTCGTTAGAGGGGGTGTTGAGGGATTTGACGCGTGGGGAGGAAGGTGCTGGGTTTCGGTTGGGGGAGAAGAATGTGTTTGTTGCTGTGGAGGGAGTCTACAGTATGGATGGGGATGTGGCGCCGTTGGTTGATGTTGTGGAGTGTGTTGAGCAGGTACTGGATCGTGGCAATGGGTATGTGATTGTCGACGAGGCACACTCGGCGGGTATCTTTGGGGAATGTGGTCGCGGTCTGGTCTGTGAGCTGGGGCTGGAAAACCGAGTTTGGGCGAGGGTGATAGGGTTTGGGAAGGCCATTGGGTGTGCTGGAGGTATACTATTTTCCTGCTTGCTCGTCAAATGTATCCTATCTACTACCCTGAGAAGAAATAATATTAACATAGCCTCTCGCGTCAAACAAGGCATGGTGCTCTGTTCGTCGACCACTCGCGATTACCTCATCAACTACGCCCGCACCCTCATCTACACCACCGCCATGTCATTTCCTTCCCTTGCCAGTATCGAAACGGCCTACGAGTTCCTTGCGGCCGGTCACGCACAGCCCCTCCTCACCCAGCTCAGATCTCTCATCCAAGAAACATACCGACTACTCGTCGCCCTTTGCGTACGGCACCAACCTCCTCCAAGATTACTACGTCTCGGTATTGAACGGCTGCACTCGCCTGTTATCCCTGTTCTTACGTCAAAACCCCGGGACTTGGCGAGGTTTTGTCAGCAAAGAGGGTTCATGGTACGTCCCATTGTTGCGCCGACGGTTCCTAATGGCGAGGAGAGGATTCGGGTGTGTCTTCATGCGAAGAATACCGTTGGTGAGGTTCAGGGACTGGTAACAGCCATTGAAGAGTGGGTGTTGGAGGCCATGAGCACCAAACGGCGTGAAGAAACTGTTACATCACGGAAGACGGGGTCGACCGGTGTCGATATAGTAACGCGACCGAGCAGAGATTCAAAAATGTGAAAAGTCGTGTTCGCCACTGAGCCAAACACTGGCAAACTAATGGCAACATGAATTAGAACAAAATAGAAACACGCTGAGGGGAAGCTATACTTTGAAGATAATATAACAAAAAGCTCACCCCCCGCTCGGGCGGGGGGCTACGAAAATCCCGAAAGATTTTACTAAGCGGTGCGCCCGGGGATCGAACCCGGGGGCATTGGCTTCGTGGTGTACAAGTTGACGCCCACGGCCCCCCCACTGTGCCAGATCGACTTCTGTCGGTTTGGGGAGGCTGTTGGAAGGAACTGCACACAGGCGACTTATAAAGGGGCGGTGGCCGAGGGAACTTGATCATTATACGTTGGAAGCATTATACGCCAGACCATACATAGATAAATTACACCCGCTCACCCCCACATGCTAATTACTGATCTATCCTCATATCTTCCAATTCCCCCCTCACCTTGCGGTATAACTCTTGCGCTTCACGTTCCCTTGTGCTAACAAACGCAACTTCGGCTCGGAGCGCCGCCAGACGCTGCTGGATGGCCTGCTTCTCACTGGCCTCGAGGATACGGAAGCTGGCGAGGGCATGGCGCGCCTTCTCGAGCGCGATGTGGGCTTCACCAATTTTCTTGCGGAGCATCTCGGCGCGGTGTTTATAGCCACCCAGGTGCAGGCCGAGTTTCTTCTCGAGCTTATTGCCCTTTTCGGCCGAGGATAGGAGAGATTCAATCGCTGTCTAGTAAGAATTAGCGTCTGTGGTCATGCTAAATAGAGTAGAGGGGAGCCGAAGGGAAGGGTGTGGAGCTCGTACATCAAGTGTGGCTTTGAGTGTCGCAATTTGGTCCTCCTCGTCGTCATCATCGTAGCAGCCAAGCCCGAGGAGCAACGAGTTGCTATTCTCCTTGTTCCAGACGGCCTCAATTTCGTCCGGCTTCAGCTGATGCTTCATTTCCATAAGCACCTGTAGCTGAGCCTCCGCAAGAGCGGAATCGTCAATCTGCGGTAGGGCAACCGGTTTGCTTGTCGGGGGCGCGCCGGGAAGCGGGTACTTTGTCGCGTCGTATGCCATCAGCAGGGCGGCCTCGCGGGATACGAGTGCTAGCGCCGGGTCTTCAATCTCGGATGCAGCCCGCACAAGCACGTTGTAGTCCACCGTCACCGGTCGAGGAAGGTCTCGTTGCATAACCTGGGTACGCCGCTTCCGTTCAAGGAGCTCAATGGCCTCGCGCACTTCCCGCTCCCTGCGATCGCGTTCCGCAGCATCTTCCTCCAACTGCTCGGCAGTGAGTGGTTCTTGTTGATCGTCGGGTAACTCGAGTTCCCATTCCGTTTCCTTCGGTTTTGGTAGGGTGGCAAGACGTTGCTTGAGTTGGTGGCGAAGAGACAACTCACGCATCTTAGCATCCGCGGGCGTTCCTCCAACCATATCCATATCGTTGTCAGCCGCATTGAGGGCGAAGGTATCGCGAGGTGTCCGCAGTGGCGTTTGTCCAACACGCAGAGGTGTCGCCCCAACTCCATTTGCCCCGGATCGCAAGGGTGTCGCAAGAGGATTTGGAGTTGCGACGACGTGTTTTCTCGGTGCTACTGACTCGAAACCGGTAGATCCCGCGCCCTCGCGCAAAGGCGTGTTTTCCCCGCCTAGCAAGGACGACTGCGTCTCCGTCAAGGCACGAATGTTGCGGATTTCGTTGGCAATGTGGTCTTCCTGGGCTGGCGCACGCGGCGTTCTGATCGGGCCCCCTGTGTGCAGTGCTGAGTAGTTCCCGAGCAGCCCGCGGGTGGCATCGTTTTCGCTGTCACGGGCCATGGCGCTCGCCCGTTCGCCAATCATCCCCATCTTGACGATCTCCTCCAGCTCGCCTTCGTCAACCTGTGGCGCTGGCAGCACCAAAGATTTGCGCTTGCTGCTCTGCTCCGCCTCACGGATCTTCTGCATTTGGCCTGCCTTGAGCGCCGCCTGTGTTGATGCCGAAGGCCCATCTTTCTCGTTCTTCCTCCTCTTGCGGTCGGCATCGCCATCCTCGTCGCCCTTGCGCTTGTTGCCAACCTGTTGTTTCTTGGGGTCAAAGTGAGAGCGTTGGAATTCGTTGCGGGAAATTTCTTCCGTTGTGTCATAGAAACCAGGCACAGCCTTCTTCTCAAAGGGAATGTCGGCGTTGTAGTCCATCTGACCCTTCTTGCGCGTCGTAACCTTGATGTTGATCCCGGCCGTCTTGAGCTCTCGTCGCTTCTGCAAAGCAGCTAAACGGCGGGACTCCTCTTGCTGTCTTTCACGAGCCTTCCGCTTTGCCTTTTTACCCTGTGTATTAGCGAGACGGGCGCGGGCCTCGCTCAGCATCTCCTTCTCGTCCTCGTCGAGATCGATCGTGTCGGGACGGGCGGGCTTCGTCTCGGGATCGGGGTCGACCTCGCCCGGGCGTAGGCGGCGGACATCATCGGCGGATGGAGCTTGGGTCTCGCCACCGTCGGGGCCCATGAGGCCCAGAGAAGACGACTCTCTCTGCTCGGCTTCATCGAGGAGGCGTTGGTATCGCTCGAGGCACTGATTGGCGGTACGCCCGACAATCGGGGCAATGGTACGCCACTGTGTGGGCATCAACTTGGCGAGATGAAGCAACTTCTCGTCCTCCTCCTTGCTCCACTCGATTTTCTTGATGCTGGGGTCGAGCCATTCATTCCATCGGGCCTTGCATTGTTTGGGCGTCTTGCGCGCCAGCAGCGACGAGACGCGTGCCCATTGGTTCAGGCCATACTTGCTGACGGATGCCTTGAGGATCTCATCCTCGATGTTGGTCCACACGCCTCCTTTGACGACGGGCATGGTGATGGCTGGTCGGGTGTGATGTTTGGCGATGAAAATCGTGGCGCGGATGAATCCAAAGTTCTGGGATTTGATTTCGCGCTGCGGCAGGCAGGGTGGGGCCAGTTGGCAACCCTCCACGGGCAGCCGGCGCGTTAAGTGGAACACCGGGGTCATATGGACCCACCTAAGCTTCGTCGGTGCAAGTCGCGTCTCATCGCTGGAGCTTTCCCCAAAAGTTCCGGAACATCAAAGATCACGAAACCTCCATAGAAGGGTGCACATGTTCACCAGGGCGTCGTGAGGGCCGCAACGATTCAAACCGACATTATCCCCGTATAGAAAAAAAAGCCCCGCATTTTATCGCATTGTTTCCAAAGCGGAAAGAGCACAATGGCTTCTGAGGCGAGTTCCCCCCAGCGGGAGCCCACACTATCTACTTTGCCGCCTTCGCTCCCACAGAAACGTGCTCTCGAAGATGATCACAGCCCGGCGGTATCGTCACCCTTAAACCCCGAACCGAAATCGCAAAAATTTCAAGTTCAAATCGAGGATACGCAAGCCATGCCGCGCGAAAAGAGGACCAAGAAGGAAACGCTTAAAAAGCGGGAGTCCAAGGGGGCGGGCGCGGGCGGCGCCGACAGCGCTCGAGCGACCCCCGATCCAAAGCAGAGAGAAGCTCCCGGGGAGATGGCGCCAAACCGATACAAACTTGCGCATCCCAAGCCCACCGATTTTGAGCTCTCAAGAGGACCGGTCTTTGTACCCCACCATGAGGTCCAGGATCCAGAGGGGAAAACGATCGAGTTCGTGGAAACGTCCGACCAGTAAGTGCCCAGGGACTCATGGTTATTAGGCTGTAGTTGCGAGAACGAAGCGCTGATGTTTCTAGTGTTTATAACAAGAAGAGCTTCCACTACACACATTGCATCGCCGACCCCGCTTTCCCTTCCATGTTCTACTACCGCAACACTGAGCCACCACCGTTCGGCGCCCACTTGGCTTTCGAGGATGCCGCGTCGCATATGTTTTTCGACCGGAGTGGGATGCACATTACCTCAGACAAGGGTTTCCGCATGACGCGCGCAAATGTTGCAATACGGGAAGGGCGATGGTACTGGGAGTGCAAAGTCACGCGGGGCATACTCAAGGACCCGCAGGACGGAGACCCCAAGTCCCACGGGCATGTCCGGGTAGGCTTTGCGCGGAGAGAAGCAGCATTGGATGCCCCCGTCGGATTCGACGCATACAGCTATGGTATCAGAGATGCCGCGGGTCAAAAGGTCCACATGTCACGGCCCAAGGACTTCTTCCCACCGGGCGAAGAGATCAAAGAGGGGGATGTGATTGGGATGGAAATTCAGCTGCCCTCGGAGCGGCTCCAGCGCAAGATCGTCCAGGGCCAGTACAACCCAGCCATCGACCTCGCGGATGAGGAACCCGAAGAAGCGCCCGAGGCCCCGAATATCATCCGCGACCGCATCCCGATTCGCTTCAAGGCGCATATCTACTTCGAGAAGATCGACTATCACACCACGAAGGAACTTGAGGATTTGATGAACCCATCGCCGGCAGGCTCAAGTCACAAGACTGAGGCCCCCCATCCAACGCACCCTGTTCCTGCGCTTCGAACGCTACCGAACTCCTGCATTAAGGTCTACAAGAACGGCGTCCTCATGGGCACTCCCTGGACGGATATCCTGGCCTTCCTCCCGCCCGCTTCGAGACAAGCACAGCAGACTGGTGGGCGTGAAGCGCTTGACGACGGAACGTTAGGGTACTACCCGGCGGTCAGTGTATTTCGGGGAGGTGCAGTGGAGGTGAATTTCGGTCCCGATTTTTGGTACCCGCCACCCGCCGAGGATACCGAGATGTTGGATGCAGGCACGGACGGCCCGCCGCAAAAACAGCCAACGCGACTGCGTCCCATCAGTGAGCGATATGATGATCAGATCGTCGAGGATGTTCTTTACGATATCGTGGATGAGGTCGGCTTCTGGATGCAGGATGGCCAGAAAGTTATTGACCAGTCCGCGCGGGATGGGAAAGTTGAGGCCGCAGCGCCTGGGAGGGATGAGATCAAGGAGCTGGTACAGGACGACTGAAGTGAAACAGGAATGAGATCTATTTCCGCTGGGGCTATCGTAAGCGATTCATCATTTGGGGGTATCTCACGTCCGCGGGCTCTCGACCGGCGGTTCAACAACAACTACCGCACTCGACGCTCCTCCTTCAGTTTCAGCCAGTTTGGCCCCATCCCCAGCCTCAATCAGTTTGGCTTCCTCCGGTCCTTCGATCAACTTGGTGGGTCCCTTGACCTCTTCCGTTTCCTCTCCGGCCTCTTCCAGCTCTATTTCCGGGGATTTCGCCCCTGCAGCCGCCAAAGCCTCAGCCGCCTCTTTCTCGATCTTCTCTCGCTCTTCCTTCCCGCGCTTGTGGAAATACCACAGCACAAACAGTAGCAAAAACACTGCTGTGCTCCACAGTACGCTGGTGCCCATGAACGCCGGCCACCTCAACTTCAGCGCATTCACGATCGCTTTCAGCATACTTTTAACAATCGCCGGCGTAAGCACCAAATCTCCTAGATTCTTCGGCACCAAGAACTTGGCTAGCCCCGCAGCATCCGTCCCGCGCTTCAGGCCTTGCGCTTCCGCAGCAGCCGCCAGTAGTTCCGGTGCCAGGGAGCTAGTCATCTTTTTCGGTAGCTGCGTCACCAACTTCTGCATCGAGGACGGCAGCTTTTCGAACCCGCGATTGAGAACATCGTTACGTCCGTCTAGGAGCGAGATCAAGTCGTCGACAGCGGTGGGAGCTCCGCGCATAATGTCTTTTAGCACGACGACGAATTGGCGGAAGAGGGACTGCACCTCAGCCGAGGCGGCTAAAGCCGCAGTTTTGGCTTTGCTGGGGTTTTTGGTTCCGTTGTCTTGCTCTTTGCCGGGCGACTTGGTATCTTTGATTTCCGCGGCGGCGGCATCGCCGTCCGGCGTTACACCTTCCTCGGTAGGTTCAAGACCGAGGCGGGAAAGCATGTGGTTCAGGTCGGCCCATTCGCGATCTGCCTCATCTGGGCTCACGGTCGTCGCAGCGGACGGGACTGCAAGGGTGCTGGACGTAGATGGTTTGCGGTGGAATAGGCGGGAGAAGCGATTGCCCTTTTTCTGAGCAGTGGCAGTGGCGGGAGTACTGCCTCCCTCATCGGCTTTCGGAAGCCGGACTGAATCGCTGTCGGTATCCCAGACTAAGTCGGGAGTCTTGGGACGTGGTGGGAGAGGTGGAGGAGGGCCATCTTCGTCGTCGGCGCCCTCGGCGACGTCGGTGGAGACGAGGCGCTCGAGGAATTTTTCGTCATCGTCATCAAGTAGAGGCACTGACTCACTTTTGCCAGGGGTTGAAGGAGATGTAGAAATCACATTATCCGCGTTTGCGGTCTTCGCTGGTTGCGTCGTATCGGTGGAATTCGGTGAAATTGGTGTGTTTTCAGGTGCCTTCCCCTTCTTTTCCGACTGTTTGTGCTTCTTGAAAAAGGACGCCATCGCAACTGTGGTTTGGTGAGAGGTAAGAAGGGTGGTTGGCGCAACTTGAGGCGGGGGAGGATTTCAGGGAGCTCAGCTCTCCCGCCCCCTGCTCCAACTTGATGCCAAGATACCATGCACCGCCACAATTCCGTGCGCCACAATGATGTCACGGAACTGCGACTCAAAGCCTTATTGTGGCTAGTGCAATCACTAGCCGGGTATCCTCGTGGACACTATCTTCATATTCCCAACGCCATCCTGCGCTCCCACGGGTTTCTTAATCTTCCTCCTCGTCAGTCTCGTTGGGCTCGGCGACGGCCTGGCTTCGCCTCCCACCCCTCCTCCCAGCGCGCGATCTCTGATACCCAACCCGCGAGGTGACTGCCCGCTCCCCTATAAAGTGATTCCCTGTCCAGCCCGTCCCACACTTGGGACACTTTCGTTCCCCATCTGCCCGGCTCCCCTGCATGCGCCAAAATGCGTCCTCGCAAAAGTCGTGCAGTCGCACCAGACAATCGGGTTCGTCGCACCGCTGGCCGTCCGTGACGATCTCTTTACATGCTTCACAGAACTTGATGCACTGCCACTCCGGGCCATCCCCGTTATCTGCTTCGGTCTCGTTGTCGTTGTAGGTGGCCATCAGCCAGGACCAGAGCTCGATCAGCGCTCTTTCTGTCAAACGGTAGAAGCCTGCCTCCGACTTGTTCAACCAGCCCTCCGCGACAAGGCTGGACAGGAGGGAGAGCACTTCGGAGTGTTTGAGCCCTCGAGAAGCTGCCGTGGAAGTCGGTGCGCCGTTTTCACTACCACTATTTTCCGCGGCCTCATCTCCATTGATATTACTCTGCCGCCGCCCCGCCGGACGTGAAACCCGCAATGCCTGGCCCTCATCTACCGCCATGACTTCCATACGGGGGGTATTGTATTCCTCAAACATTGCGTCGAGCAGGCGCTTGATGTAGGCAACCTCTTCCGGGGTGCGCGTTGTCCCCAGCTGGGTGGCCGGGTCGCTGTGGGCGTTGGTGAAGGCCCAGATGCGCTGGCCTCGGCGATCGGTTTGGTCGCGCATGTTTCGAATATCGTAGTCGAGCGGTTCGATGGCGTCGCGCGCGGAATGGATGAAGTTTTCGAAGTCGGTCATTGTGATTGTGTCGGGGGAAACGGGGTCGTTGGGATCGCGGTTTTCGAGGGCTGTCTTGATGCCGGCGAGGACTTTTTGCGCTTCTGGGAAGGTCAATGTGCCCCGCGCCATGAAGGCCTGGATAAATGCGCGATTGGCATCGTTGTAGCCCGCGGGAAGCGGGGGTTCCCATTCGCGGCTCATGGCAGGAGGTACGTGTGTTCGTTTGTGTGTTGGGACCGTTCACTCCGTTGTCTCGAAAAAGATGGCGGCTGGTTACGGTTGTATGGGTGGTGGGAATAGCAGACAAGAATTGGTGAACGACGCGCCGGCACTGAAATTTGGCGTCGCGGTGCTGCCCCGCTGTCGCCAGCTGCAGACCCCTGCAAACATGGTATCCAACAAGCAAGCAACATCACGACAGCTTGAGCCGCACTCCCATGAGCCGGAAACAAGATGAGCGTCGACCACCACCGTAATCTTCTATCTTACTCTCGTCTTTAATAACAAAAAAGAAAAAACAACACCTTTGGCATTACTCCATGGTAAGCGCTCTCAGTCGACATCTCCGTGCACGGCCACCAGGGACATTCCATTCTCCGAAAGAGTGGGGTCCGATGCTCTTGTCAGCCAATGGGCAAACCGACTATCGCTCGATGTGGAAAGTGGGTACAATTTGCGCTCTGAGCGCAAGCTCCGGAGGAAAGAAGGAGAGTTGCGAGCGGTGCGATATTATATCTTACTAAATCTCAGAGCGGAGTTTGTCTACAAAAAAAAAAGTTCTCATCCCACGACGACCAAGCTTTCGCATCCTTCAACCGAACACAAACCTGACCAGCCCCTGCATTGCGACCATGAGCAACTTTGCTCAAGCTCAGCGACGGCCGGCACAGCAGCTTTTCGTCTGTGATCCTGTGGACGGAATGAGGTAAGGTGCACTGTGCCATTGGGCGATCATTCCCCTACCTTGTCAAGCTTGTCTCTCTGTTGAGCTCTCGAAGCAGGGAAGACGGCATGCCTGTGTGGTACGAAGTACCACCTTGCTGCTGCACCCAACAGAAACAAGAACCGAATGGCGCGCACCCGAAAGCGGAGCTCAGGATGAGCCCCTCGCAACTTCGTACAACGTGGAAGCTCGCTTCTCCAAAATGGGCCATCCGATCGCCTCGATTTCATACTGTTAAACGTAGGTGCATTTCTGTTCATGTTTGCCAATACTTTTTTTTCTTTTTAGCAAACCTTGTTGACTTGAAAATTATGTTATTCTGTAAGAATCAAGCTGATCTAAAGGTAGTGAGTCGTGGAGGTGTTCAACATCACCACGAGCTGAGACATCCCCACAATGATCAGCGTCGCTATTGGGAACCTACATCTCCGGCCACCCGGGTTCCTATTGCTGAAAACCCGTGCCCCTGCCGGCTGAGACTTGAAATGCACGCAGTGCGGTCCACGAACAAGTTTACATGTATCCATGACATAACGTCAACCCCCCCATGCAGTCAATCATCGGTGAGCTGTACGTACAGTAGTACTGGGTGACACCAACAACTAGGCTGCAGATTCTGTACTACGACCGGCCAGTCCAGGCCGTTACCGAAGCGGGGCATCGAGGGATCGTTCGGCAGGCGGGATCGTGGATGGGGCCGAGCCGTCGAACACCGTGACGCTTAGCCAGCTGAGATCGCGTTGGGCATGGATCGTCCGCAGTGCCCAGCTGGCACAGCAAAATCACGAATGATTTTCCAAGTTCTTCACGCCATGCAGCTTTGGCGAGGTTGGGATGCAGAACTACAACAAAATTCGGAGTTTTTGCTTGTACCAAGCGGCGTGTTGGCCAGGGTGGCTGGGAATGGCAATGGGACCTGGGGAGACGTATATAAAGTGGCTTCAAGACCAACTTAGTGCCTGGTAGTGTATCCCACAGCTACCTCAGCCACTCTCTTCTCTCCGTGAAAGCCAAGGACGGTCTGCAGCCCAGATTTCAAGATGCATTTCTCTCCATCCTTACTGTTGGGCACACTCGCTGGGTTGGCCAGCGGCGCGGCCATCCCTCCCGCGCCCGTCACCAACTACGATGCCATCGTCATTGGCGGTGGTCCGGCTGGGTTAGCTGCCACGAGCGGGCTGGCTCGCGTCCGCCGAAATGTCCTTCTTATCGACTCGGGCGTGTACCGCAACGGCCCGACCAGGCATATGCACGATGTACTCGGGTTTGACGGTAATTACAGCTGCCCTTTTTTTGCCCTTCAACGAAAGGCTTTCAATGCCAAGCCGAAACTCATCTCTAACTAAACCACTACTTCTAGGGGTTACACCTGCGTACTTCCGCTATGCTGCACGCCAACAACTCTCCCACTACTCCACCGTCGCTATGGTCAATGGCACCGTGGTCAAGATCACCCCCGGCGATGAGCAAAACTCCTTCTTCACTGTCACCACTGTCCCTGCTCCCGGCGTCCCCGCCACCAATGCGACAGCGCGCAAGATCATCCTAGCCACCGGTCTGCGCGACATTCTCCCCGAAACCCCAGGCATCGCGGAGAACTGGGGCAAGGGCATCTTCTGGTGCCCGTGGTGCGATGGCCACGAGCACGCGGACCAGTCGCTGGGTCTGCTCGGCAGCCTGGACAATGTGCCCGCGGCGGTGCGGGAGATGTCGACGCTTAACAACGACATCATCGCACTGGTGAACGGGACCGACACGCCCGAGTACCGCGCAATCACGGATGGCAAGTTGAAGAACTGGGAGAAATATCTCGAGATCCACAAGGTGCCGGTCGACAACCGGACCATCACTGCGATCACGCGCCTCCAGGACGGCGGGGACGCCCACGCCGATCCCAGCCTGCCGAGTGTGCCGGAGAAGGATTTGTTCCAGGTGGATTTCTCGGAGGGCGACTCAATCCGGAGGGCCGCGTTCCTGGCAGCGTTCCCGTCGGAGCAGACGTCCAAGGTCGGCGAGGAGTTAGGCGTGCAGCTGTGGGGTGGTCGGTTGGCGGTCGACCCGAACAATGGTTTAATTACCAACGTGCCCGGTGTGTATGCCGTTGGGGATGCCAACTCGGATAACACGACGAACGTGCCGCACGCACTGTTCAGTGGGAAGCGGACGGCGGTGTTCTTGCATGGTGAGTTTTGACATCCCCTCTTATTGCAACCTAAGTGTCTTCTCTCATTCATGATGCTAACTCCCCATACAGTCAAGATCGGACGTGAGGACGGGGACAGGGAGTTGGCCGAGGCCGGCGTTTCCAAGAGAGATGCCGAGCATGTTGCCCGCTCGCTATGGGATACGGTCAATGGTGCGCCTGGTGAGCCTCTGTACGCTGGTAAATTTGACCAGTAAACGCAAACTGGAACCAAAAAGAGATCGGTGGTTCCGACCCTTTAATTGCCAAGGCTGTTGTACATACTACGTATTTGTCTGGTCTTAATAACAGGGTCTCTCCAATACGCTCCGGTTGTTTCTTTTTTGATTCTATCTTCCAGTCTGCTGGGTCATGACAACATGCCGTGTCCAAATTGCGGAGCTTGTTGCTTTGAATCGCCCGGGGGCACGCTTCTAGATTCTTCGCTACCGTGTCTGTCCGACTCCGGCAAAAAGGGGTGAAATGAATTCAAAGAGGCCACCCCGCAAACACAAGAACCGCGCTGAGCATCCTTAATTTCTGCTGTTGTCAGCATCACCCTGCAAAATAAACAATTTGTGGGAGGTCCTACGTTCAGGATTGGACTCGGGCCGCCGTGCTTAAAGTAACACACGCAGGTTTCTTACCTATGTTTAGCAACGTAGGATGACCGAGATCCGCAGTGCGACGCTTTTATAGGAGCGGTAATAACGTTCCATTTGGTGCCGCTAGCTGTTGGCCTAGCCGTCCCAATAGGGCAATTATAATACACTATGTTAAGATGAACTTTGAAAGTCTGGGCGCCTTATGCTGTTGAGGTTTCCGGGCTCGGATGAAAAAGCCATTCCATTACGGTGTCCAAGCATACATTAAGACCCGCCCTGTCATGCGGTAATTATGTAGGTCAGACGGTCTGTCTAGGGGTCCCTTTCCCAGTCAACACGACACGAGGTTTTCGCATCACGGTTAATTGCGCCTGTCGGTGAACCCCGGATTTGCCAAAAGACGCAGAGACGATAAACAAGATCCCCCATGTGCATCGAGGCCAGACCCAAGAACCCAGGTACGGGGTTTGACCCAGGGGTTAAAAATAGTCCATCTTGAAATTGACATCATATCAAAACCCGCTCAAGGGCCTCAATCGACGGTGTTTACATCCCGAACTTCCAAACTGATCGTAAAAGCAATCAACTTTGGCGTCTTGTAGAACCTCGGACCTAGTAGAATCCACCAAGGGGCTGGGGCCAGATATCGCCAAGAGCCTCGCTCCAAGGGCGACGATGTCGCAGAAATAGAACGACCAAGTCTATAAAACCCACTCGATTCCCGTTACTTTGACGGTCAACTCCCATCAGCATCAGTCTCATCATTCCCAGGCACTTAGACATTGACAACCCTTACTACTCCACAAAATCTTCCATCATGCAGCTCACCAGCCTCCTCGCTCTCCTTCCCCTGGCCGCGGCCGCCCCCTCGGAGCCCATCTCTGCCCGTGGCCTGACTGTCCCCACCGACGCCGTGCCCTCTGAGGTCCGCGTCCTCGGCATCTCGCTCCTGGGCTCCGGTTGCCCGGCCAACACCGCCGATGTCCAGATCGACGCCACCAAGACTCTCTTGGAGGTCACCTTCTCCGAGTACATCATCCAGACCGGCCCGGACACCAAGGCGGCCGATTGGCGCAAGAACTGCAAGCTGACGCTCAACCTTGAGTTTGATGAGGGCTTCTCGTACGTCTAGTCTCTCTGTTTCAATGTTTCGTTTCACACCCGGACTAACAATACTTCAGCTTCTCCACCCTCGCGACCGACATGAGCGGTTTCGCCCAGATCCCAGCCGGCTCCAAGGGTCTCTGCACCAACACCTTTGACTTCACCGGCATCCAGGGCCAGTCGTACTACTCCATTGCACTTCCTGGCGAGCGTGAGGGCCCCTTCACCCTCAGTGCGGACCCGGATGTTGTCTCGTGGTCGCCCTGCGGTGGCACCTCGGCCATCATGAACATGAACACCCAGTGCAACATCTCGCCGACCAAGGAAGCTGCTCTTATTGCTGTATGTCTCCCGGAATTTTGTTATATGCCCAAAATTATGCGATGGCTAACAGTGGTGACAACAACAGGTTGATCGTATCAGTGGCAAAATCACCGTCAACGTGGCTCTCGCTTGGCGCCAATGCTAGGGGTTGCAAGCTTAGGCAATCTCTAGGCTGGGAAAAGGGATGTGTTGATGTAGTGTTTATTATTCCCTCCGAATTCGATCCCGGTTTCTACTCTTATTCCCATCTGCCCCAATGCAAGTGTGCAACCATCATGAACGCCATCCCGATGCACCCCGCAAAACGCAAAGCTACCCTCACAGCCTTCCTCTTTTTCTTTTCCCGTTTTTCCGCTGGCTTCAGATCTCGAGAACCCTAGTCCCGAGATTCAAATCCCAACTTGCCGTTCCACCCGCCCGCTCAGTCTAGATCCATCAAACTCCCCGATTTTTAGATGCCATAGATGAAACAAAGTCAGCAGGGTCCGCTCGCTTAGCCGGGCCCAGACTCCAGACCGATCGCAGATTTCAGGGTAGCCAATTGTAGATTGCCGACCGTGATTAAACTTATTAACCGTCGTCCCGCATTGTCGTGTTAACACATGGTAAGTTTTCCCTGGCTTTTACCGTAGTCTTGCGGTTAAGTTGCATGGTCCCGATTCCCCTGGTAAAATGATGACAGGCTGGTCCAAATCATGGGGCAGTCGGGAAGGGTTTGGATTCAGGAAACGTGGAATGTGGGACATTTACTATCTTTCAAGAATAATGATCCAAAGGACCTCTTTCACACTACCTATGTATTACATACGCTAGTAAACCAAAGTTTTGTTGTTCACAACCAACGGAATTATTTACGAAGCGCATTGCCCCTTATGCTTCGTATGTTGGACATGTTCATCATCGTACGCCGAATCCCAGCGGATTATGTGTCTCAAAGACATTGCGAGAGCAATTCAAATTTCTGTAGCTCGAATACCCATTCGGAATGAAATCGAACCGTTGGTCCTCCCTCACTGGCCCATCCCAGTCCTCACAGCAAACCATAATTAAATGAATCATCAACGGCGTCCAGTCACAGCCCCAAGATCCGGGTCTGATTATGATGCCAACATGCCAATAGGCTCTCTGGGTAACGTTTCCTAAGTCCTAACCAACTCGAAAACAGTCTTTGAAAAGTCAAAACTCGAAACGACGCACCAGGTGTCTCTCAGCGTGGACTATGAATATAGTTTGAGACCGCCAGTAGCTCACCGCATGGAACTCCATATGCCATCCCGTCTCGGACTATAGCCTCCTGCGTGCCTAACACCAAGGAAACAGTTGTTAACCAAAGAACACTGGTTAATTAGGAGTCGAACATGAACGGATGAGTCCTCCGAAAGATGAAAACGATCTATAAGACATCGACTGCGTACCTCCGAAAACCTTAGTTTCTACCTTCGGCTTTTCGTTGGGAAATCAACCAACACCAAATTTTGCGAAAAATGAAAACCAAGTTGGGCTTGTTTCTGAAATTATTTGGCGACACAGATCCCATAAAAATATCGTAAACAAGGAATTCAAAACTGCGCCGTGCCCCTTCGCACTTGACAGGCTAGGTAAGAGAACCCCAGAACCCCAGCCCCGCCGTTCTATCAAACAACGGTTGTTCGAAAAAGATGTCGTAAGATTGTAGAATTTAACGCCGCTCAACCGGGTTCGACGCCCCGGCTAGCCCGCCTCCCGCAAGTGCCCGATTGGAGCCTATGAGGTTGTGGTATGATACGAATGAGTGTATTAATGTTGAACCCTTTAACAAATGAGGTTTCGGGTAGCATTTAAACCCCGCGACCTAAATTGGTTAGGAACAGGGGTTGCTAAAAAGACTTTAAGGTTAAAAAAAGAAGGAGAGTAAGAAAAGCCCTAACGCGACGTTAAGCATTCCCCTTTTAGTAAAAACGCGTGTTTGAAGATACGGGATGTTGACGAGGAAAAAGACAACCAAGTAACGACCTGGGTATTGAAAGGTATCATTTCCATTGAATGAGTGGTTGGCGTTTATGGTCGCCTAATTCTATTGGACGACTAATCCATAACTTACGACAGTACCCCCTTACAGCTTTTCGACTGGAGAACGTTCGTATTCCATGATTGATATGTGATAAGCCGCCTTCCCGGCTCAGATTCCTCACGAGGGTTATTTGCGGCCCCTGAGAGGCCAGAACATGGTTGAAATGCAGGCCGCCCTTGCAGGGCGGTGGACCGCTGACGTTGGGGATCTCATACCCCACCATTGCCCCTCTGCCCCTTCCCTGCGACCCCCCTATACCAACATGTTTAAGCTCCCCCAATCCTCCGGTTCATGGCTCAAGCTTTTCTAGAATTCTCCAGTTCACATTTGGACCGTTTTTTTTTGTATACCACATCCATAGACATGGCTGATATCGACCTCCAAGCGGTCCACGACACGCTTGTGTCCGTCGCCTTTGAGGCGGGGCGCATGATCCTAGCTGCGAACCCGAGCAAGATCTCAACCGACACTAAGCTGAATGGTACTACATCATCCCAAGCATATCCCCAATTCCCCTTTTACGACCGACTACCCCGTATCCCATATCCCATATCCCATGCTCTCAACTAACTGAACTTTCTCCCCCCGCACCAGCCGTCGATATCGTAACCGAAACCGACCAGGCCGTCGAGCGCATGGTAACGGCCCGCCTGCGCGAAGCCCACCCGACATTCGCCTTCGTCGGCGAAGAAACCTACCAGCCCGGCGTGACCCGCGTGACCGACGCGCCAACCTTCATCGTCGACCCGATCGACGGCACCACCAACTTCGTGCACTCCTTCCCCAACGCCTGCATCTCCCTGGGTGTGGCTGTGGGCCGCCGTTCCGTGGTCGGGGTCGTGTACAACCCGTTCCAGGACCTGTTGTATACGGGTATCAAGGGCAAGGGGAGTTATATGCAGCGGAATGCATCGTTAGAAGAAGGGAAAGGGCTCGGGGAGAAGGTGAGGCTGCCGCTGGGAGGGGAGAATCCGACGGCGTTGGGGGATTTGAGCTCGGCGCTTGTCTCAATAGAATGGGGTAGCCAGCGGGACGGGGAGAACTTTGATGTGAAGGTCAAGGCGTTCCAGAAGCTGGCTGCGTCGAAGGAGAGTGGCGGTGGAATGGTTGGTGGGTTGCGGTCCCTGGGCAGCGCTGCCCTGAATCTGTGCGCCTGTGCAGCGGGGCAGTTGGATCTTTATTGGGAGGGTGGATGTTATGCGTGGGATGTTGCCGCGGGGTGGTGCATTTTGAACGAGGCGGGTGGGATCATGGTTAGTGGTAACCCAGGCGCGTGGGAGACGGAGCTCGACTCGCGGGTGTATCTGGCTGTGAGGGGTGCCAGTGGCGGGCAGAAAGAGCTCGTTGAGGAGTTTTGGAATATCATTGGAGACGGGAAGATGGACTACAAGCATTAGCTTTAGCGGTGCGATACTTGGGATTGGATACCGCTTTACTATGTAGAAGCACTTAGATGACGGAATGACGTCGATGTGCCTCAACCACGATAGGATGAACGGCCAATGGGCGGTCTCCTGATGTTATAGAAATTTCGGGCACATCACCCCTCTTTCTTATCTCGCCTACTCGTTCGTGACGAAGGCGTGGCCCGTACGCAGTGTTACGGTGTCCGCTAACCACACGGTAAGGAGCAGGTTAGGTGCGTGGTATGAGCCTCGTAACCTGGACACCATGTCTTGAGAAGTCTCACAAGTGGCGGTGGCCAAACAGTGCCAGGTCGGGGGACAGGGTGGGGAAAGCTTAGTGTAGAAACAGAGCCATATTTTCGCATCCATACATTCCAAGTACCGGGACGGTAGATACCAGGATAAAGAATCTCGTCTCTTGAGTACCAACAAAACCAGCCACATCCTTAATACCTGGGCGGCCCCAGTAGGATTTGGGAGCAAACACCTTTCAACGAGTGTCAACACGCTGACATAAGGAAACCCATGCCGTTTTAATTGGTGGTTTTGTGCAGCCGTTGTTCTCTCGCGTGACACCGGAGGAGGTTACCGGATGGCGTGATCAGGTCCAACCATATCTGGGCGAAAGCCACCAATCCTTGGTCAAACCAATCCATGCAGGCGGTCCTGCAGATAGAAACAGTCTCAGGGACAAGAAACCCCAAACCGCTGAGATGCGATTGGACCTGAAGAACCGGCGACATGGATGAGACTGGCCAAATTTACGAGAGGAAGCAACGAAAGATATTGGTGGCTTTGCTAAAGAGGCGATGCTTCCCCAGATCCCAAAGATCTTTTTACCTGCCGTGGGAGCTCTGATCATTGGACGTCAGAGCCCGGGTGAAGCACCCGGGAATGAAACAGACAAGCCAGTACGTGCTCTTTGCCCAATGCCTAGCCACTTCTTAACCATGCACAGTGTGGCAATTGAAGGGTGTCAGCCGAGGGCTTTTCAGGCTTGCCGCTGAGGATGAAGAGGTAGGGAGAGCAAACACACAAGACCCGGCTAAACCGAACCCATGAAAGAGGGGCGCCGTGCAGTGCATATGCAGCGAGACACCCATCCTAGCCGAGCCGCAAAGGCAGCCTGAAGAGTATTCGCCCGAGTCAGTCCTCCAGACGGGTTGCTGCAGAAATCGTTATCTGCATGGAAACATGGGACCGAATGCCTTGGCTGGGTCGAGTCCTCAGTCCGAACTTGAAGAACCAGTCGTTATCATGGGGTAGTAATCCCGAAAGTGGCTCGTCTGCAGGTTACATCGTGGCCTGCTAGTGTCGCAAGACGAACGCATTGGAAATGTAAAGATCAAGTGAACACAACAGGAGGTTGGCTAATGATCGGATCGGGGATCGAGAGTCGGGTTATCGATTGCAGTTTTCCAATGGCCTAGGCGGAGGACGCTTTGGGGACTTGCCAAGAAGTTTGGGATGGAGCAGATGGAGTCAGGCTCAGAGAGGACTTTTCGGTCTTTCTGAGCGAGCACGAGGAAAGAAAAATTCATCCAAAACATACAGATCCCCACCAAGGCAACTAACTGGGTGGGATAACCAACCAGCCTGCAGCTCACCGCTCGCTCCCGGCATCGGCTGGCGACAGGCAACGATGCTGCTGGTGCACAAGAACCAGGCCGCTGATCTTCCGGCACAGCATGGCTGGCGCATGGCAGGTCGGAGAGAAACATCGAAGGTCGTCGAGACATCTCGAACCGAGAAACGCGCTGCCTCCGCTGTGCGCCTGGCTGACCGTGGTGAAGGAGGAAAATGTGACGGTGGCCGACCAATCCGAATGTTTCCATGACTTGATAAAAAATGCAGAGTTGCAGATATCGGAACAAAGACCGGGAGAGAGCTTTCCCCACAAAATTCTTTTGTTTTGCGCTAGCACCGTTGCAAGCGCAAGGAGCCCCTGTCACTGCAAAATCCGTTCATGTCCGGATCCCTGCTGACATGCCCGGCTCCAACTCGGCTGCTGCACCACAGTGCCTTCCGTCGTGGTGTTGTGAGGTGCCCGGGTAGACTTATCAACCTCCCCTATCTCCCCTCCCCCAATCCACCAACATCTCCGAACTCAGCCAAACCCCGTCCGTTCCGTATCTTTAGAGATACAGGTCTCCCGGCCTAAAACGACGAATTATTCGTTTTTAAGGACTGAAGTGAGAATAAACCCTAGGGGCCCACACAGTGTCCGTACAGTAAGCGAACGTGCAGCGGGGGACCCGGTCCGGACCACCGCCACTGAAACACTTCAAGGAGTTGAGGAGGGGCAGTGTTTTCCTCCTTTTCCATCTCGCCCCTCGGCCGGGTCGACCCAGATGACCTTATCTGTCCGGAGAGGGCCATTCCCTCCGCAGCCGCTACACGTACTCGGTATCCAGGACGAATGCAACGGTGCAAAAGAAACTGAAGCTAAGCGGCGGGAAACTAGCCCAATGGTCGAATGCGATGCTGCGATGGTCGTCGGAAAGGACCAGACGGGGAGCTACTGTCGCAGGGCCATTCCGTGATAGAGGTTAGCCGGCTGTCGGGGCGGAGTGCGGGACCCCGTGTTGAGGTCGTCTGGACCTTCATCGAATGCTCCCAGCCCGGTCCCGGCCACTGCCGGGATGCGGTGCACGGGGCAATATCAGTTTCCTCCACATCAGGTGCTTGCCATCGGGTATGCCAAATTTTTCCCTGTGGCGCTCCGCCGCGTCTGTTGTCTTCCGTTCCCCTCCCACCCACCTGATCAGCTGTCCGGTTTATAGACCTGCTTCCACACCCTCCATCGTTCTTGCCACCTTTTTCTCTTTCCATTCCCTTTTCAAGGAAGGCTCATCATAATCAAGAGACCGCTTATCACCACGCTGTGCCACACTTTGCTCCACTGCTCTCAAGTCTTTGTTATCATTTAAGCAAACAGTTTAGGAGACATTACCGTAGCACCCGGCCGGTTTTGGTGCTACGGACATCGTAAGGTTGAAGCCATACCTGGAAGCAATGACTCTAACACGAAGAACAAGCCCTCGTAACCCGGATGATGATGGATTCCCCACGGTCCAACTGTTTCTACTAGGTAAGGAACCGCGCCTACTCCCACAGTAAATGGCCTAAAAGTAAGCACGTGCTCATCATAACTGACCATCCTCCTTCCAGCCATCGTCCGTCTTGCCGAGCCCATCGCGCTCACCTCCATCTTCCCCTATGCCTGGCCTCTTATTAAGCGGTTCCAAGTCGGTAACGAAGATGATGCCTCCTTCTACGCCGGCCTGCTCATCTCGGCCTTCTCGCTGGCCGAGGCCGTGATGGGCATGTATTGGGGCGGTCTGTCCGACCGCGTCGGCCGTAAGCCCGTGCTGCTGCTGGGATGTGTCGGTACCATGTTTAGCATGGTCATAGTTGGCTTTGCTGAGAACATCTGGACTGCACTAATCGGTCGAGCCATGGGTGGGTTGCTCAATGGGAACATTGGGGTGATCCAGACCATGGTAGGAGAGCTAGTCAGGAAGCCAGAGCACGAGCGTACGTCTTTCCCTCGCTTTTTATCCCTTTACCAGGACTATCCGCTAACCTAGACACAGCTCGCGCGTATTCCATCAGTAAGTTCACATAAGGCTGTGTCACGAGCCAATCCCCGCTAACATTTTCACAGTGCCTTTCGTCTGGAGCATCGGCACCATTATCGGCCCCATGATCGGTGGTCTGTTCGCTGACCCTCACGAAGCCTACCCGGATCTCTTCCCCAAGGGATCTCTCTGTGAGCGGTTTCCATACCTCCTCCCAAACCTTATCTGCGCCGCTTTGCTCCTCATCAGCATCGTCCTTGGGTACTTTCTCCTGGAAGAAACCCATCCGGACATGAAGCCTCGCGTGCTCCTACCGGATGACGCATTCCTGTCCGAAAACACTCCGCTCATCGAGACCTCTGACGCCCTGAAGCGCCCTGCCGTCGATCTCCGTGACGAGAACTACGGCACCATGCGCTCTCATGAAACTGCCGCCGCTCTTGCCGCAGAATCCTCCGGAGCAGAAGCAGCTATCCCAGCGTGGTCCAAAGAGCAGCCACACGTTAGCATCTTCTGCAAGCACATCATGGCCGTCATCCTCAGTCTGTCTATCTTCACCTACCACTCCATGACCTTCGACCACCTCCTCCCCATCTTCTTCGAAGACGACCGTGCTCAGGCCGGCGCTCTAGCCCTCCTCGGCAGCAGCACCGGACCATTCTACTCCCCCGGCGGCCTCGGTATGTCACTGCAAGCCGTCGGCGTGGTAATGGCCGTGCAGGGTGCCATCGCGCTTTTCATGCAGGCGATTGTGTTCCCGCTCATGGCCGAGCGACTCGGTGTGTACCGACTGTTCATCCTCGTCACCGTGATGCACCCAGTCGTGTACATCATCGTGCCCTGGCTACTGTACGTTCCCGAGACGGCCCTCTGGCCGGCCATCTACGCCGTCCTGGCCGTGCGCAACTTCTTCTCGATCCTGCTCTACCCGCTCCTCCTCATCCTCATCAAGGAAGCCACGCCGAGCCCGACAATGCTGGGCAAGGTCAACGGTCTGGCGGCGAGTGCAGGCGCGGCGTGTCGCATGGCGGCCCCCCCTGTGGCCGGGTATCTGTATGCTACGGGCAAGAAGCTGGATTGCACCGCGCTAGCGTGGTACAGTAGTGCCGTAGTGGCTGTTTTCGGGGCAATCCAGTGTTTCTCGGTTGTTAGAGGCAGCGCGGATAAGGGGAAGAGAACCGAGGATGTGGAACAGTAATAAGTCAACGTCTGAGACAGGGGTGGAGAACTGGAGGGAAAAGAACGGGAACAAAAAAGGGGTGAAGGAAAGGAAAATAACAAGATGACGGATGGGATTTATCTTTTGGGGGCCAAAATTTCTGGTCTGTCGGCACACGGAAAAGAGCAAGAAAGGATGTCTGCACGGCGTATCGGTGCTCGTCGGGGTTTTTGAAGACGAAGCAGCATGGCGTACTGGTTTCAGCGGTTGGCGTTGGTTGGGTCGGTTGGGTTTGCTTTGATGTCAGATACCTTATGTCCTTCTTGCCTTACTTCATGACTCGATGATCACGGGAGGGTTGGGTTAGGGACCGGGTAGTTTTAATGGCAGTCGAGTAGATAGAAAAGGAGTTAGGGAAAATAAAATACTGTAAAACGGAGAGGTACCAAATGGTTGGAGACTATTGGTTCTGAAGTGTTGGCTGAAGGCGATTAATCCCGGGCAGCTGAGCAAGCAACGAAGAGACGCTGAGACTAGGTGATCGATTCTTGCGTGGGAACTCTCAATGCAGTAACATCCGCTTCTCAGCGAGCTTATAGCAGGCGACAACAACGTTTTATAACGAGTCCCCGCTGGGCGTGGTGGGAAAATCGGTCAGGTCAACGCTGGCTAGAGAGAGCATGGTCAGGCTTTCGACAAGTTATTAGTAATCTCGGAAAACAAGGCGTTGAGCGAGTATGGACCGATCGGGGCGATGGAAACCTGGGTAATGAATAAAATTATTTGTTGATATAATTACAGCCTTTAACTTGGTATGACCCAGTTCCATGGTCATACCATAAAATCTTTTCCCTCCGCAGCTGGCCCTATTAAAGTTTCAGTGAAATATGGTTGTGCATGCAATCGAATGGGTTTGAATGATATGTCCAGTCTCATCGTCTCAGGTCTAGTGGTGATGTTGATGACAATGGTGCTCCTCCCGGACCTCAAACTTGGTACAATCATCCTGCGCCCCCCTCTGCGCAACAGGCATCATAACCGGCTGATGATTCATAGCGGCCACCATCGTACACACCCGGTACACCCCAACCGGTAGCCCGCCCGAGATCTCTGCCGTGAGTCCCCCCTTCCCGTCACCCACATCATCGATGCCCTTGAAATACGCAAAGACGGTCGGGTCCGGCGCCACGAGCGTCGTGAAACTGCCGATGTTCTGGATCGTGACATGGCAGTGGCCGATGACGTCGCCGTTCTCGTCCAGGTCTTGCGGCGCGGTGTAGTAGTTGGAGACGGGGTTGGCGAAAAACCCGGCGCGGAGGTGGCTGGTCTGGATGGTGACGTTGAATGAGGTGTTGGGCGGGAGCTGGTCGCCCGGTTGGGGGAAGGTGATGATGGAGGAGATCATGTTGGTGGTGGCGGGCAGCCGGCCCATGGGGATACCGTTGCAGGAGCCATCTGGGTTTTGCTGGCCGTTGGTCAAGGTGGAGTTGGCGCAGAAGTTGATGAAGTTGGAGGCGTCGCTGAATAGCAGGGAAAATGGGTGCAGTGTCAGTCACTCTGGCCTACCGGTCGTCTCGTCATAGGCTGGATGGGAGTCAACTCACGTTTTAGATGCAGCAACCCCAGGCTTGGCCCCCGGGTTTCCCTCTTCGAGCCCAGTGTAGAAGCTGGCGCTCTGCACGGCGCTCTCTGCGAGACAGGCGGGCTCTGGGTTCGTTCGTTTTGTTGCCGTTTGTTGCTCGAACTGAGAGCCTCCCGCAAGGGCGACGGCGGCCCCAGAGCAGGATAGTAGGGTTATTATCGCCAGCGGTCGCATTGTGAAGTTTTGAACCGGATCCCTCAACTTTTCGTCGTTTGTTCCTGGGGAAGGGATTACACAAAGGTACAACTGATCACCCTTGCATGTGGGCAAGCATCTTGGTTTTAACAAATGCCGAACAGCAAGAGCAACTCAAACACCTTATTCTGGCAACCCCCACCTTCCTCCGTTTGAGACTCTTTTTGCTGCAGGTCCGGGGCATTCATTCCAGATTAGGGCAGAGCGGCTAAACGCGAGTATGGTCCGATTTAATAATGGGGAAACCATCCGTCATGTCCTAGGGAGCTATTCTAAGGAAAGCCAAGCTCTGCGGGAGTGTTTTTCGTTCCTGAGCATCGTGGGCTCGGACGCTCGGCTCAGTCGGCGAACAAAGCAAGTCGGTGGGGAACGAGTCTCATCACATTCCGCGAAATTACAAAATGCAGGCCAAGGATTACCGGCGCTAGCTAGGCTGGGCAATTGGGGGATCCGATCTCCGATATGGGGAAAACAAATTGCTATTGGATCGGAGTGAGCCTGGGCATGGTCGCAAATTTGACTTTGAACCCGCTCTCGCGGGAGATTTTCAATCGGAGTCTCGAACCCTCAACTCCGGGATACGATGTGGTTATTCCCAGGAGCCGAGCCCGATCGGGGGGGCAAGCCTGCATGGCTCAAGGTGGCTGTTCTATTCTGAGCAACTGGACTAATTATCCGTAAACTGTCAAAGTCCTACGTCCGACTTCGTACGCAACGTATAAATAACCGGGGCCACAGAGTAGTGGTCGTCCAACCCCTCGCCATTCCGTCTCTTTCAAAAACCGGCAAGATCCTTTCTCGAGCCGAGGTCGGCATGTGGGTATCCGGCCCCATATCTTAGTCAATTCCAAGACAAGTGAGCTCGCCAACCAATGAAGTACGAGGTAGCGGCCCCAAAGATCGAATGATCATCAAGGTTAGCTACGTGCAGATGTCAAAGCGGGCATCACTACCACCTTGATGTCGAAATCAGGGGTGATGTTATTTAACTTTTGTTTGACACAAGAACAGCTATGGAGGCAACAGTCAAGGAGGTAATACGGATATAGTCGACCTTGCGAACTGCATCAGCGGCGAGGATGTCGTTGACCCTTGATTTCTTTTACACTTCGTGATGGTGATGGTGACGCTTAGTTGTGCATAATTATCTAATAATTTGGTGGGGAAAAGTATGTACAACGCGTTGCCCGACCATGAGGATCAACGTCAAGCCTTCAAGACCCATCTTCAGGAGATCCAGCCGTGGAGAACAAATTTGGAGTCCATCTGATCCATGGACAGAACACTTCGGTCACACTTGCAAGTTGCAGGTTGGCAAAGGCGAGGTCATATTCGGGAAGGCTCTGAACAATCCCCGTGGTCATGGGATCTGGACTCCCCCGACAGCATCCGTAAATTGCATCTCAACGACACCCACGGTCACATCTTCGCACTCGACCCCAGTGGCCACTCCGACCACTCCCTTACGACCGGGCTTGTATGGGATGCCATAGCGGAGAAACAGTCCAGCCTGCCTCGCAAGATGAACCAACTCCATCTCGGATTGGGACACCCCGTCGACCAGCTCACAAAAGACACTCCAAAACTCATCCCGTAGGTCGTCAGCGGCATCATAAAATACCCACCCATCCGGAATGAGGTATCCCAGTAGATTGTCAAGCCCGTAAAGCATAAGCCGAAGGGCAGAATGCCTACTTCAGCCCAATCGATGATTCCCGTAATCTCCCCTGTCGTGGGGTTGGCGAGGATATTCCTCTCGCTGAAATCGCTGTGGGTTAGAACCAAGGGGTAGTCTTCAGAGAAAAGGGCCGGGAGGCTGTCCTTAACCTGGGTGATGAGGTTTTGGAAGCGGGAGGGGAGGGTACGGCTGAGGTAGTCGAAACTGGAGCAACAGTCTTCGAAGGTTACGGAGATGGACTTCGGTTCGGGACGACTACCGTTCTGCCAGGACTGTGCAAAAAATCTATATCGTTCAGTAGTTGTTCTCTAATTAAATTCCTGGTAAAGCAAAGGAATGGGGGTTTCCAAACCTTGCCAGGCTACGGACAGTCTCCAAACGGTGTTCCACGTCATCATCCTCAAGGGAGAGAGACAGATCGAAATAATTATCTCCCGGGAGCATGTTCATCGAGTAAACGTAGAGTGCCGGGGATTCGCCGATCGTCCCATGGAAAGAGTGGTTGGCAACGAAGTCAGGGTGGACAGCTTGGACAGACGCTAAGATTGTCATATTCAGCGGCGATTCCGGTTCGCGGAACTAGATGATGGTGGTACCATTCGTGACCGTGTAACTACAAACGCCCTGGACCGGAACAGAAGTAATCGACCCTCCGAATGTTTTGTTGGCAAATTCGTCACATTGAATCCTTGACGTGCATGCTCCTGCTTTTGAGAAGAAATCAGAGATGGACTCCTCGAGGTCGCGAGGGGAAGACATCAGGGAATGATGGCGGTGTGGGAGACAGGGAGATGGTTGGTGATCTACGGAAGTGGGGTGCGAACCTGTTTGAACCAACATCAAGTCTCACGGTCTCGGGATAAGTAACAAATCACGTGAGGGCGGGAAACCGTCCTAGGAGATGCAGTGAGTTAACCCCTTCTCGTGAGGCCTGCCTGCATTGGCGTGGCCGTCGGCATTGGCTCTTGGGTTCTGAAGGTGGGGTATCAATGGCCCGGTTTGACGGCGACTGATGCAGAACAGGTGTTCTTGGAGTGTTTGGATACCTTGGGTAATTACGACTTGGATACTTCGTCGTTCGCAATAAAATAATCGCCCTCAGGGTAGTATGATCATATGGCCAATGGAAATGGTTCAGGATGGAAGTCTCGACGGCATGATCTAACATGTAAGTACTTTAACGAGATGAGGAAGATCAGGCGGGCCGAGAGGAGGTGTAGTGATATTGACACCGTCTTCCTGTACCCGCGGCCCTTCCTATACCCCTATTTTGAACATAACTCCCAGCACGACGTTGGCTGGTGGCCGCGCGGCCGTCCCTAAAGAGGCTGCCCACCAGCACGGTCCTACTCCCGCCAATATCAGATAATGTTGCCAGACCACTCCGGCGAGTCCAACTTTCCTGCGCAGGAATAGGACCCCGGCTTGGTGGCTTGCGTAGTTCGGTGAGCGTACACACCAGGGCCTTCCCCTCATACCGAAGGACCCTCCTAGCCATTTCTTGAGGCAGCCGACATGCTTTCAACCTGAATCCAGTGGCCACTTATCAGGCTTCAAATCATGCATGGTAATTACCTCGTGGATAGCGGGTTGAGAAAACACCCAGCTGCAAGTCGCTCGGGCCGAGACCTCTCCTCGTGGCATCGTCATCCGGGGTGGCGCGGGCGCAATTTTCAATCCGGCGGCGAAGATGGACGAACTATCAATGTTCTAGAGGTTGACTTGAAGAACGATATACCCTGGAAACAATTCAATGTGTTGCGTAACCTATCTGGCTGTGTGGAAAATGAGGCTGACGAAGGGGGGCACGACTTGTTAGCCCCGGTCTAGGACTCTAGGCTCCAGAGTCATGAATCGCTATGAGCTGAAACGAGGAGAACGATGACGAGTAACAGGGTACACATCGGGTTTGGGGTCATAAGGGTGGATTGGTCTATTTCGGCCCGACAGTTCCCCAAGGCTGTTCCTGACACTAGCACTAGCCACGACGATGTTCCACCATGAAAGCGCCACCGGACGAGCCACGATTGGATATTGCCCCGTTTACTGCTATGTAAATTTAACCCCGTATGTCGGGCATGTTTATGGGGGTATGTGTTTCACCGAAGCTAAACATAGAAAACTTATGCTTGATAAAAGACATACAGCCTCTGGAATGACGCTAGTCTATGATGAGCAGACTGTGAGGGTCTTCGGAGTCGCCTCGGTTCGGACATGTTTAAGCAGTGCTAATATGACTATTTCAAATTTTCAACGGAAAATTATTGAAACCATTATGTCTTTTAAAACCTTCCTTCTAAAGTGGCAAGGACAAAGATATGGAAACGGATATTTTTTATGTCAAACCGACCACACTTGTCTCATTGATTACCGTCTTTCTACTGAGTAAGGTAGTGAGTACATTTCGTTGCAGGCCATATTTGAGGACCATAATGGCATCATCCCCGTTCTCCGATTCGTGCTCTTTTTCTGGTGGATAGAGTACAGCCATGCTTTTCCCACAAGAACGGGAAGTTGAGCCGACAGACCCATAGAGCCATAGTCTTGGCGTTGTGATCAGGGATCGAGGACACGCGTCCCGGATAATTTTTGGACGTGCTTCCTCTCGACCGGCTCTAGCACCACGGGATTTACCGGTAGGCAGGCGAGACTGAACCCCACGAGGAGTTTGGATTAACTATTGCAATCCACATCCCGAAGTCGCAACCCGGAACAACCATCGCGGGCCGGGATGTGGGAGCATCGGGAAGCGAGCGAGTCGTGCATAACCCGCCCCACAGAATAGATCATATCGTTGCTTCCAACCCTGAGGGATTACGCGTCAATGGCGCTCAGATGTCGCTATCGACCCAAAGGAGCTTGTCTGCCGGTAGATCTTCGACCGAAAGTTTAATTCTTTCAAGCTTCGCGGGCTAGACTCGGGGATTAGAGCCCACATGCTATGAATTAGCGCAGTAAGGGACTTGGATCCTCTTCGGAGGTTTCCAAACCGCCAATGATGTTCAAGGTAAGTTGTCAGTGACCAATTGAACGCCCTGATTGGGCGTTGGGAACGGGGTTCCTACTTCTCGGGAGTTGAAGCTGTAGCCGCCCATGTCTATCAACAGATAGACAGAGACTTGGAAGTGGCTCAAGGTCGGACTCGACCAAGTATATAGGTAGACCACAAACCCAGACAGGCCAGCAGGAAATTCCATCATCACCCTCTCTACGAACCATCCTACTCTACTCCTCATATCATCTCCTCCCCAGCCCTGATCATGCTTCTCACCAAGGCCCTCACCGGCCTCACGGCCCTTGCCGGCCTCGTCGCTGCCCATCCCGGGCACAGCGTCGCCCAAGAAGCCGCCGAGCTCCGTGCCTACATGCAGTCGGTCAAGCGCACCTCACTCGCGCACTGCGCCGACAAGCTCGAAGCGCGCGGTCATGCTGCGCGCAACGTCGCCCGGCGCCAGGCCGCGGTCAACAAGGCGCGCACGAAGCGCGGCCTGAAGAAGCGGAACATTGATGAGGTCCTGGCCACTGACCACAACAAGACCACGCTCGCGTATACCCCCGAGACTGATCCCAAGACGCTGTTTTCCGGGTATAACTCGTGCTTGTTGGCGCCTGAGGTAACTCAGGGTCCTTACTGTAAGAACTGATACTGTGTGCTGAAGGCCTAGTTTCCTGGCAAAACGCTGACGCCAGAAAATAAATAGACGTTGCCGGCGAGTACATCCGGCACAACGTCGTCGAAGACCAACCCGGCGTGCCCCTCCTACTCGACTACCAAGTCATTGACGTCGATACCTGCGAGCCAGTCCCCAGCGTCTACCTCGAAATCTGGCACTGCAACTCCACGGGCGTGTACGCCGGCGTAGCGGCCAACGGCAACGGCAACACCGCCGACGACACCAACATCGACCAGACCTGGCTGCGCGGCATCCAGCTGACCAACGGCGACGGCGTGGCCCAGTTCGAGTCCGTTTTCCCGGGCCACTACACCGGTCGCACGCCGCACATCCATGTGATGGTGCACGCGACGGCGGGGGGCAAGAACGGCACCGTCCAGGCCAATAACACCCTCGGCCTAGATAACTATTCCAGCCATGTCGGCCAGAGCTTCTTCGACCAGACCCTCATCAGCGCCGTCGAGCTCACGGAGCCTTATGCGTCCAACACCCAGCCGCTCACGACCAACGCCGAGGACGGGATCATGTCGCAGTCTGCTGAGGGCGATGGAGTCGACCCTGTGATGGAGTACACCCTCCTCGGTAATTCCATTGAGGATGGGCTGTTTGCGTGGTTCTCGTTTGGTGTGAACACCACGCGGGTGGATAGCATCAGCCCGGCCGTGTGGCTGGAGGAAGGCGGCGGTGTCGCGAACCCCGATGCCGGCGGCGGTGGCGGTCCTGGTGGCCCCGGTGGGTTTCCCAGCGGTGGCTTCCCGAGCGGGTTCCCCAGCGGCGGTCCGACTTCGTCTGCGGCGGCGACGAGCACGGCGGCTGCCAAGTGCAGGCGGGGAGAGTGATCTAGTGCCGATTAGAGATGCACTACAGGGGTAGTTGTCGGTGATGTTGAGAAAAGGGGTTAGTTGTTTGGTTCGTTGGGGTTGAGCTAGGTCATATGATGAGAGTATAGTTGGTCGCAGAAACAGGGTAGTAGTGTAAAAATGCAGTTCGTAGAAATGTTGTGGACTTCAAATTCTGTCGTGTGTGCGTCCTCAGTTCCGATAGTGATTCTGAGCCTCATGCTCTCTGTCGGTCACCGAGCCGTGTCAATAACCCCCCTCGCATAAGGCATCTCTCTCGTGTGATACGATAACGGAACTGCCCTGTTAGATTCCACCCAACATCGGGTCAGATCCAGACCCATACAACGACCACGTACCATGTAACAAGCACAAATGTCGGACAGCTTCTTGCGTACAGTCATGTACCACTTGACATTTTGACAACATCCTACCCAGTACCCCATCCCAAAGTCAAAACCAACCGGCGCCCTCCCATAAGCCCCGCGAAAAGAGTTTAAACAGGAAACCGAACAAACATGCCCGAAGTCATCAAAAAACCATCCCTCCAAGACGCCCAAAAGCGCAATAGACACCAACCAACCAACCAATCACCTAACCAACCAATCACCTAACCAACCTTCTCAATCCTACACCTCCTCCCTGAACATCGACCTCCTATCCTCAGCCGCCGCCTTCCGCGCAGCAAACGACGCCCGATCGCCCCCACCATCCATCGGCCTCGGACTCACCCCCCTCAAACTCAAATTACTCGGCTCCGCCTCATCATCAAACGGATTCCTCCCCGCCGGCTGGTGGGCCTGCGACTGCGCCTGCGCCTGAGCAGCAGCAGCACCCGAGTGACCCGGCGACCGACTCCGTGGCCGACCCCGCGTTTGCTCTTCCTCCTCCTGCAATCCCCGACTACCACCAGCCTGTTCACCCGGCGCAACGGCCAGATTCATCTGATACCCTTCCCCATCCGGCCGGTACTCCCTGACATACCCCCCCGGACCACCCATCCCGCTCGCCGGCGGAACCACCCCGAGCTCGCGCTCTTCTTCATACGGGTTATACCCTCCCACGCGCGAATCCCACGGGTCGTCGTCTTCCGGGTACTCGCTGTGGCCTTGTCCTCTGCTCCCGCCGTGGTTGTTCCCACCGCCGGAATAGCCCGCATTGTACGAGGACGATCCGCCGCCCTCGTAGGCGCCAGCAGCGGTACGGGTATTGCGGGGGCGGCCGATGGAACGGAGTTTATCGCTGACCCAGCCGACGAAGCCGCCTGGGGCTGGGGATGGGCCGCCGTAGGAGGGAGAGGAGGAGGACGGGAGGCAGGGGAAATAGGATTTCCAGGGTGGTGAGGGGAGCTGGGGACGTTGGTCGCGCGTTGTTAGTTATGTGGTTGATACACACGTCTGGGGTTGGGACGGGGGGGAGTTAGAGGGAGGGAAAAGAGGATTACGTACGCCTAGCCTTGAGGCCCGGATGCGCGTGAAGATGATCCAGCCGACGCCTGCTGTGAGAAGAAGCAGGACGATGGCGAGGATCACGGCGCCTGCCGTGTTCATGGTGGAATTGCGCCTTTATCGACCGGAATTTTTAATGTTGTCGGCTTTGTGACGTTGTCGATCGGACCGAGAAGTCGGCTTCTTATCGTCTCGGCTTGGCTGGAAGAGCGCGGGTCAAATCCAAGATGCGCGAAGCGACGCAACGTCCAGCATCGACGGAATTTTTGACCCGATGTTTTCGCCCTCTCTTGGGACGGGTATTGAGAACGAAAGCTGCCGATTCTGGGGATTGCTGACCGGTTTGTGTCAAGCGATGGATAGGATCGATGTCCTGGTTTGTTTCCGACCAGCCCGAAACCCAGGCGCAAACAGCTGCCCCTCCGTCGTTTGCGCAGCCCCGCCAGGTGCCAAGATTGGTGGGTCTCGACGGGCCGATACCACGCAAAGATGCAAAGAAATGCGTGCCAAGATTCTAGATCTTGGGGTCTCGATTGCCAACGGAAACTGCATTCATGGACTTCTGAAGACGTCTTACAACGGTGTGGTGTTTGTTCTTTAGAAAAAATACGAGATTCCCCGTTCGGTAGTATGTTATAATATTCAACCAGGAAAACAAACCCTCACTCGTCTGCATGCTCGTCCTTCATTTCTCATCCGGGTATCTAAATCTAAACATCAAATAAAACACTTATCCCACTCCCCATCTCGCCTCGCAAACGACATGCTCTCCACGAACTTGCTCAGCGTACACAACCCCCTATCATCGGCACCGCATCCCCGCAACTTGATAACCCGATCATTCACCAACACCCGCACCATCTCCTCTTCCGCATCAAGGCTTCCTTTACCTTCCGCGGCCGCGGCGTGTCGAGGCTTGCACCGCATCTTCTCGACATAAATCCGCGACGCGAACGGCACCGCCCAACTCGCCGCAAATCCACCAATCTCCTCCGGCTCCTGCCGAGTGCTATTGTCGAGCCACTTTACTCCATCATACACCCCCAAAGCCCCCAGAACCCCCATCATATCATTGTCATGACTGAAATCCGCATACAACGCCCTGCCGAGCGGGAACGTCTTCTCATCCGCATCCAAGGTCCGATTCGTGGACGTCCCATCCCGTACCGGTTGTCCCGTGAGCCGTGCTAGCAGCTCATTGACAAACCCGACCCCTTGGGTTGGCCCGAGTGGGCCACCTGGGCCGTAGCCGTACCACTTGCCCAGAGTCTGGAAGTAGTCGTACCCACGCCATTCTTCAGCACTGAAGAGCTGGCAAAAGGGAGCGAGGGGGTCGGCCGAGGGGGATGCGACCGTCTCGAAGGGGCAGAGGTCCATTAGGTGGATGACATCGGATTCGGTGATGTTGGTGCCAGGCATCTTGGTGTTGAAACGGGCGGCGATGGCCGGGACGAAAGTGGATAGGAAATCAGCTTGCGCGGCATCGCCTAGGCCCGAGTGGGTGTCTTCAAACACGGTGCAGAGGCCATGGCTTAGGCTGTTGTTGGTGCCAGCGGTCTCGGGGATGATGACCATGTCGTAGGGGAGGGTCGGATGGAGGGTGGATCGGCGATCGGCGAGTAGGGCCGAGTGAAAGCCCTGTGTGAAATTCTCGGCCGAGTGAACGACTCGGTCCTGGCCTGCTGTTCGGATGAAGGGGAGAGACTGGCGAGCGAGCGGCCGGTAGCGGTGGTAGAATTTGAGGCCCGAATTGACCATCTGTTGCTGACCCATTTGGGTCAGCTGGTCAGCCCCCAAGGTGTAGTTGTAGATGCGTAGGAAGTCGAAGCCGGGGCTATAGTAGATTGCGCCATTGTGAATCTTGTCGATTAGCGCAGCGTAGTGAATTGCTTTCCCCAGCGTTGGTGCTCTCGCCCCGTGGCGGGACAGGACTTGGGCAAAGGTAATATCGCAGCCTTCAGGGGCGCCGGGGTCGATCTCGGACGGGACGGAAAAGTAGGGCGAGTACTGGCCCCATGATCGCGAAACGGCCGTGCCGCACTGGAAGCCATGTTCGGAGTTATCGCACTCCTCGCCACGAGATCGTCTAAACTGGTTAGCTCGGTCGGGTCAAACAAACGGGAGCTCTCTAACACCTACGTCAACACCACGGCCAGAGAGCCCACGACCGACACCATTAGGACGATTCCGGCGATCTTCACGACCCGCCGGGTACGGTCGCTCCGGGCAGGGCGGTCGAGATGCTGTTGGCCCGCAGATCGGTTGTGGCCGGTCTGGCTTTCGGCACGGTCGGCGGCCCCGTCGTCTGGAAGGGGCGCATACCCCGAGCGGGCGCGACGAAACCAGTCAACAACGGCTGCCATCTTGAAGCGTCGCAGGCGACTCGTGCAATTGGGTGTTTCCAGCTCAATTCAGGACGAGTATTCACGTCGCCATGTGCTCTTTAATGCTGGCGCATAAAGTGTCGGCAAGTTGAAGGACCTGCACTGTCTCTCTTAGATGGCCAGCATCGACGGTGAACCAAAGGTTCATCAGATGTTGTCGTGAGTTTGTGAGTTGGCAGCCCCTACGTGGAAGACGGGAGCCGATCTACACTATGGTGCCAAGTCCCTGGTCTCGGGCCCCACCGCTAACTTGCCCCCTGAACTTGCCCTCGGCCAACTGAAACGCTGGCGCTGAACACGCGGGAGTTCCGTCTGCAACCCGAGCACCTGGCGGCCCGTAAGTGTAGTGTACACAGTGTAAAGCCGGCAAACTTTAAAGTCGATAGCCTCGGTGCCTCCGTGGTTGTGCCCCGGGAAATATCCACCTTCCAAGGTTCCGTCCAACAACCACAATCCTCAGACGAAACCACCCAACGAATAGACCCCAAACGGGCCGCGACCGCATGGCCTCCGCATGGCCCCGGCCTTCGTCAATCCGCGCCGCAAGTACACGAGTTATTCTGCCCTGCTCCCGCTTCCGAAAATAACTCAACGGCCGACGTGCGTTCGACCCGGCCCGGGGCCAACCACCCGATGCGACGGGCGCCCTGTCACCAATTGGACCGAATCAAAAAAGGTTATTACTTGATGACTTTTCAACAAACCGAGAAACCAATGGAACGAGAAAATGTGCCTCGGTTTGGCGGGCTACATTTACCCAAGCTGTGCTCGTGTTGGCTTGACCTTTCGTCGGTGTTATGTGAAACGGTGGGAAAGGCAGCCAGAGCAGTGTCGTGAGTTACGAAGTAAAACTTCGTCGATTTCCGAGGCAGTGTAGAATCGCCCCAGGTACCGAGAGTACGTCCAGGAAATCCCGCCAACTCGTTGTCAAATGCACCAAAGCGGCACAACGGGACTTGGAACTCCATCGCCTTTGACCTAGCCCCACCCCCCTTTTCCGAACTCAACCCACGTCGAAACACTCTTTATCAAGCTCGCGTGAGCCGTAGATCGGAAATTTTCCCATTGGCCATCGTATCAAGGTTCCCAGCCTTCTCTTTTGTCTACCTAGGTAACATCGTTTTGAGAACCCTTTGTTACACCCGCCCGGACCTAACCGAGCGCACCCGAAACAAGACACGGGCGGTTAGCTCGTTTTGAAACATCCAACGTGATATTGAATCAATATATGCATCCACGGCGGTTACGATGAGGTTCGAATACAGAGGAGCAAAAAATCCGGGCTACCAGCAAGAAAGTGTCTTTCTTGTAATTTGTGTCGCCTCGTCTATCTCGCGCACTAGTCCTAGCCTATCAAAACACAACGTCCGGTGGTATCATCAAGTAAAAAAAATCCTCTTCCCATCCTTAATGCAGCAGTGCGCATGTCCCCGCAGTACACACCAAGCCTCCCAATCTGGATTACATACCCCCCATCCAACATATCCCAGAATGCCAACCAGCACCAAGCATCCAGCTCGGTGTCCAATGACCAGGGCATCCCTTTTCCATCCCGTCACACCCGGTTCCTCTATCCAACCGCCCGGCCACCTGCCTACCCATGCTAGTTTCCACCATAAAGTTACACAGGGATATCTAACCCCCTCTTTTCGATGACAAAGGAAACAAAAGGTTAAAAAAAAAACAGACACAAGAAAATTGCTGAATGCATCTATCAGGATGATAGTGCAAGACCTCAAAACACACTCAGAACGCAACCCCCACGCTAACCGGCCGAGGCGCGCTGCCCATTACCACTCCCAATCCGCCACCAACCCCGTTCCCCTCACTACCAACTCCCGTCTCTTTGTCGAAGTCGGTCCTGGTATACCCAATGGGAGGCGAGGTATGTCGCGACGAAGTCCCCTGTTTCGGCGTCTGCTCAGGCGACCAAGCGGTATTCGTAGTCGGCACAGTCCTCGCTTCGGTCTCACTGCCACTACCAATCCCACTGCCGCTCGCGCTTTGCCCATCCTCGTCATCACCACCAGTTTCCCACGTATACACAGACGACGACGTCTCCATGCTCGTCCGCGGTAGGCCCTCGGGTGGCGCGACACACTGGTAGAATCCGTCGGACGCTTTGATGGGTCGCGGCGAGGTGGTGATTGAAGTGATACCGCCGGTGCTGGTGCCGAAGATCATGGTGGGCGAGGCGCTGTCGTTGTCTGCTGTGGAGTCCTCTTCACCGGGGGTGAAGAGCCAGTTAGATACGCGCGAGAAGGACTTCTTCTTGCGGAGGGGTGGGCGGAGGACGAGCGGGAGGGGCGGGGCCAGTGGCCGCTCGAGGTCACTGGTGTTGCTAGCGGGGCTGCCGGTGAAGAGAGTGTTGCTGCGGGATGTGTCCTGTTGTGGCTGTTGTTGTTGCTGGGGTACTGGGGGCATGGCCTGGGCCGCGGCAGCCGCAAATTCTAGAGTTTTTTCCATGCTGCTCATGTGTGATGGCGCGGTGCGAGGGCGATCATCGACGCTGAGGCGCTCGGCAAAGGAGGGCCCGGCCGCCGGCAGGGCGGGAATCGATGGCATTGGCTCGAGGTTGCGCATGTCGTACGCCGTCGACGGGCGGTTGCCAAAGTACATGCTCTGACGTTCCACCACAAAGTTGATCCTGGCCTGCAGTTGGTCCTTCTCAATCATGGCGCTGGCGATCCGTGCAACAATGCGCTCCGTGTTTGGCGCCGTGGAAGCGCGAGCCCTTGACTTGGGCGGGATCTTGGGGGGGCTCATGCTCGCATCTGATATGCCGGATGATTGCCGTGTGTGCTTGCGCGGGATGTGGAATGACATGGTTGAGTAACTGCGCTCGTTATGGAGTGTCGTGCCGCTGCTGGCGTCCCACTTTGAGCTGTTCGCCGTGTGGGCGCGAGGCGGTGGCGTGACATTGCAGTCGATATGCGGCATAATATCCGACAGTCGGTTATTGGGCTGGTAGATGCTGAGCTCGATAGGCCTAAAGGAGCGAGGCCGCGGTCGAGAGGGTTCTGGTGGGAACTGGAACGAATCGGATTGCAGATGGCGAAAATCGGTCGGACCAGATATCTGGAGGCGCCGAACGGAAGTCGCCGAACTTGGGAACAAATTCCTTCTTATCGAGCTGTCCCGGCTTCGAGGCCGCCTCAACCGGGGAAGTTCAGGCTCCGGAGCCCTCTGCGGGGGCGTCTCATATATCGTTCCGTTCATCCATAATGGCTCTGCCGTGGGCGGCGAGATGACGGCAGGCTGATCCCTCAAGACGACGATGTTCCTATCGATACCTGCTATGATAAGTAAGTGCTGAGGGACGTTCGGGAAATTAAAACTTACTGAATCGAGGCTTCTTGTCACGCGGGCCGCAGCAGGACGTAAACGATGTAAACCAAGTCGAAAACGAATCCATGCTGACCAGCTGACGGGTTCCCATGCAACAACACTAAGAAAGAAATGACGGACAGCTCATGCCTCCCTCCTCAGAAATATGTGTGTTGAAGTAAAGAAAGAGGTGGACTAGTGTGAGGAAGTAAAAGAAAGAGAGGACGTCCAGCGGCCAGCACCCAAAGACAAAGAAACAGAAATGGCACAAAGCACCTAAGGGTGAGAGGAGGAACGGACTGGAGCTACGACGCCCACGGCGTGGATGGGCCAGCCATCTTTTTCATAATATTCCCTCGCCCCAGGTACCCGACGAGATTCTGGCACAGGGTAGGCACTTTGCGGTCGCCCTGGCTCACACCCTCTCGGGCTGAGCAGCTCGCGCTGACTTAGTGGTGTCCAGCGGCCGTGTGTGAGGTCGCAGGGGGTGGCATCTGATAGGTCGGCGGGGCCCAGACGACGAACCAGTTGGCGCTTACAAAACAAGGGTGGTGGTTGATGTTGCGGCCAGTTGCCCACACCCGCTTCGAAGGTGCTAGCCAGTAACATCCCGCGAAGGGTGCCGCACTGCGTGTCATGTCTCACTTGTTTCTTGGACTGCAACCGCCATCGCGACCGCATTGCCACAAACCTTTGAGAAAAGGGGGGTCTCGTGGCCGGCGAAATTGGCCGAGTTCCCGCTTGGCGAGATCCGCTTATTTTACCATTTGACAGAGGAAAAACAAGAGCCAGGTTTGAGGGTAGCCAGAAGGACGGGGCGCTGCTATTCTTTCCTGAAACCGAGCCCTACGGCACGGAGGCCGTGGCCACTGCCAGGATTGGGATCAGAACGAGATCGCGGGTTTGCAGTTCATCAGATCTGTGGTACCTGGACTCCAGGGTGCAGGGCCGAAAAAGGGACCCTGGCTGGCCGGCATGTTTCGATCTCGGCGAGCTTTGGCCACCCGACGGGCGCATGCAAGGTACCGTCGCACCGAGCCGAGAATGATGTTTCCTTCAAACCCGGCACTCAAGCTCGAACTGGTTTGCGCAAGGGCATTGCGTGGAGCTCCTTGTTCGGTGACGGCGACCACGGAGTTACCTCTGCCAGACGTTCTACGGGTCTTGTCCGAGCCTGAAGTGTGTGTGGGGTACCTTCAAGAAAGGAAAAAAAAAATACGAATCAGAACTCAGGTCCCCGTCGTCGGAGGGACTGACTTCACGCGACGAGAGGCGAAAGGTGGCGACGCGGGTGTCCTGTCGCGGTGACATTCCAGAAATCCAGTGGCTCAGAGCTTCGCGTGCGTGGGTGAGACGAGCCGACTGAAACAGGCCAAGCTTTGGAAAAAACGCCCAACGGGCACAAAAGTTTTGGCAGTGTTTGCATGGAACTATCAACCGCGACTACCGAAGTTGAGGAGCATCTAAAAACATCTCTGCCCGTCCGGGTGGCCCACGGGACTCGAGTTTCTTCAAGATGGTGGTGTCCTAAACATCTTCATGCTGAAATTGTGTTGCACGCAGGAGTGGCTCAGATGGTCGGCAGATCAGCCCTGTGGAAAGCCCGGGCCCCAGCCACGCAGATGTCTCGGAGCGGATAAAGGTAGAAACCGGCCCCACTATGATTGAGTTATGTAATCCGGCTCTTGGCCTTGCAACCCGCCAAGCTTTCGAGGGGCCAGGGCACAGACCAGCAAGCTACGACAGGGGTGCAATGAGATCCGGAATACGTGTACGGATTCGGGCCAATTCAACCTCGAACAAAACGACGCCCCAGAACACGGTTTCGCCGCATCGCAACTTCACGAAAACCCGTCCGACAATCACCGCATCACACCTAGTTGCGCGACACTAGGGAACTTTACAATCTTCCGGCGATTATCATCGAAGAAACATTAAATATAAGGGCAACACTTCCAATAATATGGAAGCTCCTCCTACCCAGGGTGCGCCGCAGGGTGCGCCTCAAGGCGCTCCTCAAGGTGCTCCTCAAGGTGCCCCTCAGAGTCCCCCTCAGGCCGGTCCTCAGGCCGGTCCTCAGGGCGGACCTCAAGGAGGTCCCCAAGGTTTTCCTCAAGGAGGTCCCCAAGGGTTTCCTCAGGGTGGCCCTCAAGGATTCCCAGGGCGTATGCCCATGCCGAACCCACAACAAATTGCCGCTATTCAACGTCAGCTTGCAATTGACGCCGAGAAGGCGGGTATGACGGTACCGCAGTTCGTTGGTGAGTTCCCTTGCCATTGAGCCAGCAATTCGCCATCGCTGACCAGCACACAGAGCAACTCAAGCGGCAGGCACAGGAACGGATGCAGGCGCAGATGCAACAGCAACAACAGCAAGGAGGTCAACCGGGGCAGGGAGGTCCTCAACAACGCCCGCATCAACACCCTCACCCCCAGCAACGGCCTGGTCAAGCTCAGCCCATTGTACCTGGGCCGCCGAATCCCGTAGCCCTTGCGCTTGCCAAGTTCCTCCGCGGCCAGAACCTCAAGCCACGCACCTGCATTCTTAATGGAGAGCGCAAGGATATGTTTAGGGTCAGCTTATTCACACTTTCCGCAAGTCTCCGGCGCTAACGAGGGCATTGCAGGTCAAACGAGCGCTCCGCGCCCTCGAATCCGACGCCTACAAGGCTGCGCGCAAGAAGAACCCCGCCTTGCCTGAGATCACCGACCGCGCCTCGCTCGAAAACGCCTTCAAGCTCCTGCCGCTTTCCATGCTTGCGCTTCGCGTCGTCAAAGCCGACCCCCATGAAGGCCACGACCACGCCCCGTCGAAGAAACAAAACGGCAAGCGTGTCAAGGGTCTCTGGACAGTGCGTATCGAGCAACACCAGGAGGCTGGCGATGACATGTACTACGCTTGGTTGTGGGAGGGAAGCCAAGTCATGCGCAAGGTGTATGCGGGATTGGCTCTGGCCGCTATCTTCGCCATTGTCTGCTACCCGTTGTGGCCTGTCAAGCTGCGCCAGGGTGGTTACTATCTCAGCTGGGCCTTCCTCTGTTTCATGGGCTTGTTCTTTGCCATGGCTATATTCCGTGTCATTCTTTTCTGCATCACATACTTCATCCTGCCACCTGGCTTCTGGCTCTTTCCCAACCTCTGGGAGGACGTCTCGGTTGTGGACAGCTTCAAGCCTGTTTGGGCGTGGCACGAGGTTAGTTTGCCTACCATCCCATCCCCCTTCAACTTGCCTGTACTATTCCCGAGCCTTACTAACACCTCGTTACTGTCCAAAGCCCGCTACTGCCGCGAAGAAAAAGAAGAAGGGCAAGAAGTCAGCCAACGGTTCCGCAGCCGCTGGAGCCACCTTTTCTGCGACAACCGGACAACCCGCCCCCGCGACCGCTACCACAACCGCTACAGCCACCCAAATCTCCACCGCCCCTCAACAGCGCAAATATATGTCGCCTCGGGTGGAGGAGCTAGCGGATGACGAAGAGTAGAGAGTCTGGGCTTGTGGCGTCCGGCGTGGGAGGGACTTGGGAAGATTGTGACAGGTTTATTGTGCAGACCTAAAAGGAATCCTAGGTCCGCACTTGTATCTATGTTTTGTTCACCCCTTCGTGTATGTTTTAATTCGGCCGTGTTGGACAAGGGACTCAAAAGGGAACTTCCGTTTATTGTTTCATGTGGAATAGTCACATTCTTGCTCCCCGTCACGTTTATTCTAGTCCCTTGATCTTCTCTTGGGTGCTGTTTACTATGCACAGGGGTGATGGAACTGCTTAAGCCGGCTTCCCTCCAGCCAAACGAACAAAGCTCCCCAGGCGTGGATGAAACAAAATGTTTACACTATCAGGGCAACTAACTACCACACCACCACAGAACTGCCGAACCCAAACTGCCTCTCACTCATACATCGGGTCCTACATGTCCAGACTCCTAACCGGTCCCGTGCGCCCTACCCCCCTTACGTATACAAGTCATCCGTCAAACTATTCAACGTCAACCCATCCTCCGCCAAATCCGGCACATCAATCAAGAACTGCAGCGGCATCTCCACCAGCGTACCCCGAACCCCACCAAGCCAGTCCTTCAACTCCTCCAAACCCCCAGGGAACTCCTGCGGCACCACATGCCCATAATCCACCTTCCCTTCCTGGTACCCCTTCTTCGCGTCCTCCTCCGACGTGCCCGGCATGACGAAGTGCTTGGAGAACTGCGTATCATACTCCTCCCAAGTACGCATGCGGTCATCGGGGACACAGTGGAACGCGCGGCGGAAGATGTCAGTATTCCGACGCGCAGTCGTCTGCCACAGCCGCAAGAAGTCGCGCGACAGCGGGTCGGCCACAAGCCGGTCGGCGTGGGAGCCCCAGTCGTAGTCGTTGACGACGTCGTGCGTGACAGGTGTCCAGTTGCGGTCGGGACGGTCCGGCCGCTGGTGCGGGAGCAGGCCGAGATGCTTGCGGAAGAGCTGGCGGCGCAGAGACGCGGCGAAGGCGGACGCTGTGTAGGGGCGGCCGTTCATAGTGCTGGATACGGGGGTGGGGTCTTCGATGACGACGGCGATCTCGCTGTCGTGGTCGCCGCGTTGGGAGCGGTCGTTGAGGTTGGCGGAGCCGCAGATCACGAGCTGGTCGTCGGCGATGAGGACCTTGCTGTGGATGTAGAGCTGTTCTGATACGAAGGCGTTAAACTCGTCTTCGCGGCGGCCAGCCCATGGGAGGTTGCGGAGGTCTGGGCCGTTGTCCATGTAGCAGGCTGAGATGGAGTCCCATGTCTCGTCAGAGACGCGGTTGGAGGCTTCTTGGTAGCGGTGGTACTGGCTGTTGTCATCGTGGCGGCGCTGGCGGTTATGATGTCCTTCGTAGCGGTCATCGTAGTCTCTGCGCGCCTCCTCATACGGAACACCACTTTCGCGTTCTACGTGGCCCATGACGGCGTTGGCGTTGATGCGGTCGTAGTTGCGGAGGTTGTAGAAGTTTATGTATTGATGCGGATCTTGGATTCCAGCGTTACGCAATGATTCGATGATGCTGCTGCCGCCACGGTTGATCGAGGCATATTGGAACTCCATAATAGCCCTGGTGCCCAGCGCACCTTCAGACTTGAGGTCGCCAGCGAAAGCAGGGACGGCGGGCATCATGACCACGAGGTGAAAGTCCTCACCATTCTGGTGGGCACGGATAATGCGGTCGACGATGGCGCGGCCGATCTTGTTGATGACCGGCCTTTGCTTGTCCGATGTGGCCGTAATGAAAAACTGCGTATGTTAGTGAGGCGTACGTCGCAACGTAATGGACGGAGTGGCCAAACCTGGTTCTCAATGTACACGAAGTGCCTAGCATTCTTGATGGACTCAATGTATGCATTTGCGATCGAATGCTCCGTGGTAATGCCCAACGACCACTTGCAAGAACTGCTGACATTAGCCATGTGCCGAGTAAAAGCCCACGACAAACAACATACCTCCTGGTCAACTGGATATGGGCACCCTCACTATCCCTGTGCGGTCCATGACGCGGTTCCTCCTCCTCGCCGAGAAATCGATGCACGTGGCGAGTGAAACGGTTCTGCAGGCCACCAAAAGAAAGTTCGTTTTCGTCAAGGAGATGGCTCTCCGGACCACGGTGGGCGCCCGGCGGGCTCAGCAATGCGTACTTTCCAACATCCCGATTGGTGTACTTCTGTTTAAAGATGAAGTTCCTGTGAAGAGTTAGCACTTGATTAGTCCATCGACATCGTCTTTACACACCATCTCTGGGTGAAGTGAATGGCGAGGCTGTCAACGATGGGCCCCGAGAGACTGATGCTGATATCGGACCAGCCCATGCGCGAACTCTTTGTGCGGTCGACTATTTTTCATTAGCCAGATAGCTCACACAAAGCCAAGGCGTGTCCGTTGCTCACGTTTGTTGTTCTCCCACTTCTGAACATCTTCAAAGTCATACACTCTCGCATTGTTGTAATCCTGCCCAGGGAAGATGACATCGTCAATATTCCCAGGGTGGGCATCGGCAATGGGATGGCCTATTTTGTTAGTAATGCCCCCCCCAACGACCAGAACCGCATCTCACTCACTGTTCGTATCCCATCTCCCGAAGCCTAAGAGGATTAGCACAAATCAAACCAGCCGCTGGCTAGGAGAAAAGGCACTTACACATATCAAGGCCTCCCATGAACGCAATCTTCCCGTCGATCAAGCAGAGCTTTTCATGATGACTCCAGAACAAAGTGATGTCGTCGGCGGTGCCATAGAGACCTTTGACCACATCTTGGGACGCCTTAGCTAGGTCAAAGGTCTTGAGGCTGAAGCTCTGAAGGCTAGTATGCAGCCCCTGAAATCCAGACAAAACGTCACTTCCACTGGTGTGATGGTCAGGGTAGCGGAACACCTTGATGTTAGGATGGAGGGCCTCGAGGGCGTGTTTTGTGTGCTAATACATGTTAATAACCGTCAGGTAAAAGACCTAGCTGCATGAAACATCCTTACCAACGAGTCCACTAATATTGCTCGTTAGTCTATTATGTGGAGATATCTTTAAGGGGTATCAACTTACACGTCAAAGCCTGGGGTACCTCCTTGTACACAATCACGTTGACCTTGACGCCACGCTCGGCCGCGGCCTTGAGCATGTTGTCCAGTCGGTAGCGCTCATTGCGGGCCGGAGGCCGACGCAGGTACAGCTCGGGGCTACTTAGTGTTAGAATAGCAGTACTAAGGAATTCCACAGGGCGGAAATATCAAACTTACGTCAGCCACCAGTCTAAAATGTAGACGTACTCGCGGGCCTCTGTAAAGGTCGGTTAGCGCATTATTTCAAGATACCGAACAGATACCAGGCGCATCTTGCGACTCACCTTCCAAGGCCATCGACACGGCCCAGAAGTACGAGGCGCCATCGACATGCCACTTGGCATGCCCCGAACTCTGGGGCGCAAACGAGCAGTAGCGATTGGTGCCGTACTCGGCGTGGGCCTCCTCCTCGTGACACTCGTGCCCGTCGTGGGTGTGCGAATGCTTTTCCTCGCCGCCGGGTAAGACGTCCTCAAGGCCATGCTTGGCCTTGCGCAACAGCGAATGCAAATTCATGGCGTCGGAGGTCAAATGCAACTTAATGTTCAAGGGTTAGTGAGCCGGAGTTCTGCGTCCGCCTCGGTGTGGGAGAGTGCAGGAGTGCAACTGCGGGGCGGAAAGGAGTAGGAAAACGGGGGAGGTTTGTCCTCCGGTAACCGCGGGGTCGGTTTTGGACCCTTGTGGGACAGTGGGTAGCGTGACTTGACGGAAATAAATATGTACCAGAGAATTGCCAAATCAGACAAAGAGGCGGCCTCTGAGCAAGTAAAGAGACAGATCTAGGTAGTTGCGGGGTTGACTTGGATCGCAAGTTAAGACGAACTAGGGAAGATCCAGGGCACTACGCCCCGATCGAGTGGGGTCCGAACTTTGGTGTCAGTCCCTCTGCTTTCACTGGCTCTCAGCTGCCCGTCCTACCCCCGGTGATGATGATTCGATAGTTAACTCGCTCGCGGCTGACTGTATCTCCAGCGCAACCGCGGTGAGATCGGACCAATGGGAAGCGCCGTTGTGATGGTTCCGGTGCCGGTTTGGCGGTATTCTTCGACTCCTGAAGTCACCCGGGCCACTGGCGGACAGAACACACACGCAAGGCTCATTCATTCACGTCCCACAACATTCCGCCTAAGCATCATTCGCCAGTCGGGGACCCGTCCGATCGAGGCCGGCAGCATGTCAGATGGGTAGGGCTGAGAAAGAATCCACTCGGTAAGGCAGGCCTTACATAGCATTCGTCCATTACAGGTCTCGTGCTTCCCTCCACTGTATCTTTCTTTTATCACGAAATGGGGTCCGCCGACTGGAAGTTCCTGTGAGCATCCCGAGCCTTTTCCGGGTCGGCGCCGGCTCCGAGTAGAATCCTCCTAAGTCGCGTGGTAAGACGGCGGGCCAGAGATGAGAAGAACGTGCGGGCGCATCTCAACCCAGAAGGTCACGAGGTCAAGAACCATGACCCATGGGGGCCCGGCCATGCGACTTGTGGGGGGGATAATCCTAGCGAACGGAGGGTATCTGCGCTTCTGTCGGCAAGCCCGGGTTGTCCGCCAACCAGGGAAGCTACCGGTTCGGTCAAGCAGATCGAGGACACAGCACCGATTTGTTTGCATGTTCACTTGTGGCGGCGTGCCTCGGTGAGGAAACCAGTTCTGTGGTCAAGCCCCCATGAGAGGAGGAACCTGGGAGCCCAGGCCCTGCCCAGCGCCGCGGGTACCCCCGCGCTAAATAACTGGTGGCGCCTGCTCCCGAGAACGCCACGGCACCCGCTGCAGTTGGCCGTGAAAACCCGGGAATTGGCCAGTGCAGCCCTAAAATGGAAAGTGCCCCCCCTGGCGTGCCTGCGTTTACAGCGGCAAATGCCTGATACTCCAGCTTTTGTTAGTGTACCCGGGTACTCACCCTCTGCCCAATGCCAAATGTCGAGTGCACGGTTACTGTCACCGCTGCATGTAAGTTACTTACAACAAAAAATTAGACAAGCGAGAAAATCGTTGCAATCGGCCGACCCGAGCCGCCGCTCTCCCGCATTCCCGCTTCTGCAACCTTTCATGCCCCGTGCGGAGCACAACAGGAAACCGGTGAGTCGGTCTGCAATGTAGGCACAACGGTCATCCCACGATGTAGCTCTGCAAGCAAGGACCTAGGTATGTAATATATGGATGGGTACGGAACCACCCTTTAACCCTGCTCGCCGAGATCCGCGCGCGGACGTGTGACGAAGGTGATGAACCGTAACCCCGGACGAAGCCCCCCAGAACATCCCCCCATTTCCCCCATCCCATCCCCCAACTTGCACACCACCCACCGAGAAGTGAAGCAGAAGAAAATTTTCTTCCGCCCACCATCCCGCTCTGAGACATTTTTAACTCCCTTATCCGGCATTGGCACCATGCCCACAATTGGTTAACTTTTTGTGGCCGACATACCGAACTCGCCCCACAAACCAACTTCTGGGGGTCGTCCTTCACCCCCAATTGCTTCTACTCTTAAAGAGGAAAAGAGGGGGGTGTCAAGGAGCCTGAAAACAGGGGTGCAGGAAAGGGAAGGGGATGAAATTGGTCCTAAAATGCCACGAAATCTACCATCTTAGTCTCGGAGGAGTCAACTTAGAATCGACAAACAAAACGAGCCATCTCATTGTTGGCGGTGTTTCTTCTGCCACTGGCTATTATCACTGGAGCTCTCTCTTCCTACACGCATCGGCGCAACAACGGGACTAAGACGAAATAGTGTCAGTACAAGAACTCAGGGGCAGAGAACAACGCCATATCCACGACGACAACCAGCCAAACAAAAAATGGCCACCTCTCCGGCCTTGATGACCTACACCTTCACCCAGGAGCAACACGGCCACTTGGTCCCCTACATCGCCGCCCTCCACGCCTCATGCATCACGCTCGACCACATGGTAGGGCCATTCCTACCACCCCTGACCAACGAGAAGTTGCTCCCCTGGTGGAAAGAACGCATCGCCGAGTCCGCTAAGGGCACACGCATCATCGTTCTGTTGTTGCCCGAGACAGCACCCGGCAAGAAAGCCATGGGCACCGATTTGCGTGGACTGGCCATGCTGAAGCTATCTGAGACGGAGACGGGCTCGTTCAGGGGGCATATTGATGCAGTGTTGGTGGATAGACGGCACCGTCGGCAAGGCGGGGCGAGATCGTTGGTGGCTGCCCTGGAGTATGAAGCGGCCAAAAAGGGGCGATCTTTGCTAGTGCGTTTTTTCTCTGTCCTTCATTTTCTCTTTGCTTTCTCATTCTTTGAGGCTTGTCGACCGCTGGAAAATGCTGACTCGAGACAGCTGGTCGACACCGAAACCAACAGCATAGCCGAGACCGCGTTCAAGAACCTGGGGTACATCGAGATTGGAAAGGTGCCGCACTTCAGCCGGGGTCTATCCAACGGAAAAAAGGGCGAGACGTTCTTTTATAAAGAATTCTTGCCATCATCTTCTTGAGCCCCGCCCCTCTGGACTTATTGTTTACACCTCCGCTTTTCCCTTGTTTCCTTTTCCTTCCGTTATTTTAGCCCCAAATCCTTGCTCGGCGTTGGCGGTGATGGGGTTCTAGATGGATGAAGCTCACGCTTCTGTAAGATTTCCCCATCTTTTACCATTTCACTTTCATGTTTTTGAATAACTTTTGTCATGGATCTCAACTCTGTTATTCAAGGAAAAAGTTTTTGCTTTCCCTCACCAAATCAACCGCGGTTACCTCAAGATACGGAACAAAACAGCACTTCTTTGAACCACATGCAGTCCATTCGATGTCATTATTGATCTACCGCATTACCAGAACGTCATCAGCGGGGGCCACTCTTCCTGCGGCCCAGTTGCGGCCCGCTGGCCTTCCAATACCACCCGCCCTGTGGACCACCAGCCCTTTCATGTTAGGTGCACTCCCGAAATATGCGGGAGGTCGTTGTTATCTAATTGGTGGAGGGGGAACATAAGTTGAAGTTCTAAAGTTCTCGTTTCACCCAGGTTGAGTTCTTGCCCCAGGCTGCTCGAAAGGTCGATTGCACCAGAGCCCAACCCCCTGGTGTCCTCGACGGATCGATGAAAAGACCACGTACCATATGCATCACCTTGAAGCTTTTTCTCGCCGTTCCCTCTTCCGCTCTAGGGGAACATGGTTCACAAGCCGAATCTGTCTCACCTCGACTCTCCCCATACCCGCTAGACACCCCAGATTTTAACGTGACATCCAAGCAAGGTATTAAAGTCTCAAATATGTAGAACAAGGTTTCGACCAACGAAAACAACCAGCCAGTGACAAGGTGCGATCTTTTCCCTTGGCTTTTCAGCGACGAATCAAGTCTTCCACTTTGAAGCTGTGGAGTGCAAGACAATCAACCACCCATGTTTGTCTCAGAGGTTATCCTAACGACACCGCCTACCGAAGCCATGTGGACAGAGCAGAGCGACTTGCGCACTTTTTGTGCACACCAGTTTCGGCTCCCGGAACCGTTCATGGATTCTAGCCTTGCTGGGTGGTTGATATCATGTCTCGAAGAGCAAACCTGATGCCAACACCCCTGTCCCGACATCCCGATTCGCTGCCCAACCAAAGATCTTAAGACACTCATGGCAGAACACGGCCCCAAGTAGGTCGCACAAAACCGAGGCATTTGAACCATGCATTCTGGCTAAGTAGTGAGGTTGACCAATAACTTGTACAGTGTAGGATCTTGCATGTCGGTGCTGATCGGAATCAGTTTGGACTTGGTGAAAATATGAAACATCCTCGAAGTTTCCGATTGTAACGGGCGGGAAGCGACGAATCTAAGAAAAAAATTGTCTCAATAGACAAACGGGTAGTTCATCAAACTCTAGCAGCACTGGCTGACACTCGTCGTTGCTCTGCTGGATGGGTAAAAGAAATCCGATATTTTCAACGGGCGCACAATTTCCCAACCGTATCGAAACGGTCAAACCACCAAAACGGGGGCGAGAAAGGCAAAGCAAAACAGGACGCACATATGCTTCAAGCAAACTAAACAATAACAGAAAAAAAACGAGATTAATATGCAAACACCATTCCCCTTTCCCGGGCACCCCAAAAAAACAAGCCGATCCACACACATCCAGAAGACCCAAGAGAAACAGGGAAAGGAGAACCGTCATCTAGTAAAAGTGTTCCAAGTGTTATACACACACGCCACCCGACCAGCCATTATGTAGAACTAAAAGCACCGCAAGATAAAACGGAATCATCGCCCGAAGCCCAGCCCCAAACAATGAGCGCCAGTTCATCTTCCCTAAATACGGATCACATCCCCGGGACTGGCCATTTAATCCGTCTTACTTCCGCCCGACGAGGCCCCCAAAAGCGGCGCCGCTTTGCTGGCCGAGTCATCCAACTTAAAGTGCCCGCCCTTTGCCTTGCGAGCGCGGCTGCGGAACCATGAGATGGTACCGAATGCGACGCCGAGGATACAGCCCGCGCTGAGGAAGGGGTGCTCACGCAAGGTGGTCTTGATGTCGAAAACGATCTTTTCGAAGAACCCAATGGTAAGCTTGGGCTTGAGCTTAGGTGGGTTGGCGGTAACCTTGTTGATGGTCTCAAGGATGGAGGTGCGCGAAGGTACGATCGGGTTGCCGGTGCTGGTTAGGTCCCAATAACGGCGGTTCTAAGAGATTTGATTAGCAATGGGCCTGGGGCTGTGGATTTTATGGTGTTGTTTTTCACTTACATCCTCGTCGTTGATGATGACCCTTTCGCCATCCTTGATGTCGATACCGTAGGTGTCGCGTGTCCATTTTTTCCAGAAGGTGCCGTCAACCCAAGCGAATGTAACTTCCTTGCGGTCTGACCGGTCCATGTTGATCCGAATGTTCTTTGCATTACGAAGCGCACGGGAGTCTCCCCGGTCCTCGGCCTCCTCAATCCGCAGTTGCTTGGCATCGCGAAGCTCCTGCCGTTCCAGCTGGAACAGCTGGATCTGCTTGTCCATCCATTCGTTGGCAGCACTCTTCATTTCCCGAATGGCCTCCTGGAATGACTCCTCGTTCTGTCGGTTCAAGATGCCAAGGACAACGATCCTACCATCCATGACTTCACGGGCGTTCGAGGCCGTGAGCTCCGGCAACAGCGGCAACCAGACTCGCCTCATCCAGCCCAACAGCCGGCCGGTTTCCCGCATCTCCCGGGGTGAAGATGGTGGATAGTAGGTGGCACGACCTTCCCGCGAAACCAGCAGCCGCGGCCAGGTGGTGATCTTAAACCGGTCGTATAGCCGGACGTCTCGTGTCCGAACTAGCTTCCCGCGGCCAATCAGGCTGAGCGACAGGCGCTCGAGGGCATTAAAATCCTCAGTTGTGGTTGCGTGATCGTAGAAGTACAGGAAGATGACCTCCTCCTTCTGTTCAAGCGCCTCGAATGCTTCCGCATCCACATCCGGAATACCACTAGCGAGGTCGATGGCCTTCTCCGCGTATTGGATGAAATCGCCCACACCGCGGAGGCCGGGGTACTCAACCCGCTCGCCAGCCCGATAAAATAGGAAAGTTGGGTAACCTTTGACGCCGGCATCCTTGCACAGCTTGAGTTCGGCGTCACAGTTCACCTCCCCAATATTCAACCGCCCCTTCACTTCCTTAGCTAGCTGATCCCAGTTTGGCTTGACCTTCAAGCAGTGGTGGCACCATGGAGCGTAGAACTTGATGAACCAAGGGTCGGCCGTCATAGTAACTTCGCTGCGAAAGGTTTCGGCCGTCAGGGGAACTGATTCGCCGTTCGGGTTCGGGGTCGATTTAGGCGTGATGACTCGCTGTGCAGGCGGGTCGAACGCTACGGGAGCATACTTGGCGGTGGTCGATTCCTCGGCCTGGGCAGCCTCGCCGGCATCCGCACCTTGAGGAGTTGGGGCAGGTGCAGCAGCCTCATCGGCCCTAGCTTTCTGGTCCTTTAGTTCCTTTGATGTTTCCGCGTTAGAGGTCGACTGTCCAACGGTCGTGTCGGCGAAGTCGGGTGAGACAACGGCACCAGGCTCGGGCAACAGAATCTTGGCGGGACGAGATCCTGGCTTAGCTTTCTCTAGGGCATTCTCCACAGCCTCGCTCAGAACCTCCATAGGTTTACCGCCCTTGACGGTGGCAATGGGTTCACCATTCTCGTAGAGAATCGTGTTTGGCCATGACGATACTTTGTGTTGTGAGCAAAGATCGCTGTAAGCAACGCAGTTGATATCCGCAAACCGAAAGTCGTAGAAGTTGGTAAAATCGGTGGACGCGGCCGAATCCCCGGCGGGGGATGAGGTGTAGTAGAATTCGTACAACGTCTGGTAGGTCGGGGCAAATTCAATACAATGCGGGCAGTACGGGCTAAAAACATCAGCGCGTGTGTCATGTGGCGTAGGACAAGCAAGTTACCTGTAATGCTTCACCATCAAGTACTTGGTCGCCTTATGTTCTTTCTCCCAATTGTCGGGCGTCAACTCGACCATTGGCGGGACCTGTTTCCCGTTGAAGACCGTTGGTTCCCGGGGCGCCTCGTCGTCGTCGTCATCATCGAAGTCAGAAGCTTGGCCGGCGACCAGCGCGGCCGCGCTAAACAATAATGTCAGGTCGAGTAACCGCATATTGACAGCCGTGCGGTGCGGTCAGGCGATGCAGCCAGCGAAGCAAGCAAGCACCGAGTGCAGTGAAGTCTGCAGGCGAATAACGTTGGCTGTTCGCGTTTAGGAGCAAGCGTTTGCCGGTCTGTGGAAATTCGCTTCTTTGTGTGCTCAGCAAGTCTCGCTCGGCATCGAGAGGGAACACTGCCAGGGAACCGACAGCTCGGTTGCCAGTGCAGGACAAAGTCCGATTCGCGTAATACGGAGGAATAATCGATGGGAGTACTAAGGCTGCACTCGACGTGAGAAGAGAAAAGGCTCGGCCCGTCCAGGGGGCCGTAAAATCGCTGGCGAAGTCAAATGTAGCAAATGATGATGCTTTCAGGAGACGATTCGGAGGCAGGGTTCCCGACACGTTTGTCACTGCAGCAGTGCAGTCTGGCCAGGGTCCATTGGCCGCAGGCTTGAAGCCTTGATTCCAAGGCGCCAAGTCTAAAGTGCCAAGCCTCTAGCACATGGCTAGAAGGAAGCCAAGAACGTCTGAACAGCTTCCATGCACGTTAACCAATCTGGCAGCTGGCAGCCAGTGCCGAGTCGTCGAGTGTACATCGTACATAGTAAGTGTCCCCACCACTTTAAGTCAACCCGACAGGCAACCGCAACCCAAGTATCAACAACACGGAGCTCCGCCAAACGGAAATGCAAGATCTGCCAGCACCGAATGTTCGAAGTCGGAAATGGATCATTCTAGCAAAAGGACCGTTTCTGCCATTCACGGTGACGAAACGAGGAGTCCTGCCACTCCCGCTTCCCTCTCACACCCTGTTAGCCCACCCTTGAAAAAGCGCCGGCTTGCTGAAGGAGAACCGGCGGTGGGATTAGTGCCCCCAGCATCAAATGGGAAATCAATACCGCCATCGACCGCATCGACGCCCCCCCTTGTGTCGACGCTTAGATCACCATTTCAACTGACTAAAATCCGGGACTTGCCACCAGAGATGAATAAGGACGCCATCTCCCTCAAGGACATATTAGGCGACCCACTAATCGCTGAATGTTGGGAGTTCAACTACCTTCATGATATCGAGTTCTTGATGTCCGCCTTTGACGAAGACGTTCGACATCTCGTCAAAGTCCACGTGGTTCACGGCTTCTGGAAAAAGGAAGACGCCCACAGACTAGAGTTGGAGGTAGGCGAGATCACTGCCCTAGTTGTAGCCATCGCAAAACGTTCCTCTCCGTCAATGTGTTGCTCTTTTGCCTGTTTCTCGTAGATGTCCTAACGAGTATCAGGAGGTGGGATCTCGTTTCCCCAACGTCAAACTTTGCAATGCCTTCATGCCCGAGATGTTCGGCACACACCATACCAAGATGATGGTCCTCTTCCGGCATGATGAGACTGCCCAAATTATCATCCACACGGCTAATATGATAGTTCGAGACTGGACCAACATGACCCAAGCCGTCTGGGTGTCACCAAACTTGTCCCTCCGGGAGACGTCTAACAAAGACCCCGAGCCAGCGGAAACCACAATTGGTAGCGGGGCGAGGTTCAAAGTCGACTTTCTCAACTACCTGCGGGCCTACGATAAACGAAAACCCACTTGCAAGCCTCTCATTGAGCAATTAATGAAATATGACTTCTCGTCGATACGAGGTTCACTCATCGGCAGTGTGCCCGGAAGGCACAAGCTCAACGACCCTTCGCCCACGAGATGGGGCTGGGCGGCAATGCAGCAGGCCCTGAAGGCGGTGCCCGTATCTAAAGAAAAATCAGACATTGCCATTCAAATTTCATCCATTGCCACCCTTGGGCCAACCGATACCTGGCTCAAGGACACTCTGTTTCGCGCTCTTCGTGGCGAGAGAAGCACCACTGGCAATACCACGACCCTCCCCCAGTCACCAAACTTTAAAGTCGTCTTCCCCACACCCGATGAGATCCGAAAGTCTCTCGAAGGCTACGTCTCCGGCGGCTCCATTCACACCAAGATCCAATCGTCTCAGCAAGTCAAGCAGCTGGCCTATCTCAAACCCATCTTCCACCACTGGGCCAACGACTCCACGCACGGTGTTAACATCAACAGCAACCCAACCCATGCTAATAATAGCAGTCACACCGGAAGCGACTCAACAACCATCCAGGAAGCTGGCCGAAAGAGGGCCGCTCCCCACATCAAGACCTACATTCGATTCGTCGAACCATCATCCGAGAGCACCGAACACCGGCCTATCATCGACTGGGCCCTTCTCACTTCCGCCAACCTCTCTAAACAAGCATGGGGCGAGGCCGCCACCGCTGCCGGGGAGGTACGCATCGCTTCTTATGAACTTGGAGTCCTCGTCTGGCCGGAACTGTACCAGAAGGGCGCGGTCATGCAGGGCAGCTTTTTGACGGACTGGCCGGGAGAGCGTGAGGAGGTAAACAAGGAGGCGGCGAAGGATGCGAAGCCAGATCAAGATGGGCAGAAAACAGTGGTGGCGCTGCGAATGCCGTATAGCCTACCGCTCCAGAAGTATGGAGATGGGGAGGTTCCGTGGGTAGCGACCGCGAACCATTTGGAACCAGATTGGAGGGGCCAGGTGTGGAGGCACGGTTAGTTGCATTTTGCTTTAGCTCGTCTCGATGCGATGCCGACCAAGTCTACCCCGTGATGTTTACGGAATAGGAGTTTTGGACGCCGATAAGACCGACGGTGGCCAGATAGCAAACGAAAAGCCGCGTAGTAGTCTATATGGGGAGGCATACCGGAGCAACCGAACGAAAGAGCTTAGACGTGCTACACACACACACAAAGTAGAGACCTCAGCACCGGAACACCGATAACTCTTTCTCTACGAGCCTCTTCATCCATATTACCCCCTACTGCCCAAATGGCTTGTGGATCTATTGCGCCCCGACCGCCTCAGGTTCCTTGGCCGCGTCGTATCCATATTTCTCCTTCAGCTCCTCGACCTTAGCGACGTACTTCTCCTGCGCCTGCTCGGGCGTTGTGCCCTCGTCCACTTCGGCTTTCCAGGCGTTATACTTAGCCTTGCCCTGTATTGTGTGTCAGTCTTGTATGCGTCTTCCAGCTGTGGCGAGTTGGGGTTCGGTAGGTGGGCTTGCCTTTAGGTCGAACACGCCAGGCTTGGCCGCGGTTGTAATGTCCTCACCGGTGCCGATCTTGTACAGGGCTATGAGTATATGATTAGGATGCGTTCAAATCATAATAGGCCACACGTTTCAGACGAACCGTAGATCGCAAGGAGGTCCTCGTTGTTCGGCTTGGACGTCAGCTTTTTGCTGTCAACGACAGCCGTTTGAAACTCGGGGGTTTGGGTGGCCATTTTTGCGGGAATCTTTAGCGTGAATTTAATGTGGTTGAGTCTGAGGTTGCGAGCGAGGTCCGAGTTGCGAAAGGGGTTCTGGATGTTGTTGAGAACTTGGGCATTTGTTGGGGGTTCCTATGGCGGGGTCAAGGGCACATGAAAGCGCGGGGCTCTGGCCTCCTTGTGCCGGCAGGGAGGGGCAGCTTGTGACCAGGTCTGGAGCGTCATTGCCCCACACCGCCAAGGCTTCAAGTTGATGAAAGCTGGAACTCAGGTCAAACTGGGAGCCTTCTTTTGCTCCTCTAGTTTCCTGCAACGGGATGCTTCTTTGGCGGTGGCTGATGGGGCTGGCTTCAATCAAGAAGGAGCAGAGGGTATTTACGGTGTTCTGCTTAGGTTTTCCCAAATTTTGTGCTACCTAGGTCCGGCAAAGAGGGGGACGGTTCCCCGTAAATATAACGAGCCTCAAACATGGAAAACATAGTCTACAGTAAGGGAGTAAGGTGCAATGCGCAAAATCGAGACTAAAAAGGAATTTCAGAAACAAGCAACTCCGTGTTTCCTTCATCAACCTCCTCGCACATGTTTGTCGGTCCCGAATGTTCGTCGTCGGTTCTTTCCGTCAGGGGTGGTGACATGCACTAACCGGATTCAATCTAGCGTTTTGAGAGGGTGGGTCTCTTTGGGATCACCCAGCGAGCCGCAGCTCGTCCGAAATGCTGCTTCACGTTTTTGCTCGGGAGATTTATTACAAACCACACCACACGTATGGTGTGTAAATGGGTACAATTTTCCCAAGAGATGCTTGGGTCGAGCGAACTGCATTTCTTATTTCTTGTGTCCCTCACTCTCATGGTCCATTGAACAACAGCGCCGCCCTGGTCGAGTCCTCTGTCGCCCCTCAGAATGCCACGCGTTTGTTTATCTGCCTCTTCCGTGTCCGAGTTACAAGGTTGGGGAAGACCGATGTGCTGGGAGCGACATTGGTGCTTGGGACCGAGCTTTGCGTGACAACAGTGCTGTGTCACGCAGGTGTCAGACACAGTTTCTGGGCCGTGAGCTTGCCGATCGCGGGCCGCAAATCTGCACTTTCCCAACCTCCGTGAAGCACTGGATCTCTAGCTCAAGAAAAATAATGTAGGTCATAGAATACGGAGTACGACATAGCATTTAAAAACATTATTAATTCCCGTTTTTAGATTTTTGCTCCTCATCAGTCATATCCTCTTGCTGACTATTCTAGCTTAGCAACCTGACTAAAGTGCGAGGTCTCTTCAATGTCCGAATCCTAGGTAAATCCGAGGCCTTTCATTGGCTAGCTCGCGCCCCAAGCGGTCACTTTGCTGCAGGGTTTTGGGCGACTAGCCCCTTCCTCTGGGTGCTGCTCGTCTGTATTCGGTCGCTAGGATACCGTGTCTCGCCCGAGTTAACGTTGATGTCAGACGCATGGGTTCCGTCACACAGGGACTTTGCGTTTCTCCCGAGAAGAACAGATTAAACTGGAAGCCCTGCGCCTAAGGAGCATGGGGGTTTGTGGATCGGTCTGGAAGCCACGTCGAGCTCGGGAGAAGAGGTAGGTGCGTTGGCCGAAGCATATAAAACGGGAAAGAACCCCCCAAAACAAGTTACCAGCCATCACCCCAAGATCATCACTCCAAGTCCCCCACCCTAATTGTGTTTGATTCCTCGTAACTCAAACAAATCGTCGCCACACCGTCACACCGCAACCATGAGCAAAACGGTACTTATCCTTGGAGGCTCATACGCCGGGCTTCACATTGCCCACGCTCTCCTCAAGAAATCCCTTCAGGACGTGAAGGTTATCCTCGTTTCCAAGGTACGGGCGCCGCACTTGATCCTTTCCCTAGACTCCGCTGCATTCTAACGGAGCCCATAGAACACGCACCTGTACTGGAACCTTGCGTCCGTGAGGGCGATTATCCCCGGTCAGCTCAAAGATGAGGATATCCTCCAACCCCTCGAGAAGGCGTTTTCGCGCTACCCGGTGGCAAACTATGAACTGGTAATTGGTACCGCCACTGCGGCCGATTTTGACAAGAAGACGGTGGAAATCGTGCTTCCCGACGGCAGCGTCACCCACACTCCCTATGACCAGCTGGTCCTCGCCACGGGTGCGCGCACGTCGGACCCCGAGTCGCCCTGGAAGGCATCTGGCACCTACAAGGACGTGGTGGAGAGCCTGCACAGCATCGCCGCCCGGGTCGGCGAAGCGAAACACATTGTTATCGGCGGCGGAGGCAGCACCGGCATTGAAGTGGCGGGCGAGCTGGGTTACGAGTACGGCAAGACCAAGGAGATTGTACTCCTCACTTCGGGCAAGAAGCTTATCGGCGGCCACCCGGTCGCGGATGCGGCGGCCAGTGAGCTGAAGAAGCTCAACGTGACGGTACGGTACAACGCGCTCGTGGAGAAGACGACCCCGTCTGCCGCGACAGCGGGGAAGACGGAGGTCACCCTCGCGAACGGGGAGACCATCACCACGGACCTGTACCTATCCACCACGGGGTTGGTCCCCAACGTCGGGTACATCCCGGCCAAATACCTCAGCCAGGACAGCCAGCCGTCAGTGATCGTGGATGAGTACCTGCGGGTGACGGGGACGGAGAACGTGTGGGCGGCCGGCGACGTTATCAGCAAGCCGCGGGCCAGCTTCCTCATCACGCAGAAGCAGGCGGCCAGCGTGGCCAAGAATGTGGAGGCAGTGCTCACCGATAAGGCTCCGACAGTGGCAAAGGGTCCACCGGTGGACGTCCTGGCATGCGCCGTCGGCCGTGGTCGTGGGGTTGGGCGCATCAACAATTCGATCCGGATGCCGAGCTTGATGGTGTGGGCTGCCAAGGGTCGCACGCTGGCAGTCCCCATGCTGAAGAGCTACATCGATGGGAGTGTGGCTTAGAGCGGTTTTTCGGGTTGGATGTGTTATATGGTGTCAGGACTTGAGAATACCCCAGGTGCGAAGAAGGATACAGTCGGAGACGTGCGGATTGTTTAATGTGGTCGACAGCGATAAATAGATCTGTCTTAGAAAGTAATGTCGAAGACGTCCCACATCTGGTAGTGCAGTCTGGCATGATATTGTCCTATCTCCCCACACCTATCCACGCACCCATGTTGTTTGCTACTCCTACCGTCCTGCCTTCTCGTCTTCAATCTCCCTCTTCAGTTGCTCCAGCACGTCCTGCCGTGACCGTAGATGCGTTTCTAGCCCCTCCACTTGCTCCTTTACAACCTGCAAATCCTCCGACACACCCTTCAGCCCACCACCAGCCGACTTAGCACCCCCGTCACCTTCCTCCAACCCACGCAGCTGCTTCCGCTTGTAATCCAACAACTGCTCCAGCTCACGCTTCACCAACGCCGGCTTGGAATCGCGCTTCCCACCCTTACGCCTCTCAACCCCGGCCTCAACCTTCGCAATCTTCTCATCCAGATCGGCTAGCTGCTTCTTGAGCCGGACTTCTTCCCAATCTGCATCGGTCTTGGCCGTGCTGAAGTCAGTGCCGGCAGCTTTGAAACCGCTGCGCCCGAGACGGGTGAGGTATTGGTCGCCGAATTTTGCCTTGCGGCCCGTGCTAGTCTCGTCGTCGGCTTTGGTGGCCCAGCGGGATTGCGAGGCCGAGCTGGAGGAGCCGTTATTCCGGGCGCTGTCGAGTTGGTAGTCGATTTGATTGCGCTCGAAGCTGGAGCGGAGGGAGGCGGGGACTGTGCGGGGGATGCGGAAGCCTTCGTGCCGGTTGTTGAGGATGTGGAGGAAGGCGAGGCAGGCGTCTTTGTTGATGGAGGAGCCTGCGGAGGGGTTGATGAGGTTCCAGGCGGAGCGGATGTCGGTGTCGGGGACGTCGAGGGAGTCGTAGAGGTCTTGGAGGGTGGAGACTAGGGGGTGTCAGAGTTAGCACGCAAAATAGAGAAGGCAGCTCGGTAAATAGGGGGATAAGAGTGAGACGTACAGGCTATTTCACCGCGCATATCGCGATTCTCCTGATAGATCTGCTCGTACTTGGACTTATCGGCCGGGCTCATATACCAATCAAACCCGTCCTTAAGCCCCAGCGAGTCGTCCTCGTCCTCGACCTGTTCAAACTGCACCGCCTTCCCCGTGAGCGCGCGGTTGGCCTGGACGAGATGGGCCTTGGATTCTGGCACGAGCCAATCGGGGAGTGTGGTGGGTACGTCGGCGTACTCGCCGTTGAGCAGGTCGAAGATCAGGCGCATGGCCACGCAGAACTCCTCAAAGTCGAGGTTGCCGTCGTTGTCGACGTCGGCTACGTCCCATACGCGTTCGAGTTGGTCATCCCGTAGCCCGCTGTTTTTGAGGACTGGCGCGGCTTGCTCGCCGGTGAGGAATTTTCCGCCATTTGTCCTTGTTGCAAAGATGTTCCAATATGTTTCGATTTCCTGCGCTTCGATCTTGGGTGCCATGGTGGGCGAGGGGGTCGAGGGTAAGTCGGGGCGATCGAGGAGGGGGCGGAGAACGGCCGGTAGGGTAATTGGTCGGTTTTCTTGGGAAATTCGGAATAAATGTCGAAGAAATAGGAGTCGGCGACGTCTGTTCGAGTCAGGGGGAGTTGGCTGGGTTGCGATGTTCGGTTTGGTGTTTCTTTCGAGTTGACGTTGCTGGGTGGCTTAGAGTGGGACCACTGCAGCTGCGCAGCTCTCGACCTTGCTCCCCGTAGAGGCCCTTGTCATACCCCTGTCTCAGTGAGAGGTTCCGGATTGTGACGTCTCGGCAGAGGCCCCTTTTACTTGTCACCTTCAACCACTGCAGTCACTGCATAAGACATAATAAAATCTGCCGTATTTGTACACAACGTTCGAGTTACACGGTTCTAGTATACACGGTTTTAGTACCAACAATCGCCCAGCTCTCCGGGGGCCAAATGGCGTCTTTCCTGTCCTTCCCAAACGTCCCTCCACCGTGTTCAATCTGTTCCTCTGTCCTGCATCATCAAATCCTGTCTCATTCATCCTGTTGTCGCTTGTCCGATCAGTGACTCCAAACCACCGCAAAATCATCAACCTTCCAAATCTTGTTGTCCTTTTTTTTCTTTTTTTTTTCTTTTATGCTGTCCTCCCGTTGTCCATCCTTTCGGCCCGTTCGTTCGTTATCCGTTCTTTCTGTCCGTTTGTCTGTTAACCTTTCTTTCGGCCCGTTCGCCCGTTTTCATTGTTTCCCGCCCGTTTGTCCGTTATCATTGCCATCGTCCCGTCTTTCCGTTCTCCGTCTTTTCATCACACTTTTTTTCGTTATCTCTTCTTTCCAGCCGTTTGTCCGTCAATGAACGACAAGAAGAGAAAATGAAAATCCGTGAAGAAAAAAAACATCACGGCCCATAACTTAATCCACCGCAGAAAAGAAAAACAAAAACAGAAAAACCAGCATGGAAACAAACCGAAACTCAAAACAAAAACAAAAGAAAAGTAAAACCCCCCCTCCTAGTAAAACGACTCATGCCCACCACCCCCACGGCCAAACGACGCAGGCGGCTGAGGCGGCTGCTGATACCCTCCCTGTCCACCACCGCGTCCCCCAATATCCGGATACAACAACTCCAGCATGGACTCCGCATACTGGAGGAATTCAGCATCCGAATTGAACCGGTCACGTCCGGCTACGTTGTACAGGACACAGCGGGAGTGTAGCTCAGCGACGCGGGGGTTTGAGAAGTGGGGGATTGGGCTGGGCGCGTGAGCGTGGGCGTGGGCGTGAACGGGTCCCGGAGCGTGAACGTGAACCTGTCCGTGAGCATGAACTCGAACAGGTCCAGCATGGTGAACTGGCTGTCCGTGAGTGTGAACGGATCCCAAAGCAGGCGGTGAAGGGCCGGAGCCAGACACAGGCTGGGTGCCAGCTGCTGGCATCGGCATAGGCAGCGGCTTCGGTAACGACCTCGGTCTCGGCACGGGAGCTCGGGGCGGACGCTGCAGGTGCTGTGGGTACGGGTACTGCAACATCGGTTGACCGGGGCCGGGCATGCTGGGAGGTACCATGCCCTGGCCAGGGGCTGGCATCCTCCCAGGACCTGGCACGAGGTTTGGTGTGGGCATCATCATGTTGGACGGGGCCGGGGGGGTGTTGGGGGTTGGGAGCCTTGTGGTAGGTGCTGACAGCATGGGCTGGGCTGGGAGCAGATGAGGAGGAGCGTGCATGTTGCTGTGCTGGGTCGGCACGCTGTTGCTTCGCGGCATGTTGTTGTTGTTGTTCCCGCTCATGTTGTTTCCTGGCATTGTGCTCGTGTGCCCGGTTATTGGGCCTGGGTGCGGCTGGAACCCGTCGTGGTGATATGGGCCCTTGGGGCCGGGTGCTGCGGCCATGGGAGTCGGCATCGGCGCGGGAGGGTGAGTAGGCGCCATGAACGGGTTCGGCGCGTGAACCGGTGTGGGCGCCAAAAGTTGTCCCGCATGCTGTCCCACATGCTGACCAAAGGGCTGTCCAAACTGTTGTCCCACACCCGGTATGACCGGGACAGGCACAGGAGTAATACTCTGTGGCAGAGTCGGAGGAGCTGCCGCAGAAGGAGGCAGAAACGGCGCGCTTGGTGATGTGGTTCCCGGCTGCGCAGGTGCCGTCTTCGGCTTCCGGGGCTTGTAAGGGCCGCGAGGGCCTCGAGGGATCTTGACCTTGGGCGCTGCTCCGTCAGTGCCCGTTCCCGCAGTGGTGGTCGCATCGGAGGTGGTGGGGACATCTTTGGGCTTGGCCCGCGAAGGCCGCTTGCGGGGAGGAGGTTTGGCTGGCGCACTGGCAGGACCCGTGGTGGAGGATGATGCCACGGGCTGCGAGGAGCCGACGAGGGTGCCCTGCCCGGAGAGGCTATCCATCGGCGCCATGGGCGCGGGACCCCAAAGCGGCGTGTTGTTGGGGTTCCCGAGCTGGTCGGCAACGTGGGTAGCCCCGTTCCCGAGATCCGGACCACGACCCCGCCTCGCGGGCTTCTTGGTCTCCGCGGGCTTGGTCTCAGCTGTGGTATCAGCTGGGTTCGTCCCAGCATTCTGACCATCGCCGGCCGCACCAGCAGCACCGGCCACAACCGCCTTCTTCGCAGCCGTGGAACGCCTCGATGGCGGCTTCGCGGTACCGTCACTGGGGGTCTGGATGAAGGACCAAACGACCCCCGTGGCGATGACGACAAATACGCCGCCTCCCGTGTTACCGCCTGGGCGGTACTGGAGCTCCGTGGGCTTGTAGCGCTCGTTGAACTCGGCGCGGGTCATCTCCTCACCCTCGGTCGACCGCATCGGCTTAGTTCCGTCGCATGAATACGCCGGGCGGTTGCCGCGGGGCCCTTTCATGTGCTTGATGGGCCGGCCGCTGGGGTCGTCGTCGTCGGGCTGCAACTTGCGCTTCCTGCTGGCGCGTGGTTTTGGGGCAGGTTTTGCGGCTGCTTCCTCGGGTGCCTTGGTAGTCTCTTCCCCAGCGGCCCCAGGCGTGGTGGTAGTGGGAGCCGACTGGGGAGGAGCAGGCATTCCCTGGGATGGGCTGGGCGCAGAAACAGTGGCCGGGGCGGGGGGAGAAACAATGGTCGGGGCGGCCGGGGTAGTCGGGGCAATCGGTACAGTCGGGACAATCGGAGCAGTCGCGACAGCCGGAACAATGGGGACAGCCGGGACAGTCAGAGCGGTCGGGGCAGTCGCAACAGTCGAGGGAGTCGGGACAACCGGGGCAGCGACCTCGGCAGCAATCTGAGCTGCAGTCTGAGCAGCTGCAGCTGCAGCAGCCAAGCCAGAACGGGGAGGACGGCCTCTGGGTCTGCCCGTAGGCACTCTAGGGGCTCGAGTCCCGGACCGAGTCGCAGCCCGAACACGAGGACGTTTCTGGGTCGGGTCGTACTCGCTGTCGCCGGGATCTTCATAGCGGACAGGGCGACTGACACGGCGGCGGGCGGGAACCGTGATGGCGTTGGCATTGTCGAGGTCGTCCTCGTCATCATCTCCGAGCGGGTCGTCCATGAATCGGACGTGCCGGTCGGTGGCGTACCTGGCCCTCATCGCGGCCACGGAAGCTGCCAGTTCGGGGTCTAGGGGCCGCACCGCGGGGACTTGGAAAGAGAGCATCTCGGCGATGCTCGGGGCGTTGGAGTCGGCGTCGTCGGAGAAGGCAGCCTCCTCTTCGGGGTCGGGCTGCTGGGCATTGGTCAACTCGGCGGGGTTCTCGGTACGGTCCTCCGCGCGTTCCTCCTCCACGCTCTTCTCCTTCTCCTGCTCTCCTTCGGCAGCAGGTTGGGCGGCCGCGGGCTGCTGGACGTCGACAACGGGAGAATCAACGTCGGCGAACATCTCCAGGGGCGAGTCGTCTTCCCACAGCCCACGAAGCCATCCTCTCTGCGCCTGCTCCTCATCCGGTGCGTTGGGATAAGGGTCGGCCCTCTCACCGACCTGGTGCTGACGACTAAACTCTTCCTAGAAATCGGTCGTCTCATTAGTAAACCAGGCTGGTAGAGGACCCCCCCCAGAGAACGGCAAGGGGCGCTCAACCCCGTAATCGAGGCCGAGCCCGAAGCCAAACCCGAGGTCCCCATCCTTATCCTCCTCGGCAAAGACAGGCCTAGCAGAAGCAGAGCCAAACAAATCCGCCCGCTCCGCAGCGGCCTCCACCTCCTCGCGGCCCAGAGACATCGCCGCGTCGGGCACGGCCGAGCCCTCGGTCAAGACCGCCAGCGAGGCCTCCGGGAGGACACCTGCGTCGTGCAGAGCCTCCCACTCCGGCCAGTCTGACTTGTCCAGGGCCGAGTACCGCCTTCCGGTCCTTCCCTTGACGGTGTAGTTGGCTGGGTGCAATCCCAGCGACGGCGGCACTCGGACCCTGGTCTCCTGGTCCTCCTCCTCTTCTTCGTCATCCTCCTCGTCGTCGTCGTCCTCCCCATCTCCCCGCTCGCGAGCGACCGGGCGAGGAACCCGGAGAGGAACCGGCAGCGACGGTAGCGACCGCGGAGGCGCCCCAGACCTCAACCGCAGAGGGTTGAGGGTTCTGGCAGGGGGGTCGAGCCGCACCAGCAACTCGTTCCCCGCGACGTCACGGCGGCCACTGAGACGCTGGCCGGCTCCTCCCAAAGGACCACCCAGAGCACCAAAACCAGGACCGCCCAAGCCAGAACCACCCGAACCAGCCGCAGCAGAACCACCAGAGCCAGAACCACCACCAGCACCAACCGCAGCAGAACCCGGAGCCGGGACAGCCTCCTCCTCCTCCTCCTCCTCCTCCTCCTCCTCCTCC